AGCTCACAAATTACATTTACTGTATGGGATATCGGAGGACCACGCACAGCGGTGCCTGTTGGGGGCTCGACGTTTAGGATGTTCGGAAAGAAATGGTCAGTATGGTATATTCACTTTGCATTGCAAGGTTCATTACATCCATCGCATCAGGACTTTGCGCCGAGGAAAACACCGCTTGTTGCTCTGGTCAGGTCAAGAAGCAGACGGCTCCATGCAGACTAAGACTCCTAGTAAACTTGGAAGTAGGGATGAAATGGGTCGTCTAGAGAAGGTAGGTAACGCCATAGCTGTCGGGTACTGTCACCTATCAGATATCCTCTCCTCAGCTCGTGAAGAAATACGAGCGTGGTGACTTGCCAAAGTCGGACTGGTTGGACAACATGGCCTTCAGAAAGATGGAGGAGATACATGCTGTAAGTCCTCGATCGTCGAGTGCGAATACAATCGCTTAAAGAGGACCGAAGGCGGAGACAGAGAAGTCAGAGAGCATGTATCTCTATATCGATCTTCCACGTTTTGACTTTCCCGTGATATTCAGCGAACCTGTAAGTGTCGGTTCCTGACTGTAGCTCGCTTGACGTTCGACTCTTTTTAGGAGGCTCAAAATCAGGCCACAATACCATTCGCACCTCCAGTAGTAGCCCAGACACCTGTCGCACCTGTACTTCCAAGTTATTTTGCCACGGATCCACATCTCTGGGCCATCCTTGATCCTGAGATTGCACGCGAAAACCCTGTGGAGGACAAGCATCGCCGGCTCGTGCGGAGTCACCGAAGTAGTCCGTACGACAGGGAGCTCAAACCCAACGCCAAGATCAGGGATGAACTTGGGGTACGCGAAATCAACTATTGTGCACTAATACCTTATACGCCGTTTGTAGGAAATCCTCAATTATGCACCCTCTCAACCTCTCAACTCCGAAGAGAAAGACCTCATCTGGAAGTTTCGCTTCTACCTCGCACGGGACAAGCGTGGCCTTACCAAGTTCCTCAAGTCTGTCACTTGGCGCGATGCTTCGGAAGTCAAGCAGGCAGTGGAGGAGCTACTGCCGATGTGGACAGAGGTCGACACGGATGACGCTTTGGAGCTTCTCGGACCAGGAACTGTGGACTCGAGAGTGAGAGCGTTTGCAGTTCGGCAGCTTAACCGTGCAGATGATGAAGTTCGAGCATCTCTTTTCCCCTAGGTCATAACGGACTGACCTTATTTGCAGGAGCTTCTGTTATATCTCTTGCAACTCGTGCAGGCGCTGAAATTTGAAAGTGCCGCGAGCGAGCAGCGATCGAGTCGTTCGACAACAAGCGCGATATCTTACGACGACAGCGGGCTGACGGACTTCTTGATCGCACGTGGAGTGCAAAACCATACGCTGGGTAACCGGCTGTACTGGTATCTGATAGTAGAAGTAGAGTTGGAAGATAGGGTTGTGGCAAAAATGTACGGGCGGGTGGTATTCAAGTTTCTCAACAAGATTTTAGAGGTAATTGAACCTCCACTCGTACTATCCTCGCTGACGAAACGGTTCCTCAGTCAAAGAATGGCAGCGAACGCCGCGAGCTCATGCGACGGCAAGGCGTCCTCGTCGAGACCCTCGCCAAACGTGCCAAGGAGCTGCGCACATCTAAAGACCCACGACCGAAGAAAATCGAAAAACTTCGCTCCTTTATCAATGACTCCAAGAACGGGCTCATCAACATCCCTCCCCTACCTCTGCCGCTCAGCGCATGCATGGAGATCACGGGCATCAACGCTGAAAAGTCGTCCGTTTTCAAGTCGAATCTCTATCCCTTCTTGTTGTATTTCCAGTGTTCTGACGGCTCAGAGTATCCTGTGATTTTTAAAGACGGGGATGACATGCGCCAGGACCAGCTAGTCCTCCAGTTGTTCACGCTCATGGATCAGCTGCTTAGGAAGGAGAATCTGGACCTGAAGCTCATTCCCTATGATGTGCTGGCAACTGGGCCGTTGCAAGGTATGGTGCAGTTTATACCCAGCAAGACTATCGCGGCGATTATCAGCGAGAATGGGACACTCTTGAACTATTTGAGAGCGAATAATCCGGATGAGGGTAGCGTTGGAACGTATGGGGTCGAACCAAGCGTTATTGATACGTTTGTGCGTAGTTGTGGTGAGTTGTTCCTTGGCGAGGTGACGTGTGCTAAGCCTTTGTTGGTAGCTGGATACTGTGTCGTGACGTACCTGCTAGGCGTAGGCGACCGGCATTTGGACAACCTTCTACTGACACCGGATGGTAAGTGAATATGGCCAGTGGGATTCAATTTCTAATGTTGGCTCCGTAGGGCACTTTTTCCATGGTCAGTATCATTTGGTCTGTACGTTTTATGCCACTGACATCTTAATTAGTCGATTTTGGATACATCCTTGGTCGGGATCCCAAACCATTTCCTCCTCCCGTCAAAGTTTGCAAAGAGATGGTCGACGGCATGGGCGGCGCCCAATCAACGCACTACGCACGATTCAAAAACTTCTGTTTCACCGCCTTCACAATCCTCCGAAAAAGCGCCAACCTGATCCTCAACTTGGTAGCGCTGATGGTGGACGCCAACATTCCAGACATCAAGCACCGCGACGTGCATGAGCAGATCCAGGAGAAGTTCCGGTTGGACTTGACGGAGGAGGAGGCTATCAAGCATTTTGAGGCGTTGTTGAATGAGACGTCGTATTTCACGGTTGTGCTGGATCGGATTCATGATTTGGCGCAGTATTGGAGGAGTTGAGCGAACGAGCGGTGGAGATGCTGGTTTTGCGATGTGAGATTGGGTATTTGTTACTTCCGACCACATTACTGACGAGTACTCGTGGCAGGACTCACTGCGCGTGGTCCTATGAAGGGTATTGGTGTTACTCCTCGACATGTCGATGTTGTTATCCTATATCCTGTCGTACTCGACAGCTGTGTATGTAGTTTCAAATATTGATTTACACGTGTTACCGAGACTGATTGTTGGAGGATGAATCCGCTCTGAAAAGTTGCGCACACCTCCACCATAGATCGACGACGCTGAATCGTTTATTCCTCGCAGAAGCAATCCCTGGAGTAGCAGGAATGAGACTGGCGGTCCTCGTGCTAGCAATCTTCTCCCTTCTCTGGAACTTGGTCATGCATGGTATTAGAGTTTGATTGAGTGGAATCCGGATAGTCCCGACCACATACTACAACACTACGTCACTGCTCCTCTCTTTGTTGTCTCCTGTCATATCGTGGTCCGTACGCGTTGTTCGCAGGTAAGGCAACTAACCCCCTTCGAAACAGTGACACCGACAATGGGATCATAGCAGGTTTGCAGTAGGCTCGTGACCAGCCTGGTGTATACGAGAACATACGCAAGAACCAGGGCTCGTAACCTGTTAAGATTACAGGTTATGAGCACACTTGTTCTCGACTAGCTAGTACACAAGTACGAAGTAATCGCTGCCAAAGTTGAAGTCGATGGTCCCAGCACATTACTTTCTTACCTGTAATCTGACTTGTACGCTTTCCCGTCTATATTCGCATGATCTTGTTGTTTTTATTGGATGGTTGTCCCACCACTTGGTTAATAGTAGTTACTCCATACCGTTCTGTACTTATGATATGCAGCAAGTGATAGTTCGATTACGAAAGGTCGACACGATGACCTAGCTCGGATCCAGGTTTCTCGATGAGATGGCGCGCTGTTTGAGCACGTTCAGCGTCACTACATATTCTGAAAAGAGAAATAAATACAAGCTTCGTGGCGTCAGGGTCAAGACATCCCTTCCATTACCTCCGCGGCGAGAATCCTTGTCATGAGCCAGAATGGTCCGGCGTCATATTCTGCTGAAAAGTATTGGGAATATTTGAGCGTCTGTCCCTGACTCGAAGAAAATTGCTCGAGGATCGAGAAAACAAGGCGCAGTGCACATAGGAGCGTTAATGGAAAGACATGTCTGTCAGGCAGATTTCATAATTAGCAGACAAAGGAGGTGTTGCAGTAACACCAGAAGCTTCGAGTGCTGCGAAGAACATCAGAAAGAGCTCAAAGTGACTGACCAACTTGCCATCCTGAACAGTTCTTGATAGTCGGTAAATACACTCTCAATCAAATCAAAGGTGAAGGTATTGTTAAGTAGTCGAGCGTCAAGAAATCGGTTTCTCTAAATTCGCGAGGAGACAGAGATCATCAAAGACTAAGAACGCATCCTTTCGCACAATGTCCTGACGCTTTGGTGTTACCGTCCGGAAGTGTCGCCTCCGACAGCTCCGGAGACAAATAAACATGTCCAATTGACAAAGGAACACCTTCGATAGGTCATCAAATAGATGACGGGAAGTATGAACAGAGCATATGGCTCATGGTATCAGTTCATCATGCTTATGATCGACAGCAGACTGCGGTACAGCCTTGGGGGCTATCATAAATCGCTGCCACAACCAAAACGAGATGACGACGTACCATCGTATGAACACTGGACGAAGAAGTTAGAAGGTCATCCGACTGTGCGCTGTGGGTGAACGATAACGAAAGCGGCACATTTCCAATTGAATCACATACAAGATGCCAACCTAAGTATGGCAACGACTTCTCTGCAGAAGACTCTGCTGAGCCTGCCTTGATGTGGACAGTATAAGACACCATGTGGGGTGAGTGCTTTTCATCCCGTATTTCTGGATGCCTTCGCCTGGAAGGGACTTATAGGACGAAGGTATGAGGGGACTGTTGGCGAGTAAGCAAGGTAAACATACCTGCATTTCAGTGACTCGGTCACCAAGAAGTTGCCAAGAAGGCTAGTGAACTCATGCTATTCTGGTGTTATTCTGAACAAGGTTTCGACGAGGTCCGCCAGATTGCAGCTGTCGTCTGTATGAGGGAACGCAGCGCTACTAGCACCAGAACTTCATGATCAAAGGTTGTTGGGAGTAAATCGAAGATCTGGCTGAATTGTGTTGTATATAGGGGCGCTTGTTGTGGGCGCATGGTAGGGACTACGCGACACCGTGTGAAACACATGCAGGTGGAGGAACACAGCCAGAAACTGTCAAGATCATGAAAATTTACCCACAGCTCGCGGTACCGCCTACCGTACAGCAAGTGGGACGTTTATGTGTCTATCGTGGGAGTCATGCATGGGCTGTTTCAGTGCTCGTCAGTGTATTATTTCCCTTGCAGGTCTTCCGAGTACACGCACGTGCCAGTGCTTGAATTTCTGCTCCCTTAGACTGCGTACGCATTGACTTTGCTATCACTCGATTTTGCACTAATTGTGAGACCCTTTACAGTGAAATGGGGCAGTTGTTATGTTGTGCCAGTAATATAGGAGATCATGTGAAGAAGTCCCGAGTGGCCTTGCAACGATGTCCTCCGGGCCATTCTCGTCGATCCATGTGTCTCTATAATCTTGCCAACAGCCTTGGAGACAGATTCGAGCAGCAGGGTGTCCTGTCTGACCTCGATGAGGCCATTGAGCTCCATCGCGCTGCACTGCTCCTCCGCCCCCCCGGTCATTCTGATCGATCCAAGTCTCTCAACAATCTTGCCATTAGCATTGGAGACAGATTCGAGCAGCAGGGTGTCCTGTCTGACCTTGATGAGGCCATTGAACTCCATCGTGCCGCACTGCTCCTCTGTCCCCCAGGTCATCCTGATCGATCCGCATCTCTCCATAATCTTGCCATCAGCCTTGGAGACAGATTTAAGCAGCGGGGCTTCCAATCTGACATTGACGAGGCTATTGAGCTCCATCGCGCTGCACTGTTCCTCTGTCCCACCGGTCATTCTGATCGATCCATGTGTCTCAACAGTCTTGCCCTAAGCCTTGGAGACAGATTCGCGCAGCAGGGCATCCCGTCCGACCTTGATGAGGTCATTGAGTTCCATCGCGCTGCACTACTCCTCTATCCCCCTGGTGATCATGATTCTGATCGATCCGCGTGTCTTTATAATCTTGCCAACAGCCTTGGAGACAGATTCGAGCAGCAGGGTGTCCTGTCTGACCTTGATGAGGCTATTGAGCTCCATCGGTCTGCACTGCTCCTCCGTCCACCCGGTCATTCTGATCGATTCATGTCTCTCAACAATCTTGCCACCAGCCTTGGAGACAGATTCGAGCAGCGGGGCGTCCTGTCTGATCTCAATGAGACCATCGAGCTCCACCGCGCTGCACTGCTCCTCTGTCCCCCTGGTCATAATGATCGATACATGTCTCTCCACAATCTTGCCCTCAGCCTTCGAGACAGATTCGCGCAGCGGGGTGTCCTGTCAGACCTTGATGAGGCCATTGAGCTCTGTCGCGCTGCACTGCTCCTCTGCTCCCCCAGTCATTCTGATCAATTCGAGTGTCTCAATAATCTTGCCAACAACCTTGGGGACAGATTCGAGCAGCAGGGTGTCCAGTCTGATCTCGATGAGGCCATTGAGTTCCATCGCGCTACACTACTCCTCTGTTCCCCCGGTGATTCTGATCAATCTGTGGGTCTCGACAATCTTGCCCTCAGACTTCAAGACAGATTCAAGCAGCGTGGTGTCCTGTCTGACCTTGATGAGGGCATTGAACTCAATCGGGCTGCCCTGCTCCTCCGTCCTCTCGGTCATTCTGATCGATCCAAGTCTCTCAACAATCTTGCCAACAGCCTTGGAGTCAGATTTGAGCAGCAGGGCATCCCATCTGACCTTGATGAGGGCATTGAGCTCCATCGGGCTGCACTACTCCTCTGTCCCTCCAGTCATCCTGATCGACCTATGTCTCTCAACAATCTTGCCACCAGCCTTCGAAACAGATTCGAACAGCGAGGCATCCCGTCTGACCTTGATGAGGCCATTGAGTTCCATCGCGCTGCACTACTCCTCTATCCTCCTGGTGATCATGATACTGATCGATCCACATGTCTTGATAATCTTGCCAACAGCCTTGGAGACAGATTTGAGCAGCGGGGTGTCCTGCCTGACCTTGAAGAGGCCATTGAGCTCCACCGGGCTGCACTGCTCCTTTGTCCCCCCGGTCATTTTCATCAATCCAAGTCTCTCAACAATCTTGCCATCAGCCTCAGAGAAAGATTCAAGCAGTGTGGTGTCCTGTCTGACCTTGATGAGGCCATTGAACTCCATCGGTCTGCACTGCTCCTCTGTCCACCCGGTCACTCTGATCGATCTGCGTCTCTCAACAATCTTGCCACCAGCCTTCGAGACAGATTCGAGCAGCGGGGCGTCCCGTCTGACCTTGATGAGGCTATTGAGCTCCAGCGGGCTGCACTGCTCCTCTGTCCCCCGGGTCATTCTGATCGATCCATGTCTCTCAACAATCTTTCTCTCAGCCTTGTAAAAAGGTTCAAGCAGCAGGACGTCCTGTCAGACCTTGATGAAGCCATTGAGCTCCATCGGGCCGCATTGCTCCTCTGGCTCCCCGGTCATTCTGATCGATCCGCATCTCTCAGCAATCTTGCCACCAGCCTTCGAGACAGATTTGAGCAGCGGGGCGTCCCGTCTGATCTTGATGAGGCCATTGAGCTCCATCGCGCTGCGCTGCTCCTCCGTCCACCCGGTCATTCTGATCGATACGCATCTCTCAACAATCTTGCCACCAGTCTTGGAGACAGATTCGAGCAGCAGGGCGTCCTGACTGACCTTGACGAGGCCATTGAACACCATCGAGCCGCACTGCTCTTCTGCCCCCCCGGTCATTCTGATCGATCAGCGTCTCTCAGCAATCTTGCCATCAGTCTTCGAGACAGATTCAAGCAGCGGGGCGTCCTATCTGACCTTGATGAAGCCATTGAACTTGATCGGGCTGCACTGCTCCTCCGTCCCCCGGGTCATTCTGATCGATCCTGCGTCTCTCAACAATCTTGCCATTAGCATTCGAGTCCGATTCCAGCAGCGGGGCGTCCCATCTGAACTTGATGAAGCTATTCAACTCCATCGGGCTGCACTACTCCTCCGTCCCCCCGGTCATTCTGATCGATCCGTGTCTCTCCACAATCTTGCCTTCAGCATTCTAGTCAGATTCGAGCACCGGCCTGGGAGCATCCTGTCTGACCTTGATGAAGCTTTTGGGCTGTATTTGCAACTTTCCCACTTATCACATGCAGCCTCTCGTCGCGATCTCCATGCTGCCAAGTCATGGGTAGCGTCAGGGGAGAAGCAGAAGCATGGCTCTACATTGGTTGCCTATCAGACCGCATTGACCTTTTTGGACCAGCATATTGCTCTTTTGTCTTCTTCTTCACGCCATTTCAATGTCGCCAGGGAGGCCACTTCTTCCCTTGCCACGGATGCTTTCTCGTGCAGTCTTCGTCATGGTGCATTGACGACTGCTGTAGAACTGGTAGAGCAAGGCCGTGCAGTATTTTGGACTCAATTGGCACGCTTCCGCACGCCGCTCGATGAACTTTCCCTGTCAGGTGACACCGGCGCAGCCTTGGCGGAAGAGTTCAAGCAACTCAGCTCTCGGCTTCGTAGCAGATTCGATCAGTCTACTAACGACCAGTCCCCGCAAATTCGGCAACTGACCAAGCAATGGGATGATGTCGTCTCACGCATCCGCATGCACCCCGACTTTTCGCGTTTTCTCTTGCCTCCTCTGTTTTCTGGCCTCCAGAAGGCAGCTGAAGATGGTCCAGTCATCATCGTTAACGCAAGTCAGTACGGCTGTGACGCCTTGATTGTTTTGCAAGCCCAAGATCCTGTCCATGTTCCACTCGATATTGCATGGACTGAAGTATCCGAATTGTCCTCCGAGTTCCAGTCCCTCGCAGACCAATTTGGTTCTTCTGATCATCAAGACAACCTTGTCACCATCCTCCGCAAGCTTTGGGAAGACGTTGTTGACCCCGTGGTCGAAGCTCTTAGGGAGGCAAATGTTCCCCCTGGCTCGCGCATCTGGTGGTGTCCCACCGCCGAGTTTACACTGCTTCCTCTACATGCGGCAGGACCATACGAGAGGAAGAAAGACAATTTGTCTCACATTTACATCTCTTCTTACACTCCGACTTTGGCAACTCTCATTCGTGCGAGACAACAGGTTTCTCGAGATGCATCCCTGCAACATTTTGTTGCCATTGGTCAAGCAAATCCGGAAAGAGGGAAGGAACTCCGATGTGTCGCTCCCGAGCTGGCCATCGTCGCTCAGCACATTGCGCCCGTCGTCTCCTTCACATCGCTTGCAGACAGTGATGCAACAATACAAGGAGCACTGGATGCATTGAGCCGGAATCAATGGCTTCACCTGGCCTGCCATGGAATGCCGAATCGACAACAAGCATTTGAGTCTTCCTTTGAGATGCGCGACGGGTCTTTAAAGATCAAGGATATCGTCCGATCTGACTGGCAGAATCCGCAGTTCGCATTCTTATCGGCCTGTCCACACTACCGTAGGGCGATCAGAAGAGTCCGGACGAGTCGATCCATCTCGCTGCAGCTATGCAATTCTCTGGATTTCGCAGTGTGATTGGTTCGATGTGGTCTGTTGACGACGACGTTGCACGACAGATGGTGTCTTCTTTTTACGGCAACCTGGTTGACGGTTCAGGGGGATTGGATTGCACACGAGCTGCGGTAGCGTTGCACAAGGCTGTCAAGACGTTGCGGCGCAATAAGGTTCCACTGGAACAGCAGATCGTGTTCGTTCACATAGGCGTCTAGTTTGTGACCCATTCGCTATATTGTTGCATTCGCTGTGTAAGATCCATACTTGTCTGCATGCTACATGCTCATACTATATCTAGATATTCTTCGACCGCTCATGTTTACGGCCCAGATGAGTGGGAGATTCTGGGAGGTCGGACAGGGTTCACATTCCTCTTGACAAATCATTTTCGTTCTCGACTACTTACATACCCAGCGACCGCTGTTTTCCCGTCTATACTCACATGATCTTGTTATTTTTACGTCCTACCATTTATTTAACAGTTACTCTGTACATACCGTTCTGTACTTGTGAGTGCGCGTACAAAGCGTCCTATATGTAATGGGAGTGCACACGACGGGATAGGTCATCGCATTGTTTCACATTAATACCCTGTATCACTCACGCGGACAGTTCTTATTTTACATGCATTGTCAGGCGGTACGGTACGTGGTACACATGAAATCTGCAACAACGTCAACACACTCAGACAAATGTTCTGCAGATTTATCCACGTCTTCGTCCGAAATTGTAGTATCGACGATCATCCTCTCCCGACATAAGGGGCACCAGTTGCCCTATGCAGCTGGTCAGTCTCTAGAAACCGAAAGAACGATCGCACGCACATGATATTCATCTCCAGCACCGTGACAGAAGTAGGCAGACTCGCAATGTGCGCGACCGCATCCGCAACATGTATCGGATCGAAAGTCGGTTCTACCACTCTCCGCCCGTCAGGCTGTAATGCTCCTAGAGTGTGCCCTGCGGCCATGGATGTGTGTGCATTTCCTACATACAGCCACCGTCGCATCAATCTCCTCCGATATTGGCGAGGTACACACCTATGTCAATTTGCGTGACAGAAATATCGTATTTCCGTCCCTCGATGGCGATGGTCTTTGTTAAACCGTGCACAGCGTGTTTGGAAGCCGCGTACGCGACGGAATGAGGCCTTGGCACATGGGCAGCCAATGAACCATTGTTGATGATTCTTCCTGTACAGTAGTAGGGAGACCGTAAAATGTAAATCAATGCACTGGGTATTCACAACCATACTACTTCACGAACCTCCCGTGGGTGTTTGCTGCTTGAAGATCTTGAAAGCTTCACGAGTGCAAAGGAACGTAGCAATGAGGTTGACATTGATCACCGATGTGAACATCTCGAGCGGCATCTCCTCGATGGGGCTAGCCTTGTCAGACAGGCCCGCGTTCTGCGTTACATCGTCGGTCCATGATCACAATGCACGAAAACCCGCGGAAGAAGGAGGACATCACTCACGTTGAATAATAAATCAAGTCTACCAAATTTCTTCACGGTCTCTTCGAACAAGCTCTTAACGAAGACTTCGTCTGTAATGTCGCCAGCAACGATGATACACGCATCGGGATTTGAACAGAGGGATCTTGTCTCTTCGAGCTCAGTCAGCCTTCGAGCAGTCAGTGCCAAGCTCCAACCCTCGGAGGAGAGCTTGATAGCTGAATGGCGTCCAATACCTGAAACCGGGCCTCAGACGTCAGTGTACGAGCAAGTGTGAAGCGTAGTCGATACGCACCGGAGGAAGCCCCCGTAATAACTGCAACCTTTAACGATGCCATTGAGAGGGTCGATATCTGGAGTTATGGGTGTCACGACAGGTTGCAAGTCTGAGTCCTGTCTGACTTTTCAAGCCTACAGCGGGGACGGCCCGTCGGCCCGGGATTTCCGTTCTGACAAATCTCCAGACCACACGCATTTACTATATATAGCTGTCGATGAGAATAATAACTAGGCTAATAATATGTACCGGCGCTCGGACCGTTCACACCATATCGGTAGCTGTAACATCAATATTAATCCTTAGCTTGATCGTTCGAAGAGGTGATCAGGAATAATTTATTTCCAATACAACAGAGGAACAGCTACGAGATGGTCCATGCAATATAAAGATATCGAAAGCGTCGCAACAATCTTACTCGGCCTTCCCCTTTCCCTTGGAGTTCCCGGCACCATAGACCAGCGCATCAACGCTCTTCTGTCTTCCCTGAATGCTCAGCAGCTTTCCCCATACGGGTGTGAGTAAAGGCAAAAACATCGCTACACGATCTTGGTAAGCAGCATATGCAACGGGATACTTTCCCTTCGATATCGACTCGCTAAAAATCGTCGAAGAGAAGAACAGAGTACAGAGAACTAAACATGGAACGAAGGGGGCGAGAGATGCGAGCGAAGTCGGCGGGAATCCGAGCTTCGGTGAATCAGGTGAGAGGATGGGAATGAGGGTGATTATAATCTGCGTATGAAAGCGTCGTTAGTAATGGGTTCCAACGTTGAACGGAACCGTGAACTGTAAATGTACATACCCAGAAAGTCTGTTCGCACAGGAAATTTGGGTGCCGCGACCAAGCCCATAAACCGCGTGTTGCAAATCCCCGTTCAGCATCGTGTTCGGTCCATAAAATTCTTGCACCAGGCCAATCATTTGGGTTCAGCCTGCCGGAATGTTTGAAGGTCTGGAAAGAGTATTGTTGGTTATCCGCAACAAACTCGGTGAGAATTGTGAGAAATCCCAGCGTGCCGAGGACAAAATCTGAAGTCGAGAGGGGCGTGTGTGGTTGAGCCACCGCACGAGCCGCAGGGAGGCCCAAGAGGAACAAGATTATGTTTTGTGCGATTGCTGGAGTCGGATCAGTAGGATTCTTGATACGGATGACGTCATAGCCATACCAATAAAAGTGAGGTTAAAAACTTGGAAGAGGAAAGGGGGGATTCTCTGTCGCAGAATTTCCCAGCGATAATCTTCATCCTTGCTTTAAACACGTTTAATTTCCTAGTTATATTAAGTAATGAAAAACGAGCGTACAGGTTAAATAGACCACGCCGCCAGGTGTTATAACTTAACCTGTGGAGCGTGAGATTCATCAGTGAATACGACGAAGGCATTTCAAACAAACCTGAACATCCATGTCACCTGAATATTGTTAAGCTGACGACAACGAATCAGGCGGATGAGATACTCACCACCAGACTTGCCATAAGCAAGGCGCGTTGGCTGTAGGTCTCTCTCAGAGGGGCGAGGAGAGCGTCAGGGGTGTATGGAAAGAAAAAGGTAGGTGCGACGGATGGCCAAAGTGGCAATAAAGCATAGTATACTGTATATATTGTTGGGAGAAACGTCCAGACTCTGTCCACCTGCGACACGTTGCCAGTGAAGATGGAGAGCACGTATGTGGCAACAGTCATGGCCACACAGAATTTGACGGGCCAGACAAACATAGGTGCCTCATTTGTGAGTACCCGCCAGGAATCCATGTCGATTATAAGGCTGCGCAGTCGTCTTTGCTGGTGTCGGTAAAGATGATGGTTGCGCTGTTACAGGGGTGATTGCACGGTTGAAATTGGCCTACACGGTTACATAATCAAATCGGTCTTGTTCGCTGCCTGCCATGTCTACCACAGTTCTTTTCTCGACATTTCCTCCATTCCCAACTCTTTCTCTGTCTGTTTCTCCAGAAACCCGGTTCGATGACCTGTACTCTCTGCTGTGCGAGCGCTACTCCGACCTCCCTCCTTCAGGGGACTTGAGAATTTCGTCTCATGCAGGATCAGTCCCAACGCCGGACACCCTCATCTCTGATATTCATGGACGAGATGTGACTCTTGTAACACTAAGACTGATTCCTCGACTCCGAGGTGGCAAGGGAGGTTTTGGTTCGCAGTTGCGTGCCGCTGGTGGTCGCATGAGTAGTCAAAAGACCAGCAACAACGACTCATGCAGAGATCTTAGTGGGCGCAGGCTCAGTACCATCAAGACCGCGAAAAGGTATCTCATACTCCTATTTCATGCTTTTATGTACTGACAATGTCATTTTAGGCTTGCGGATTACATGGGAAATGAAGATGGACGGAAGAAGGCTCAGGCTCAGGCCAAAAAAGCCAAGCTGGAGACACTCGAAAAGAAGATTGCAGCTGCGTCAGGAGATACGGAGGCTGTTGCCGGTAGGAAGCATCGGTTCGATGACACAGAATACCTCGAGGAAAGCAGAGAAATCGTGGACAACGTCAAATCTGCAGTATCTGCAGGCCAGTATACCACAGTTCGCTACATAATTTTTGCGCTGACGTTTCAATTTGCAGGTCTCATGAAGAAAAAGAAGAAGGTCAAGACGACCCACACGTCAAGCTCACCCGAGTCACTCACTCCAAAGGACGCCCTCACTGAGACAGCGGTGAAATCCCCAGCTACCACACCTATTGCAGTGGCCACAGCTGTCGCTGTCGGAGTCGCCAGCGCGTAGTTTTTACTTGTCGTTACTTTCCTCTGTAATTGTAGTTTATTGGATAATGTATAGTCGTTGTACTATCAGACCATGGAAGTCATTTTAGCTCGTCGGTATTATTCGGTTCCTTCACCACGCAGTTTGTTTCTCTCTTACACGTTCACGAGTCACGATAAAAGACTTCTTGCTACAGGTCTCTCACTCACAGCATCACTTGTGATGCGCCTTCCACCGCGCACACCCAGTCGGGTGTTCCTTCAAACGGCGCGGTTCTTTGCCACCAGTGCACCCACTCCCCGAATTCCCCAGACCATCATCGAAAAAGTTGTACAAAAGTACTCAGTCGGCCTCCCCAATGGCAAAGTCGTCAAGGCGGGCGACTATGTCATGATTCGCCCGGAGCATGTCATGACGCACGACAATACTGGACCTGTCATATCCAAGTGTGCTTGTATTCTTCTTCCTTCTCAATACATTATTCATATGATGTCTATGTAGATTCAAGTCCATAGGTGCAACGAAAATCGTTGATCCCCGGCAGACAGTATTCACCCTCGATCATGACGTCCAGAACAAATCCGACAAAAACCTTGCAAAGTATGCTACGATTGAAGCATTTGCGCGAACACATGGAATTGACTTCTATCCTGCTGGCCGTGGCATTGGACACCAAGTCCTCGTAGAAGAAGGCTACGCATTCCCTCACACCCTCACCGTCGCCTCTGATTCTCATTCAAACATGTACGGAGGCGTCGCTTGCGTGGGTACGCCCATCGTGCGCACAGATGCGGCAGCCTTGTGGGCCACGGGGAAGACTTGGTGGCAAGTCCCTCGCATGGTCAAGGTAGAATTGCGGGGAAAACTTGCGCCAGGCGTCACCGGCAAGGATGTGATTGTCGCGCTTTGCGGGTCATTCAATAGCGACGAAGTCCTTAACGCTGCAATCGAGTTTACTGGGGAGGGTATTCCTGCACTTTCGGTCGACGACAGGCTTACAATTTCGAACATGACGACGGAGTGGGGCGCACTAGTAGGCGTTTTCCCTGTCGATGACACTCTTTTGGGCTGGTACGAGAGGGCATTGGTTAAATTAGATCGCAGGACGTTTGCCTCTGAGTCAATACCGCCTCCCCCAGAACACCCACGCATCAATCGCCGCCGCCTTGACGCTCTTCGAGCAACCAACCTCACGTCCGATGTCGGCGCCCAATACTCCTCGCACCTAATCTTTGACCTCTCCACCCTCGTCCCGCACGTCTCTGGTCCCAATAGCGTCAAAGTCTCTACACCACTTCCCAAGCTAGAATCCCAACAAATTGCGATTCAAAAAGCATACCTGGTTTCATGCACCAATTCCCGCGTCTCTGATATTGCTGCTGCCGCGTCTGTCGTCGAGGGCAAGAGGATTGCAGAGGGCGTCGAGTTCTACGTCGCAGCTGCGAGCTCGCAGGTGCAGGCTGAGGCGGAAATGTTGGGGCACTGGGACAAGTTGGTTGCTGCAGGAGCCAAAGTCCTCCCAGCAGGCTGCGGACCATGCATTGGGCTCGGCACCGGGTTGTTGGAAGAGGGTCAGACGGGCATCAGCGCTACGAACAGGAACTATAAGGGACGGATGGGTCACCCAAAAGCTCAGGCTTACCTTGCTAGTCCTGCAGTTGTTGCCGCGAGCGCTATCAAGGGATTCATCTGCTCCCCCAACTCTCTCGACTCAACCTCCCTCCCTCCTGCGGGCGCACCCACATTTTCTATCGCATCTGGGTCTTCGGACGCAGCAGAGGTCCTACAAGCAGAAGAACCCCTCTTCTCTGGCTTCCCCGCAGCCTTTTCAGGCCGCGTGCTCTTCGCGCCACAAGACAACCTGAATACCGACGCACTATACCCCGGAAAATACACCTACCAAGACGACATCACTCTCGAACGCCAAGCACAAGTCGTCATGGAGAACTACGACCCGTCATTCGCAGCCCACGTCGCTACTATCCTCCCTTCGTTCTCCGCATCAGACGACAGCACCAAGTCCGGTGTGGTTTTGGTATCGGGGTATAACTTCGGCACTGGCTCTTCTCGCGAACAGGCTGCTACCGCACTCAAGGCAGCTGGAATCCCACTCGTCATTGCGGGTTCATTCGGCGACATTTTCAAGCGTAACGCCATCAACAACGGCCTTGTCTGCCTTGAATGCCCTGAGCTCGTCGCTGACCTCACTGCGGCGTACGCCAAAGACGGTGCACGTGGGGCAGGTGGACGTGAAGGCGAACTTACAGTGGACAAGGGGCACGAGATACGCGTTTCGATGACAGACGGGAACGTTACTCTGCGTGCTTCTGACGGAGAGAAGACGTACAAAGTCCGCACGGTGGGTGCAAGTGTGCAGGAGCTGTGGGTGTGCGGTGGACTTGAGGGCTTCATCCTCAAGTCCATACAAGCGCAGGCGTGATGGTTGCATGGTGGAGTATTTAGGTGAATGTGTTGTCTACTTGTGCGTCTCGTATCTGCTATCGGAGATAACAAGCCGTTTTCCTTGCGGGATGTTTTCACACTGATAAGGGGTTCGTAACAGCCATCCACCACATTCGCATTCAGGCCCCGAGCCAAAAATCCCATTGGCCGAGATACGGCCTTACTACATGTATGTCATTATGGAAGTATGCATTCACCCTGTAACGAGATTAGAGCCAGGGAAAGCTTCGAGTTGGACAAGTTAGTTCTTTTCCTTCCACCATCCAGTCGGTGTACCATGCTCTTCGCACTGTTACAAATTGTACAATGGCTTATTTTTACCAGTTCGCGCATGCTGGCCACGCAGCGGCCCTTCGACGTGCAAGGTCTTCGTGACTTCGAGAGCTCCTGGCAGCTTGACCAGTCACCACCCATCAATAGAACTGGAAATATCATTTTCAACACCGCAAGCTCGTTGCTCCAACATTGGCCTAATACACGCTATCGCAATGGTAATTATCCGCGCAGTTTATTTCAGCCTGTGACTCCATGAACCCACATCCCTCCAGGACACACTATAGTTCCTGGCACGATCCCTGTGGGCACTCTGTTATACCGCGGTGCTGATGCGCCTGAAATACCCGATGCCGGTGACTGGGTCGCAATGGACACAGAACACTCGACCATCTACTGTAAAGGATCACAAGAGACTGGGTGCTGGCACCTCACGTTTGCTGTCAAGCGCCCGTTAAAGATAATTTACTTCGACGGGAGCAGCGCAGTCAAACTAGAGGGAGGACCAATGGACACGCAGGATATAATAGCGTGGTCAAGGGCGCGTCCTGACCGACTTTTCGATGAAGAGCTACGCATCCACGATTTATGTAGGTGGGGCGCGAAGTATGCTGTTGATGGCTTCGTGAGGTCTGAATATTTCTTCATGATGTCAATTTAAGATTGATCTCACCCTCGCAGGATGGAGATCGATTTGTACGTTTCGTCTTCGATTTTGCAAAACCTCCTAAGAGTACGCTTTGCAGCGAAGTCATGCTCTGTGATTTTTCTAGCGGTGTTGAAGTAGTTTCGATCCTCAATATTGAAGGCCTTGGTATACAGCACAAATTGCCTCCCACTATACCAGACGACCCCGAGAGCTGTACGTGGACGAACAAAGTACATTCGCCCTTCTCACTGACAGTTGTCATTTAGTGTTACGCGCTTTCGAGATAAGGCATGCTGGTTCGTGGCACGATCACCACCCTGGCGATGGACGTATAGTCCTTGACTATCCCGGTCTCGTCTCTTTTTACGATACGGACCTTGCACCATCTCTCGTCCCGTTCCGTGCAGGCATAGAGCGGTGGGATCAGCGTGCAGGGCTGATATCTCCAACAGACGCAACAAAAATCAAGGAGCGGTTGGAGTACGTTCTCCGAAGACCATCACCTGCAGTCAGTGGGGTAGACTGGAAGACCCTGTTCCAGGTCATCATTGACCGATATTCCGACCGCATCGAGCTGGTGCTGTACCTCCTTACATCTGCTCCACAGGATCTTGATTGTGCGAAGAGAGTTCAGACACAGTTGCGCGTCATGTTAACGCCATACGTGCTCAAAAGCACTATGATCACGAAGGCGCACGACGTGAAAGCCACGAACGCGTGGGCAGCCCCAGTTTTTAAGCAGTGTGCATCATCATATCCGTCCTCCATTGCCACCCTCCGAGCTGCGATGACCCCTTCAGAGCGTCTACTCTTGCAAGCCCTGGAAGAAGTTACGCACGAGATATGTCGAGTTATAACAAAAATGTGGGCGTCGGGCATTCGTGCACGTTTGGAAAGCTCAGAAGAATTGCCTTCGCCGGATCACGTCCGCGAATTAACGGAAGAATGGAAAGAGGAAATGGTGAATCTGACGAACTGGCTTGATTGGAGCACGTGGGTGAAATGCAACCCCACGTGTGCCTTCGAGGTATGTCAACGATTGTGTCCAAGGTCACTTTCTGAACGAATCTCACTGGCCCTAGGAAATGTGCTACTTGCCCTCTTGGCCACCAGGACTTCCCCTTCCTTTGCCAGGTGAAGAGGACATTTTTGCATTTTTGCCCGAGGGTAATGCGGGCAGCCAAAGCGATGAATGGAGGCGACCACAGCCGACATGCATCAGGCGCTTTGAGCCCTATAGATTTTGATGACATCACGACCTGAGTAGGCTGAGCCAATGTGATTCTAACGCCGAGAGTAACTAAAAGTAATATATTCTTTGATCTATGTGGCATTCTGAAATTGATTTAACGCCTTGCATACCTTACTTGTACCGTCATAACTAATCAACATCGAACCTGCATGAAGGACCGGAGGCCCAATAAGTAGTCCCTGAATCATAAATTGGAGTTCCAAATGCTCCTGCCGTCCTCGGGTCTCCCTGCCTTGTTCTGGTCATCATTAACAGCGCCTTCGAATGTCTCCTTAAGGACAGCGAGCTTTGAACGGTATTCGTCTATGCCGATGTAAGCTCCACACACACGGCGCTTCCCGTCAAAAGCAGAACGGCCATGAAGTACGCGATGGTTATCAACCGCTATGGACGTGGTTAAGCCATACAGTAGGCACGTACGGATAAGACTTACTCAATACAGTACCGGGACTAAGCTGAACCCAGTACTCTGAATCAGGTTTCGTCAAAAGTCCGTTCCAAATCCTAATCGCTTGATACCTGGGTATCTGGATTCAGCAAAGCATTGATTACCACCACATGCAGCCTACCATTCCTCCACTTCGTCTGGTGCCAAGTGGTTCATGACGCTTCTATCATCGTTGTTCCACCTCACTTGCACAAGTTCTCCGGTGCCTGGGTGATATCTCAACGGGGGGTACATTGCAGGGGGACTTGGAGTGTACAGTGCTGACGGCTCTCCTGCTGCATGGGCTGGAATAGGTACACGGGAAAGAAGCTCATGAAATTTCGGATGCAGCTCCTTCATGAGGGCGGCGACATAGGAACCATCTACGAGAAGTGTTGCTCCTCCGGAGCCTTCAGTGTGGGATAGGAGATGGAAAAGCTGAACACCACAAGGGTCAGTCTGTGTTCACAATCGATGAGTGACGGGACGAGAACTACGAGGATGCCCCGTACAAAATAGGTGTTATCAGTATGTGCACCCAGTGCCATTGTAGTGTACGCGGTGTCCCCCTTTGAAAGGTCAGCAGTGAATTCCCAAAACTTCCCATCTACGGGTACTCAGATTAGGGAGAGAAGGTGTTTGTATGGAGGACGTACACTGAGTTTCTCTGATGAAGCCGATACGTTGGCAGAGTTCCTCTGTGGCCTCAGGCGTTGCAGCAACCCCTGACACGAAGCAAAAGCCAAACTTCTCCTGTACAAGTATAAGATAAGCACCTAGATCTCTCGATTTGCGAACGTACAACGTTCGTCAGCCACTTATACAATCCATTGTCGCTCATGGCCTCGGCATAAGTCACAGAGGGTGGGGACTTCTCGATCTTTGATCCCCAAAGAACTTTCCTAGTCGCATTATAAGCATCAGGTGCAGATTACGGAAGAAAATATTCACACCGGTTGGGCGCCGTTCGAAGAGGTGGATCATATGTGTTGGCTTGCAGCCATGTCCATGGGTAAACCGAAGAGTGAGATTCGGTGCTAGTTCCAGGCCCTAGCAAACGATAAAAACGGGTTAAGAACTCAGCTGGGCCAACATACAGACAACTTCGAGGCCATCTGTTGACCCTTGTACATGTATAGGTTTGATATCTGCTGGAATCTGCAAAAACATCTCTTCTCAGTAAAGTAAAGACACCAACACCATCATGCTGAAATACCTCGAATGTGTTGACTAGTCGCTGCTTTGTTATTGGGTGGAAACAGTCTGGGCATCTGCAGTGGTCGCGTAACCAGATGTGGTGGCTGACAGTTTACATGTTCAGTCTCAAGAATGATTACAAGGTGGAACGTCCATACAATCTAGACCAACGCTGTGGGCTCCAAAGAACGGAAACTTTGTGTTCATCAGCGTTAGCGATGGGGATATCACTGTGAACTCTCGGTTCCGTGACGCCCAACTGCTCCGAAGAAACGACTTCCCTAGCTGCCGCGGAGGAGATAGGGCGACTTCTGGTCAGCGAACTGTGCGTCCAGCGAGATTCAAGTATGCTAGAGATCTGATCATCACGACCATGAAATGAACTCCAAATGGGAGCATAGAGATAATACGACATACTGTCAAAAATGATGGCCTCCCTGGTGTGGACTGAGATAAGTGTCTCACTGTGCCATGGTGCCAACTCCGAAGCGGGATGTGCAACCTTGCGAAGCCCACCCTGAGCATTGCAATTACAAATAATGGTAGATACCAGGCCTAGACTCCAGACAAGGTCAACTAGTAGCTTGACTAGTAGTAGGGCATTCGTTCAGAGCTTTGGTCCGACCGTCAAGTTGCCGCCGCGTTATAAGTTAGTACGTCAAATTCGGTGGTGCTTTCCTAAAGTGGAACAAACGCCCCTGAGGAATAAAGAAAGAAAACCGTAAAGGTGCGTGTGGAGGGGAACTACAGTACTTATGTAGTCAGGACTAGTACGACAACCACATTCAATGATAGTACCCCATCGCCCTGCACACACACATGATTCTTCAATGACTTCAGTTATGTGCAGCACGCCAATGAGCGGGACGGACCTTGAAGGAGACCCTGACAAATTTACAACGAGTTGCTAAAATTAAATCCGCAGATTTTAAAGAGGCGCAATGGTATGTTACATTCAAAATAGCAGGAGAGATACACTGTGTCATCGCAAGCTTTTTAACGTATATCACGGGAGAATAGGGGGTGCAAAGTATGGCGAATGTCTACTTTTCAGAGACGGTGTCCGATGTTAATGTGAACAGCCTTCACATTGGTATAGCTGAAACAGAAGGTCAGCGGAGGCTACCACACTATCACATATCAACTCACTGTTCCAAAGCATATTCGCCAAGCTCACGCCCAATGCCTGACTGTTTGAAACCACCGAACGGCACGTTCACTTCGGGAACGTTATGACAATTGATCTATGCCCACCACGTCATTAGCTGTCTTGACGCTAGCATACTCATGCTCACCCATGCGGTACCAGCTTCGATGCTATGCGCGACTCGAATCGCTCTGTCTATGTCTCTGGTAAAGACAGAGCAGGCAAGGCCAAAAAGAGTATCGTTTGCCTGTTCAACGGCCTCTACGCCATTTTTTCAGAACTTGGATACATCCTTGAAGGATGTACTTACCCTCTTCCGTGGTGAACTTGATGATCGCGGCTACAGGACCGAATATCTCTTCCTGCACGATCTTCATGGTCGGTTTGCATTCCGTGAAAATAGTCGGTTGAATAAAGTAACCCTGGTCTCCGTGGCGTTCTCCACCGACATGGACGGTTGCGCCGTCCTCTTTACCAGATTTGATGTATCCCATGATCCGCTGAAAGAAAGTGAGCAGAGGTAACTTGCTACATAAGATGGATGCTCGCCTCAAATTGTGTCTGCGAAACTTGTGGACCTTGGTAAGTGTCTCGTGCAAATGGGTCGCCGACTTTTAAGGACAAGGCATGTGCAGTGAACCTCTTCAAAAATTCGTCGTATATCCCAGCTTGAACGAATATGCGAGAACCTGCGGTGCACGCCTGCCCGTGATTCATGCTGGAGGAGGGTGAGTAAGGCTCGACAATCATGCATGCGACATACAATATTCCGTGCGCGACCCACTTCACCGTCTGCTCTAGGTCTACATCGTCGAATATAACACTGGGGCTCTTACCGCCAAGCTCAAGAGAGACCTTCTTCAGGTTGGACTTGGCCGCGGTTTCCATGATCTTGCGTCCAGTAAGAGTGCTGCCTGTGAAGGCTACTTTGTCGACGATATTGTTTTCACTGAGGGCCTGACCTGCGGTACTACCGTATCCGTTTACGATATTGATGACGCCATCAGGGAAGCCCGCTTCAACAAGTAAGGGACAGAGACGAAGCGCCGTCAATGGTGTCAGCTCAGATGGTTTCAGGATGACGGTGTTTCCCGCTGCTAGAGCTGGGCCGATCTTCCACGACAGCATCGAGACTGCATCACGTCGTTATTCACTCACTGGACACGGATGAAACGAACATACGAGGGAAATTCCAGGGAATGATCGCGCCCTGTAAGATGCTAAGTTCGCAAGCCTTCACATCGCGATGGAGTAGGAGCACAGACCACGACTCCAATGGGCTCGTGACGCGTATAAGCCATCTTATTTTCGTTCGTCTATCAGGTGGGTAGATATCAGATTTATCCCCGAGCAGACATGTGAGGTCTTTCTGACCTCGATGGTTTTCCCTTGAATCTTATCCGCCCATCCCGCGTAATACCTCAAGACAGCGACAGTTCCAGGAACGTCAGACCTCCGGGCCATGTTGAAGGCTTTGCCTGCACAGGGATCTCATTACAAGCAACAGGTATGACTGAAGTATCACCCTACCTACGTCCAAAGCCTCCAAGGCAGCGAATTCGTCGGCGTTGGCTTCGAGGAGGTCTGCAAGTTTGTTGAGCATCCTGCCCCTTTGCGCACCAGGTACCTTCAAGCCCCAGCGCTCTTTGTAGGCCTTCTTTGCAGCTTGAGCAGCGATCTCGATATCTGCAGCAGTGCCAGCTGCGACCGAGGTTATGACTTTTCCGTTGACTGCATGTGCTATCAGAACTGATCAAGGACCAGTAGTTAGTTGACCCACCCGGATTTATGACCCTAAGTCAGTCGGGCATTAGGTACATGGTGATTACGATGAAGGTAAGCACATACTCGATCGTGCCTTTCTCGACGGGATCAACAAACTTTCCATTGATAAATAGGCCAGTGGGGACCGTTGACGTGCCCTTGTAGGTTGGTGTGTCAAACTGATAAGTGAAAGTGGAAGACATGGTTGGTGTGACGTTATTAGAGTTGTTGACAATGCTTTTATTGAGTCTTAACACTCTGGCAACTGATTATCGCCGGCAAAGTCGAGCCGGGAGGCCTTCTCCAGCACAGCGGACTTCCTGCCGAAGAGATTTTGATACTAGCCGTAGACGGCGACGAATCAACGTTACTTCTTCCAGCACGCACCGTCACACCGGTATAATATTGTCCCAGACTGAGTTTGGAGTCTGTCGCAATGAAATCACCACTCTAATTTATGTCAGTGCTGGGAAGCTTCTTGATCTGCTACTTACAAGTTAGAAGGAGTGCCAGTACTGGTACACGCCGTTCGTGTTATCAGAGATAGGACTGCAAGTAGCACATGGTACGATTAACGTTGAGAATCAATCTCTAGCCGCCGCAGGCGGTGTCGTGAGAATGGCGTGGATTCAAAGTTATCAGGACCTGAGTTGTGCCGCAGCGCTCGCGCCTAGGCTTATTGTGTGCCATGCCTGCACACTACACACCCCTACCAACGCAGCAGTCATGCCGAGATACTGATCGTGAACTCAACGACGCCTTTGAGTCCGACGGCGATGATGATGAATACAACGAACGTGCACCACTGAATCGTGCTAATTCCCTTTCCTCCGCCGCAGATCCCCCCAAAAGCACGTCAGGTAGTACAACAATTCCTGGAGCGTACGACTTTGAGCGGAACTACGATTATGACCGCCCTCCCCCCGGTTCTCCTCCGCGCCCTCTAGCTACTACTTTGCCCAATGACATAGGGAATTCAAACGGCGAATTACCGACCTCCCCGTTGGGGACGACATTGCCTCGTCCATCATTCCTGCGTAGGGCAGTTGGAGCCATCTTACCCACCCACTACGTGCGCATACCAACTACTGAAACGCCCGCTGGGGTGAGGGGCGGAGGGACGCAGAATGATGGAGTCTTCTCAAATGTTGTTGCGATATCTGCCTCCTCAGCGCCGATCCAAGCTGAGGATGGCAGTATCTACATGGTGCCTGAGGAGACGCAGAGCACTGCTCCACCTGTATGCCTATACCCTGTTTCTGATATACTTCACCTCACTATTTTTTGAAGTCTTATGCGGCAGCCCAGGCAGATGCTGTTCCCCCGTATTGGGATACAATTGTGCATGCTCCTGCAGGAATGGACACCGATTCTGGGATGATCGTCGGCGATCTTCCCTCAGGCTCCATCCTCGCATTCGTTTCGAACCTCTTCGTATCATTTTTCTTCCAGTTTATCGGCTTCCTCCTCACGTACCTCCTGCATACTACGCACGCTGCAAAGTTCGGCTCGAGAGCTGGCCTTGGACTGACATTGATCCAATATGGCTTCTACTCTCGTTCCGTAACGGATAACATGCTTCCTGCGCCTGACGGCAACGGTCCTGCTGATGACCTTATGCCGCCTTCATCTTCCGCTCCCATGCCTCAGGACAACAACATTGTTCTCAAGGTGTCTTCACGGGAGTGGCTATCATTCCTCTTAATGACTCTCGGTACGCATTACCTACCTTCATCCTGACTGCTTGCTTACCCGTCACACAGGTTGGTTCTTGCTACTTTCCTCTTTCGTCGGTTTTTGGCGTGTGAAGAACTGGGAGTCAGCCATCCGCGCCTCAAATGCACATGAACCCCAATCACCCGAGGATATCGCTCGTGACATCGCGACGAGGCGAAACCTTGAGCAGGCGTTTGATATTTTGCCCCCTGAAGAAAATGAGCACACGTCTCTCGGCTCTACATTCGCAGTTCCGACACAACAGGAACTTACAGACGCAGATTTGCGGGCCAATTTGAGGGCCGCAAATCTGTTGTGATGATACTGTGGTACTGTATAACATATTATTTTGATTTGACTTTGGCATTGGGAGTATATGTTTTGTCTCCTTGTTCTCCTTGTGATACCTAGTTACTGTGCCTAATCGATTATTTGAAGTACGTTGTAATTTACATTTACATGAACCAATTTTTTCAGGCTGCATAAGAAGTTGGTGGTCTTTGGTGCTGTTCTCGAGGGATTTGCGGTTACACTCCCGACGCTAGCAGGACGATCATATAGAAAGCACAAACCACCTTGATAATAACGTTAACTGGTATCCAGAGCGTCGTCCTTCCCCTCATCTTGAGGAGACATCTCCTTCTCCTTCCCCTTGTTGCGTCGTTTCTTGCGTTTTCTAGGTGGAGCCTCGGCAACACTCCCAGTCATGCGTCCAAGTGCGCGACCCGAATCTTCCGCTGGCGCGTCATGGCTAGGAGCATTACCAGCAGGAGCTTCATGCAATCGTTCGGGAGACTTCTCCTGTAGCTGCACCTCCTTGAATCGGATACGTCGCTCGGTGACGCCGACATGCGTTAAAGCTCGCGTATTTCTTTCAGAATCAGCTTTTATCAAGAGATGAGTCAATTTACCTGGAGGCATGGGTTATTCACTCACTTTTACCCTCCGTGAATAAAAGCTCCGATCCAAGGAGCGTATCATGCCGACCCCGGAAGAACGAACCAGAAAGCTGCAGAAATGGCGTAGGCGTATCCAAGCCCTTTGATTGCCTTGTAGTGATGCCACGATAGATAAGGTCTTGTGCTTACTACAAGCCTATAGGTTGAGCTGCTGGGAAGTAGGGTTGGCTCAACAGTACCGAGGTCAAGCGTGACGTAGGAGACCTCGTCTTCTGATAGATACTCTTCATCGGGACCGAAGGATTCCACTTGGCGATATCCTGTGAAGGGAGATGTGGCTGCCATGATGGCTGGGGGCCTTGCCTGAGACCTAGGTCGTTACCAGCTGCACTTGGTCCTTGAATATATTTTGAGTTCAGTGTTTGGATCCCAAGCTTTTGCCAAACAAACTGCTAGTCACGTGCTAATTGGATACTTAACGTGCACGGCATCGATATATCGTTCTTAACTCATTCACTCCTATCGACCTGAACCACCCAGAACTCCCTATCTGTCGGCTGCCAGTCGAACTTCCACAGAACACGCTTTTGGTCATTGGCAACGACATGCCAGACAGTCCTTATTTTTTATTTTTTATTTCCATTTGGAGAAAAAACTATTAATGTCGGCTAATTATTCCAGCCCTCCGCTACTCTTCACCTGGGTGTGCCACCTTTGGCGAGTCGTTGCACACTCGATGACAGGCATATAGTCGTACATCACAGTCGAGCTTCCCGGGTGGATCATTAAATAATTCAAGCCATTCCTTCCATCTGTGCTCCAGGTTTTGCCTTCTCTGTCTGGAAATCGACCCCTCACCATTCGAATCAAACACCATACACACCCACCTCCTCGCTACATTAAATGCGGTCGAAGATACATGCCATATTTCTCACGAGCAGATCGTCGAATCTTCGAGATCTTGTTTGCTGGATATCTTCCGCACACCTCAGTTGAGAACCTTACAGTGTGACTGGTCAGATATCCGGAGATTCTATGTACCAAATCTCAGTCGCCTACACATCGTCGATGATCGCCTTCCTGGCAGTCAATTCACGTCTACTCCTACCGATAAAAATATACGATATGGGCTGCCCACTCATCTCCACCTCACATCCGCTTCCGCCGGTGTCATACGCTCCACCTCAGTGATTTCCCCTCAACTGGAGACCATCGCCGTGAACTCGATTGAGTGGGATGCTCGCGCTAAGAGTCAATATTCGGCCACGCATTCTTGCTTTCAAACGATGTCTCTCTCCATTCTTCGTTGCGAGGACAACCTTATCGGAGTATTCCGTGGATCATATCTTTTCGTACTCCAGAAATTAAAATTAATCACCACAGTGGGGAAACAACAAAAACTGAAAGTTAATGTCATTATAGCAGCGCTTGCAGCCACTACATCTTGCAACATCAAAGCGATAGACTTACAGACGGTCGACGAAGTTGATGTGGATATGATCAAGCCGTTACTCTCAGTAGGCCGATCAATATTGGGAAAGGAGAAGCGATGCAACGGTGTGAATTGAGTTGAAAATGAGTGACCTTGATAAACACAATCCGTGCATTTTAAAGTATGGAAACGTTGGTGTACAAAGTAGTATCATGCATCTAAGTCTATGTCATACCCGTCGCGAATGAGCTCTCATCCATCTGATCGATCTCTCAATCTCAGCAACTTTTTGATCATAAGACATCTGCACAGCACCAAAATCAGAATCTTGACCGCTGACGCATGATAAGAAAAGGGGCATACACATGAAAACCGGGACATCTTCTGCTGTCTCGAATATTGTCTTTCAAGACGAACGGCCTTCTCAGTTTTACAAATGGTATGATCAGGATAATTGTCGCGCGGAGGAGACGCATACCCGCCAGGGGGTGGCATAATAGAGGCAGCAACCGCGGATAAGTAGGACGAAGGAGATGCATACCCGCCAGGGGGTGGCATGATAGAGGCAGCAACCGCGGATAAGTAGGACGAAGGAGATGCGCTGTGTTGGGAGGATGACGTGTATTTAGTCATATCCTCCGAGTCGCAGAGGGTGACCGACTCCGCATATCCCGTGGTCGTAGAGGAATGACTAGCGTTCCTCTCTATTTGAAGAGCCCGTGGGCCTGCAAAAATGACGTCGATGTGGAAATCCGGAAGATGGTACAGAGGGATGTCATGCACCACGCCTGGTGATTCGGGCTCCACAGACACTTTGAGAGAACCCGCTTTGGGACTGGTTACTGGTTCAGGAGCGACAGGTGGATGGGCCAGCCAGCTTCTTGGCTCGTACCATGCGCGGAAAGGCTTTGGTGCCACGATCTCGAAATTGGTGCCCATGTTGCGCTGCGGATATACCAATGGTTGGCCAATGGCTCCATAATTACGCTGATCGTCGGTCGGGATATGAACTTCGTCATCTCCCCGCCTCCAGTCGTCTAGGCGATTCCAGTCATCATTGTCCCATGGACAAGTAACTGCAAATAGATCGTCTTCGTATTGGATGCATCTGGAAGGCGCCTCATTGCCTTGCACCGTGGGCTGAGTCGAGCGGACGGCTGAGCCAGCCCATAAATCCTCATGGACCACTGCCATGATGCGAGTGAAATTATCCATGAAAAGGTCCTTCTGCACTGCTACTGCGTGCCGCCAGTAATTCACAAAATAGTCCGCGTAGCCAGGAGTGCGGTCCGGAAAGGACAGATTGAGCCAGTTGGAGGAAAGGCTGGCAAGACCTTCCAGATTCAAAGAGTCAGCAAAAGCACTGACATCTTGGGAGTTCACGGCCGCCTTCCGTTTGGAAGAGCGTCTGCGCCTAGAAAAGTGACCACGCCGATTGCGCCTGCGCTTAGATTTCTGAGTAGACGAATTGTTGGAGTCTACTGAAAAGTGGGAGGTGTCTGGTGAAATGTCTTGGGCGATGACAGAGAAAGGAGACATGACTTCAGCGTCGGAGACGCTGGATTCATAGGGGGAATACAAGGGAGTGAAGCCGCACTTCTGGATCCTGCCAGATGTGAGGAGTTGCTGTATTTCAAAAGCCATTGATGAAGAGAAGTTGAATAAAGTATGTGCACGAAGGTGTTGTTGTTATGCTAGAATGATGAGAGTTGGAATGCGAGAAGCTAACGATGTTAAGTTGCTGGTCAGAATCGTAATGACGAACCTGAGACATCCGCACTACAACTGAACGGTGACGTGATGCACAGTCTACTGTTAGTAGCTTAGCTGGTGAGCTGCAGTTAGGCAAGCCTACGGTAGAGACTTTGTGGCGCTGAGGGTTTGGCGGGCGTTGCAACTCGGTATCCGCCACAGCCCATGTAGTATGACGAATGAGGTCTAGTCAATCCATAGTTCCATCTAAAGGATATATACTGCTTGCTTGATCGATTACCAGTAGTACTAGCATTTTGTAAGCTGAACAATTTGAACTGTTTGGCAGTGGACAAAATGATTTTACCTTTTGAGATCAACATGTTTAAAACACAGCGAATTCGCTTTTGCAGGGGAGTCTCCTGATTGGTTTCTGCGTTACTCGCTGTCGTTTTCCTCAAGACTGCTATATCGTTTCCCTTTCGATATTCACCTTCGCTTTCGCAAACGTTCGAAGACGGACACAGCTATCCTCCTAGGCATGTGCAGTGTGAGCTCTCGGTGGTAGCTTTGTGTTCTTGATCACCCACACGCACACGAAGATAGCCAAGAATAGAGCTGGTTTGACTACCCGGGCCTGATTCCGAAGTCGAAGTTTACAGGCCTAAGTATCAAGGTCTGACTGACTACGGAAGACTAAGTATGCATCAGGTATAACTTATACTAGTGACCCGAGCTCACTGCTGCTCTCATACTGACTGGAAAATTACGTGCAGGTAACCTGCAGATCTGTTCATCGTATACACGGTATTACACAAAAGCACATCAAGTGACATAGTCACGGTATCGGTAGTACGTAATAATGATTTGGGAATTGCGATGTTCACTCATGCCGCAGCACTACCATTTGTCATGAAACAAGTAATCAAGCCTATGTAGGACCGTCCTTTTGTGCTTCGCGAGCTAGATTAGTAGAATCCGAGCACCATGAGGATCACGGTCCGACCTTCTATAAAGCGCTCAGTCAACTTGAACAAGTTCAAGTTGTCGCTGTCCTTTTTGAATCCTGGCTGGTCAATCTTCGTTGGCGCCAGCTCGAAATCAACCCCAAGATCATGGCTCACCCTGTCTTATGGAGAGGAAAAGTGTTCTTCTATCCTATTGGCAATACATCTGCAGTTTGCCTCACCCAGGATCTGTGTCCAACCGAATACGCAGATATGCTGCTTCTTGGGTGCGGCGACCCAAGGCATATTCTTTACACCGTATATACAAACAGCGCTGGCTTGCAAGGTAAAACCATGTTCGAAGAATCTTTGATGGTGCTAATGTTCTGTGTTCAGGGTCACGAAAACTGGACTTCACTTGCTGCGACATCGAGAGTGCAGTTATTGGTGAGCCTGAACCCAGCACTTAATGCGTCTTCCTGAGATAATGTATCAAACAGCTCGTAACGTTATCTTGTTCACCCTCCTTGCCGATAAAGGCGCTGTGCAGAGATTGCCACATATTTGGAACATCTTTTTCCATTTTTTCCTCGATAAAGCTTCCCTCGACCTGCTCACATCCCAGTGTAAGAAGTTAATCGAGCTATCTAGTACTCTCGATAGCTGGAACAGTGGTCCATATGGTCACTTCCTCCGTATCTGCACTGCAGATACTCTCGCTGAGTTGCGACGCCTTTGGCAGCTCTACATCAAGACGACCACTTTCTCTCCTAGCCAGGCAAAAGCATTTCAATCTGCATATGCTGCCGATATCAAGGCTAGCAGGGCTCGGTTTAAGGACGTGTCTACAGGAAGTCGGGCAGCTGGACCATTGTCGATGTATGCGACCAACATAGCGGTAGATCACTACAACATTTACTGGGAGACAGGTGTATGCTCTGCCACCCGTGAGAGACCCTCGGAGGTGTCACATCCAAATCCAACCTTGGCATACTCCATGGCTGGTGACAAATTTGCCGTCCACTATGGAACGGATCCTCTCGCTTGCTTCCACTTGGCAGAGGCCCTTGCGCCAGCGGTCGGAAGCTCTCCAGAGGACTTTACTCTCAAAAACGTACTAGCTGTTTGCAAGGCGCAGTTTTCCAGGTGGTGTACTTCGGTTTCCAAAGTATTGCATGGTCACCATCCATCTTCGAGCCCGCTCATCATACGTTGCTTTGTGGGTGACGCTCTCAGCTTGTCCCAAGCCATTGGCTACTGCCGCACCAGGAAATCGACATCCACACCATTCCCTGTTGCACCTTGGAAGCACGGGTGCATCACACTTGATCCTGACGCTTATGGAACTTGTGCGCAGTCGCCCGCACCGACCGCATTCAATGTCATTGATACCTCCAACCTTCTCGATCACGTCGGATTGTTGAACGTCCTCGCTACTACTTCTTCCATTCTCAAGCGAACTCCATCCGCTACGTTGTACACGGAAGGTCTCGCTGGAAGCAGCACAGAAGACACATTGTCACAACAACTCTGTGGAGATATCGCGACTATTGGTCTGCTCCTCGGCCTCATTCCCTCGTCCTTCGTATCGCAGTTCACGAACCGGTCGAACATGCATGAGATAATCATGCGGGTGTCACAACAGCATGCTTCCCAGAATCACGAGCGCCTCACCTGGAAGGTGATCGGCGGGGCTGAGAGACTCGTGACTGATCCTGACTGCCCCATCGACATCGCTCCAGAGCAGCTCGCGGGCGTCCTCTTCAACATTTACCTCGGCCTGTTTTCTCATGAAAACGCGGCAAAAAGGTTGGCCATGTCGAAGCAGACGTCCGCGTCAGCTCAACACTCGATCGTACATTACCATCGTCGTTCCTTCGCGGAGATTTTGCGTGTCATTAAGAGGAGAGTGATCGCAGATTGGGATTCAACCATGAACATACTTCTCGGTAAGATTCAGAATGACAGGACCCTTCTGACCGGGATGAACTATTACCAAGAACTCGGCTGCCAGTTGCACCTTGCCGGTGTTTTCACTGCGGATTGGATGTCCCTTGAAGAGGCACAGGAGACGTATCGCGTTGGGAGGCCTGTTGTCTTTCGCGATTGGAAGACCCTCTCACAAACTGTCTGTATCGTCCTCGTCGTCCCCCGGAATCGCCTTCAGCCGCTCTTACCCGATCTTGACAGGACTGGAACACCTGTGTTGCAGTGCCACGTGAAAGGCGGAATGACTTCAAATGCATTCTCTTCCATCAACACAGTGTTCGGTACCGTTAAGATCAGCGGCAAGGGCGATGGCAAAACTGCGGCCATTAATGAGGACGCCGCTGGACGGTACGGAACTTCCCCTCTCGTGGTGTGGTTCCGGCTGCCGTCCTATGTGCTGATGAACCAGCCTCGTTCGCGGGTCATGTTATCTGTTTTCCCCACCCCAGCGGCTTCCTCACTCGCCACGAAACTGGGGCTTGATCTTTCCTTATTCTGCGCGGACCTAGGAGACGAGAAATTCGTGCACGTTCTTCAACAGTGCCCTGATGCCGGCCCAGAGAGTCCCGAGGATAAGCATATGCAGATCGACAGTCGTTCCATGAAACCATCTGGCCCATCCACATTCGTCACGTTAGATAAAGGATGCCAGAAACCTCTGACGTTCACTACTCGTGTGGATATCGTCGAACCGGAGATGAAAGCTTCTCTGATCAGCGGCGCTACTCCCACTGTGAATCAAGCTTCTATGAATTCAATCGCCATCGTTCTTGGAAACCACTCTTTGGAATTCCCTTGCCCACTTCCTATTGATGCCAAGAAAGTAAAGTTCCGTATTGCACGAAAATCGCTATACATCGAAGTATGTCTTCTCTCTGTGTATCTCCAAATATTCACTCGGCGCAGGTTATCCTGCCCCTGAAACTTGCCCTTGGAGGAACCAACATGATGAACATGTTTCCTGTTATTCCTCAGGGAGGCGATCTTGTTCTCTGGAACATGCACCGCGTCAACCTCGATCAATGTGTGCCTTTCAGCATCGCCAACGAGAAGGCTCTTCAATGGGTTAACCCTCACGTCTTCCTCATGATATCTGAGCGTGAAAGAAGCATCCCCCGGAAATTGTCAACAGGGTCCACGCTATTGGATATCAAGTATACACTTCATGGTATCTTCGGGCACGCAAGCTGGCTCTCGAAGGGCAAGCCCCCTCTAGGGTATGCCATACAGGCGACAGAAGAACGCAAGATATTTGTTCTGTTCTACATCACGGACCTCCGCTTGGACGTCGGCTCGCACACCATTGTCGCTGATACTTGGGTGATGCCGTCTTCTCCCACAGCTGAGAACTTCGAGGCTTGTATGCATCTGACGCCTGGCAATATACTGTCGGTTGCGATGGGTGTTGAGGAGAGGAAAGCATGGGCGCACCTCCTCGTAGCCGCGACGGAGCGCTGCCGTACCTGGGAGCACAAACCCACCTGCGAGTATCGCGTCCAAGGCGTCATCCCTCTCACTTTGGAGCCAGACAAGAGTCCTATTTGTTCTTGTGGTGCCGGGGTGGGAACAGAGGCGTTTGTGAAGAAATTCCCGATGCTTCGATCGCTTGCGCCTTGTTTGACGAGGGCAGCGATTAGTCCGCTGTTCGCGCCCTCGTACTTGGACAAGGTCGGTAATCTTGAAGGTGCTGCTGCTGAGATGGGGACTCCACCGACGCCTGCGCCAGCACCAGCGATGCGTAGTGGTTGCGCTGCTTGTGGAAAGGCAGAAAGTGCTACTGGGTCGTTGCTGCTCTGTGGCAGGTGCAAGGTTGTGCGGTATTGCTCAGAGGGCTGTCAGCGCAAGGACTGGAAAGAGCACAAGAAGTCCTGTGCAGTACCATCTTCCTGAGGAACTCGTCGTTCGTCCCGAGTAGATGTTCAATTGTGTTGATTTTTTTTTTGCTGAATCCAAGCACAGGCATCTCCATCTTTACCTGATAATCGTTTCTCTCTTGCTCTACAAGTTGGTACGAAGTTACATTGCCTATCCCCACTGACATGTCATGAGTGTCACTTCTGTTTTGTGTGGAGCTCCTCATGTAGATAAATGTAGGTACCTGTACTGTTTGTAACTTTAGGATCAAATTACGACTTCCATTGACGTGATCGGGCTACATTCGCTTAGATATATTTGGATCAAAACAAAGCATCCATTACCACCGCGGTAGCATCAGGAAACCCACTGCCGAGCGAAGTGACTCGTAGCAGCTTGTAGCAGCCAGTAGCAGCTGAAAGGACTAAAGCCTCCATACTGGCTCCGGGACTTGTTCAGTCAAAATTATAGTTTTAACTTCAAATGGTTTAGTTTGATTTGCTACGACGTGCTACCCGAGCTCCTGTAGCATTCGACTACTACTGTAGCAGGGCTTTGCTACTGCGCTTCGGCTTGCTACGTAGAACTATATAGTTCGAAATGTCCCACTGATGCAGAGAAGGCTTTGAAATTGAATGAACCGTAAACAGCGCAACATTGACATATGTACATACTCTTGACTGAATCTGCCAGTGGGCCGCCACCGGCAGGCGGAGGATTGCATGCAGCAAAACCCTTGACGACGGGCGTTAATAAATTACAGTACACTTTATGGTGACAGCCTGTGACCTCCCTCAAGAGTGTGACACCTAAGAGCAGTACAAAACATATCATTTACTATTTGCCGAAGATTGAATCTATTGTTGTCTGCTTTGCTCCGCGAATTTCCTCTCTGCGCACGCAAGCCCTAAGGCCTAAATGCTCGCAGCTGTTTTGACAGATCAAATGAGAGCCTGAGGTCACCAAATTGAAGGCAAGCTTCTTCGAGTTGCTAGGACGGCGCGATAACTTGTGTGAAAGTGTACTCGTGGCATTGGCCCGCTGGCATGAGTGTCGATTGCACCTGCTGACTTGCCCGTTTGGGGAGTGGAGTACTGGAGCACGGACCATTTACTCCCATTGACAAAGAATTAAGAAGGAGATTCTTACGTAGAACTAGAAGTACAAGCAGTAGTAGGGGTAGCGGCAGCCCCCTGATGAGAGCTTTCGCAGGCTTGAAACCGCTGCCCTCCGCTTTACTAGCCTCTCCCTACCCTCGTTGTCAACAGCACCCAACCTTCGGGGACGGTGGTCTGCAGCAGGTGCGAAAGAGGTGGTCTGCCTAATAGTACATAGACTGAATTCTGCCCTCGGCGGCGCAGAAAAGCCTTTTCTCTTACATAATAGATCTAGATAGTTTGAATGACATGCCGCACCAATGCCGTACCGCGTTTAATTAAGTATTATGTAAATTAAGTACCTGCAAGTTTCGAAACTTGTTGGTCATTAACGATTCATGACATCGCCATGGTTCGTCTATTGATTTGCGAGCCCTCCAGAAATTTGAATGGCGTGTATGTTTATACGCCCCGATCTACCTGCTTCCACCTCAGTTCGTCTGGCAATGCTTGCCTTATTGGTAGGCTATTAGTAGTGCCGCCGCCGCAGGCACTGCCTTGATAACGCTGCGACAGCAACAAGATTACTCCGACAGCTCTCACAATGCGCTTCCAGTCCCTAGTGGCAGCTCTGAGCTTAGGATCAGCAGCTCTAGCATTACATGCCCAATTTCCGGTCAATATCGCTGGAGAAACCGGCGGTCGACCCTTGGATATCGTCAAGTTGACCGCTGGCAATGTATCTCCATATAGTTCCAGCTCAATCGCTGAGCAATGGAGATTCAACGAAGGTCCTCCCGAGAACGCGACCGGAAACTTGATCTTCGACACTGTCAATTCATTCCTGCAACACTGGCCAAATACACGATACCGTAACGGTATAATAATTTCCACCGCTTGCTGACGCTGGAAAAATGTCTGACCGCCTCATAGGACACAACATAGTGCCAGGAGTGATTCCAATCGGTACTCTGCTTTATCACGGCACCAGCCGCAATACGATACCCAGCGAGCCCGACTGGATCGCTACAGATCCGGAACATTCTATTCTTTTCGCTCGTCATGGTGCGAGAGATGGGGGTGGCTGGCTCCTCACGCTGGCAGCAACACGCCCTCTCAAAGTGTTGTACTTCGATGGAAGTAGTGCTGCCAAGGTAATGGACGGTACAATGGACGTCCAGTTTATAGTAGCCTGGGGAGATTCGATACCGGAGCGAGCCGGTGACAGAGAAGTGATTAAAGTTCTTTGTGCGTGGGGCAAGAAGTTTGGAATCGACGGTTTCGCGAGGTTAGCTGTGATTTTACTCCCCATAGCACATCACTCATTATCAGATTAACAGGATGGAAATGGACTTGTGCGCGTACTTTTGATTCTCTGTCGCACTTCTAACTGACAACCATCTAGTGAAGTTATGCTATGTGACTTTACGGCCGGTGTCGAGGTAGTATCTTTTCTGCATATCGTAGTACCGCAGGAAGATAGGAGAGACCCTCTACCTGATTCCGACGTCTGTCAGTATTTTCTTCCCGTGTGCCAATATGATTGACAAGTACTCATGAGCGCGCAGCGATTCGTAGCTTTGAAGTCATGCACGCTGGCTCATGGCACAATCGCTACCCGGGAGATTCGCGCATCGTGCTTGACCTAACTGGTCTTATCTCATTGTATGATCCCGCACTGGCACCTTCCCTCGTCCCGGTTCGCGCGGGTCTTGAACGGTGGGACCACCGCGTGCTCGGAATATCATCAGAGGACATATCGCGGGTGATGAGAAAGCTCACCGAAGTTGTCAGTCGACCAGACACGGCAGGCAGCGGCATTGACTGGAAGACCCTTTTCCACGTCATCGTGGATCGATACGCGGATCGACTCGAGTTGATGCAGCATATTCTCAATGTCACCTCATCAGACTCCCAGGAACTCCTTCAACAAGCGAAGCTGGCGCAGGCCCAGCTCCGCGTTATGCTTACGCCATATTTATTACGTTCCACCATCGTCCCCAGTCCAGGCACTTCAAACGCAGATGCATCGCAGTGGGCATTCCCGATGTTTAAGCATTGTGCCACAACACACACTTCGGCGATAGCAAACCGAATGCCTTTTATGACGTCTTCGGAACACTTGCTGCTGAAAGCTGTCGAGGACACAACGAGAGAAATCTGCCGTGTCACCACGAAAATGTGGGCTGACGGTGTTGCAAGGGGACTCGACACCCTCTTTCCAGTGGAAATTGATGGGGAGCCTGAAGTCACTCAATTAATGGAGGGGTGGAGACAGGACATCCATAAGTTAATGTCTTGGTTAGACTGGAGTGTATGGATCAAATGCCGACCTGCCTGCGGTCCAGAGGTGGGAACTACAAATAAATTATTTCCGAGTCGACCGGACTGAGTATGATTTACTTCCAGGAAATATGCTTCCTCCCTACATGGCCCTACAATGCCCCCGGGCCAAGGCATCCACCTCCGCGAAACCCACGGAACACCACGGATGCCCCAGAAGGAGATTATCTCGCTAATCGAGTCAAACCTCCGCCCGAAGGTCAAGCCATCGCCGATGCGCTCTTCTATCTTGGAACGCCAGCAGAGGATTGGAGAAAGCCTCAGCCAAAGTGCATTAGGCGTCTCCAGCCGTACGGATTTTAATCATGATGGGTGTTTACATTGTTATGACATAATGAGTTATCTTCTCTAATAGTTCTTGAGCCTCTTCACGAGGTGTATGGCTACTGGAGCTTGTAGACTGGTATCTGTATGCCAAGTGATACAACACCTAATAAGGGTGTACAATACAGTTGTACCGTGAAGAAAGTGAAGCATGCCTGCACCGCAGGTTTCTTGATACAACGTTTCAAACGGCCTACCGAAAATGAAACTCGATGTGACAGCGAACGTAAGTATACTGGAACTCTGCGATAAAGCAGGTCGAGCGAACAGTGGCCAAAGACACTAATCGGACATGTACAATGAAGGTGTCATTTGACGAAAGAGTCACGAAGGCCAACGGGAGATATTGACTGACCAGGCAAAGTGATAGAGGATGCTCAGAGGCTCAGAGCCATAATTAAGAAGGAACGAATGTCTTCCTTCTTATCATCAACAAAAGAGCCCGAAGCATGCAAGGCCTTGTGAAGCTTACATGAGCATGTGAACTGTGATTTAGCTTTTAAGACATATGCAACTTGTACACAAGGTCTTACATTGCGACATATATATGAATATATGCTTCGGGCAGCATATACGGTTCAGGCTCTTTTGTTGATGATATGCGGCAAAGCTGTTAGCTACCCAAATATTGGAACACAACTTGATCTAGGTTTTCACTGAGAGAAACGACAGTCACTGATTTGGGACGATTAATTGCAAAACACAGGTTAGATAGCATACTGACGGGTCGTTGATCAGAGGTACCACCATCACTAACTCGAACTGGAAGGACTCATATTCAGGCGTAATAGCACTGCAATTCTTAGCTCAGCTGTAGAGTGAGCGCCTCAGGTTCACGACCGTCGAGTCGTAGTAGCTAGCATAATCAAAAGGTGTGTTGCACTGGCAAACTAGTGAGTCACTAAGCTGGGAGTGTGGGTCCGATGTTCACCCGCTGAGCTTGCGGACCAACCAGTGAGGTAAGCATCCTTCGCTTTAGGCATCATGGTTTTACCTGCAGTTATTCATAGAAGAGTTCGGCGAGGCCTCAGCGCTTCAGCATCTAGATGAGCTTTGATAACGCTACGACAGCGCAAGAATTACTCCAGCAGTCCTCCGAGCCTCACTGTCCTCGTAATGCGTTCTCAATCCCTTCTGGCAGCTCTGAGCCTAGGCTCAGCAGCTCTAGCATTGCATGACCAATTTCCAGTGAACACTGGCGATCGACCCTTGGATATCGTCAATTCGTACGCTGACAATGCATTCCCATATGATAGTCCCAGCTCAAACTCTGAGCAATGGAGATTTGACAAAGGTCCTCCCGAGAACGCAACCGGGAACTTGATCTTCGACACAGTCCATTCATTCTTGCAACACTGGCCGAATACACGATATCGAAATGGCATGTTTTCGCCGCTTGCTGGCGCTCGAAGAATGTTTGACTTTTTCCCCCATAGGACATAACATAGTACCAGGAGTGATTCCGATCAGTACTTTGCTTTATCACGGCACCAATAGCGACACGATACCCACCGAGCCCGACTGGGTCGCTGCAGACCCAGAGCATTCGATCATTTTCGCTTCTGGAAGAGATGAGAGTGGCTGGCACCTCACGCTGGCAGCGACACGACCTCTTAAAGTGTTATACTTTGATGGCAGCAGTGCTGCCAAGGTAATGGACGGTTCGCTGGATATCCAGTTCTTAGTAGCCTGGGGAGATTCGATACCGGGGCGAGTCAATGACGGAGATTTGATTAAAGCTCTTTGTGCATGGGGGAAGGAGTTTGGAATCGACGGTTTCGTGAGGTTAGCTGTGATTCTACTCCCCGTGGCGTATTACTAATTCTCTTATCAATAGGATGGAAATGGACTTGTGCGCATACCTTTGATTCTGCGTCGCACTTCTGACTGACGATCATCTAGTGAAGTGATGTTGTGCGATTTTACGGCCGGTGTCGAGGTCGTATCTTTCCTGCATGTCGTCATACCAAAGGATGAAATGTCATACCCTGACCCGGGCCCTCCTCCACTTGATTCTGACATCTGTCGGTATTTTCTTCTCACGTGTCAATGTGATTGACAGGTACTCATAAGTGCAGGGATTCGCAGCTTTGAAGTCATGCAGTCTGGCTCATGGCGCAATCGCTACCCAGGAGATTCGCGCATCGTGCTCGACCTAACTGGTCTCATCTCATTGTATGATCCCTCGCTGGCACCTTCCCTCATCCCGGTTCGCGCGGGTCGTGAACGATGGGACCACCGCGTGCTCGGAATATCATCAGAGGACATCTCGCGGATGATGATAAAGCTCACCGAAGTTGTCAGTCGACCAGACACGACAGGCAGCGGCATTGACTGGAAGACCCTTTTCCACGCCATCGTGGATCGATACGCGGATCGACTCGAGTTGATGCAGTATATTCTCAATTTCGCCTCATTAGACTCACAGGCATTCCTTCAACGAGCGAAGCTGGCGCAGGCCCAGCTCCGCGTTATGCTTACGCCATATTTATTACGTTCTACCGTCGTTCCTAGCCAAGGCACTTCCGGCACAGACGCATCGCAGTGGGCATCCCCGATCTTCAGGCACTGTGCCACAACGCACACTTCAGCGATGATAAACAAAATACCCTTTATGACGTCTTCGGAACGCTTACTGCTGAAAGCCGTCGAGGACACCACGCGCGAAATCTGCCGTGTCACTACCAAAATGTGGGCTAATGGTGTGATGAGCGGGCTCGATCCCCTCTTTCGGGTGGAACGTAATGGGGAGCTTGAAGTCACTCAATTAATGAACGAATGGAGACAAGAAATCCATAAGCTGATGGCTTGGTTAGACTGGAGCGTATGGATCAAATGCCGACCCGCCTGCGGCCCACAGGTAGGATCTAAAGAACTTTTTTTTGCGAGCTGACCGGACTGAGCATAATATACTTGCAGGAAATGTGCTATCTCCCTACTTGGCCAATCAATGCCCCCTTCCCGGATGATGATCCACCTCCGCCTCCGCCTCCGGGAATCCCACGGAACACTACGGATGCTCCAGAAGAAAATTATCTTGCTGATCTAGTGGGACCTCGGCCCGAGCGTCGAGCTGTCGCCGATGCGCTTTTCTTCCTTGCGCCGGCGGCAGAGGATTGGGGGAAAGCCTCAACCAAAATGCATTAGGCGCTTCCAGCCGTACGGATTCTAATCATGCTCTCGAAGTTATCTTAACGAGGTTCACGACTTGCATTTCTGCTGAAGTTTCTGAACTGGTATATGTATGCCAAGTGATACAACAAATGAGGGTATACAATACAGTTGTACCGTGAGGAGTGAACTGCAAGTGAAGTTCTAAGCATACCTGCACGGCAGATTTTGATAAAATATTTGAAACGGCCCGCCGAAAATGATAAAGCAAGGAAAACAACAGACTCGATGCATACCCCATCAGAATTTTTCTAACTTCGATTCAAGAGAAGTTGGACCAAGAAATTACAGCGTCTCTCGACTCGGGAGCATTCAAGCCAGCCTGGAGTACGCCTGCACTGGAGCTGCGAACAGGTCTTTCCACGCGCATTCCCTTCATGGGCTTGATGAAGACCCACGCTGGTACAAGACCAAGCTGGACATTTTCTCCGCTACTCTCCACCCTTGTGGAAAATCGTGAGGGATTTAAAAATGACAGCGAAGAACGAGAAGGAGGGAGGTTATTTTGAGCGACGAGGCACCAGCCATCATCAAACGACTCCAGAACGTGCAGGTGGTCTCCCACACGTGAAAGGGAGAGTTCATCGGGAAGTACTGGTTGGAAAAGTTGTCGAACTGGTCGGGCTTGGGAAGGAGAGGATGATCGCGAGGATGATCGCGAATGCAAGCCAGGAGGGAATTGAGGAGTCGAGGGGAGAATAGCCTGAAGTGCGTGATGATGCGCGACTGTGGCGCGGATGTGCGGGGTTAAGACCAGACAGTGCACGGGGACGGGGAAGAGGCGGGGGAGTAGCAGATGGTGGATGAAGTTGAGAAGAAGAAACATTGTCATGTCTTGAAGGTCTTGCTGTATTGGAAGTACGGGGGACAACGACCTTTTCTGGGAAGATGACAGGAAATGTCGCTGGCTGACCACTGCTGACGGAGTGAGCACATCTGTATCTATAGATTCAAGTCTGTATTCTCACCTCAGGAAATGGTTGACGGGTTCGTCCGTTTCTCTCATAACACCTCGTACATTGAGAAAAGCCGTACCCCGTTGTTCGGCACGCTTTTGCCTGCAATTTGCGGCGGAAGAACCTCAACGCAATCCATATGGTAGCAGATATAACAAGTAATCCAGCGAGAGTGAAACCGACTATATACACCGGTGTGCTGACAGGAGGGGTGGCATAAGAATCTGCGGAGTCGGATCTTTCAAGGAGATATGGAGCCATCACGAGCACAAAGCAATCGAGGCTGGAGATACAACAAAATATACCGCAAGGGTGTCAAAAACGATTGCTTGGAAAAGGATCGTGATAACCAAAGGAATGTGAGGCTCGCTGCGATTGCAGGATGAGTGACTGGCTCAAACGAAACTTGATCAGAAGACGGGAAACTCACCGAGCCAGCGCAAGCTAAAAGGCTTCACAGATACGGCAAGAGAAGGCCAGAGCAGAAGTAAAATCACCTTTGGACGTTCTCGAACACCCACTGATGATCTGTTCCCTAGGAGCTCGCATCATTAATCTCAAACGTGTTCGTTTCCAGGGGAGGCAACGAAACAGCTCCACAAGTATAAAGCACTTACAACACAAATCAATATTTATAATCTTATGAAAATTAATCTCCGCATTGCAGCCCACACCCAAAAGCGTTTCACGGTCTTGGAAATTTACTTACAGTTCCTCGACCTCCCAATTCCTCGAATGTTTCTCGATGCTCTGGACGTGCGTCTCAGTGCCTTCCGGACAACTTCGTGTTTGAAAGAATCATACATAATTCAGGCGATCCTGATTCCTGATGCAAATTCCCCGGTTCATTGTTCGCATCACGACTTATATCGGTCATAGCTATTGATCCGATCTGCGACAGGCGCGGGTCACCTGCCCAATTGCAACGAGACTGGTCCTGTTAATCCTTGATGTTATTCTGGTGCACGATGGTTGGTGGATGGTATACTTAGTTGAACTTATTATTTGATTCCCAGGTTGTCCATTTAATCAAATCCATCCAACAGGTCCTTCAACACAGCAGCTTTTCATCCATAGGCTATCGCAGCGGCTACCTGCGAACTCGATGCTGGTCCTGGACAACTACGAATGCAATTTCCCCGGTACCTGTGATGACGTTGAAGCTGCGACTTTTGCTTCTGCAGAAGACGGCATCTACCGGCATCAGTATACTACCGGGTAACTGCCAGATACTCGTACAAAGTAATTCGTTGCCATGTATCACTTAGACTGCACTGTCATGCTCTGGTCTAGATACGTATATTCGAAGGCAAGTTTTTGGCGCGAAGGGGTGGGAAGTTCCTCGAATGGTAGCAGTGCGGGGAATACGCCAGTATGTCGAAACAGCGTTGCAAAACACAGAAAATTACCACCTGTTGCCACGTTTTGGACCAAGTGATATCATAATCACTCAATTGGAGTGCTGCGCCAAGTCTTTGAATTTTTGCGAATAAGACTAGTATGTTGGGATCCTGACAGTAGTTGACTATGTCGACAGCGACCTAAGCTGAATGCTAAAGTAGCAAATGATAAAAGGTGAACAACGGATGAGCTCGAGTCTCATGAACTCGAAATTCATGCCTTCAAACCCAGAAGGAAATAAGATGTGCGTTGTCCCCCGTGGACGTTGTTTTGACAGGTTAGGAACGGAAGGTTTTGTCAAACAAGTCCAAACAGGAATCGCAGCAACCTCATACAGTGACTTGACAGGGACTTGCGATAAAGACCCATTTCTAAGGATGTCAGTCCTCGCGCCTATCATCTGCGACAATGGAACTGGATACTCAAAGATAGGGTAAGCACGCAACGATCAACTCCGAAGCACTCACTCAAGGTCGATCGCAGCTTCGCGGGAAATTCTGATCCATCATAGTGAGTTTAACCCTTCTATACAAGATCGCAAGTAGCAGACGCGTTTTGTATGACTCCAGCGTTTTCCCTACCGCAATTGCTACACGTGGGCCTGCTTCTCAACCTACTCGTGGTGGTCCTCCCATTCCTTCGAAACCTGGCAACGTCGCATCGAAACGCGGTATTGAAGACCTCGACTTCTTCATTGGAGACGAAGCCCTCGCCAATGCGAAGACCCCTGGTTATGGGGTTCACTATCCCATTCGCCACGGTATGATTGATAACTGGGATCATATGGAACGATACTGGGAGCAAACGATATTCAAGTATCTACGGGCTGAACCAGAAGATCATTACTTCCTCTTGGTATGACATCATTTCATTTATTGCATTCCAAACTTTCTGATCGATATTCATTTCGTAGACTGAACCTCCACTCAACCCCCCTGAAAACAGAGAGCAGACAGCCGAGATCTTCTTCGAGTCGTTCAACATCAAGGGTCTCTACATCGCTGTTCAAGCCGTGCTCGCCCTTGCTGCATCCTGGACATCCAACCGTGCCACAGACAGGACGCTCACCGGCACCGTCATTGACTCTGGCGACGGTGTCACCCACGTCATTCCTTGCGCCGAAGGGTACGTCATCGGAAGTGCCATTAAACATATCCCCATCGCCGGCCGTGACATATCACAATTCGTGCTGAACTTGATGCGTGAGCGTGGTGAAATGGCTGCCGTTCCGCCAGAAGATCAGCTGCGGGTCGCCAGCAGGGTCAAGGAGAATTACAGTTACGCGTGCCAGGATATCGTCAAAGAGTTCCGGAAATATGACGCAGAACCCTACAAGTACTTTGAGAGATATGAGGGTGAGCATAGCGTCACCGGTAGGGTTAGTGCCCCTTTTCGAGCGTGCTGCACGAGTTGATGGGTCGTCTTCATTAGAAATATTCCATCGATGTCGGCTATGAACGTTTCTTGGCACCGGAGATGTTCTTCAATCCGGAGATCTACTCCTCTGATTTCCTTACCCCTCTGCCGGATATTGTCGACGACGTGATCCAAGCCTCCCCGATTGATGTTCGTCGCGGCTTGTATAAGGTGACCGGCTTTTTTTGGCCCTTTATCTACCTGCATTTTAATTACGGTTACCCAGAACATTGTTCTTTCTGGAGGTTCTACCATGTTCCAACACTTTGGTCAGCGTCTCAAAAGAGACCTAAAGCAACTAGTCGACCGGCGACTTGAGGCTAGCGTCGTGTCGAGCGGCAGCACTACAAAGGTACGGTTTCATCATTTCTGGTTTCTTCTTTTTCTGACGATACAATAGTCCTCGGGCGTGGATGTAGATGTAATTTCACACAAGCGCCAACGGTAAGACCATGGTTCTTCATATGGTTCTTACCAAAATTGACCTCCTCTCAAGATATGCTGTTTGGTTCGGTGGTTCCTTACTTGCTTCGTTGGTAAGGCATTTTCGAGTCAAGTTCCATTCCAGCCTAACCTTGTATCTCAGCCCGAGTTTTATACTTCGTGCCACACGAAGGCGCAGTACGATGAAATCGGCCCGAGCATTTGTAGAAGGTACCAAATATTTGGTAGCGCTACGTAGATTTCGGAGGGTGTTTGTGACCTTTGGGCGGAGAGGGCGGATTTTTGTGTTCAGACAACGTATGCCGGACCGGGTTGAAAAGCGACAATTGTATTCACTGCTTTGGATGATGCACGTTGATTTTCTTCTTCAGGGGAGCCGAAATGAAACTCTAGAAGTTGATTTCGTAGCATATATGTAGAACAAGGCAAGTATGTAACAAAAGTTCCAGCTCCATAAGGGATGGCAATCGGTGACCAAAGAATGCCAATTGGCCGCGCCCTGCGATGAATGCCGGATGATGGCATCCGCATGGTGATAGCTAGTTTTGAGAGTCACGGCGAGACGCAAATCTGTCAAATGTTGCACCGTGTGGGGGGCCGTAGCGCATCCGTTCATGCGCACATAGAATATGATATCTACAAATATATAACCGACACTGGGCAGTGGGCAATCAAGGCAGTTTCCAACAGATGACACTAGGTTGGCGGTGTGCATTCGCGAAGCACGATGCGTATGCACTGGAGAATCGTACTGCAGGGATCGGCGGGGTTGGGCTGTGACTAGGCGGGGAAGTTCGAGGTGGCGGATCCTCCCGAAGCGGTGATCCAAATGTCCAAGGTGTGCGCAAAGGGCGAGTAAGCCAATAAGGCCATCGTTCTTCGGCTTCCGGTATGGGCGTGAGAGAGATCCTATGTGCTGTTTTGCGTCTCTTGACCGATACATGAGAGATGACCTGCGAGGGAGTATTTTCTATTTCCGAGTCGCAAGGGTCATGAGCGACGCTTTTGTCCTGGGCGAGTACCTCAGAAGGCAATGAATCGGAAGGCACCAGAGCGTGGGTGAGCCATGCGAGAAGGACTTCTTCTTGTTGCAGATGGCCCCAACCTATCAGCTGACGTCGTTTCCTGATTATCCTAGGAGAAATTTCCTCTTCCAGCGAGCTGTGCGGTCGTTTTGTCTTTATCTTCGAATTCCATCCAAGTTGTGGTGGACAATGTTTTGCCAAAGTTGCGAGTGCTGCAGACACCCCGGATGTCACCGAGGACACGGGCGATCGCGAACGCTGAAACGTTGGTTCAGCTTCATCTATGATGATATCTGAATTGTCTTCGGCACAGATATTGCACGGAGTTTCGTCTACGGGTACATCCGAAGAGCCTGATCAGCGAAGGTGCTCAAATTTAGATTCATAGAGCATCCTCACCCGGGCTTTTTGAGGTTATTTTCACTGTTTCCGCCACAGCAGACCGATCATCGGTGTGGCTGTCAAGGGATCATCGTCAGTGACGTATAAAAAAAACACTGCGCGTGAAATAATCGTGCCTGTTGTCACTTGCAGAGGTATCGCCCTCATCAGATTGGTCTTCATCCATAGCGGCAGAGCCTGCCCAAAGCATGTGGAGATAACGACCGGAGAGAATCCGGGGCGTTTTCTTTTCGGGAGCGGTGACGTTAGCAGGAATAATAAAAGAAGTTATTAAGATCGAGCGCACAGGAGTAACTTTAACACTGCCATCAGCGTTAATTTGAGAGAGGGAGGACTTCATCTTTGTATGTGAGGTATCATGGCTTGGTTAACGGGTCATTTATATGACGACCTGTGTGGATGGTGGTCAGTGTGGCGTATATACTGCTGAGAGCAAAGCAATCGACAATGGGCGGTAGAAGTCCACAAGAGTATACGTACAATTTCAACTGAGAACATACCTACAGTGTGAATGGCTCAAAGCTGAACGCGCGCTGCGAACTAAAATTATGACAAGTGAAGCGCGCAAGTTGGCCCGTGCACAACGGCTTTGCTTGGATTTAAAGACCTTCGAGCTTCGGCTCTTGACGCCACACCAAAGCAAACTGCGGCTCTATTTTGGTAGATAACAATAGCGATATCAAGTGCGACACCATCTCAAGTATCTCGACGGGACCCCGCTGGTGCTGAATAGTCATGAAGAGATGGTTGTGAATTACGACGTACGCGGGCTTGAACGAGTCGGCGGATGCGGAGAATGCTGCCCCGGAAAGCGGCAAGTGATCGGGGAAGAGTAAATGTGACAGCCAAGCTATGCGCCCATTACTTTATTAGTATTTATCTCAGCGGATGCAAAATAAACGTGAGGTCAACTGCCAGCGAAAGCAGTGATTAAAGGAATTACATACACAGCCACAAAACACTGGTTTCGTTGTATTCGACGTCGTATTCGACGTCGTATTCGAAAATCTTGGTATAAAACTTCCTATAAAGCTAATCGAACGTCCCTTATCGAAGGTTTTGTTAACTAGTCGACCCTACCTAAAGCCTGTCGGCCCGCTTACAGCCGGCTATAGTCGTGAGTTTACTCTCCCATAAAGGTCCTTTCAGATTCTCATGTACTTCCTGTTCTTTAACAGGGTACCATATCTTCCCTCCGTGCAATACTCCCGGCTTCGTCGGTCTGCTCCTGGTCATTCCGGGTCTCTCTGACTTTCTTATAATCTTACACCCTTCTATCGTCTTAGACATCGTCTACGATGTCTAGTTCTGTTCATGGTATGAACCCTAATGGCCCTTGGAACCACCATGGCCATCAATTCGCCGCGCAGCAGCACCTGCAGCTAGAGGAGGAGGACCCGTATCTCCTCGTATCCCAAGATACCTCTCAAGGATATCTACAGCACAGGCATTCTGGTGCCCAACACCTTTTGAATGGTTCTTTATCTCAATACAACTCACATGCATCAAATCAATACGATTCAACTTCTGCCTACCAACAACACTCTCCTTCCTTTGCAGCATCATCTATGACCCCAAACCCAACTCAATCGCCCAATCCCATTTCCACCACGCCGTTCACATTCACTCAACCAGGTTACAATGCTAATTCTCCTCATTCTGGCTATCAGAGCGCCTTCCCATCAGGCATCAACGCGTCAAGCGCTCCAGGTACACACAATCAACTCTCCGCGTCTTCTGCCACCCCTTCGGGTTCCGACTTTCCCATGCAGTTCCCTTTCACTCATCAGCTACCCATTCGCCAATCCGAGGTCGAGGCTCAGATCCTAGAGAGTATGCATATGGCTCAGCAATCCAACCTCTCAAAGCGCCATAGAGGGGATGACGACGATGGCCAACCTCGGACTATGATACCCGAACCACAGGAACTCCCAGAGCCCGCGAACAGACCGAAACCGTGTGCCCTCCAGTCAACTCCACTATATTCATACTGACAAATCACACAGATCAGGCGCTTGTGCTCGGTGCAAAAGCTTGAAGGTACGTGGGTATCTCTGCTCTATTTCAAACATTAAGACACCTCCACCACGCTAGGTCCGGTGCGAATTCAGGGGCGATAACGATACCTGCAAACGGTGCACGGGTGCCGCTCAAGAATGTGTCATTCCTGGGCGCAAACCACGTCGGACCCCACCGTACGTACTCATTTGGTTTTCAGATGAGCAAGTTAAGAAGTTAGTATTAGGAAACGAGAACACCTTCTAAATCAGATTCGTGAACAAGCCGCACAAATTCAGGAGCTTATGGCTGAGCTCGAGGCTACCAACCGACGAGCGGCATCAGTCTCACTTAGTAGTCCTTCTATCACTGCAGCACCATTGTCCCCATCGTGCTCCGTCGATCTTCACTCCCCTACCCTCGACCCCAACACCCCGGCAGATTCCGCTCCACCCAAACCGGAAGTGCAGGATTGGATCGCGAAAGCACGTGCTTCCATTGAGGCTTTTGGTGGCTTGATTGCACTTGGCGGGACAACGACACAATCCATGCTTGTTGATCAGGACCCCAACAAGTTTACTGATAACGATACGGTATATGGCTTTGATTTCGAAGACGACACAGATGACGAAGGAGATGGATATGCCACTGCAGAAGACAGTGGACGTTCACATTCAAGGGAAAGGCAATCACCGAATGCACTAGCCAAGAAGAAAGAGCTTGCTGATCAGAAATCGGGCATGCTTCCACCCGCAGCTAGTCCATTTGGTCTGATGGCCCACCTCTCCATTCGCAGTAATGCTAGAGGCAAAAGCGCGGAACCAGAACCTCAAGACGCTGTTGGCGTAGCGAGCGCTGATTTTTTCAAACCATGTGGGTATATTCTTTGCTTGAGCACATAGCTCGAGTCCTTATTTTTTCTAGCTCCTGCTTCCGATACCGTCCGCTCGAATCCTTCAATGGGTGGCCAACCTCTTCCTCACATCCTCACTCGCGACGTTGTCACTGTAAAAGATGTTGAGAATCTGTTCAAATTGTGAGCCTTAACTTTCTGATGTGTACGATTGCTTATTAAATTGACCAGATATTTCGATAAAATGAATTTTTCAACATCGTTACTGGATCCCATTCTTCATACACCACAGTATGTAGTTATGAGAAGCCCTTTCCTATTCACAGTCGGTGAGCCGATTTGCCCGTCGCTCCCTTCATCTCCCGCTGATCTTCGTTCTAAGTTTGTGCCGTTGCTTCTCGGTTCTACACCGAACGCCCAGGCCTCTATGCGGAAGTAATGCGATATGCACAGCTGGCGGCAGGCACTGCGCTTATCACCGGTCCCAAAAATGAAGAGATGTGTTTGGCTTACATACTGCTACAGCTTTACCCAGTTCCTTCACGACGCTGGGAAGAGGACCGTAGCTGGATGTACCTCGGTGTCGCAATCCGGTAGGAAATTCTCACCACTGCATCTCACGGTATTTACTTACGTTACTCTAGATTGGCTCAGGACCTTAATTTGAACAGGCATACGACTGCAACTCCCCTGAATGAGCACCACGCTCGTGTCCTTCTCAATCGCACGCGAGTCTGGATCAACTGCTTTAACTTGGACCGTTCAACCGGCTCTCAGTACGGCAAAGCGCCCATTATTCCAAATTCGGATTATATTGCAAACCATCTGCACGAGTGGTGGCGCTCCTCTGAGTATAATATCGAGCACTTTGACATTCACCTCTGCATCTACTCCATGGAGCTCAACATCGGGGCAAAATTCAGGGAAAAAATTAACAGCGACCCAAACCACCCAACTGGACTCAACAAGGTGTGTTCTCATTTGTTCCCACGGTCCTTTACCGTCCAAGCTGACGGATCATCTGGAGTCTACGAATTTCACTCAGTTCGCTAGTGAGGCCGACGACGAACTGGCACGCGTCGGCACGTACTGGTTCAAGCAGCTGGATGAAGTCGAGCCGAAGAGCCCCATGCTTACTTTCCGCACTGGCCTTCTGAAAATGGCGTTCAGCTACGGCCGCTTGGTCGCCCTGTCTTCTGGCCTGCAGTATGCCAAAGAAAATCACTTGGATGAAAATTCATTTTTGATGAGGGTCAGTATCCGTTCGTAACCTCTTCGTTTTCGTAGTCTCATTCCTTCTAGTGTTTCACGAGGGCATCCGATGTTGTCAATGCTTTCGTTCACCAACTGTACACCACCCCAGAAGAGAGTAAGTCATGCATTTCACGGCCTATCATCTCATCTCACCTTGCCATAGGAGTTTATCTACGCCATGCACCTGAGGCGCAATACGTGTTTGTTAGTTTTGCTGGCGCCTTTCTTGTTAAAGTGTGTTCCTTTCGATGCTCTGTTTTCAGTATGTAACATTTTGTGCACAGCTCTTGCAACCAAAGTACGCTCAGTACTTCAAATATGAGCAACGGGTCGAAATCCGGGACCTCGTGCAAAAAACGGTTGATCTTCTCGGGGCTCCGGATGTAGCTCTTGATGAGAAGCATGGTCCTTACCTATACTCTCGCTTCCTGGCTGGCCTGCTGGCTAGTCCCGCAGTCAGGGTCGACCTGTCCCCAACCTCTGCGATGAGCCCTGCACACAAACGCCCTCGCAAGCCAAAGACCTCGTCTACAAAGACTCACAGTGGTCTAGGTCACAGATGCCTCCACGTCTGCTGACTATCCATCCCCATCCTCCGCCTACTCCAATTCTCCTTCTCCTTCATACTTCCCATGCGTCCAACAATCCCTTGGAGCGCAGCCGCAAGACCCCACGGAATCGCTTGCAGGGTCATCTGATATGTTTAATGGCTCGATGCCGGTGACTTTGGACGCCGACCTTTTGGAGTCAGCAAGGATCATGACTGATCCTTTGTGGCAGGATACCTTTGTCCCTGGTACGCGTGACGCTATGCACTATAAAAGTTCGTTTTGCTGACCACTCTCACTACAGGTTTCGAGTGGATGGGTCAAATGCAATCATACACTTCTGTAACCCAAGATTACTCGATGTATGAACCACAGCAATTTGGTTCGATGGCATGAGCCTATAGGCGTTGTATCGTTTCAGTGCTATGTTGTTGTACTTGGTACTGTTGTTTTTTTGCGCTTTGCTCGTATATTATGCACGAGATGCGGTTTTGTATTGACACTAAAATATACATGTATTCTTGGAATCTTTCTCCAGTCTGATTGGCGACTCTCCTCGGTATGAATAAACGAGTACGAGATGGTTGTTCGCTTTCAAATTCGGTGTGAGAGTGTGCAGCTGAAGTAAACAATCTCGGACAAATCTCGAGCTCGGATGATTTTGTTTACTACTTACGAGCAATTTGCTCGCCTTCGGACGTTGTGATGAATTGTAGAGTACAATAGCTCAGGCAAATCTGTGCCTTGGCTATTGTCTATTCTTCGTTTGTCGTTACAAATAAAGCTGGAATGTCACGACCAAATACAGCACCACGTAAAGTGTTGAATAACCTAGCTTGCGTGCTACTTGAAAATTGTTAAAGACGCGAAGGTCAGCCGACCGTTTTTATGGAGGGCATACACAAGTAACTTGGGTGAGCGTACCAAGAGTCGATGACCCTGCTCACGAAGGAGTAACAGTTTAGGGCAGCTTGCATTCGACAGAGTGCTAACTGGTTCTTTCACGATTTAATTCGAATGTACAGCGTAAAAGCCAGTGCGCAAAAGCCTTGGGCTCGAACTGTGACAGGCACTATCATCGTCCTAGAGTTGGTGCATCGATAAGCTCCGAATTGCAAAGAGTGGCGCATACCCAGCATGCCAAGGACAAAATAACAATAGTGGAGCTCGAGTGGAGTGCGCACATGACGGGATCTGCCGGATCAAACACTCTTGTTTAGAAATGGATGAGTAGGTTCAACTTGCTGATCACACCTGAATTCTAGCTGAGTCGTTAAGCGTATGCACATAAACTTCAAACATTTGAGCTGGAAATGTGTATTGATTCAAGAACCGCATCAGAGTAAGCTTACTTTGATCATTTCTTCTTGAAGTTCGATTCCTATCAACTATTTGTTCGTTTGGCTTTGGATCCTTGGCTCGTAATCATCGAATCACTGACGTGTACGAGTATGACCGCTGTTTCACGTTCAGCGCGGGAAGCTGCCGTGAGGAGGGGGCGTGTTAGGAGATATATAAAGGGCGACAATCGCGCCTAGGTGAATTCCCCGCTCTTCTTCATTGCTAGCCTCTCGGTAACTTCAAAATCTCATCTGAACTTCTTCCAGCGGGTGAACTGACGATGTTCGGTTGCAACAGGCAAAGTGCTTTCGAGCAAGTTGAGCATCTTCCCAAATAATACGTCGCCCGTACTTGGCTGCTTGCCAGTTTCGCCGACGAAGGTCAATCATGGATTTTAAATCGCCAGAGCTCGACGACACGGACACAATGATTATGATGCCCATAATGATCTTGGAGGGTCATGAACAGCAAGCGAATGGTCAGCGGATCTGAGGATAAGACCGCTCGACTCTAGGATCTGCAGACGGGCAAGGAGATTGAGGCGGCGCGGTATGTTTGTGGTGTCAAGGGATGGTCGGTGGGTTATCACTGCTGGTGGAGATTTCAATCGCCGCGATTGTCTTGGAGAGCTAAAAGCTCCTGAAGTTGAGACGGAGACCGTGAAAACATTTCAAGCCAACCCAGTCATAGTCACCTACATCGGTATCTCAGCGGACAGCATGCTGCTGGCGAGCGGGTCAAGGGACCACACAGCGCGGATATGGTGCTTGAACTCGTGGCTGGTCCATTCAAAAATGCTGATGGAATCGGCGCAGTCCGGTTCTCACAAGACTCAAAGAAGCTCGCGGTGAGGTTGTGGACGGGGCATTGCCTGGAGGTGTGGGACGTCCAAACACAAACAAGGGATGTCGGAGTAGGAAAACGTGCTGGCGGGACAATGTCAGTTACGCCAGTGTTTTGGACTACGAAAGACAGAACCCTCGTAACCCCACTTAGCTTTACGGATGACGAAGCTACGACGATCTATAAGTTCGACGCATCGACGCTGGAGACTGCCTTCGAAGGGCACCTCAACGCTGTCATCGGTTTAGTACTTTCAGGCGATGGTGCTCTCCTCGTCAGTGCTTCTCCAGGCGACTCGATCAAGTTCTTGACCTTCGAGTCCCGCTAACCCCTCGCCTACATCGACACTCACATTGCTTACTCCCTTATCCTCTTACCTGACTCACGCCAACTAGCTCGTCTTCCCGTATGAATATAGTCCCTCATGTTCGGAACGATCAGCCTCGCGATTCCCTGGATGCATGTCTCTGTCTATCTTGTTTCTTTTACAATTGACTCAACGGTAGCACTACCTACCAACCGCTCTTCCTCGACACAGGCCACCGCTTAGGGGAATTCCCATATGGAGAACGTGAGTTTTGACTGTAATGATCACATTTTCCGCTCACATTATTTTTCCAGTCTCGACGCACGCCTGCACCACCCATCACCTTATCCTTCGTCAGTGCTCCCATTACCTTAAAAGCCCACCTGCACGACCCATTAGCCCGGTGGACTGTTCACGCAGATCATGCAGCGCCGTCTGTTTCGATGTTCCTTTCGCGCAGGGTCAATTGATGCGCCCGGTTGATTGTTATCGCTGCGTTCGAGGTCTCATGGGTCAATTGGCAGCGCAACGCTGCAGTGGGTGCTCCCGGAAATGACGATGACTTGGTACCCGATGAATACTTCGATCCTCCTTCACCGCAGCCCAATCCATGACAGCCATCCGCAGCAGAGCAGATTACCGCCGGAGAACATGGAAGCAAGCAATTGTGTTTCTACTTCTAGTGATATCCCCTGGGTATTTTGTCTGGCAGGACAGTTGAGCCATGGCAGGCCGTATCGTCATAGATATGCACATCCTTAGATAATTTTAAAACGAATCACCTTGCTTGCCGAGCATGTGCAATGTCGCAGATTAAATGCAAAACAGAGCATAGTGCTGCAGAGGGTGCTGTTGAGCAACTAGATCTTTCATTATCTAAGGTCTGGTATGATGGCAAGGCAGCGCCCGATGCTAGTGAATGAAACAATTTAAATTATGTACCAGTATATTCTACCTTTCTCTTCAAGTTATAAACCGTGCCATCAATCCTTAAGTACCTATACCTTGATAGGCCAGTAGGAGGCTTACGGTCTATACAGATGACCTCGAGGACGGGCGGTCAATTCGACTGCTTAATAAGTGAAAAATATAATGGCAGCGGTTATCCATGCCACAAGTGTTGTAGAGTACCATTGTAGTACAAAGAATCAATCATGCTATGTAGGAATCTGTTCTTTCCAATGTGGAATATATACGTACATGGAGCTCTCTAAAATCAGAGTCGGGCATTCTTTGGCATCGCCCTCATCGCTTGTCGAACACCAAGATCAGCGAGGACGTCCTCCGCTGCCGAACATGAGCAAGAGATATACATACACGAAAAAGGAACTTACCACCTCCCAACAACGCATCGAAAGTCACAGTGCGATGGTACTGCAAAGGCGTCAGTAAGATAACGATACTTACTGACCAGTTCGACTTACATGCTCAATAAACCTCCCCATACCTGTCCGTGTGATACCACGGCCACCGAATATCTGAACAGCATCTTTTGCGGTGTCCTGCGCGCACCGCGTGCTATAGCTCTTCAAGAAGGCGATTTGACTAAGGGGAAACAAAAACATTAGTGCCGGTTACACCGGAAACAATTCAACTGCCTACCCAGCAAGTTTCTGAGATTGTTGTTTGTATGACTTAGATAGCATTCGTAAGTATCGACAGAACAACGAGAGTGGCGGACTGTTCTCACCATATGGCACATCTGGTACGTGATGTTTTCCAGCCAACTCTGTACGCTTTCCGTCCGTGCTATCATGGCTGCGAGCTTGGAGCGAATTACAGCTTGCGAGATCAAGGGCTTCCCGAAAGCTTTCCGTTGAGTCGTCCATCTAAAATTCTCCGTGAGAACAGGTAATACAAGATGATTGAATCAACATACTTCAAACACTCTTCAACAATAGCGCGCTGGCTGCGTGCGGAACTACAGCACATGACCCACCGCTCGTGGTTGAAGTTGCTATGTCATAATAAGTGTGTTGGTCCCACTTCACGTACCATCGTTACCTACCTGAGAATGACGAAAATTCCTTTACCTTCCTCACCAAGGGTGTTCTCGACCGGAACCCGTACATTGTCGAAGGTGATATAGGCAGTGCCAGCTGTTGTCGAATAGCTTGTCTTAATCTGGCGCGTTTCTACCCCAGGTCCGCGCTCGACAAGAATGACAGTGAGACCATCCTCAGTCTTGCAGCCTACAGTGAAGCTGGAAAGGGTGTTTAAAGTTGCTCCTCAGAACTGGGGTATCATACTTACTAGTCTGCGAAACTATGCGAGGCCCGTTCGTTAGTAGTTCTGATTGATCCTAGGACTTACTCACGTAGCGTTGGTGATCCATTTCTTAGTTCCGTTTACAATCCATTCCTTGCCATCCTCGCTCTTGACAGCGGTCGTTTGCAAACCCATAACGTCACTTCCAGCCTGAGCCTCGGAAATGGCGAGACAGATGAACTTCTTGCCAGCGAAGACTTCAGGCACAACGCGAGCCTTCAGTTCTTCCGATCCAAAATTTAGGACTGGTGGCAGGCCAATTACCTTCCCTCCCAGTAAACCTGCGGAGATATAGTAGGTGTCACCGGCAATGTAAGTAGCGCTTACCATCTCCGTAGCCTCGTGCACCACATCGCGCAACCTCTTGAGTGATAATGAGCTCGTGGAAGTAGTTAAACTAGGGAAGCAAATGAGTTGGGGCGAGCTGAAGAATGCAGGCTACGACTCCATTTACCTCCTCAGGTTTAACGAGACCATCCATCAATGTCAACCCTCGAAGGTGCTTTCCTGGACCCATACGCATTGCGTTCAGGTTCACAGCGCTAAACAGAAATAAGAACCTGAGCACTGAGAAGCAAATTGACGTACGCCATCTTGTCGAATACGCTTTGACTGGGTCGCTTGCCATCCTCTTCGCGTGCCTTTCAAGATTGAATAAGGATCTAGATAATAAAAGACATGATGATGCCTCACCTGTGCATCCTCGTAAATTACCTCGTCAGCAAAGCGACGCATGGCCTTTTGGAATTTCCTGTGGTTCTGCATACAAGGTTCAGGCAGAGCCCCGAAAAGTGATTGTGATAACTCACCTCGGTATAGTAAGGGCTGTGGTACCCTTGCGTTAGCCAGGTAGGCTCTGCGTACGGGACATCGCTGATCTCTCCGACGATTCGGCTGTATATTACAGGCTGTTCGCCTTGAAGAGTACCAATCTGAAGGCGTTGGTATTGAGGTCGCTCCAAAATTTCATGACGATGCAACCCATAGAATGCTTCCGTAGCATCCTGGCCAGCTGAGAAAAAAATCCGTTTGAAACTGTCGTGCATAGCATATCATGGAAGGCGACATACCAATTTCCCCATCAGTCAAGACAGAGATCCCTCCGGGATGCAAGTCTTTAAACCGGGATAGATTATACACCTTTGCATCGATGACCACCCACTAAGACGAGGAGAGGATTATTCTTCCGAAACATAGTTTGAGATGCTCGACACATACCAAGTCATCCGGCTTATTATGCTACAGTTCCGCAAGTTAGCAAATAGTGGTCTCAGGGTCGTGGCATTTGAACGCACCTCAGCAACCTCCTCCAAAGAAAATTGTTTCAGCTCTTTGGCGGCCATGGCAGTACTAGTAAAATATGATGCGTGTGTGTTTGAAGACCCTCTGCTGAACTGTCATTATGGGGGTCTTACTTATACGATTAGGACATTCCCAAAATTTCACGTGTTTATCCAAATCGGTAAAGCGAACCGGCTCGAGGCACATGATTCAATTATGAAAAGATTTTGTGAACCAAATTGATATTCGGCATGCTTGGCGGCATGCCACTTAAGTTTTTGCTTCCGCTCGGGTGCCATCCTGTCACCTGTGCTATCGTGGGCATCGTCTCTTGCGGTATCGCGCTAGTACCGGCCAAGGTACTGTACACATTTGCGTATGTCCTTGTGAATCTGTCTAACCACAATCGCACGGTTCAAAGTTAAACTCAACAATCGCTGCAACCCTACAGCAAGCTGCTTATTGTTTTTACGAAAACATATGTCAGTAACCTTCTGGCCTGTTGGTATCCGTGCAACTCATGGATGATCCGGATTCTTAGAAACAATGAGTTTAACGAGCACACACACTTCTCTTGACGATGAATCACAGAGAGAGCTAGACGACCTTAACAGACGAATCGACGCCCTGCAAGAGAGGAAGCACGCCCTAGCCTTTCAAGCCTTTCAAGTCCACTCCACCATTCGCACTCTTCAAAGTCGTGCTGCACATATCACGAACAAGACCGCTCCAATATCGCGTCTTCCATCAGACGTGCTTGCCATCATCTTCGAGGAAAGCCGACGACTTCTTACACCTTGGAGCAGTGTAGTAAAGCGCCCACTCTCTCCCGAAGTACAGCTCTCCCACGTCTCATCTAGATGGCGGGAAGTGGCACTTTCAACCCCTGCTTTGTGGACAACTATCAGGTTCCCTATTCTACACAAGGCAGCTGCTGCTGTGGCATATCTCCAGCGGTGCAATCAAGCACCCCTCAGTGTCCACATAGGCCCAAGAGTTTCTGATCCAGATTCGCTGCGCTTTATTGCCGCACAATTCGTACCCCGACTGAATCAAATTCGCGAGCTCACTTTCGACACCGACGAGCGTCAGGAACTCTGCGCATTGTTTCCTTTGTTCGCCGAAGAACCTGCTTCGATTCTAAAGCGATTAAAGATTTGTTGCAATGACACACGCGGTGCTTCTGGCGTTATTCCCCGCCTCGATATATTTAAAGCAGGAGCACCGCTCTTGTCTGATATTCGCCTCAGCGCCTTTGCAGTCGGACTGCCCCAGTGTTCTGCAACCACTCTGCATCTTGAACCGCCACCTGGACCCGGGAATCCTTTGTCCAGAAATGCATTCCTCGATATTCTCGCTCCGCTATCAGCTACCCTTACTACACTACATCTGAGAGGTTTCATCAGCGGATTTCACCAGGAACCTGGTAGCACACCTGTTGAGCTCCCAGCTTTGAAGGAGTTATTAGTGTACGGCAACACCCTGAATCACGGATTTAATGTTTTCCGGAACATCTCCACCCCTGCCATCAAATCGTTATCCCTTGTCAACGTTCGACGGCAGGGCTTATCCTCAATCCATAAATTTATTGCTAGGACATCTCCGGAGCACTTCCAACATCTTCACACATTACGATACATAAACTGCGACATCGACGATGATCTCGACGTTTATCTTCCTCACGCAACATCTGCTCTCACAGAACTTGCTGTGTCTGTCAAGCATCACACCCATCTCTTGCGACTTCTACTGAACAGCGATAAACAATCTGCTCTCCACGGAGCGCCTCCCTTGTGGGGTAATCTCCGCACCTTGTCGCTCCACGTTCCCAAGCCATTGGACCGAGAAAGAGAGGATATAGACTCTGATGAAGAAGATGACCCGCCCCCAACGTTGGGACTACTATTGGAGGTAGTGCAACAGAGAAGAGTGGTGGGAAAGCCTCTTGACCTTCTTCGGATAGAGGGCCCGCACGCTCGCTCGTTCTATGAGGAGTTTACAACTATCCTCGAGAAAGCGCACGAAGATCTTCACGCAGAACTTTTCTCAGTATCCTTGCCTTGTTCAGACGTTCAGGATTCAGAAGTAGATTGGGCGTTTGCTGCTCACTACATTGGAAACCAATATCGTCTTTTCATGTTCAAGAAGCATCAGCAGTTTGCCCCCCACGGTACTCCAGCTATTCATCCTCGAGGGCTTCCTGTCATGGCATACCCTTCAACACCTACGCAGGTTCCATAGAAATCTACCTTTTCTCTTCATCTAAACGGAACTTGATTCTTAGCTTTGTTGCTATCTGTATTTTATTGTACTTCAACACGGTTTCATACAATACTTAGGGTGATATTGTTTCATCCTCACGCAATCCTTACGAGTTGTTTACAGCAGCACAGCCACCGGAGAGCATGAAGCAATGCGCCCATTTTCGTTGAATTTGTGTAATCATGTGGCCGATGGCTTGGCCGACTGTGATGGGAACAGTCCACACTGAGCGTCATGACCAGAATTCGGACCCGCACCAGCACCGATTGCGAGAACTCGCGTGGCGATAGTTTTGATTTCATCTCTGACCTTCCGCCGCTTCCTTGCCCCAACCTATCTGTCCGAACCAGGTAGGTCACACCGACATCGGCCTCCTCAAAAAAAACGTGTTCTCAGCGTGTCTTTTAGTTGCCCCTCTCTGAGCTACCTTTTAATTCTGGGAGGTTCACGAGGAAGCCCCATTGCACTTCTTTGTCTGAAAACTTTCTATGTGAGCATCGGAAAACATAGAGCATCCTTCTTAGCTTGCTGACTTGGGGCTATTATTTCATAGACGTGCCGTCCATGACCCACGAGCAGGCTAGCATCAGCATCAATCCTCAGGAAGATTTCGATGAGATAACACAACGAATTCACGCACTCCAGTGCTCGCAGGTCGAATTATCCCGCTCAATTCGTGACCTCCAGGTTCGTGCAGCTCGCATACAGAATCAGAAGGCACCGGTGTCTCGTATCCCCTCTGACGTCCTGTCAATAATATTCGACGAGTGCCGTCAGCTCAATCCACCATGGTCTGGCATTCTCTACCTTTTCCGCCAGTCACCTATCGAGGTACGACTGTCGCATGTATCGAGTCATTGGCGTGAGGTAGCCCTCACCTTACCCTCCCTTTGGTCCTCTATTCACTTCCCGTTCGCGCATAAAGAGGACTCGCTCGCAGAATATTTGAAGAGGTCAGAGGGATCACTTCTCGACATGTACATTGGGCCATGGACACAGCACCCTCAGATTGATCGCGCGGTGACCAACATTATCTTACCACACCTTCCCCGTTTCAGACAATTGGTTCTTGACTCAAATTCACGGGAGGCTTTGGCCTCGCTCCTGGAAAAATTCCGTGACGTCTCTGCCCCTGCTTTGAAGCGACTGCGAGTGATGTGCAGAGGACCAATGTCGACTGCAGGTCCCATCGCTTCTGCAAGTCTCTTCACGCAGGGAGCCCCTTTGTTATCCGATGTTAGGCTTGACAGCGTCGCAGTCATCCTACCCAGAACAAAAGCAAAGACGCTCCATTTTTGCCCCCTACCAGGGCCACCCTTCCCACTCACACACGAGGGACTCTTCCAAGCAGTGTCATCTTTCAAATCCCTCCACACGCTCCATCTAAAATCGGCTATAGAGCTGAATAGTCCGACCCCTATCTCCCTTATCAACCTGCCCTCGTTGAAGGAATTAGCGGTGCATGGCCTCGCCGTGTCAAAGGGTTTGCGTATATTTGACATAATATCCGCTCCAAATATCAAAAACCTCTACCTCGTGGACATGAATTGGTTCGCAGTATCCGCGATTCACAAATTCATGATTCAGTCTTATCCGGATGCGTTCCAGTCCTTGCGGGTGCTGCGGTATATCAGGTGCGGGTTCAACGAGGACATGGACATCCATTTCCTTCGCGCAACGCCTGGTATCTCCGAACTGCTCATACCTGTCGATAAAACAAACTACCTGATCCGCATGCTTGTGAACAGTGACAAGCAAGCGGCCATTCACGGCTGTAAACCTCTGTGGCCAAAGTTACGCACTATTATCCTGCACACACCAGAGTACTCCGCGCAGCCGGCCGGCGCCCCCGACAACGAGCCTTCGCCTACGATGAACCTCCTTCAGCAGCTGGTCACGGGACGCAAGGTGTTGGGCAGGCCGATGAGCAAGCTCTGCTTCAAGGGGCCAAATGCAGGACCCTTTGCAAGCGAGTTCTACTGGGGGCTCAATCAAGCGAAGGAGTTCGTTCCTACGGAAGTTGTGTCCTGCCAAATCCCTGCGCTGCTACGGGATGGAGGGTATGAATATGACTGGGCTAGCCTCGCTGAGGCATATGGTATGCAATTGCGGCAGCTCCTTCAGCAGGTTCAAACCATACGGCAGCAAATTGCCCCCGCCCTTCCACACAATTTTTCGTTCCAGCATTTACAGAGACGAGTAGAGTCATAGACGTACCGACGTGATAGACGTTCTGAGTAGATCCGGCTCATGCCTCTTTCTCATTTGGTCATCAGTTTCAGAGTATTTAACGTTTAGCGACGTCCTCTAAGACGTTATATGTCGTTCTTCATAATTTTGACTTGGGAAGTTTTAATGCTTGTGCTTCTTTACCCAATGCTCCGTCAATGGCAAGTTGCCTCATCTTCTCTTCAGACAATCCGAGTTCTTTCAGAATGTCTGCAGTGTGCTTCCCTGGATCCAGTGTCGTAATTTCGTCTCGTAGATGTGACGGCGGTGTTCTGCTGAGCTCCGGATGAGGCATAGGGTGGAGTCCATAGAACTGAGCTGCTTCTGTGGGAGACAGGACTGGGACTGCACAAGCGTCAGTGCCTAGTGATGTAAATCAGCAAATCAATTAGTACGAGATCCCTTCTGTAACGCGGTACTTGCCGTGGAAAACCTCTGTCCAGAAGTCTCTCGGTTGTGTCCTAAACCCTTCTTCAAGATACTTGCGAAGTTTAGGCCAATCTTCCTTCGTGATTTGCGTCGACTGCGACGGTGACCAGCTTCCTTGCTTTCCACTCGATTTCATGACCCCGTTGAATTTGCTAATGAATTGAGCAAAGAACTGGGGCTCCAGGCACCCTATACTCATCCACTTTCCATCTGAACAGGTATAAACATCGTAGAATGGCGCATCTCCGTCCAATAAATTCGTGCCTCGCGGTCCCCAAGACCCACTCACGGCATTTAGAAGCGGAAACGACGATACATAACGCGAACCAGAAACCTGCAACCGGTGTCTTTGTAAATTAATTAGACCTAGAAGTCCCGACACGTACCATGTCCACATTCACGACTTGTCCGCGGCCACTCCTGCCTCGTTCGAGCAGAGCCAGCAGTATGCCGTTTGCACATAATAGGCCGCCTCCAGCAAAGTCGGCAATTAAATTCAAAGGGAAAGCGGGCTTATCGGTGGTTCCCGGAAGCATCTGCAAGAAGAGGTCAAAACATGCTTCGTCAGACTACAAGCAAAGCGCACGGAGAGAACACCGCTAAGGGCGATATAATTGATATCATGACCTATGGTGGGAATCTCAAACTAAGTCACGACGCCGCAGATGGTATTTACCAGCCATAGAAGAGTGCATGCCTTAAAATCGTCGTTGAGAAGATGTGAGAAGATGCACCTGGTATACGTACCATTTCTTGGGAACCTTGAGGGAGCATCAGACGGATGGCACTTCAGAAGCTCAGATGCGCCCTTACCCTGCGAGCCTTGCAAATATAAGTCTGTCATTCAGACCTTCCCGCTTGTCACTTGAATGAAACGCCTCAGGACCAAGCCCAAGCTTTTCAAGTACCCCAGGTCTGAATGGATCAATTACGACGTCTGCTTTAGCGATGAGTTCCTTCGCGACTCGCAGTCCGCTCGCAGTCTTCATGTCCAACGCAATCGACCGCTTTCCTGCGCAAAGCAAATCTCTGGTTGTAGAGGAAGGGCGATCAATGCGGATGACGGATGCCCCATTGTGAGCAAGTACCAGACCTGCGAACGGACCTGGTGCTAGGCCTGCAAACTGTGGATGTTAATTGTTTGCATGACTTCAAGCCCAAGTGCGACGTACTTCTACTACTTTGATGCCATCGAGCGCCATTTGTCGGAGACTCAACGTCGTATTCAGTGAACACAGGTGAACACGCGAATGGGATCGGTTAGGTCGGCAATGCTTCGGGCCGTTCATTTGGTTGTTTGTTAGCATCGGAAGGCATAGCCAAACAACTCCAATTACCTTCAACAACTCCATCACGTGCTGATGGACGGCTTCACACTTCACACTGATGTTCTGTCATTCAGTTGGACATGTGGTGCTGGGAGCAGAACTATCTGAGGGCGATCGTGCCGGCACAACAATCGTCACTTCTGCCACTTGGAAAAATCCTAAGGTACTGCGAGAGTATATACAGGCGTATGAAAGATAACTAACTGAGAGGGTAGGAAACACCATTCTGGCAGAACTGGGCTGGCAGAACCGGTTTGGTAGAACCCGTCGGCGGAATGGCGGACTTCTGCCAACAATACTACATGTAGACAGTCCTGAATTCATTGCGGACCGGCGCTCATGGTTCTTCCCGTCCGTATAAAATGCCACAAGACGTGGCAAAAAGAAATTCAACCCACCTGTGTCTTTCTGCGAGATGTGGTCCCTGTCTACAGTTCTACCTTGCGTTGCGTTGGCATCTGCAAGACATGCCTTTGTGACCCGTGATGAGACTACTCTGTCCACATTAACGTTGTCTGGCCCGGCATCACTCCCAACAGATGCGACTCCACCGCTAAACCCCGCACTAGCAAGCTTCAGTGTTGAAACTGCCTTCTTTGAAGAATATATGGGAAACGAATCGTATCCGAACAAACTCTCTCAGAATCTTTTTGAGAACCTGAAGGAGAGGACTGGTGTTCCGGCCGAAGTGCGCATTGGTGGCATCACCGCTGAATCGACATTCTGGGATGCTAATCAGGAGGCCGCTCTGTACAATTTCATCGGCGACACGGGTGCACTCAAAAACACTACACTTGGACCCCAATTTTGGAACTCTGTGAAGCTTTTGCCTGGAGGGACGAAGATTGTCATGACGCTCGTAGGTGTTTTTTACTCATCAAATTTTGGGGTGTTGACATTTAGCTGGTCCATGTAGGATCTAGAGAGCTTGAATTATACCGGTGCTCTTGATATGGCCGAAGCAGCATGGAAGAGTCTTGGCTCAGGCCAGATCTCTCGCTTCGAAAGCAAGTCATTCGATTTTCTCACTGACGCCACTGGTCCGACATTTCCTCGTCTTCAGTAGGAAATGAACCAGATCAATATCACAGCACCCATCTTGACGCTCAGAGCTATACTGCTATCTGGGAGGTACTAATCCTGTACTATGTTCGTACATTGATGGTGGGGACTCACTTTCTGTAATTAGCGGTGGACTGTCAATATCTCGAAGGCTTTGGGCATCGACTACCCTGAGTTCCAAGTCGGGGCAACTGCTATAGACCCTTTGTGGCCGTATAACACGCCGCAAGCGGATGCCCAGTTTGACTGTGTCAGTGCTCTGGCTGCCGGGGCCAATGATGGACACACTGTCAAGACCTGCAGCGAGCACACATACCAGTACAGCGTGAGGAACCTTCTGATTGACAGACGTCCAACTGAAATAGATTTTCTTTGCAGGTTTGTGACAACACTAGGGCTGCTGTAGCTACGTTGACCAACCTGGTAAGTTGTTGACTATCCATTGGAATATTTAATTGCAATAAGGATTTAGGTAAATCACACACGCTTGGCTGAGTAAGTCATGCCTGTTGCTTTAACCACAGCATACTGATCTTCAGCAGGTATCTGGATCTTTGGCAGCCACGTATCCACAACGTTCGCGCCCAACTCGGACCCGATGCCTTTGTTATCGGTAAGTCAAGTTTGAGGTCGTACGTTGAATGTATGTTCACTCGGAACGAAGGTGAATTCAATTCTGTCTCTTGCGGTGGAAGGAACAGTGTTAGCAACACGTTTGGTCAAGCCATATGGCTGGTACGTTGATCAAAGGTATACATGTCATGACATCCGAACATCTTTGTAGTTAGACACGACCCTCTACGCGGCTTCGATTAACGTTTCACGGTACGTGACCAGGGTGCCTCGATGAACTTGCAACTTAATCTTATCTCCAGGGTGTATGTGCATCAAGGCGGCCCCCTCGCATTCTACAACCTCTGGTATGTTGTCTCAGAATATGCGACTTCACAGCGTTTTTGGACTGACGTCGACTGCACAGGTCTCCCACTAAAGTGTTCCCATCATATTCGGCTTACCTCTTCGTGACTGAGGCCATTGGTCATTCGACATCACTGCGCCTTTCAAACATCTTCCCAGGACGACAGGCCAATGGATCCTCGATTACGACCGCAGGCGGTGATCCATCTGCTGGTCAGATCTCGGTGTACGGTTTCTGGGATGAAAAATCAGCCCAAATCTACCCATCTAAGCTCGCACTCCTAAACCTTGAGATGTACAACCAGACAGATTCATATCTTCGTCCCAAAATCACGATCGACATATCTGCGTATTTGCCGAAGAACCAGAAAGTAATGGTCAAGCGGCTGATAGCCCCAGGAGCTGATGTCATGTCATCCGACGTGACCACTTGGGCAGGTCAATCTTTTGCTTCTGGTGTCGCAGAAGGCAATATTATGGAGGAAAACATATCCGACGGACAAGTGGTTGTCGAGGCTTCCTCCGCTGCTTTGGTGTATTGGTAAACGCAGTGTAGCATATACATTGACTCATCATAGGTTTTGCTACAGAAGTGAGCTGGCTATCCTTAAGTATCTCCTGCCACTGGCAGTGGGTGTCCCAGTATAACAGGGAATCCTTCAGGAGCGTGCAACACGACTCTAGTAGAGGAGTTAAACAAGATCGGTTGACCGTTACTCGGCACACCAGTCAAGCGCGACTGGTCAGGACTGATCAGTGCCTTACTGTTGGTGGCGTATGATACTCCATAACTTTCTGTCATCGAACGGGCGGAGATGAGCGCCAGAGCGGGCACGTACGCGAGGACTGAGAGGACTGCTGGAGGAATCCTGACGCTGTTACAATTGTATTAAAGCCGTATGTGTTACATTCCCTGCAGCACTATCGAGGGCGTTTATGAATGAGTTGATATCATTCATCAGAGGCTAAACAACCAGGTAAATATTCCGAACAACTTTTGAATATCAACCCACTGAAGGATGGTCGTTGAACCTGCCATGTGATCAGGTTTGTCAAGTCAGGCCCTGGTGTGGCTGAGAGCGGAGGACAGAGGAGAAAGGGCCAGACAGGCCTTCCCAGGCCTTCCTAGGATTGAGTGACTCCGTAGTCCAGACAGACCTCAGGGATAGCTACCAGTGAAGACTGGCAGTGCTTGTACGCCGCGAACAGACTGACGCGGACATCACATCAATCCAGGAAATGCTGTGAAAGAGGGTGGGGGGAGGAGCAAACAGCGAGCACAGGTACCACGTCCACGTCGGCTGCTCCCGAAAACTTGATGCTGCGGCCAAATTAGGGGATGCAGATCTTGCAGACATAATTGATCAGGTCATTTCAGCAACACATACTATCATTGCCAACAACATCAACATGTCCGGTCCGTGGCAAAGCATCATTTTTGATGATCCGAACTCTAGGCACCCTATGCTTTCTGGGGGTATACCCGTGCAGTTCCCTACCAAGTTGAAGGTGGCGCACCTTGCCGGCCTCCAACGCGACCCAGCACGTCACCTCATTAGTTGCCAGAGGTGTTTCCACAGCGTAAGTTTCCAGCGCCTGACCATCAACCGAGATCCACAGTGTACTCCTGATGTTTTAGCATAGTAGTCGAGGGTGGTACTTGGCGCATGCAAACTGGAATGAAATGAGGTTTGCATTAGGTTCCACAACATTATGTATGTTGTTGTAACAATGCGCTACCCAAAGACGTCTGATCATAACCAGTTAGCCGAAGACGTCGTGTCACAGCATCGACCGCAGTTGTAATTTGAGTACTTGCTATACTGATAGTTCCTCAGTGCCAAACTTGGACTTGGTTTGCGAGACATTCAGCATGATCTCAGCTTCGTACAGGCGTAGGTGGGCAGCTAGATCCAGTAATAAAATTGGTTGCATCTACTTCGGAACACCAAATCAGTGCCACAACGGGGCTATGAAAAAAATTCTCGTGCTCTCTGCGGAGTACCCAACAATTGTTAATCACTTGGAGTGGTTCCCATGCTATACACCACCACCAGTTGACACATGCATGCGCTCCTGGAAAGCAATTGTACTGATACCCGTTTCTGCATCGGAGCTGGCCACAAGCTTGGCGTGATATTCTCGAATGCTGAGGATGAGGCGTGGTCCCAGCACAAACATCTGCACAATCGAGGCAATTTCAAGAAGTTCAGTATAGATCAGAGTCCCCGTTGATATTTCTCCCGTTGCCATGTTCTATAGAAATGATGGTCAATGGTTACATGCAAATGTCAATAATGACAGGTTGGCATACCCTATACTTCAAGGTTGGAGAGTAATGACTGAGTTGGAAGCCACAGACAACAGCAAAGCTAGCACGTGCAGAACTTCAGCAGAAATACATGACCACATTGATCAGACTACGAGCTCACCTCGCGAAGTAAACTACGTGCGTTTTTATCAATACCATAAAACAATCCCCGATGGTCCATCCCATTGATATTCGTTGCAGTTCACGGACGTGTTTTACTACAATCCAGACTGCAAGACACAGGGCGAGAACCTCCCATGCAAGATAGAGTGCCCAGGCCACGGAATCCGCCAGTGTCGTGTCTCTCTCCTCCTCACCGTAAATGCACTGATGGATGCCCAGGATGATGAATTCCTCTGGTATTTTTCCGATGAGCCTGGTGCAGACAGGTCTTTAGTCCATAATTAAGGCTCACCCCCTGACGTATTCGCATCTCCCATTGCAGTTATCACTCCGCAGGTGATCGTGACAGTGAAGAAGATCGCAACGAGAAAGATAAGCATCCCTCTGGATCGCTGATACATTGCATATAACCGAGCGATCATAATAACTTGCATGATGTTTCAGTCAACTCAATACCACTGAGATATTAAATAGCTCACTGCCCAGCATGGCATTTACGACCAGAATCACCCCATTTAGTGTGGAGTTCATAGTATTGCCTGAAAAGCCCAGCTGGTGATGAGCGTTGGAGGACCAAAGACTCCAAACAAACTCACAGCTATTGTGGTCATTATAACTAACAAGCTAGCCAACAATGTCACTCACCCCTAAATGGGAGTGCAGTTAATTAGACGGGAATCGCAGGATCAGATCCGGTGCAAAATACTCACTACATCTATCATTGAGAATGACGGAAGACTCACTGTATGCTGCCGGTGAGAAGAAACAAACAGTGTATGTGACGTGACATATGCAGTATGTTGATGCTGATCGTGAGTATTGACTGATTAGCACAGCGCTGACTTGTCAACCTTGAAAACATACACAACGTATAGTATTCCAATGTAGCGCACCTAGAACATTTGTTAAGTCAGCACAACTTGTCAACTGCGCGTATAATATAAGTACGTACACTGAGATACAGAAGAGTCACGAGGGACCAGCGTTGCCTCTGGCCCGAGATAATCGTATCATCCCATTGTTCATCTGATATAGGACTCTGCTCACCCAGATCAGTTCAAACTACAAAATAATTCTCAGTTGAGATGGATGCTCCGGTAGTGGTAGCATCGACGCACCTCTTGTCCGAATGTTAACGCTGAAAATTCATAAGGATACAAGTGGTTCATTGATACTGTCTTGCTCACCCCAATCATATATCACTGCAGCAGAGGAGGCAACTGCGCAACCACAGTGAGGGTTAGAACTAGACATTACCGACATATCAGACTAGCTCTCTACGAACCTACAAAATAGCTGAAACCACGAAACTGAGGGATTAGCGGCCACCAACTGGGATCACTTGAGATGAAGGTCATATTCGAGGGATGGGTGCAATTGAGTAGCGAACTTGGTGGACATACAATTAAACACCGCAAAGGTTCGAGATGCTGTTCGTGATTTCGGGAAGTTTTTACAAGTTCCAATGCTATTCTCGTGCTGTGTTGATGTTCTTGCCACACCTGCATCGATTTCCGTCAATGAAATCATTTAGCTCAAATACAGGTCTACGCGCCATGTGACAATCCAAGAAGTTTGCCATCCCAATATTACAAGATCTTACTGTCGACATGACCAGTCAGAAATGAAAAATCGAATAGGTCCTTTGACACGTAACTTACCTCTCCTAGGCTGCCATCACCTTTGTAACGCCTCCAAGTACAGCCCTCGATGCCTTATCTCCCATTGCGCTTGTTTTAGTCCTCAGCGCCCGTCGCTCCACTCTCGGCCTTGGTCATCCAACGATGATAATGCCATCAGGGTACAAAAAGGTCAAATCAGATGTAAAATCAAAGCGAAACGCACCGCATTCAATGCGTCATGCAGATGATGCCAATGGGCGTTGCATCAAGTTTCACAGCCAGGTGATACATCCTGATTGATGATTCGTGGACATACATTAATATAGTATGACGACTTCAAGGACCTGCCACTTCGTTCATCTCAAAAATGAAAATTTGGTTAGTGATTAGAGTTGATTGGTACCTAAGTATAGGACTTTTACTAATGATTGCGCCGTAAACACTTCACACTTAGTAACAGACTGAATTCTCATCGACCGACGTCACTGGCAGGGTCTGCTCGGTGCCCATAATTTATCGTCTGTGCATGAACACTCTGCGTACTCGTTCCACAATGCCGACATTCCTGCAAAGTAGCCATCTCCTCGTTGCCCCTGCCGCCGTCAAGCCACATCGTGACTCATAACCTTACCCCAGATCCAGTCACCCCGAGTCCAGCAGAGTTCTTCTCTGATGTCTTGCCTAACAAACCCAGTCTACAGCGGCGTGCAAGGCTCCTCTCCGCAGAAGCGCACTTCTCATATGTGAACCCAATGCCACTAGAGTTTCCCTATGAAATCACTCCCCCCGACCCACCTGCTGTCATCGAGGACAAGGCTGGATACATCGAGAAATGGCTCAGCGAGCGCGAAGCTATTCATCCATCTCCAGTTAGCAGTCAAATGCAGCCTTCATTAAACAAGTATACCTCCAAGCTCAGAAATCGGAAGAGGGAGCTCATCGGGTTGTCCGAGACATGCCTCAGAGACTGCCTGCCACATCTAGACGTTGGCGATGCCTTTGAAGTGCCTGGGGAAACCAGCCTTGGCCCCTCTTATAGAAGAAGAGGTTGCTTCCGACCTCTTCGCCAGAGGCTGAGGCTGTCCGCCAAGAATTGGTGGATGTTTTAAGTGGCCATGCCGTTCTGATGGCACCCGAGTCCAGCTCAAATCCTAGCTTCGCACCCTGGTCCGCCAGGTACAGTGGCCACCAGTTTGGCGTCTGGGCTGGTCAACTTGGTGATGGCCGTGCCATTTCTATCCGTCAGTCATATATTCCCACGTCTACTCCTAGGGCGTCTTAACAGGCTGGTAGATGTTACACCGCACCCCGAAGACGTCGAAACCACATACGAGCTGCAACTGAAGGGTGCTGGACGGACACCCTTCTCCCGCAGTGCGGATGGTTTAGCCGTTCTTCGCTCATCCATCCGAGAATACCTCTGCTCAGAAGGTACAGATATTCTCACTTGCAGCACTGAACTTTTACTAACGACATTATAGCCATGCGGGCACTCTCGATCCCGACTACCTAGAGCACTAAGTCTGATCTCCCTCCCCGACTTGCCAGTTTTACGAGAGCGCAGGGAAACCGCCTTGTATCTTCACGCGTGTTGCACAATCATTCATCCGTATCGGCAACTTCGAAGCCCTCAGCCCTCCATCCAACACTTTCTTCCTCGGCGGCGGCCAGCAAAATGTTGATTACGACGGCCTTGCTCAAGCTGGGTGAATGGACGGCGAGGAGAGTGTTGAAGCTCGAAGGGATCGACTGGGAAGGCTGGTGATGCTTGGGGTAAAGAGCTTATCTTGGATGTTGCAAGACGAAATGCACAGATGGTGGCTGCATGGCAAGCTTATGGATTTATGCATGGTGTTATGAACACGGACAAGTGAATTTCCCTCTACCGATCCCAACTTTTCTGCGACTAATCATCTGGTCTCAGCATATCAATTCTTGGGCTGACAATAGATTACGGTCCATATGCATTCATGGACGTCTTCGACCCATACCATATCTGCAATCACTCTGACGCAGAAGGTCGTTACGCATATAAGGTGGATACACCACCATTGTCGTCCGCTTGTATTAGTAAACTGACACCCAGCACAGTTTCAACCAAATATGATGTTGGTCTTCCAACTCCGTTTTCTGACATTCTAACAACACACTTACAGCGCTTACGCCTGTCGTGCCCTCCTGGACGCGCTCGCCCCCCTCATCGGCGCAGAAGCCGACCAGGGCAACAAAGCAGTCCAACCCGGCTGGGCATCCTCAGTCACACCCGAAACACTCGTCTCATGGCGTACAGTAGGCAAAAACCTCCCGAAAGCCGAAATGGAGCGGATCCTCGAAGAAGCCTTTGACATGGAATATGCAAACTTGATGCGTAAACGCCTGGGACTTCGTCGTCAGGAGAAATCGGACCAGCGTTCGATCGTGCAACCGCTTTTGGACATGATGGAGGCGCAACGGTTGGATTTCCATGGTACTTTTAGGCGGCTTGCGTTTTTCCATCCTGGATGATGAAGGGGGACAATAGTGAGAGAATGGAGACGTTCATCAAGGGGATCTTGAGCGGGACACCTGATCCGGACAGTATGGATTACGTCTCGGCTGCTGAACAGTGGTTAACTTGGCTGGACAAGTACAGTTCGCGCATTGAAAGCGAGCGCCGTGGGAAGGAGTGGGCTGGTGAGGCTGACTTTGACAATGCCAGACAAGCCGCTGCCAAAAGTGCGAACCCGCGTTTTGTGCTTAGACAGTGGGTACTCGAGGAGCTCATCAAGAAAGTCGAGGGAGACCATGACAGTGGGAAACGTATCATGGCTAAAGTGATGCAGGTAAACAACCATCACCTATGCGTAATTTGACAACAGCTCACTGTAACCTCCAGATGGCGTGCAAGCCCTTCGAAACGTGGGGAGCAGAAGGTGATGACACACCAAGCGATGAACTCCCAGCAGAGATTAGAGAGGAGCGGCGTTTGTGTGGGCTGGGCGACAAGAGATTGTTGGGCTTCCAATGCAGTTGCTCAAGTTGAAGTTGGTCAGAGGATATCTATTATCAACCAACAGCTGCACAGGCTAACAACACGGACGCCAAGTATCAATAAATATAAATAGATTTACCGCAGAACATCTTGGGGCGAGCGCAGGATGTATAGCGAGTAGTAATGCACAAGATTTAACAGTGACACAACAAGGGGATCAAGCTAAGCGCGAAGCAAGCTGCGAACTTTCAAGGAGTGACCAAGTGGGAGGGGTAAAAAGTCGATACCGGATCGTCAAGCGCCCCACGAAAAGAGGTATGAAGGTGGGACGCGGAGGAATCAATATGAAATAATGTATACGTACTCAAGATATATGTGCGAAATGAAGTTGGCGAATATTGATAGAAGGCGAAGCGTATTGTTTGGAAGAGTCGATCATCCGAGTGGAACTTGCGTTGGGGGGTATGGGAAGGCTGTCACGCTCACAGCGTCAACATCGTCAATCGTCGATGCGCGTGAGTAATACGATGATTGCATCGACGCCACGCGCAGACGCTCCTGCACTTCCTCGACTGGCATGTCTAGGGCAGCGATAAGCGATTGCATGGCGTGGGAGCTGCCAGAGCTGGTATCGCTATTTGAGCGGGCTTCAAGGAAAGGTCTTGGGACGGCAGCGTTTGAGTCAGCAAAGGGATTGGAATCGGGTGCGGTGTTAGCAAGGAGCGTGCGCTTCTGGGGTTTTTCTTGCGCGTTGAAGAACGGGTTAGTGACGCGTCGGCTGATGCTGCTCTTGACGGAAGCTGCATCCGCAAAAGGATTGCGGGAGTCACCCGCTTCTGACAACCCTGAGCCAAGTACATCAATATGACCAACTTCTGCACTCTCCCAGCGATGCGACCCAGACACGGTTGCAGGTGGCGTGGATTTCGCCATGGTCATAGTAGGTGACATAGTGCCAGATAGATGTGAGCGCATGGTGAGGAATGAGTCCCCGCCGGCAGTCTCACCGTCCCATGAGACGGTTGGCACACCATCAGCTTGGGCGCGGCCCAAGAACTGCTGGACAGGGGGAGGTTTGGTAACAACGATATAACCTGTTGGAGCAGGTTTGGACGCCATTTCCTCAGCCAAGCCAGGATGATACTTGGCAAAGTGCTGCATCGTGCTGACGGACTCGCGGTTTCCGTGGTCGTCAAAGGACTTTTCTCCAGAATTTGTGCTGGGTGTAGCGATGGAACATCGCACCCAGCTTCTCCATCGGCCCGGATGGAGGCCTTTGTGTCAACGCCGTCGCATTCTGATGGCCTTCTTTTTCATCATCTAGACGATCCCATGGCTCCAGATGAGAGCGCCGGCGGGACAGGTTGTTCGCAACATTGCGGAACTGCGAAGTGGGTGAAGTAAGGGGAGGGTTCCCACGGCGCTGCGGCTTCTGCCGCCTCGAGCAGTGGATTGCCAAAGATATGACGAGTACGAGTAGGATGAATACACCGACGCACGCACCAATGACGGTGCTTAATGATATGTTATCGCCAGAAGATGAACTAGGGGATGAGGTAGTCGCAGCAGATGGATTGGACGACAAAGTGGACGATGGGGACGGTGTCGAGGAAACGAGCTGGATACCCGTCGCAGAACCTGAATCAGGTGCGGCTGTAGTATTTTGGGCGAGAGCAGTTGCGGTTGGTGTTGGGTTAGCGACTACTACGGAACCAGAAACGCCACCCAGCGTCTGTCGTTTTCGCAAGGGGACGTAGCGAAAATTGGACATATCTGATATTTGATTTACAATGGAATGATTGGAACGAGAGGAATCAGGAAAAGAGTGTACCGCGGAGGGGATTGAGAGTAGCTACGAAAGAAAATGATTACTGGTATGTGTCAACGATAACGTCGCTGCCGAACAATTGCAAGTTAGTACAAGTACATAATACTCAATCAAACGATAACACTTACAATCACTCGAGCGAGCAAACGCTGCTCGTTGAGGCGCTGCCGTGGTCGCTGTCGTCGGCAATGTTGATGGGCGAAAAGTGGCAAGATTAATAATTTTTGGTGATTCAGGTCGGTCTCAAATAGTAACACACCGCTGTCTGCGGCTTTTCCTCGGCTAAGCACACGTTTTATGACAACTGTCGTGAACTTGAAGTGCACGAATGTCATGGCGATAATAATCGGTAACGACAGAAAAAGGAGTGTCTACTCTTGCATGGCGACAAACCGTATACAAAGCATGCAAATCATTCTCCCCCATGTGGACCAATAATAGAAGGGAAGTACATCCACAAAGTCAATCACCCATCAACCTACTGCCTGAGACGGCTTCTTCAATGCGACGTAGAAGGAGTTCGTATTCGGGGAAGAGCAAGGTCGTCATTCTCTTCGTGAATTCCAGGAGGGTGGAACTTCTAAGTACCATATCCGCCCAGTAAGGGTTCCCATTCGTTGCGAGTGTATTGGCGAGGAAACCATAAATGGTGAGATCAATGCGAGTCGGCTGCTCGGTGTCGTGAAAGTACAAGTGACCTGACATCCTTGCTTCGAGAGCCTCGAAAGCCTCTTTCTGCAAAGATTGAGCGTCTTCCTGAGAGTGGCGCCCCATCCCAGCATTCCAAATCGCCTGTGTCACCTTCCTCCTGAAAAACCAGGATAAAACGGGCCGCACAGGCCAGGTCATACTCCCAAATATCTCCCCAGCAGTCACTGCATAGTTTTCATCTATGTACCACCGATCTCGGACGATCGCAGAGTATAGCACTTCTTCAATATATGCTTGCCATGCTCTCGACTCGCCCTTTTGAACGGGAGTCAAGTCGGCGATTGTGTCCGGATCTTTGACAAGCCCGTTCTCGACGAGGTAGCAGATGATGAAATGGGAGTCCGCGACAGTAACGGTTTTCCCGTCATGCCTGATGTTGGCGAAGGGAACTTTACCCTTGGGAGCTTTCCTCGGCACTGTCTCGCCCAGTTCATATGAAATGCCACTGAATCTGAGGAATGCTTCTAGCTTTTGGCAGAAGCCAGATGAGCTGGGTGCATTGGGTGGCTTGGCCACACCCCAAAGTATGACATGGGGACGTGACTCGGATACGGTGGACATGATCTGTAAAGCTACAGATTTTTTGAGTCAGGGGTGGAAGATATAATCGATGGGGAGACAAACCTATGAAAGCGGACTTGCAAGCTTGAGCCTGAGATTGCTAACGCAAATTCAGTCTTATAAGTTATCAATCTTGCAGTGCACGGCGAGCGGCAGAATCACCACTAGATTGACTGCGGATGTTCTCGACTTGTCTTTGTCATTAGCCTACGACTTCCTGCCGGCGGCGGCGGCCGCAGTTGACGTCGGTTGACCAAGTTCCAACACGCAGTCGTCATGATGGTCAACTCGAAACCTGAAGGCTGCCGTACCTCCCTGAAGCACGTTATGCTCTCGCTGGTCCACAGCGTACATCACCTTTCGAGTTACAGCATCACAGACAATACATAGGGTTGATGAAACTACACGTCGAGTTTCAGTAAGTACTGTGGCTCGGAGATTTCCGAGCTGACGACATCGGGGGCCAGGGCGCGGCTCAGGCCTCGTCAGGGACCATCATGATCGCGGCCAGGGACCAGGGCTTCTTAATACAACGTGCAAATCGCGAAAAGTGAAGCAGAATCTACCAATGACCGTCATCGATGACCAGATCGACGACTCGGAGGGATCTACAGCCGTCCCTTAACCGTGCACGAAGTATCATCTAGCACATACGTTTAAGTGAGTCACTGGTTCTAGGATATCACCATCGTTGACAAAAATCATTGAACACCGTGTTTCAACCACCGATCCGTATCTTCGAAGACTATACACGCCTGTACACGCCTCACTGGGGAGTGCGGACGGCGTAAAGCAGGGAGGCACCGGGATCAAATTCTGTATCTCATTCAGCGCAGTCACTCCGCGCTTCCCCAGGGGGTTCTCATTCCGCAGCGACGGGCATCAAACAACAGGGCTCCATTGGGGCTCCATCAAGGTTCCATTATTAACGGTTCGTCTTGAATCCGTCGATCCTCTGATGCATGTTGGCCACTGCGTTCTTGCACCTTTTTCAGCTTTACAATCACTCTGCCGCACCCAGTTGCGGTGTCCAGCGATTGACAGCGATCGATCTGCTGGTCCACTATATCGGCGTCCCAAAATAACTGCAGATGCAGACCGTTGCGAATGTTCTTGCTTTCTTTTCTTTTTTATTATTATCGCCGGTGCCTATTCTCCAACAATATGAGCAGCCTTTGACCAGATCGTTATGATACGTTCTACTCCAGCATGGTGGATGGTACACAAAGCATGCAGATCGTTCAGTCCCCCTATGTCGACCAATAATAGAAGGAAGTTAGTCGTTCCTTCTGCAAAGTCAATCACCCGTCAACCTGCTGCTTCAGAACTTCGGCTTCTTCCATGCGACGTAGAAGGAGGGAAGAGTAAGTTCGTCATTCTCTTTGTGAACGCCAGGAGGGTAGAACTCCTAAGCACCATATAGGACCCCCATTCTTTTCGAGCGTATTGACGAGGAAACCATAGATGGTCAATGCGAGTCAGCTGCTCACTGCCACAAGTGACTTGACATCCTTGCTGTGAGAGCCTCGAAAGCCTCTTTTTGCAAAGATTGTACTTCTTCATGAGGACGCCCCATCCCAGCGTTCCAAATCGCCTTCCTCCCAAAAATTTGGACGTGCGGGCCAGGACATGCCCCCGAGTCTCTTCGGCAGTCACTGCAGAGTTTTTGTCTACGTTCCACCAATCTCGATAGATCACAGCGTATATTAATTCTTCGGTATAACGCTTACCATGCCTTTTGAACAGGCATCGAGCCGGCGACTGCGTCCGGCGGATCTGTGAGAAGCTCGTTCTCGACCAGTGGCGGATGATGAAATGAGAGTCCGCGACAGTGACGGTTTCCCCGTCCGCGTGCTTGATGTCGGCGAATGGGAGCTTTCATGTCTCATATCAGTTTTGCGGTGCGCGGCGGGCAGCAGAAGCAGTTTTGACTGCGGATTTCTTCACACATGTACTTGTCTTTATTATTATGGGACCCTGCGGCCACAGCTGTCGGTTGACAAATGACGACCAACTTTTACACAAGGGCATATCAAACGACTGAGCATTTGAAGTAGCCGTCACAGATAGAAAAAATCATGAGGTATCTCTGACCGACTCCACTTTCCTGTATGAAATTATCTGAACCGAACCTTAAACGCACCCATGACATTCGGAATTGGGGCAAACGTAACTGTGGGCATTGATCAGTCTGCTCAAATTTGACCTGTTCGCTATCATCAAAAGGGGTCCGACCATGATTGGATATGGAATACACATTGTGCAATGAGGGTGCCCATTCACCCTCTTTCACACCTGCCAGCATTGCATCTTTCCAATATTCGAGCTCCTCGTCATTGAGATTATTTGTGAACTCTTCCGCCCGGCGGCCGACTGGTAAGTGGGATGATACTTGCTTCCAAATCCGTAGCAGCGAATGCATAGACAAGGAACATCAACATGTCACAGAACAGGTTTCGCTACACGGAATTATTGCCCCTAGCATTATCAATGCGTTCTTCTCAATGTATATAATCAGAACACCGCTTCATGTAGTCATTGAACCCAGCCCATTGGTCACAGCGTTTCTCGGCGGAAAGAGGTGGAGGAGAAGCTGAGGGATGTTTCATACCAGAAGAGGAGGGAAGAGCGCTGTGACATTCATAGCTTCCTGGTGACGGTTGAAGTATTGATGCAGATGGTAGCAGATGATTGACGTCTATCGACGGCTTGCCTCATAGGTTTAACAGGACTGGTCACCAGTCTAGGTGATTGATAGATAGGAGCTAATTGGATTTTAATAAGTACTGACAGCGTGTGAATAATACCGGCAATTCCCAGCTGTACTGAGCCCTCAGACATGACTATACGAGCACTATACAGAAGGAACGACTATCTTCATTCTAGTGTGTCCGACTACGGGAGACTATACGAGTACCGGGGCTGGCGAGGTAACGGGAAGCGAACCAGAACTTATAACTGACGGATCAACGAGAGTATGTCTCGTCTACAGCCACCTTAACAGTACCATTGATCATCTACTAGAGCCGCATACACTGGTTCTAGTGTCGTTAGTGACAAATGTGATCCTGAGAAGTAGGAACCGTGTAACGACTAGCACCAAACATCGTGTTTTCAACCACTGGCACCAGTCCGTGTCTTCGAAGACTTCGCTGTCAAGACTCCGAAGAGAGGCATCAATAATGGTTATAGACGCCTCACTTGACAGCATCAAGCTGTGAAGTAACTCCAGACTCCAGGATTACAGGTAGATTAATTTATCAATTTCTGTATCTCATTCGGCGCAGTCACTCCGCTCATCCCCCAGGAGTCCTCATTCCGCAACCACGGGCATCAAACTACAGGGGCCCCATTTAACGATTTGTCCTAAATTCTTCCATCTTCTGATGATGTTGGCAGAGGTTGGCAATTGGCCACCAAGTTAGACCACGTTCTTGCACCATTTCTGGCTTTACGTTCACTCTACCGCAGCCAGCCGCGGGGTTTGGTGATCCACAGCGATCCACCTGCTGGTCCACGTCGGAGAGATCAGCAAAGCACCGCGAATAGTCTTATCGCCGTGTTATTCTCCAACTTTCGCCAATTTCCCTTCACTCCTAGCACCTCAGCGAGGCGTACGAGCTCAGGGGCTTCTTTATAAATGGCCGTAGAGAAATCAGTCGATATGAGTCATTCCACATGCTAACCGCATTGAATTGTCCGAAGAAGCACCAAAAACTTGCTACCCTCTGGAGTACCAGCAGGCCCTTCGTTCTTTCGATTGTTGACCTTGATCAGGGGAGAAGGCATCGCGGAGTCTTCAGTGAGGAACAAATAACATTGCGAGAAGATCGCACCATTCTGTCGGAAGATGCGTTCTTTGTCCGCCTCAACCCGCAGGTAAGGATGTTATTGTCAAACAGGCGAATCGCTCAATGTACGATCTCTCCTCTCCAACACATCCGCGATTGCATTGCAGGTGAATGTCGTGGGATATGTTCATTTGATGATACATTCTGTTTGGCATTCCGAACTCATCCGGTGAAAATGAACCGCGTACCTTGGTTATAAGGACCCTTGCATCTCCACGGACGCCCACCATTCGATATTGTTTGCTATCGAAAGGGAAATTGTTGCGGCTGGTGAGTCGTTGCATTGTTATGATACCAGATTTGCAAGTGCGATGCACGTAAGATGCATTGAACTGTCATCTGGGTCTCGATTTTTCAGCGGCTGAATGACACCCCTCTGCAGATGTAAGTAGATCACGGACACTGGATTAGGTAATACAGGAGGATAGATAGATACAGAGCTGGAAATATGTGAATGATCCTACAACTTAGCTTTCAATGCCTTTCCAGCGTCCCTCACAGCATCCTTCACAGTCTCCACAGCGGTCTCCGCAACCGACGCTTTATTCTCAAAGTTCTCCATGATTTGTGCCATACCCTCTGTTGAGGTAGCAGGGTGCGTAGCACGACCATCATCTACGAGTCCCCCATTAGCCTCCTCTTCCAGAGCTGAGATCGTGTAACGTACTAAAGTTGGTGAAAACGTCCCATTTGGAGATGATGTCCTCCGGCGTGAGCACTTTGTTCGTAGGGAACCCGTACCCGCCAGCGCGTTGCCACCGAGTCTGCGCTGCCCATCCACCAGAAATTTCAAACAGCTGTCCTGTTGTTTCGGTGTTCGCTTCACTTGTGAGGTAGCCGACAATTGGTGCAACGTAGTCGGGCTGCAGGAAAGATAGGATGTTAGATCGAATATCTAACAAATGCAAATGCCAGACCTTGTATGCATCAACCATTTCTTGAGGCCAAATGGTCATCGTCATGGCAGTGCCCGCTGAGGGAGCGATGACATTGCTCAAAATGTTGTATTTGCGGCCTTCAAAGCAGAGCGTCTTGGTGAGGCCCATGATACCAGCCTTGGCTGACGAATACTGTATTGGTGGTCGTCAGCACTCGCACGATGGAACCAAAAGAAATGCCTTGCATTCGTCTGGCCAAAGTTACCATCTGCGAACAAAGGACTTATAAGAAACGTAGATACACGAAACACACATGAAACGTACAAATGCCAACTTGCGAGCAAGTTGTAACAATACGACCGTATTTCTGCTTCTGGAAAATAGGCCAAACAGCTTTGGCGCACTTGACCGGTCTCAGACACTATCGACTGTTTGTGAGGCAGGGGCGTTACCTTGTAAGTACCGCGTAAATGCACTGCCATGACAATATCCCACTCCTGCTCGGACATGGCGGTGAACGAGCGGTCTCTCAAAACACCAGCATTCGCTACAAGGATGTGCACGCCTCCAAAAGCGTCCAGTGCTGTCTTCACAATAGCATCGCCTTCCTCGGCTGAGCATACTGCAGGGACTGCTTTGCCACCAGCTGTGAAAGCTCGCATCAATTGGAGATATTGAGTGGAAATGAAAACATACCCGACTTAATTTCGGAGCACACAGCATTGGCTCCTTTCTCACTGACGTCGTTGACAACCACATTCGCGCCAAGGCGCGCATACATGAGTGCATATGCACGTCCGAGACCAGCACCAGCACCTGTGATAATGACAGTCTTGCCGTCGAAGCGAACGGGCGGTGTCGATTGGGCATTTGGGGCCAACTTAGCAGCAAGTTCGAGCTAGGGAATGATACAATCAGAGGATATCCAAGACATATGATTTCTGTCGCGTACAGGTTTCTCACTATCTTTGACAGATTCTGGGCTGCAAGAAAGAAGGTCAATTGAGCCAAGCTTCCTACCATAGCAAAACATCCGTACTATCTCGGGTCCGAGAAATCTGTCACTTCTGACCACTTGAGCTTGACCTGCAACTAAAGTTAGCTACTACATGATGAATGTATCCAACCGACTCACAGCTGAAGGAGTAAACGTATCATCCGTCTTCCAGACGGCGCCCTTGCTGCGTTCCCATCGAATCTCTGCGACATATCCAGCCCCGAGTTCAAATACCCTCCCAGAGGGGTTCGGTCCATCAGGATGGCACACAGCAGCGACGAAAGGCGCAACGAATTCAGGCTGTCAAATAAAGTTATAAAGGGGTGACACGCCAAAAAAATCCACAAACCTTCAGATTCTCGAGCATCTCAGGAGACATAATCGTCGCAGTCATCGCTGATGCGGCAATTGGCGCTATTGCGACGGCGCTGATATTGTACTTTGCACCTTCCCGCGCCAATGACTTCGTGAATCCAATTAGACCCATCTTGGCAGCACTGTAGTTCGCCTGGCCGAAGTTACCTGTACAAACGTGTAAGATGACGCATATGCACTCACTAAGCTACTCACCATAGATACCGGCTGCACTAGCGGTGTTAATGATCCGCCCGAACTTCTGATTTCTGAAGTGGGGCCAAGCAGCTTTCGTACACGAGAAGGCTCCCTTGAGGTGCACGGCAATGACCTGGTCAAACTCAGCATCCGTCATGTTCTTCAACCTGCCGATTCAATCAGCACCTCCGAAGCACCTCACCATAACATAACAAACCCTTTATCCCTCAGAATACCAGCGTTGTTAATAAGGATAGATACACCCCCGAAGGCACTGATGGCGCTTTGTATGACCGCAGCGCCGTCAGTCACAGAGGACGTATTCGTAACAGCGCTACCGCCCGCTACAGTCCAACGCAATGTCACATGAGTCTCGAGGCCGGAACAAGTGAATGAACGAGCACACCTTTCTTTATTTCATCCACAACTTTTTGTGCAGCCTCTGCATTGAAGTCATTTACAACGACGTTCGCACCGCGCGATGCAAACAGCAAGGAGTACCTATCCACAATCGCTCATTTCGGTCACAGCCCGCGTAGGAGACGAACGGAGTAGCGTACACTTTCCCGATCCCACCACCTGCACCAGTAACTACGACGGTGTGACCTTTGAACGACAGAGACATTATGGCGGTATATGACAAGAGAGAAAGCTGGAGCGTAACAAAATGGTCAAGTGTCAAGTGATTATACGTGTGAGGGATGAACTAGGAGCCGTAGAATCACGTGAAAATCAGTCTTGCCCTCGGACCGGGTACACTCTCAAATCATGATGCATAACACGACGTGGCAAGTCGCAACGAACAACTCTTTACGACGTACAGCGAACCAGGGAGAGGCATAAATAATGATGTATATTGAGGAACGAGATTGATGAGACGCGCCCCGCGCAGCATACACGAGCAAGTATATACCGTCCACGAAGGCTAACCAAGACCGAGTAAAAATTAAGAAGCCTTGTAGAACAAATCGAGATCGCGAGGAAATATATAAATCGATAGATGAACAATGCCGCAATAGAAGAGCGGAGTAGAATAAATGCCGACGAACGCCAACGGGGATAATTTTGAAATAACTGGGGATGTGAACTGAAGAATAAGGACAATGGTACAAAGCAAGAGAGCGAACGGAGAAGATGATAGGTAGCAGCATGGGATGAATGATGGCTGCTAGAATGTGCGATGGTTCATAGGCAAAACGGACATGTAGACCTATTTATGAATACGATGCGTTTCGGCGACGGGCACAGTAATGGAGTGCGAAAGTGATGGGGAGAATATGAGATGGAAAATAATGAAATGAGATGGAAATGCTACGAGGAATGGGATGCATGGGACAGCAGAGCAGAACGAGATAGACATAATAAGAGACATGGCTGGATGGAATGCGTAATCAGACAATTGAGATTGCAATAATGCCAGAGTGGAACAATATGTCAAGCACAGAATGAGATGAGATGCAGGCAGATCGGGAACCCATGAACTTTTAGACACGAAGGACTTTCAAGCCTTGACCTGGGAGTTATCTCTAGCCGCAGGGCTTAAGCCACGCCAGCGTCCCCTAGGCAGTGTCCACTGCGTCCGTGTTCGACTTCGCCCATTCGATTGCGAACAGTGATGCCTTCAGGAACTTCTTGTTGGCGTATTTCTGGCAGACGTACTGGCTCGCAAAGTTGTCTTCCATTAGCTTCTCGCAGATCCATTGGTGTCCGGGCTCGAGGTGCTCCGCAACGAAGCCTGAGTGGAACACGAACGACTCGTTCTAAAAAGGAAAGCACAAACAAAAATCAGTCACATGATTCACAGCCACAACGAACACGCGTTTGCATCGTGCCCACGACACAAAAGCTAAGACGAGAGGAGATACTCACCCAATCACCCCCCAGCATCCGCCTTGCACTGTACATCCCCACCGCGGCAATGAGACTTGGCTTGCACCGCAAGAACCTGTAATCTAGGAGCGTCACCTCCGTCAAAAATTTGCCGAGCGTCCTTGTTTGGATGTCGTAGTTATCGGCCTTGCTGATACGACGCATCCAGCTATAGGGTGAGCAGTATTGCGAGACCTTGAAGTCGAGTGTCTGCAGCACGATGCGCTCGCCCTTGAGGATCTCCTCCTTCGTATAGCCGTTCTCGGTAATGAAGACGAACTCGTCGACGCTGGGCGCGAGTATTTCTTCGTACTTTGCGGCGATGAACATAGCGGTAACGCCAACGAGCTGAAGCTTGACTAGGGAGACGACACGCCTCGTGAGGAAACGATCGACTATGTTTATTGCAATCCAAAGCGTCTCGGGCAGCATGTGCCAGCGAAGGTGCACTTGGAGGAGCCAGTCAACCAGTGTTTGGCGCATTGCCCAGGTAATTTCATTCTGGCCCTCCATATAATCAGGGTTCGGCATCACATCATCCTGGAAGTCATGGTCAGCATATCCGAAACACAAGGGAGATCAAACGTACTTCGAGATCGTTCATGTATTTGAAAATTTCATCCGAATACTCTGAGACCATTGTCGTGTCCATATAATCGATCTCATCCTCGAACGTCTCCTGGATTTCCGCAACCTCTCTATAATGTCTCGAGGCACGCTCGGTATCCACGTCGGGCCATATACGGGGCGACTTCGCATCCGTGGCGGCAGCCTTCTCCTCTTGCTGTGAAGCAACTTGTTCCTGCACACCCATCATTTCATCGACCTCTTTCTCGTTTATGATGCTGAGTTCAGGGTCATCCTCGATATCTTCCACGTCCATATCGTTCTCCTTTTCTTCTTCGGCGGGAATAACTACTGGTACAGCGGTTTCCTGCCGCGATGCACGTTTGAAAACGGATGGCCGCGTTGAACGTGAAGTAGGGCGTTGTGCAACGGTATCCGCGCGACCTGGTCCGAGGGGGACGCGTTGTGGTCCGGTGGCGGCTGCTAGCGACGACGAGCGGTTACGCTTGAGCCCCGAGTCTGCGCCTTCTTTCACTACGTCCTTGCCTTTACCAGCAACGTCCTAAAGACCTTCAGAACGTTGCGACGAGTGAAATTTGAAAGACGCGACAAACCTTGCGGTTGACCGCGGTGGTGGTAACTTCACCAAGCGCTGGGCGCTGTGCACCATTCTTGAGGCCATTGAGGACTACAGAGGCGCGAGATGCGACACCAAGCGCAGAAGTCTGGCGAAGGTGCTTGCTGGTGGCATTTTCATCGGCATTCTTGCGCGTGATGCCGATGCGCCGAGTCTGAAGCTGTATTTAATGGATCAAAGTGATCAGCAATCAAAAGTTGAAAAAAGTAATTCCGAAGCAGCAAGCTACTTACGCGAGTGGTGTTGTTGGCCATGATGAGTTGAAATACAAGGCGACGGTAGGTAAGCTCAGCAGTGGGCAGGGAAAGATACAAAAGAGATTGTGAAGAGAAGAGAAAGAAGAGCCCTACTGGAACTTAAAACCTAGGTTTTGACTGAACTGTGTCGCGGGAGACGTTGTGGTTGAAGAAGAAAGAAAGAAGTGAATCAAAAGAACAAGTCAGCCACCACGGAACGACTTGGTCGTGTTCTGGTTTGAATTGACCTTGGTCAAGTTCAAATTCAGTCCATCGCGTACGACGCGAACCACACACGTGACTTGAAAAACAATTCAAAACAGTCGCGTCGCGCTCGTGTCGCGACGCGTCCTTTCACACCACGTTCTTTGTACGTACCAAAATAATAATACAAACGTACACACACACACATTTCCATCAGATAAAGAAGGTACCAAGCCCTTTACATGAACTATCGGCTTCCGTGATAAAGCGCTGCACAGCGTGGCTGTTATCATGTGGGGACGCAGATGAGCGTAATTTAATACCAGCATGCAGGCCTGGCACACGAGCAAAGTGCACGCGAGACCAAAAATCGGACAATAATCAACCTGCATAGCTCGTACGTTAATATGACCTCTGCAATGGAAGCACAAACCTACCAAAGTATACCATGCTACAGTTCACCTTTTATCTATCATGTCCGCCCATCGCCTTTGCTTTCCGCTCTCTCTCCAGCTGCCGCTGGAAGGAGTAGGCGCCTTCTCGGGCATGCCTAGGCCCGCCCTGTGTGGAGTTGCGCTTGCTTCTAGCGGCTCGACCAGCCCTGATGCGCTCTCCCCTGAGCCTAGAGCCGTTCCTGGCTGCCAACCCTGCTTCATTAAGAGCTGACGACCAATGTTCGATTCCGGCAGCGGCTGGGGCGGTGCAGGGATTTCAGGTATGGCAGCGGAATCAGAAGAAGCAACGGATGGTGAATCGCCTCTAGGACTGGGAGCACCTGGAGTATCGAGCGGTGAACTGGGGAATTGTGCTCGTCTCTTTGCGGACCGGTCTACATAGCTCGAAGACTGGCTGGATGCCGATGACTTCGCTGCACCGTGACGAGATAGCAACGTCCGCTTCAGCATGGTCAGCGCTTTCTTTGCATCCCTCCCATCCGCAGGTATAGGATTGACTTCCTCCCGTGCCCGTTTAATGCCTTGGCTCTGCACTTTCGAAACAGGAAAGAGCGGAATAATTTTCTCACCGCTCCCGCTTGACGCACATCCTTCACATGACATGCGGTCCGCATGGATATGCACCACAAACGTGGTGCTTCCAATTGTCAATGCATCTTCGTGTTTCAATGCCCGCGGAAAGCTGGCTACTCGTGGTGGGGAAAGCCTGACCCCCAAACCTTCACCCACGTTCACGGCCGGACCAACATATCCACCAGGGCGCAAGAATGATCCGTGCTTGGAACCCATATCCACAACTGCCCACTCTCGCCTTCCTGTGTCCCAAAACATCGTCGCATGCACTTTAGAAACCAACATTTCTTTCAACCTCACGCGAGGGGTGCTGCTTCCGGCTGGTGCAACGTCTCTCCCAAACTGGACTTCTTTGTGCTCATCAAGCACTGCAAGACGGTGTGCCCTTGGAAGGACGGAGCTCGTTTGGACAAGCAAGCGAAGTAGGGGCCATGGCTTGAAAGTTGATGAAAGAGATTCATTTGGGATCGTAGGTTGTGGGATTTCTGTTTCGCCAGGCCATTCGTATGCAGGATCGTAGCCTGTTTCTGCATGAATGTGATTTGTACCGCTCACCTCGCCATCCTCCATTTCCACGTGTCCTTGGTGTGGTGTAGTAGCGCAGTCCTCTAGATACTGTCACTATCTTCGGTCAATTGGTTGGCATACGTGAACGTAAATTTGGGTGCTTGGGTGTAAGAAAGTGAAATGCAAAGTAATTAGAACTCCGATGTTCACTTATATCCTTACTACTAGCTTACCATGTTCTGGGGTTAACACGCTTCTATATTACTGGTACTATAGGAGAGTACCCCATCCTCTTGGTTGACCCACAGTACTGCGCATTAGCGTTGTAAAAGCATGGAATCATTTACAGAGGTACGTGCGACCTACTTCCGCAACCAAACCCCACATGTCTCAATGGCTTGTACTTCTAGGACCACTCCAAGTTTCTTCTATCCAAAGAATGGCTAGTCAAAGTTGACTCGCAGAGTTCCACGCCTTATCTATTTGTGTGTGCCTGCTTAGAGATTTTGAATTCCATATGAAATAACGACTCCGGCGTGCACGATTCCTCACAGAAATTTACCTATTCCTCAGTTGACCTAACGGCTTGCATACTCGTCACTGACACCAAGACCGCGTGGGCCGAGGGTGAGTCTCTTTTCTAGTCACCGAGATGAATGAAGCACTCACAAACCAATCACAAACCACATTCACCAAATGCTCCATTAACGCCGATCACGCTGAAACGCTTGCATGACGCTAATCGACTCGATTAACGCCACTCATCAATCTGAACCTCGACAGTCCTGACGAGCAATCAATTTGCCCGGCGGTGGCGTTTGTGTAACAAGCTCTCCATTTCTCCTTTACTGGATCCAGATGATGAAGAATCTTGGCGAGATCGTCACCTTACACTCCTAGATAGGGCACACTCACTCGGTGGTTTTCAAGAGCTCACTTTTGATGCGGCAAAACCGACCTTGGGGGTAACCTTATCAGTGATTGTTGAGATGTGATACACCCTGACACGTTCCTATAGGATTTGGCGCTTGAGCTGGAATGCAGTAACTGGAAGTGGAGGTGGGAGCCCACCTTGCTCGGGCCCAAAATATCCGCAGAAATCCTATCAAAACACCTTATCATGCCCCTGATAAGTGTTAATCACCTTGCATTTTCGTCCTCCGATGTCTTGGGCGATCTGACGCCCGGGGAACTCGAGAAGGTCAGTTTGTGCTTCCTTTACTCGCATTTCTATTTGCAGCAACTCACGTTGCGTTTAGGCAACGGATAAAGTCGGACGTACTGCAAGAAGGACGGCAGACACACATATCAGGAACGCGCTATCAAAGCCACGCGTATCGACGACCCTTCGGCGGATGACGGCCATGTTCAACTTCTTGCCTGAGCTTCGTAAGTCTTATTAAATGCTCAAATACCATCCTGGCATGACACGGGACTTCTCTCAAAAGCTGCAATAATCACTGACGCGGGCACTCCGGACCTTCGCGCGCCCGCGGCAGAAATTCCGTCGCCCAAAATAACGGTCCGAGATTCAGAGCACACACCAAATGTAGGTATCTATCTTGGATCGAAGATCTTACTACCCTGGGCTGAGCAAAAGTCAGATCCAGGATTACGACATGGAGTCTCCGAGAGAGCCCACGCCGCCCAAACTGCCACAACAAGAAGATTCTGCCACCGAGTCTGAGGATGAAGGGATTGCGCTAAAGAAAGGGACCCTTGCTTCTCACACCTCCAGCCGCCACCTCCGCGAGTCAGGGCAGCCTCCTTCGGCTAACTTATCTAAGAACGCCTCGCCAGCCCAGCCCGGCCGCAGCCGCAGCCACACAAAAGCCCCCGCATCAGAGTCCGACTCCTCGCCCGTGCGGCCAACTAAGAAGCCCAAGCCTCCCGAGGATTCAGATAAGGACGACAGCGAGGAGGAGCGCAGACAGCGTGCAGCAGCGATCAAGAGCGGAACTGCCGCTAAGCGAGGGACACGACAGCCATTGAAACGAGGAGGCAAGCGTTTCTAGTCCCTGTCCTAGTCCTTCCTGGTCGCCGAGAAGCGGATCATAGATGGGCAGGCAGTTTCCCTCATCGGGGGCGGATTGGTCGTGAGACTGATTATTGGTATTTCGGATACCTTGGACATGTCATTCCGCCCTTGTTCTTGTTCTGTAGTGAGTACGATTCTAATAACAAATTCCTAATGCGTTTCTCCAGGCGCCCCAAGGCCACGCTGCCAAGGCATGCAAATTTCTTGGGGTATATTCACTACCATGACTTCCCCCTTGATGGATCGACATCATTAACCCCTTTTCTGTGTAAAAGATGTGGAGTTATCTCTACAAATGATTGTATCCAAATGATGCTAGCTGTGCCGTAAGAATACAACAGGTACTGTAAGTGAGTACCTTTCGACAAATGCGATGGACACAGCTAAAAGCACAGCTACTAGCAGTCAAGTGTCCGAGTGATGGGTATTATAATTAGTGGCGAAAGCAGTACGATGGCAGCGAGGGATAGCAAGATAGGTCAAGGCGATGACAACCACCTCATATATGTATGGCGGTTGGACGCCGAGGAATCACCAATGTCGTCCCATTCGGCGACCATATTCATCCGAACCTCCAGCCTCGTACTCCAGGCAGGCGTCGCATTTTGTTTGGAATAGGTTCCGGACCCTGCGTTGATCAGAAAATTCCTGGAAGCGAGTAATACCCATAAGGGGACTGGTCAATGTCAAGGAGGCGCGTGTTTCGCACCATGTTACACCCGCAGTTCTTGGCAGTTTTGTGCATATGCGCTGCACTTAGCTTGCAATTCGGCCGGCCACAGTCGTATGTAATTCCAGTCTGATAGATTCGGACGTAATGCTAAATGGTGCCATTGTTATTGTCAGAGGTGACGACGCGTAGAATGCTCGCGGAAACGCACCCCACATCCTCTGTACTGGTCACCGAAACTGCGATGAACGGACTTTGGTCATTAATGTGCATGACGTACGGTGGGACTGACACGTACCACTCCATGTTACACATTTTGAAGAAGGTTGTGGGTAAGTGTGGATCCTTATGGATGATCCTATAGAGGACAAACGCGAGTGGTGGTGAGGAGTGGGTTTGACTCGGAATTGACGTGGTATGCTTTTATACGTGGGTCAAGTCTTGACCAATATGATTGGATACATATGGTAAGAACATCTTCGGTGCAGCGGAAACCCATTTACGAAGTAATCGTGGGAGAGCATATCGAACCATCATGGTGTAATGCGAGAGACCACCCGGAGCTTTGTGACGGGCGCGCCTGAATTGAGAGTAACTGCGTGATCTCTATCCATAAGACGTCACTACTGTATAGACAAGTCCTTGATAAGGGTAGCACGGAAATGGTCATAAAGGACCACCCAGCATGAGGCCAAATTGATCGTAGATTTGGCAGAACCCTCGTGGTTAGCCTTTACATTCAAGTTGCCAAGGGTCCTCAGAACACGACGCAGCCACCAACCAGCCGTTTTCACCGCTTCCGCACTTCGGAAAGCGCTCCTTCTTAGCCGGCTCTATTCCGCTCAGACACGAATTAGGTCAGCATCATGACATTTGCACAAGTGATTGGTCGCTGCCGTGATCCCGCAGATCAAGAGAAGAAAATATACCCATGATCGATCGAATCTTGGCAACATGCTAGTATGTTGTTTTAGAGCTGCTGTAGTACCCGTTTCAGATGGCATGCTTAGATCGCCAACTACACAGAAGTTGTTGGTAGTATGGCACTCTACAAGGATCCTGACATTCGGAATCCCGAATACACTGGCATTAGGGCTAACAGGTTGGAGCGCGCTGCGCTGATAACGGTTTTGATTGCGGTCGACAGAACTTCTTACAATCTTTTCTGCCCCCATCAAGGAAAACGTAGCAACGCGTTCTGTGGCGGGGACGCTCATCTAGGATTTGCTATGTAGATATATTTCGATATCTCGGGAGAGCAAGTACTTTGAATAGATTCACACTCAGACGTTCAGGCCCAGGGACTAGATCAGTATCAAAAAAAACCATTCCATTCAGAGTTCAATTCAATCATGCTGATGGCATGCTCACATGGAGGTCATCGTAAAGGCCAAGTTTGAAATACCTCAAGTGAAATCTTAGTCGGGCCCAGCAGGAATGGTCCGAATCGAACGAAACGTGGCGTAGTGCCTCCTTCATAATAACCTTCAATGAAGCGAGAAGTGGATAGTCGAGGAACAGGAACGAAGGCTTCACGTAAAAATAAGACCAAAACCCTTGATTCAGTTGCTTCCAAGTGTGCATGAAGTTCGGGTTTGTAGGTACATCGCATATCGAGGAAAAGCTTGGGCGAAACCTGATGCCCAACTGGGGACTTACAGAGTTATCATCAAACTAATTGCCTTCGTAAGCTGGACTGGATGAGACGAATAGGGTAACGTACGGGGGTAGTAGTTATCAGGCTCTCAGCTGTTTACCCTATTGTTTTGGAAGCGTTCGGGAGCCACGATGTGATGGGGGATAATCCCGCTCTACATGGCGACGCTGGGGTGATAAAGATCAGCGCAACAAATGCGTCCATAGACACCTTGCACCTTCTCACGGCTTTCAAGGGACTCCGGTGTGTTCTGCACATCACAAGGTGATGCTCACTTGCCTGCATGATCAGACAAATTGCAGTCTCGTGCTATCATGGCAGCGGCAAAAACCTAGGCATACATAAACACGCCAAAATATCAAGTGCTTCGAGAACAGTGAATCTTCCATATTTGTGAAGAAGCTTCTGACCCCACAACGGGTCCTTTTACATCTGCAAGATGTAAGATTTCACTCCAAATGTCAGAGACATAATAGCGAGCGCACCAGATCTAACATTCCTACTTAGCAGATGAGCCGGGATGCTTCTCCGGATGTCGTAAAATATATAAGAGCGTAATGGTGCGATATAATGGTCATCATACGAAAAGAAGTTCTCGTTACATGTTGGAGAAGCCCAGTCGCGTAGGAACGAGCGTAATCACGACCCATACACCCACCACGAGGTGAAAGAAGGTGACCAAGGGTATGGTGAGGTATTGACAACTTCTCTTCGCTGAAGAGAAAGCATACCTTCGCGGGAGCCTATGCGCAGGCTCTCGTAATAAGATTCTAGGAAGCCTGCATGACTTTGTAAAAGGGGACAGGAGGAGCATCACGATTGAGTGGCATCATGTATTGGCTGTATTGTAGATGGCTGCCCCAGTGGCATCATCTAAACGCTAGGTCTGACGTATGGGGGAGACCCTGCAGGCTCGAACCCACCGGGTATTCATAATCTCTATTGCAGTGTGGTGAAAGAGATCACATAGTTAATGAGAATCCGTTTACTTACGATTACCGTGGAAGATAAGTGCTACGCCGATCTGTAGAACAGAATAACACACGTGGTGGTGCATCTGACACCTCAACGCCGAAAATGAATCTGAAGATGAGGCTCCTGACGAGGGTCCTGCCGGCTTCAGTAGTGCACCGACAAGTGATTGCTACACGACAATGGTCTTCTGCACAACCCAGGCAGGCTGAAAACATACATGGTGGAACCCGAGAGTGTGGGGGCCGCTACTGAGGTGAATGAATCAGGACGTGATGGTCGGCGTAATTGAAAATCCTCTACCAACACTTGCCGTTGTCTAGCAGCCTGACATCCACCCGCAATAAGCAAAATTTTGCAAATGCTTCGGCTACCACCGGGTAGCTAGTGCCCGTGGTTTGAGATCCGTTGAGGACAGGAGTTTGCATGACAAGGGAGATGACGTTCATGATACCAAACTACGCCTTAGTCACGTATGCAAGAGTGATTAGACTGCCAGATCCGTCTTCAGACAGCTCTAGACTAGCTCTAGAAGGATGTCACAACGCTGGTCGGGGTAGTAAATAGTGATCGCAAATATGGAGTCACGAGCACGAGGGGAATCCCTGTTACGACCCTTTCAGTCTTATTACATCCTCAAGGAGAGGAGCACTCACGTACTATTATGAACGAAATTTCCAATGCTTAGCAGTAGCACCTTCAAGACCGGAGTGCTAATGCAGGTCGCGAAGTTCGTATGGTACCTAATGATCAGAAGGGTAGTTAAGATAGTCCTGGCTTCTGGCGATGCCGATGAATGGATGCATCAGGAAGCATGGATACTTCATAGGTTGAAGTCGGGGGACATGGCGATGAGTGGCTGCCGTCGCACTGGTTGACTTCAACTGCGCGCTAATTTGACTAATGCATGACTAGCCATGTATTTAAGCATTAGGTCAAACTACAAGCAGCAAAAATTACCGTTGGATGCCATGCCTACTGTAATGCTGGTAAGATAGTCACCTGCAAGCAGACTATCAAGAAGCAACATGGAGCTTGAAGCCTGAAGGCCACTGCGTGTAGAACTCGTCCCCAGTTGGTTACATCATGATGAGGTAGACTATCGATCATTGCACATGAGCAGGGACGCCCCTCGAAATAACGGAGGAATTAACCTATGTCGCAGAGAGTTAGATCAAGATGCTGGTCCTCATGCTCTGGCAAGTGTAGTTAACATACTGGTGGCATAATCGGTTCGGTGCACAAGAATCCCGGCAGTTCAACCCTTCGATGTGGATAACTGCGCCGTTGGTGTCGGAAGAGAATCATCGATCGCAATGTGACCTGTGAGCGTTTCGACATCCGCCAACCGGATTTTCAGTCCGTCGCGTATCATTACATCGCAGCACCTTCATCTCGTCTGATTCAGAAGTCTGGACGCGGTTTGTCAATCGATCGTCAATCAAGTTCTGGGGCAATTAAGGTGCGAGTCTTCTGGGATCCAATGCTATTGCAGTTGAATAGAATGGGCGAGAAAATGCCAGCGAACACCAGGAAACGGGGGCTCTGTTGAGGTCTGTTGAATCTAGTCCCTTGTCAGACTGCATAGTATAACTAGTATTAGTTACGTACTGTGTGAATTTGTGGTCACTAGCAGTTTAATTTCAAATAATGAAAAAGTTGAGGTTCGCTTCTACTAACTGCAGCTGGCAATATTGAGAGTCAGTGACTTTCACTCAGTGATTCGTCAAATTTTGCTTGCTCTCTCGCGGTGTCTTCGTTGAGTGCAAAACGTTTATATCCGTTATATCCGGATTCCCGACACCCGCATGAGTACAAGCATGTGATTTCATTGACTTGCACTTAGGGCTAGCATCGACACTTTCCCCAGTACTTCTTCCTTCATAACATTCAGAATTGACGGCAGACAAAGGTTGTAATATGGCATCAAAGGACTCTAAGAAGATCTTCACACGTGAAGAGGTGGCAAAGGTGCGTCATTAACTTCTGGAATGGCACGCTATGCGCGGATCTGACCTACAGGAACTGCACAGCACGATAAACCTGATGATTTGGTAAGAGTCTCGCTCTGCTTTATCTTCCTGACTGAGTCTGACACCTATCCAGTGGATTGTTGTTGATAGCAAGGTGTACAACATCACTCGTTTCAAGGATTTGCATCCAGGGGGTGCCTCAGTATTCGCAGAGGAAGATATAGGTACATTTTAATTTCGTGGTCCGGCGTCTGTAAAATTGAATCAGTGCCTCAGCTGGCCAGGATGCCACCGAGGCATTTTACGGTCTCCACCGTCATGAAATTCTTTTACGGCCACAATACGCTCGCTTACAAATAGGTTTAATTGAGGGAGAGGAGAGCGTTATATATTCTCGAGAGCCTGGGCAGCTCAGTGATGTACCATATGCAGAGCCTACCTGGCTCAGTGCTGGGTACTACAGTCCATACTTCAAAGAGGTAAATACACGACAAACTGTTTAGAATTCAACGCTAACGAGCATCAACACAGAGTCATCGACACCTACAGGCAGCGATGCGAAAGTTTGTGGATGAGGTTATCACTCCGGATGCACTGGTAAGTGCTGAAAATCGTTGCGAAGATAAATTCTGATAGACATCCTCTAGCTACACGAGGAAGACGGTAAACGTCCTAGTGCCCATGTAATCAAAGCTATGGCGTTCGTCCATCTCACTGATCCATAACCACTTCGTTCTTATGTGCATGTTTCCAGAGAGTTAAACATACATGCCATGCGCATTGGCCCCGGAAAACACTTGAAAGGCCTCACCCTTATGGGTGGTGTTGTGTCTCCTGAGGAGGTAAGGGACTTCAGTTTAATGTGTGATCGATTTTGACATATACCCTTAGTTTGATTACTTCCATGAGGTGAGAGGCAGCCGACCCTTCTTCTTTAGATACTAACTTTCAGTTTAGCTTGTCTGCATACAGGAGATATCCCGTTGCGGTCAGCGCGGATATGGCGATGGTAACACATCTTCAATCATAGATTCCGGTTATGAGGATGCTCACTAGGAGACCCTCCAGGTCTACAAAGCGGAGCTGTCATAGGGTTGCCACCTATCATGAACTTTGGACCGCCAGCGCTCAAAATGAAGATCATTCCGGAAGTGCTTTCTGGCAAGAAGTTCATTTGCCTGGCGATATCTGAGGCGTTTTCGGGAAGCGACGTTGCAGGCCTGCAAACTCGTGCAACTAAAAGTTCAGATGGGAAGTACTGGATCATTAACGGCACGAAGAAGTGGATCACCAACGGGACGTGAGTGAACTCGTTCTGGCACTCACGTATTCATATTACTGACGTCACTTGGGTCGCAGTTTTGCTGACTAGTACGTACAATGGTTGAAGCCGTGCTGCACGAACTTACACTTGCGACTAGCTTCACTGTGGGGTGCAAAACGGATGTAGGTGATGATTGATGTTATAGAATGGAACGGCTGAGTAATCATCATTGCAGACAGGATTTACTGTCATCTTGGTGGAACGCTCGGAAGGTGTTGAGACAAAGCCCATTAAAACGAGCTATTCATCATCAGCTGGGACTGCCTATGTCACGTTCGATAACGTCAAGGTCCCTGTAGAGAACACCCTCGGACCCGAGGGCGGAGGAATCTTCGTCATTCTTTCGTGTGTATCATTTTCAACTTGAAGGAAATGAATCAGGTGAGACTCATATAGCTACACAGCAATTTCAATCACGAGCGATGGGTGATGTGCGCTTCTTCCGCGAGAGGACAACGATTGATCGTTGAGGAATGCCTTAAGTGTGTTCATCAATTCTTTCTATACATGAGCTAACTACGTCGCTTGCTAGATGGGTCAATCAGCGCAAGGCATTTGGCAAACCTTTGTCTTCTCTGGCCGTAATCAGATCGAAGATTGCAGCCATGATCTCACGCACGGAAAGTGTTCAGAACTGGCTTGAGAATCTAACGATGCAAATGTGCAATATGGTAGTTCCATTCCAGTCTCTTGGAGTATTCGGGACTCATTGGTTGACGTATGTCGCAGACTTACAAGGAACAGGCACAGAAGCTTGCGGGGTATGCTCTTGCTCATGCACCATCGCGGCGTGTTGCTCACACGTTATTTCCGTAGGCCGATCGGTCTGCTCAAGATGTATGCAACGAGGTGTGCCCAAGAAACAGCTGCCGATGCCGTTCAGATATTCGGCGGACGTGGTATCACGAAGACCGGGATGGGGCAATACATCGAGCATGTGAGAATTTTACTTCGTCTTATCGTGCAAGGAAATCAACTGATATCCTGCTGATGGGCCCCTGATAGTATCACCGCACGATTCCCTTCGATGCGGTTCTCGGCGGAGGTTGGTGTCACAGTGTTGTCATGCCGAATGCATTCTAACTGAATCGTTATAGCGGAAGATGTTCTCGGTGACCTCGGAGTGAGACAGGCAATACGACAGATGCCCAAGAATGCCCGCTTGTAATCACGGCGTCGTGACTATGGGTGGAGCTTAGCTGTGCCTCGGAGGTCCTTGACCTTCTCTGATTATAATTTCTATTATAGTTGCATTGATGTCAACTATCGCGCGCCCTTGTTCTTCGGCTTGACGATATTTAGACCTGCCTATCCGTCTATCCGCGCTTTCAATTCCAAAGGCTTGATGGTTCTGATTAATCTCCGTTGCGTTTCATCTCCGTACTTCTCACCTTCACGTTGACTGCCACTTCAAATCTTACAAGTTCCTCCAGATCAGGCGGAACATCACGCCGATAGTAGGGTCCTGGGGTCGGCCGCCATCGAGCATTGAGTAAGAGGTGCATGCACTGGCAAGAACCTGTCATCTTTTTTTAGCGAGGTGGAAGCTTCCAAGAATCTAGTCGAGCATCGCGAATTGCGCTGTGGTCGTTCGGACTGCATGCCCAATCGGTGTTCCTGCGTCTGACATGGTTCTGAGTTGTAAGGTGACTTGATCAGCACGAGCCTCAGCCTCATGGCTACATCGTGACATGGGCATGAACACGCGTCTCTTAACCTCATTATGTAAGACTGCAAAAGCAGCAGCTAGTGCTGAATCATGACTGACGGGGCCGGTGATGGCGGCCAAAGATGGTCTGAGGGCTCCTGCAGATTATGCGAAGAAACTCATTAATCGATAACATCGGTGATGGTTTTCTCGGTCTATGAAGCGTTCTTCCCAACATCCGAGCACCCATGAGTCGGTTATGCGTAATGCGTGTCATTGTGGCAAGTGTGAATATTAACTTAGAAATTGCAGCGTGACTGCGTAGCGAAACGGTATTTATGTAAACGGTTGTGCTCTTCCATAAACCTTCAGAGTCTCGTAACAGACCAATATAAAATAGAGAAAGCAATGCCGCCCACAGTCAAGGCTTAATGTGCTCGTCTCGACCTTTACTTGACCCTTTGCAAACACGACACCATCCCACAAAGCAGTCCAAGTTTCGGGGGAGTGGCAAAAGTAGGTGATGTCGACACCTAGCACCGTTTGACGAAAGATGCCTTTCTCCGATGCGATGGTGACAGATCCGCAGATTATGGAGCCAGGTTCGCAGGATAGCAAGCCTCCCAAGGCGCGAGCAAGTTCAAGTTGTTTCTTCTCCTCGAATAGTTGAAATAGCTTGGAAGCGTGGATGACACCGACGCGACCGCGAAGGTCATTTAATGATCGCAATGTTTGGATGTCCGGCATGGCATCCTCTGGGACAGAACTGGCTGGCTGGGTAATCGATAGAAATGCGGGGTCAAATACGTCGCCAGGAATGAAATAACTTGGTTCCGAGCTTGATTTAAAGAGCTTGCACCCAAGCTCGGAAAATGCTGACATTGAAAATAATACATTAGCGACAGCGAGAAGATATTTGAAGGAACCAACCTTCTTTGATGTCAGAAGCGATGATGTTATGAGCCGGAAACCCGTCCTCAGCTGCCTTCCTAACATCGATTCCCACTGCAAAAAATTAGGAGGGACATGCAACGGGGATGCTGCCATCTGCTTACGACAAGAACCGATATCGAGTAAGATTGCCCCTTCAGAGCCACGCTTCAAAATGTGGTCGTAATTGGGTAGTTTAGAGATATTTGGGCTGCAATGAAAGTGAGCAACTTCTTCGCGAATCCAGGTTGCCACTCACTGCAAGAAATGAAATCCTCGGATGCACGGATAGGGAGCTACCTAGTAAATATCGCCTTAAGTATGTACAATCAATCTTCGGAAGAACCGCAGAGCACCTTGTATGCCTCCTTCTGCACACCAATGATATGCGTCTTTAAGGCTACTTCATCTTGAATGTTAGTCTGTCTTTTGAAGAATGCAATCTCCTCGGGTTCTAGACAATATAATGAATCATCCAAAGGGAACGCTGGAATTATTGGTTTCGTGAGGGGTTCAACGTCGCGATACATGAGCACGAAATATGTAGAGGGAAACAAAGCAGAGGATGAATTTGTTTTCCTGCCGGCCTTCTTTTATTCGAAGCACAGATTGAAGACCACGGAGCTGGATCATGATCCCTTTGACAATCGGGCTTTCGTCATTCGTAAGAGGCTACCTATCCGGGAATAGCAAGCTGCTAGTAGGATCCGCAGATATCGAGCTGCATGAAAGTTGTTTCAGCCTGCACATGAAGGGCACTGGCGCTCGAGTTGGTAATTTCTCTGAAACCTTGCGAGAATCGTATATAGCCAAATCATTGAGACTGACATTTCGGGGCATCGAGGTGTACGTAAGTGTGCATACAAAGATGAAATTAATGTTTCAGAACACCCACATTGAACACGAGTCACTAGTCAGGCCGTGCGGCCGCAGAGTCTGCCAATCCAATCCACCCAATCCATTACACTTCTCTAATTACAGCAAAGCCAAAGTAGTATCACCCCTATTCACGGAGGGAAGGAATAGATGATCTAATCGGAAGAGGAATTTAGGAGCATAGATATTCGTGTCGGCGGCGCTGATTGTGCTGTCAAGCATGAATGGCGGGAGTGGGAGACTTGCGTTCTGCAGGACGTTCCTGCTGAGGTTGACCACAATCTGTCGTTTGAAGGACTGCAGTGTGCAGTAGAGACGGTGAGGGGGGAGTCGAAGGACGGCGTGGCTGGCAAAGAGGCAGACGAGGAGACCAAGTACTAGCTGGTGCCTACCTGCTGCAACGAATGAGGACGTAAGCGATGTACCGTATGCATCTAGCCTGGGGCTAGATCTACCAGCAATCAATTGAGTTGCCCGATCTTCTGTCTTGGCACGTTCCTGAGTCGTATGGGCTTTGGCTGACTGAGCACACCGTGTCTCCCAAGAGCTTCATTATATTCGGCCTCGCGTGTATATACGTCTTTTCGACAATTCCCGGTGCTTCTGACTCGGTTCTGTCATCTAGCCCATATTGGTCTAATAATAATAATTCTGCTGCTCCGACCATTCCTCAAATGGAGATTCCCCGACAGGTGTCGCGGTTTATAGTGCTTCAAGCTAAAATACCAGGCAATAAATAAATATCTAGAGCAGGTTGCTTAAGAGTTCAGGGGACTAGTGTCCACCGCATGATGTCGAGTATTCGCTGGGCAAAGTGGCTTGGTCAACATTTCATGGTTCAAAGCAGGCTCGGTAACGCCGACATGTATATAGTATAACTTACCAGGGAACTTGAAGTTGTTCGTAGTTTCATGCCCACCTACCGCCAATCGGCTGCCAACCAAGTATACCATCAAAAATGACAATTCTAGACAGCGCACCCTGGGCTGACTCCAAGTGTCGGTATCCTTGGTCTGACAAGCGTTCTTGCCAACATGCGAGCACACATATCAGTCGGTCATGCATACTGCATATCATTGCGGCAAGAGCGAATATGCTATTTCAAATTTTAATAGTAACTTGGCAATGTGCGGTACTGGCAGGGTGACTAGCGGAAGGTTAGATTGCTCTCGGTATTTATGTAAACCGTCTGTGCTCTTCCACAAAATTTACCTTCAGAGTCTCGTAACAGACCAATATAAGACAGGGAAAGCAATGCCGCCTGTGTCAATGCTTGATGTGCTCGTCTCGACCTTTACTTGACCCTTTTCAAACACGACGCCATCCCATAACATAGTCCAAGTTTCGAGGGAGTGGCAGAAGTAGGTGATGTCGACGCCAAGCAGCGTAAGATGAACGATGCCTTTCTCCGACCCAATTACGTGATTGCCGCAGATTATGGAGCCAGGTTCGCAGGATAGCAAACCTCCCAAGGCGCGAGCAAGTTCAAGTTGTTTCTCCTCGTCGAATAGATGAAATACTTTGGAAATGTGGACGACACCGACGCGACCGCGAAGGTCGTTTAATGATCGCACCGTTTGGATGTCCAGCATGGTATCCTCTGGGACAGAGCTGGTTGGCCGCGCAATCGATAGAAATGCGGGGTCAAATATGTCGCCAGGAATAAAGCAACTTGGTTCCGAGCTTGATTTAAAGAGCTTGCACCCCAGCTCGCAAAATGCTGTGATTCAAGATATTTCGTAAGTGAGAGAAAGAAGGGATTCTGAAGGAACCAACATTCTTTGATGTCAGAAGAGATGATATTATGGGCCGGAAACCCGTCCTCAATTGCCTTCCTAGCGTCGACACCAACTGCAAAAAAATTAGAAGGGACGTGCAACTGGGATGTTGTCTGCTTACGACAAGAACCGATATCGAGCAAGATTGCTCCTTTAGAGCCACGCTTCAAAATGTGGTCGTAATTATGGAGTTTAGAGATGTTTGGGCTACGACGAAAGTGAGTAACTATGTTCTTCGCGGTTCCAGGTTGTCACTCACTGCACAAAATCAAATCCTCGGATGCAAGCATAGGGAGCCACCTAAAGTTCGGGTTAAGTATATCCAACCAATCTTCGGAAAAACCGCAGAGCACCTTGTATGCCGCCTTCTGCACATCGATAATATGTGTCTTCAAGGCTTGTTCATCTTGAATGTTAGTTTGTCTTTTGAAGAAGGAAATCTCCTCGGCTTCTAGACAGTATAATGAATCGTCCAAGGGGAACGGTGGATTTACTGGTTTCACGAGGGGTTCGACGTCGCGACACATGAGCACGAGATAGAGGGAAAGAAAGTGGCAGATGAAGTTTTTTACCTGCCGGCCTTCTTTTATCTCATGAAGCTGGATCCACCCCTTTCACAATCTGGACTTTCGTCATTCGTAAGTCCATTAATGTTACCTATCCAGGAAAAGCAAGCTGTCCTAGAAACTGCTATTAGTAGGATGCAAACTTGAGCATTTAGCGCTAAATATTTAGCTATAGACCCTATGAGTGAAATGACGCGAGATCTGCCAAGTATGTCGTTGATATTGTTTCAGCCTACATGTACAAATCCACTAACGTTCGAGCTAATGATTTCTGTGAAACCTCGCGTGAATTGTATACATATATCCAAAATCATCGAGACTGACATTTTGGGGAATCGATACGTACAGTTGGTGGGTAAGTGTGTACACAAGATGAAATTGTGTCCGAGCACCCACGTTGAGCGTTCAGGCCGCGCGGCCGAAGAGTTTGCCAGTCCACCCAATCTATCATCGTACACGCTAGAGTGTATTTCTGCAAAGCTAAGTATTACGGTAATTACCCCATTCACGAAGAGAAGGAACTGATCAGAAGAGGAAAGGAGCATAGGTATTCGTAGTATCGGCAGCGCGATTGTGTTGTCAAGCATAGCCCATGGCAGGCCCGGGAGTGCTATGCGGAAGACTTGCGTTCTGCAGGACGTTCCTGCTGAGGTTGACCACAATCTGTCGTTTGCAGAACTGCAGCGTGCGGTAGAGACGGTGAGGAGAGAGTCGAAGGGGGACAGAAATAGTTTCTGTGACGGCGCTAGTAGCGGTTTACTAGTCTAATGCTGACTCATACGGGTGGCACGGCCAACTGAGAGGCGCACGATGAGACTACTAGATGTCTTACTTGTACCAACGAATGAGGACATGTATGTGAGCGACAGTGCATGCCAGGCTAGATCTCAGATCTGGCCCGATTGTCCGCGTCACGATCAAGTTGCCTATCTTCTATCTTAGCACGTTTCCTATTTGGCATACCGCCACAGTTATGCGCTCGTGCTCTGCGGCTTTGGTATGGGCTTCTTCTACACGAACTTCACATTAGGCTTCCATAAGTACGTCTTTTCGACTCCCGATGACACTGATATGAAGTTACGGCGTCTGAGTAGCTGCCAGAGGAGGATTACTAGACCCAGTGTGGGCTGGAAGGCAGGTTCCGGTGCTTCAGGCTAAAATACCGGGTCTTGAAAAAAAATGGAACGTGTAGTTGCTCAAGAGTCCAGGGGACTTGTGTCTGCCGCATAATGCCCTATAATGCCGCGCAAAGCCGCTCGGTCAACATTTCGCGGTTCACAGTAGGCTCAGCACTGCCGACAGACACTGTAACTTGAAGTTGCTAGTTTTGCGTAATCCACCTACCGTGAATTGGGGTTTTGCACCATCGATTCACTGGAATTTTCAATAGGTCGGGTATTGCAGTAGGTGATGGCGTTGCGCACGATAGTCTGATGACTCGTTGACTCCTATCTAGAAGGTTCAACGAACGTTGAGTGGTGCTGGCCTGCTATACAAGTCGGGCGTTCCTGGGGCTGTTACAGGATGCCAGCATTGCAAATAACACCATCAAAAATAAAAAATGACAATTGGAAAGCGCACGAACGGGACTGACTTCTGGAACAAGGATAATCTCTGACACTGAGAACGTTTATCCGACTTCTGCAAACTCGCCTGTTAGCCTAACTTCTCCAACCAAGCGCTTTGAGAACGGACCTCGTGTTTCGTTATCTCTTAGTTGTGGGTTGCTCGCGTTCTATAGCTAGGTATATGATTCCCGCCACCGAGTTCTATAGCTAGCCATATAATGTTTTATCCTCATTTAGCACATTGTAGGTCCAAGTTTGATGCTGAATCAATATCCCTCTGCTGCAACTGACCTTTACGTTGATGGCTTGAGGTTACCTAGTACTGAAGCGAGCGCCAGTACTCCGCTCGGAGTAGATATACTAGATCACGAGTGTTTCACATATGATTCGTGCTTGAAGCAATTGAGTTCTGACGATCGATTGTGACACATATCTGTTAGGGGCACGTACTTAGTAGCGGCCTAATCCCTCCAGGTTGCATCTTCACCTGCACATCGAAAGTTTATCACCGAAATGGTGGGTTCAGTCATGAGTAGCTCAGACTCGCAATTTCTACACAAATCGATCAGACTGTACAGGAAAATTTACCTCCTTACCATCCATGGATTTGATGCACAGTCGGGAGACAAAATCAAGTATAAGTCCATAGGCGAGGTAACTACATAAGTCTCTGAGACCGTTGAAGAAATAGTTGATGCAACTTGAGGGTTCCGTCACAGATAGTTCCGATCTATTCCTTCGCACGATGGGTTGACACCGGGCGCATGGCGATAAGCACACTATCAAAAATGACAACAAGGGGAAAACCACAACGGATCGTGTATGTCATTTGAGCTGACGCCAGTTGGTGGCGACTGACACCCTTTCGGGCCGGAAATATCGAGTGCAAGGTTTCGGAGCAATGGTGATTAATTGATTTCTGTTCTGCAAGTTTTTCGTGCGAAGAGAAGGTCTCTACAACGTGTGGCTCGAATCAACCACTCACCTGCGAATGTTTCACTAGTGCCTTGAGTACTTGAGTAGTCGACAAGGATAGATAACCTTAGATAACCTGCGTGCACGTGATGGCTGCATAGATCCGTAAGAAACATGGTATTACTGGTAACAAGCACAGATCGCTAGGAACGATAGTGGCGTTCTCATGTATATGCGACAACTCTGCCTTGGAGCAGTGGTAGCGATTTCACCGAGATGCGTTTGCCAGCTCTTCTCTGTTCCTCTTCCCATTCCTGATCTTCTAGGTACTGATCAGCCGCACGTGCTTCCAAATTGCTTATACCAACGCCGCCCGTTTCCTTGTACTTGATGCCATACACAGCCTCTTCATCAGGATCATCAGCCAGAGCTACGTATGCCTTCGCCACGCGCCAGTCTACCTCTTTCGTCAGCATTTGCAAACGCCTCGTGGCTTTCTCACGGACGCGCCTTGCTCTTGCGTCCAGGTCCGCATCCTGCGTGACGGAGAGTGACTTGGCGGAGGGTGGTAGGACGATAAAAGTGCGGGTATGGAGTAGATGAGGGGTGGTGGAAAGGGTGCTTGGGGGTAGGTTATTTAAGCGGCACAATTCCCGACCCTTTACGATGACATGGCGTGAGTTAGTGATGACCATTGATGCGTGCAGCGTATCTTACATTAACTCCATAACGTAAAGCAATCCCTTGTAGTGTGTCCTTGGGATTAATGTAATATCTAGAGGGGATACATTGCTTGTCAGCGACTACAACCTCCGCATGTCCTGCGGAAGCATTGCTGGTCTGGGTGATGAGTGTTGATTCACTGATTAGGCTAGATGACGACGAAACCGGTAGGGGATATGCAGGCGGGGCAACTTTGGAGATTGGGGACGCCGGAGCAAGCTCGTGAGCTTCGCCTTCATCATCTTCATCATCTCCCAGAATAAATATATCTTCGTCCCGCACTGTAGCGGCGCGAATATTCCGAGCGGAAGCCGAGCTGACCACGCCCACGCCGCCCAAGCAGGACAAGCAGGGGTTATAGTTCCTCAAGCGAGGGTTTGAGCTGATACAGGCAGGACAGATGGGGCGACTGCAGCACTCGGTCATAAATAAGTCTGGATCGAATTTGGGCAGAAGAGACGATGAGCAAGTCAAGCAGAGCGCAGTTGAACGCATCTTCGATTCATCCATAGTTTAGTCTAAGAAATAAAGATATCAGAGCTTCATAGACTCAGTCATGATCAAGAAGCGCTGAGCTGAGCGTCATCTTACTAGCACAGCCACTTCGCAATTCAAGAAGTTAGCGCTTAGCCTTGGTACGCTCACGGAGTCACAGCAAACTATCGACATGGCCTCCCCACCACCGGGACAGCCCCATCTCGTTTCTCTAGTTCTACAGTCCAAGAAAGCTCTTCAACACGGCGAACAACTTTGTTCCAAGGTCAATAGTCTTTCAAACGCGTCTGCACAATGTTCGGTAGACGTGCTTGCACTGGACGCGAAGGTTAAGTGGATCACCGAAGCCGTCCTTGAGCAGCTCAAGGTGCGTGGTTATCGCCACAAATTCAAATTCAAACTGGAATTTATGTGATTATAGCTTGCAGCGAATGTTGCTAAGAGTATCGAGCACAAACGCGCCCAGCTGGACAAGCAAGTTAAGGTGTGTGATGCCTCATTTGTATCGACCTCATGATGCTCACAATTCGGCTTCTGATAGGCATGGGACGCTGTACGATCGCAACGTACTGAAGCCCTCGACAATATTCTTGAATCTCTCGGGGCACAGCTAGTACCCCCTGGTTTCCACCAGACCTCCTCTGGTTCTTCCCTGTTCGGAAGCCAGCACTCCATTGATGGCAAGAATGGCAATGAAATGTTCAATGCACAGCAGAGCCCTTCCGCTACTGTGCGGGATAACTCATTCGACCGCCACGGCAAGAACGCAGACCGGACTAAGTGGAAGACTCTGCGTGACTTCGTGGACGAGGGTGCTATTGAAAATGTGCTGGATACACTAGAGAGCGATAGAACAAGGCTAGATGTCAGTGTTTCACCTCTTGCATCCTCAGGAGAACACCGGACTCAATCCGAGGAAAGGATATTATGGCTTCAACGTATGATTACCCAGAAACACTCTCAGCTGCTATCTCATCCATCCGCGAGTCTCTCCCATCGTCTAGTGACGTGCCTTCAATAGAGGACATATTGAATGCACAGCAGCAGCCTTCGGAGCTTATGGCACGCCACCTCAGTAGTCTTACTTCCCACTATGAGCAGATGGCGGACGCGTTGAAAGAAAGCGAAGCTGGAGAGATATTCGGCGAGGAGGACTTGCAAGGTACTGGAATTACCTTTCCCGCCTAGTGCTTGATATTTAGCTTTTAACTGACGCATTGGAAAGACATGAACCGTGATACCGAAGAGCTACCTTCTATCATGGCTGAGCTAGAAGAACAAGCATTCTCGATCGAGGGCGCTCAGTAAGTCAACATTTTGTTATGTATATTATGTAGCATTCTTATATTCCGCTAGCCAACAACTAGTCACAGCAAAGACAGCTGCCCAAGAACGATTAACCGCACAATCCATGACTCTCAATGACCTCGACGAGCTAGGTGAAATTATGTCTGACATGTTACAGAAGCAACAAGATGTCGAGGTAACAATTTACATCATTTGCTGAGGTCAGGATCTGATACTTCTCGACAGAATGCGTGCCAAGAACTCCTCGACGGGCTCCAGCAGCAACTTCTTGTCGTCGAAGACCTTCATCACCGTTTTATCCAGTACCAAACGTCATTCAAGAAACTCCTTGTTGAGATCGGGAGGAGAAGACAGTACAGAGAAGCAGCAGAGAAGATTGTAGAAGGGATGATATCGCAGCTGAGGGCAATGACTGAAGGTCAGCTTTACTCCTTTCATTCCGATCGCTTCCTGAGAATAGTTACTGAGGGAGTGATAATGTTTTCAGAAGAACGACAGGTAAGAGAAGATTTCAATGCAGAGCATGGGTTGCATATCCCAGAAGACATCTGCTTGTGCATCGAGAATCCACCAACGAGATGGGAGGTTGTGCCTCGGGAAGGTGATATGCGGGAAAGCCTGCCTGAGGTAGAAAGTGATCTCCTGGCGCAGGTTAGCGATGAACACCCATCCTTACGACTATTACTGAAACATCCACTTTTATAGGCAAAGGAGAAGCTAGCCGCGGTAGATGTGTCATCAGCGGGCGCTGAAAGCGTATAAAATGTTTCACTGTTATGACGGGAGGGATGCCTGTCCCTGCTACAGTTTAGCTACATAACACAACTAAATTGAACCTTGCTCCTAGCTTACCCATGTGGTTATCATCAGCACGGTTTGGACTGTGCATCTTAAGAAGACGAGTACGACAATTGATACCAACTCTTCATTGCAGCGTCGAAAGTGAGCATTGGAACACAGGATGTCCCTTCTTCTCCTAACGCACCCTACACGTGAGGAATTGTCTTCTACGTGTTAGGCACTAACGTATCGCCCCAGCAATGTCCTCCATCCAGCTCCCCGTGTCCCAGGCAAGGAAGACACTCAAGGGTAAACTAAATGACCTCCTTCTATATGGTCTGCCAAGGGAAACTAGAGCTAAACTGCGACCCTCAATTGAGACTTACATCCTACCATTCGGCACCCTACGGCATTTTGTTGGATCCCGACGCCAGTCGCACCCCCAGCATATACCTCGCACAACAGACTAGCTTAGGCGAACGCATGGAGTTGATGGATGTTGCCATTCCAAGCAGCATGCAACGAAAGTTCTGGAGCTGATAGTGACGAGTCTGTGTAATTATTACTGCATAAATAACGCGTATTGGGTGCTCCCGAAGTGCGGGCGCATGTTCAACATGACACCTTTAAGTTATCTAAATCTTCTAGCTCTCTGTAGCATGATGTAATATGATCGTCCATTGTTTGCTCCCATCCTGTGCGAGCAACACTGTCTCTTCATCGATTGGGTGTTAGCTGTACGATGATTTGGAGGAGGAAATACACCGTCACATAACGCCTGGGGCTGCTGCCGTGAACCTTATGAGGGAGATCCCCTCCTTAGATGTGACAAGAGGCGCGGTTCGATCTCCAGAAGTCCCTATGCATTCGCGTGACCAAGAGAGCTTGAACAACGACCTGAGACCTGCTAGCGAATAAGTAACTATCACCTCCTCTAAAGTGGGAATAAAAAAAACACTGCAACTATATGTACGACTGGAAACTACGCCTCGTGTTAATGTGACGACTTTAAGTGTGCACAGCAACTTACCGGAAGGAAGATCGTGGTGAGAACGACATCAAGGGAAAAAGCTGTACCATTTAGCAAGTCAATATTTTGAGCACCGACCAAAGCCGCAGTAGAAGTATTGTATGTCATGCTACATGAGACCACGCATAAGATAGTTATTGGTCCTTCAACCACCATGGTTCTCGACGGCGCGATACAGCACAAACAACAATATCTCTGAAATTGCGTGCATGAAAAGGCGTGCAGTCAGTTCAAGCCCATATAGCAGCAGCTCCTAATATGTACCTACCCAACTCGGCAACAGCTAGCACGCTATACACCGCAATCACTGAGGAGCTTGCCTTCGTATCCGCATATCTTAAAACCCCAGGCGCCGAAGATTCTTCTTTATGATGAATTAAGAGTTGAGCAGGCAAAGAGTCCAAGGTACACACCGGAAAATGACGAGGTAAATTCGTGAAAACAGACGATGATTTGCACTAAATAAACCTGCGGAAGATGAGTTAGACATCGTTATCTGCAGTTGGTTGTACCTCTGGGTATTGGTCTCACAACGGCGTTGATGATTTTGAACACCATAAACCTTCTCTGCCGTTCCCATATTGCAAATGATCTGAGTATGAAGATGCCTGAATAATTAGGGATTTGTGCAGTTGTTAGAATGAGAATCACCGCTAGCTAGTTTGATTGACAGACCCACACTCAGCGGCAAGCAACGCCGTAAACCCTAGATCTAATAAGGAGTCGGATGCAGAGTCAGCATGATGCGATCAGGGTAAAATATCATTAGACTCACAGATAATCGCTATTACTAGGAGCGACAAAGCTATGATTGGGATATGAGTTAAATTCAAACATCTGCGCCGTGACTACTTGCCCATACAGTCCATGATGCTTCAGGCTGAAAAACCGCTGAGAGGATCGTGGAAGCAGTACGTCGTGAGGAAGGAAAATACGGAGGTGCACACTAGACACTCACCAAGCATGTTCACTGCCAGCAAGGCAAATGGCAAGTGACTGCAGCCGAGATACAACGATGTGCCGATCCCCCACCGAGACTCAACAATGAAAGTGACCTGCACAGACTATAATTCAGAGGACTCTCGAACATTCAAGCCAAATTTCACTTACTGAGTCAGGCATGAAAAGTATGTAGTCATAAACCTGAAGAATTGTGAGTGATTGCCAAGCACATGATAACTTCCATAGCTCACCCAGAGCGATGTCAATGCAACTATCAGGAGAAGCAGATTAACGAAAACAGCTGATTAAATGGACAACAGCCGCACCATGGCCGTACTGGAACGAGACATCGGTGATCCAGGATTGACTTGATAACAGAACTTGCACTCACGTTTAACCACAAGAACGCATCAGCTTGAGTTCCTTGTAAAGCACTCATACTTGTTTATGGTAACAAAACAACTTCGCTTGAAGTCGGGTATAAGGTGTGTAATCCATAGAAGGCATCCCGTGGGATGGCAGCTAAGACAGACATGATCTAGGGGCTCCACGGTGTTCTCATTTTGTGTACCGCATACTGCACATATCAGTGCGGTCCGGCGCCACAACAGGTTGCATCAGAGCACGTTAAGAGCATACCAGACATCACCCAAAAGGGGCATTTAGCCAACTTGAAGGGTACCACCGCAGTGACAGATGATCGTCCACGTTTTCGGAAGCATGTTCACGTTCCACGCGCAATGAAGAACTATGAGCAAGTGTAAGCCCGTTGGCTTACCTGAGTTCCCATAATCAGCATAAATACCTGTCCGAGATAATGAAGCGTGAGCTTTCATTATCACTGCCTTTGGCGTAACGGTTAAGGGACGACAGTCTTGACTACTTACAGCAAGGTACACAAGCCAGTTAGACCCTGGGTATGCTGACCAAGGAAGACATACCATCACTACCGCAGTAGAGACGTCCATCAGAATACTTCGCCATTGCCACTCTGCTTACGATAGAGAGACCATACTCAACCAGTGCAAGTTCAAGTGGTCTCGAAGGCGAACCTGGCACAATCAGGGTTAAGTTAGGAGACTGGAGACTCGCTAGCTGCATACTAATCTATACCCTGTTATGGTCCATGAGCAGATTGTTGAAACGGCTGAAGCACCAACTTGGCAAAAACTAACATCATTATAAGTATGGTTGATAGCGATGAGTGCGACACCGTGACTGACCATATCATTTGATGTGCGGACGCCAGGGCGAATTTAGGCATAAATGTGAAGGATCGATTATGTTCCTGCTACTTGGTCTGCCTGCCGGCACCAATTTAAGTTACATACTTATGCATGTGATTCTACGTCCTTCACTCTTCCCACCACCATGTCCAAACTACCAGACATCTTCACCGATCCAGAGGACTCCCAACTCGTCGCCGACGCCAAGAAAGACAAACCAGAAGACCACGAGTTCACATATACCGAGCGCGACGTCATTCTCTACAACCTTGGCGTCGGCGCGACCGCTAAAGACCTACAATGGACGTACGAAAGCCACGACGAGTTTGCAGCGCTCCCAACGTTCGGAGTCATTCCGCAATTTGCAGCCAGTTCTGGTATCTCACTAGGCTGGTTGCCGAACTTCAATCCTGTGAGGCGCCATGGCAGAATTAAATACACCCTGGGGGCTTAATCACGCGCTTCAGGCTAAGCTTCTTCATGGCGAACAGTATTTGGCAATCAGGAGCCCTATACCTACAGAGGGTCATTTTGTAAATGAAACCAGGTTCATCCATCTTTACGTCTTCTTCCTGCCAAATCCCACCATCATCGCACAGGCTTTTGGAAGTCCTGGATAAGGGCAAGGCCGCTTCGGTCACCACTATAGTGTACACGAAAGATGTAGCCACAGGCAACGTCATCTTCGAAAATCAAATAACGGTATTCATTCGAGGCGCCGGTGGCTTTGGTGGCAAGCGTTCGGGTAAAGGTATTAAAGCTTCTATCTATCGAACACTGGCGCATATCTGAGTTTGCCACAGATAGAGGTGCTGCCACAGCTGCAAACACACCCCCAAAGCGTCAACCTGATGCTGTGATCGAAGAGAAGACAAATGCCTCGCAAGCTGCACTATACAGGTCAGTCTCCCAGTCATTGCTGTATCTTCTTGTGTTTCTGACGCTGGTATGCAGACTAAGTGGGGACTATAATCCTTTACATGTAAGTCGCACACCGTACTCGGGGTTCGAGTAGTCTTTCATATCCCATACAGATTGACCCCAGCTTCGCGGCAATTGGCGGGTTCGATCAGCCCATTCTTCATGGTAATATTTGAATTCTATGCCCAGGCTATGTATCGATACATCTGAAACTCGATTTAGGTTTATGTTTCATGGGGATCGCAGGCAAGCATGTCCTGCAATCGTTTGGCGCCTACAAGGACATCAAAGTTCGGTGAGCGTTATCCCCATTACTGGCGAAATCCTGTGCTCTTACGCGCCCCGCAGCTTTTCTGGTGTAGTATTCCCTAGTGAGACGCTCATTACTGAGATGTGGAAAACAGGCAACAAGGTGATCTTCTGTACGTCCGATATATCCCTCTTTCCACTTTGGGCCAGGTACTGACGTCAAACCTTCATTCATGTTAGCCACCAAGACAAAGGAGCGGGGAACCACAGTGCTAGCCGCAGCAGCAGTGACACTTGTTAATACCGATACTCAGGCGAAGCTCTAAAGCTTCTTAACGTTCATGTATGCTGACACTGGATCGACACTTTGAGAAGGAAGTCAAAAATGAATAACATTGGCATGTATCATAACTGAGCTAGAAGCAACAGAATCCATAATCAATATACGTGAAACGGCAAAGTAGACATAGTATCACGGCGATACGTCACATCGACCCCCCTGTGAAGACTCGACTGAGTCTCGACAGCAGGGCACACATAATGTGAAACACGGTGATACATACATCCGGCGCAGTGGAGTGAACATAATACAAAAACAATACAACGATGTCCATGTCATTGTGAGAGGATACATGTCAAGATCGTGCGGGCATCCCATTAACGCTGCTGTGTTTTATTTGACTGTTTGTTATAACTGGTGGTATAGGTCGGGAAGAAACTACTGGAAGGGGCGGGATGGTTGCGCTGGTTACTAGTCTATGGTTGGTTTCCAGAAGGGGAGCGTGCATGGTCATAATTCATAACAGGGGTATTAGCTTGGCCTTTCTAACATGTGAAGATGCCATCGGTGCCTAAGGGAGAACCACTCAGCACCTGGGCAATTTTCATCTCAGTTCATGACGTACCAGGGTAATACCAGAACGTGACAGCCAAGATCAAGTACAAGCCTGCACAAAGTTGAGCATGAACACAGCCCAAAACGCAGTCGGAACTTACACATGAGAACCATGCCTTCTAACCAATTTGACTTGCCGTCCTGTACGACGTAGTTCACGGTGATGACTGATTGTATTGGTTTAATCATTATGCCACCCCGCTGAAATAATAACGCACCAGAGAGGAACAGCACGACCGACTCCAATGGGTCGAAGAGGAGCGTCAGTTTTTTGCCCATAATCCAAGCGAGCGTCACGATGAACCTGCAAAATAAATTAGGAAAAACTAGTGACGGGAAACACGATGGTGAGACATACGGGATAACAAACAGTGCAATTTGCTTGAGTATAGTCAGTAATCACAGTAAGACATCGGAGTAAACAAACGCACAATACTTGATCCAACAGCAACACCCAAGCTCAGGGTTAGCTTATCTTTGACGGACACAGTAACTGCAGTAACGTGTTCCGCCGCATTACCGACTATGGGAAGCAAGATCACGCCAACAAACTCCTTGTTGATGGCCCCAGATGCAGTCAAACCATTGATCGAGTCTACGAGGAACTCGGCAGTAACAGCTACCAACTAGAGGGAGAATTTTTTCAAGGATTGTTGTCTGCGCCGTAGGCAGGACACGTACCACAGTTACGACAACCAGAAGCCCGAGGCACACGCCAACGCTCATATATGGTTCTATCTCAGACTCTGCGTCTGTGGGCAGAGGCCCAAGTTCTGAGTCGGTACCATCAGCAGGTCCAGAGGCCTGTCCATCACCCGTTGGATCAGAGGATTGTACAGGTCTACCATTCCTACGGCGAGGTCTCAACCGCAGCCACGGATTCTGTCCTTCGTAGCCCCTGGACTGTTGTATATCCGGATTGTTGTCGTCGTACAGTGCTTTGTGTGAGAACAGCTGGAAAACCAAATAGGAGCCGTAAACTACATAAAAGTGATTAGGTGATTGACAGCTATGTTCTGGGTGACATACTAAAGAGGAGAATGATGGCGACCTGAATGACGGTGTGAGGACAATTTACCACATGTAAAATATCAGACACATACACCATGGCTGGTCTTCAGGATGTCGTAATCTGTCGACAGTTCACTGTATGAGGCCTGACCCTGTAATGCCATATGGAAAGCGCCAGGCAGCAAAACAGCAATGACGCTAATGGTAAGCAGTGATGAATTCAATTGCACCGCACCTGTCCACCAAAGTAAAAATCAAGGTTTCATTTTAGACAAGTACACGTACTTTGTCCAAAACCTTGTTCCGAAAAACGCATGCCGCCAGCGAAGAAACACATGCCCAGCACCAGGACTAGGGTGGAGTCAATTAATTTCAAAATAGAAGGCTAGAATACCTACGAAGATTACTCAAAATAGATCCCACCACTGAGAGTAACTATCAGTATAGGGTTGCAAGCAAGATAACAGATGACCTCATAGGACATACAAGATGACTGGACGATTGTGAGTTCACATTTCACAAGGGCGATGATCTAGAATATAAATCTCAGCGCCTCGCCCTGTAAGTTTTCCAATACTAGGACGCACAGAGACGATCAGTTCGACGCTATGGAAGAAACACGAATGGTTAGATTAGAATCAATAGAAATTATCTGGACTAACGCGTTTCCCTATGATTTTGCATCCGTCAGATTGCTTCATAAAATAGTGAATGATAACACGAACCAACGTGGCATTTAGAAGGCCTGCTAAAGTTTGACCGACCCTTATCGAGAGTTCGTCGGTAGCATATGCCAGGAGCTGACAGTGGTTCAGTGTTCAGTATTTGCAAACTCCAAAGTGAGCTTGTGATCACCTTGGCCAATGGTATGATGGCGAGAAACGTCACTACAGCACGCTGTAGCACCCGGTAAATTAAGAGGTAAAACATCAACTTACAAATAAAAATCAGAGTATACTGATCAGGGAGAGCAAAGTTAATTGCCCACTTCGAACGACCATGAGTGAGAGATAGTCTGAGCTGATACAAGAGTGACCTACAGATATGGGGATAAAGACCAGCAAGACGTTGAACCCTATGCAAACAAATATTAATACAACCCGCCTTCAAAGGAGTACTCCATACACGATGAAAGGATGATGGAGCGAAGGCTGCTCCATGTACTGGGAGCTGTGCCTATGGGTTTCTCCGGGGATAGCATTACCGTCGCAGCGTGTCGCAGAGTCGGAAAGAAGGGCATTTTCTGACGATTGATGTCACTCGTACTTTTTCTACGTCCCACATCGGTGGACAGCTCTGGCGTGGGATGGCGCCCATCGGTATTGGCAGTGTGCCTGCGCAGTATACTTTCGGGGGAAAATGCCCCGTGATCTGAGGAGACATCTGGTGGGACAGGGACATCTGAAATAAACGCTGTAGTAGATCGGGTGAGTTGAATTTAGTTGGTATAACACATACATTGCATACTCATCGATACAGCAAGTCGCAATTGGGTTGCAGAGATCAGAAAGAAGATTTTAGGGCTATGAAGTCAGCTGGGGTTGGTTGCTTTTAAGTCGGTGCGTGGTCACAGCATTCTACCTTCTAGATTTCCAGTAGAAATCACGTTATGGTAAATTTAATAGTATTGCCAATTTCGGCGTTCAGCCAAAAGTCCACCACCACACCAAAATGGTGGATCGCGGTGAATCACATTTGAACATGCAAAAAAGCGGGATAATGCGATACAGCGTGGTTGTATTGTGTGCATACCAGTACTGCGAACAGTGGAGCTGTGAGGGAGCATCATTGCAACAAAACCATGCAGAACAGTGTGCAACGTTGGTGCAGCATGAGTACATCATCAATCAAGCGCGTGGCCCACTGAAACAGCGGGAGAATGAAAACAACAAGAACATGCGGGGCGTATGCGGTGCAAGCATAACTACAGGTTGACTACAGGTGTGAGCATATTGATCGCAGCGCGCACTGGTACTGCTGGCTTTGAACTTTTCGGTATTGTCTGCCTTAGCTAGTCTGACAGGCTCAGCGTTTGAAGGGCCTAGTGACTAAAGGCGACACGATGGCTCTCTCTCTATTCCACAGCGTTGATAGCAAACTACGCCAACATTGCCCTGTTATTCTTTTGGTTGCAGTGGTGCAGCGGCCTACGCCAGTAAGCGCATTCAGTGTCATTTGCCCACGCAGGCCCACGCTCCGCAGCACCATCACCATGACCGTGCACCGCAAACCAAACCATACATGCATGAAATGGCATATCAGATCGAAAAATTGGAGGTTGACGTCAACTATAGACGTCAGTGGCCTTCGTGAGGTCTGTCCTCGAGGACTCCACTTACATCACTCACAATTTCACTTGTACAATCGATCAGTGATCGATTGATCAACGAGCGATCGTCCCGGATTCGAGCTCTAGACTTACTTTGGAGTACGTTGCAGTTACACATCCCAACAAGTCATGATGAGCAACCATATTAACATTCAGCCCTCCTAAGGGCGCTAATTAGTCCAGTACATGAGGTCATCTAGTGCGGTAAATCTGCCGGTATGACGAACGATGACACAGACAATGCTGCTGTCAAATACATAAAACGCAATACTTATGAAGCCGTCAACGGCAGCAACGAACATCAACGGAATCGCAGTCATTGTCCCTGGTAAGTAAACGAAAATTAAGGAGCCGTCAACGGCAGGTAACAAAACATCAACCGATTCGGAGTCATTATCCCTGGTAAGCAAACGAAACGGCACCGTACAGGCCATCCTCGCGACCTAACATACCACACCCGTGCAAAACCTGTAACGCAATCAAAGTGTCAGCGGATCCGTTCCCGCCGGCCATAGTAGGTAAGTTACTTACTTCCATCTTTCTCGCGTGCCATCCAACACCGCTATTTACGTTGCCGTTGGCATCTGCCAGCCGATGCATCTGAACCCGAAGGGGATGTTCTTGGGCAAGGTTCCGCTTGAGCTCGCCGCCAACCCAGCCACTGGCCGTGTCGACATACCAGCCTCGGCCGCCTTTGCTCTTGATTATTCTCCAGGTCCCGGCGCCAGCACCGAGGGCAGCGAGAGTGGGTACGGAAAGTTCAATAACCCGAAGGCGCGTGGGTGAAGGAGGCATCACAACCGCCTGCGAACGCAGGGTAGACATGTAAGGGGGCGTGCATAGCGGTCCGATAATCTGTGAGTGCAAAGCGATCGTTGCCTGCTGTGCAGAGCCTCGAGGGACCCCCATCCCAACTCCGGCCCTGCCCCAATCTAAATCGGGGCTAGTCGAAATAAGCGTGAGCACCTCGACATTCCTAGCCTTGCTCTTTAAAAATCGAGCGATGACGTCTAATTTGAGATCAGGAATATATGATAGACCAAGCGACCGCAGTTTTGGTAGCGGTTTGCAGACGTCAAGGAGGAGTTCTTTAGTCACAGGTGCGCTTGAGAGGTCGAGATAAGTAAGTTCACCAGAGGTGAAACACGGCGCGGAAGATATTATTTCATTGAGATCATCCGTTGTGAGCGGAGATGGGAATGTTCGGTCACCATAGAGCGTGAGTTCCTGGATGTGCGCAGCTGCCGGTGCACGAACGAGGAAATCCCTGATACAGGTCCCCGTGAGGTGTATACACCGGGCGAGCGCAAGTGAACGCAGGCAAATCGTTGAATTTCCAAGAGCAGTGAGTAATTCCGGCGTGACTCGGGTGGCGGAAAGGTCGAGGTGAGTAAGAGATGGGAATGCGAGAACAAACGGCATGAGAATCCGAGGTTGAATCGATTTCACGCCACGAAGACCAAGGCGCTGAAGCCCTGGGAATGTGAGTGGCTCTTCTTGCATAAATCGAGCACGAGCACGTCTGATCTGACGACGACCTTCATCGTCACTTCCACTTGAGGATTCATCCTCATGAAGCAGATGTGTGTTAACGAACTCTGTCAGGGCGCTGACGAAAACTGCGCTGACGCAGCCAGTAAGGTCCATGGCCTGAATGTTCTTGCAGTCTCTCCTTCTTTCGCGATCCTCTTCTTCGAAATCATCGACCACGATTCCTCGTCCACGAGTAGGGCGACCCCCTCCTCTGGAAGCAGAACCACGAAGCAAGAGTTCAGTCAAAACGGGAAGCGATAGAGCACCATCCATGTATTCCGTGGCACCGAAAGCAGTTAGGTTTGGAAGTTCCTAAATTCGGTAGTCAGTTAATAGAAGAATAATGAATAATGAAGTAGTCGAACCTTGAGAAGAGCTTCGACACGTTCTCCGGTCACGAAACGACTAGTTGCGCTATCCTCTACGGAACGGCGCATTCCAATGGTACGAAAGTGGTTAAAGTCTAGATGTCGAACAAAGCGACCAGGACGGGGATCGTGCAGTCTTGGCACTATAAACGTTACACGTTAGTTACCCAGAACGAAGAGTGAAACGAGATCCGACTCACCATAAACCCCAGGTTCAGTAAGATCCATAACGTTCTGAACGGCGTCACTAATTGTCTTCATAATCTTCCAGCGTGCGGGACTTTTACTTTTTGCCCTAAGACGTCTCGGACTCGGGTCGCGAGAGGCTGGGGGCGTCAAAAGCTCAGGAGGAATGGAACCATCTGGTCCAGTCAAGGACTCTATGATGCTTTCCTTCCATCTCCTAGCTGCATCCTCATCGGAAGATGCTCCAATAACCATACTGCTAGCTAAAGCAGCATGAGTGGCGGCTTGAATAGACTCTTTGACTGCCAAAGCAGCCTTTTCGTCGTCTTCGGGATCGATGATCTCGTCTACCAGAGCGAGCCAGCTCCTGGGCAGACGAACCTCGATTTTATGCCATAACCATGGCTTGGCAGCTTCATACCATGCATGGTTTACCAAACAAAGATGTGAGAGGGTTTTACGCGCTACCGGCTCGCTCCAATTGGGCGGTGGCATAGAAGATGGTAACGCCGTTGGCGAACCATACTCGCCAATTGCAAGTGGATCAAGAGAACTGGTAGAATCGGATGGTGGTAAACCGGCGGCATAGATATATTCGCATATAGTAAACAGCAGCTCAGGGGGGTATTGCAGCACGGCAGACATAGAAACTATAAAGAGCAACCAAGGGAGAACGAAGGACGGGATGAGCGAACTAAACGTTGAAACGGTTGGATGGTGTAACAATTGTCAAATGTGAACACCTCTTATATACTGCTCGGCAATTCTACTTACAATGCCCCTACCCCAATTATGTAATGCGGGGGAAATCTCGACCCGATTCATTTTTATGTCTAAGGCGGTACCTTTAGTCAACCGCCAGCACAGACCATTGTTAGCCAGTCAAAATCGCATATTGATGGAGCTTCCAAAACAGTGGAATGAAGCTGGTATAGTTCAATCATTCCGTGACTCACACATACTAATTTGTGTACGTGACGAGTCTTTTTTTTCGCTGGAGTGAAGTCTTATTACCCCGCCGAGCCTTTCTAGGCCTTTCTGTAGCGACCTCCCTCGGCCTGCCCGCGCCGACGGATCTTCTGCGCATGGAACTTCGGGACATGTTTTACTTTATGACTCTATATATCGGCCCAGATCGGGGGAACAGATATAGGCGCGACGTCACACTATGTCGAAATAGGTCCCCTTCCTGGTGCTAGATTGTGCTGGACCACGCATGCCAGATCACACGCTTAACTTGACTAATGCCACGGATATTTGATACGATCAATTTATTCGCTGGTGCGGGGGGACGTTACTACTTGGGCCATCGTTGATTGTATTGGCTATGTAACGATAGCTGGCGTCATACTAATCGACATGTTTGGCTATCACACCACGTATCGTCATTTCCTCGACTGGTGATCCAATAGAACCACTCGGCCTGTTGCCAAGATAACGTGCAGTATAGTAAGTTTTCCCGCAAACCTACGCGACGATGGCGCTCGATTGGCTGATAATATGCTGCGCTGGCAATTAAGCGTGCATATCCATTCAATACACGCTTGGTACCGCTATCTACAATCTCACTCAGTCCTGGGCCCTGGCTCATTAAATATTCCGCTTGGCGACAAATCATTATAGCGCTAGATCTATAATACATATTTGCAAATCCGAATCGTCCAAGTTGTTGGAAGACACAACTAAGATCGTTGTTGAGTGCTGAGCACTGAGCACTGACAGAGGCGGATGGTTCACCAACGGAAATATGCGGCACCATCGCGGGGGCACTAGAAAAAAGAGGGCTTCTGCAGGGCTTCTGCGACAATGTCGTGGTGTTACTTGCATAAATACTTCTGTGATACAGTGACATGCTGGAGCGCTGAAACGCGCGCTCTCATTAGCGCTCAATGACTTGCCAGTGTGTGCGGCAGTCCAACCTGTGGCACTTCTTTGGAGTGCTTCATTACATACGTCGTAAGCGAAGGGACGGTCGAGAATTCAGGGAATGCCCAAAGCGAGTCCAAAGGAACTTGAAGCCAATGTCGCACCGCACTTGACTTCGCGTTTGTAGTGGTCAGTATGGAGCGATGCTTTGGACCTTGGTGACTAGTTATCATGCTGCGTCAACGCTGCTGTTACGTGGCCATCCGTGCTGCCTCGATATGCAGCTCCTAGGAAATGCTGCCCATTGCAGTTGTAGTGACGACGCGATAGCAAAACAATCCCGTTCTGTGACCTGTTGGGCTTGGCGAGCAGATAGACGTTGAAATAAATGCCACGTCTCAGAAACGCTAATAGATCAATGGGGCAACATGACGGCGGCAAGTGGCGTTATCGCACTTCAAGCTTCCAAGTTTCATTGGCTGATTGCCGTGGACTCACTGGTCCGCGTAACAAATGAACTTGCAACACACGCTTCCCCAAGGTGTGATCAAACACGGGTATAGATGGTATCAATATCCTCAGTATTCGTCATATACATTCATCCAGTCAGGTTAAGGTTTGACATAAAATTCATACTGTTTCAACATCCAAATCAGCGACGTAGCTGTAGGTACAGGTGAGTATGCGTAATGAAAAAGATTCACAGGACACGTACTGGAGACAATCACAGGGCTTAGGGCAGCGCCATTGATTTTAGCTGTACGGAAGAAGCAAATCTCAGAGGTGAAGTGTCCAAATGCGATAAGGTACGAGAGGAGAGCCATATCGTAAATGCTTAAAATCGTATCCGGTTAACCAGGGAGACCCGCACAACGGGAGCGACGCACGTTTTGTTATTGATATTATACGCTGCATATCCCCGGATGACCGCAGAGGTTATTGTCCAAGCTGCGAACGTTCGCGCTTGAAGTGCTGTGACTGGAAAGATCGGAGAAACATCAGTCACCTGGTAGCGTTAATGTAAAACTATATCCCACTTGAAGAAGAAGGAACACCAGTATAAAGCCTGCGGGTCAGCTTTAGTGTCGCAAAGTTCTGAATGGTGTTGAACACAGCCATTGTTGCGACTATGAGTTGCCATGTAGGCAAAAGGCCTTCAAATTTTGGCAGGTCTAAAGCACAAGTTGTTAAGGACGCTTGGAGTAAGAGCAAGTGTTCACTCACAATCCAGCAGCATTTGAGTGGCCATGTTTGAAAGGACTTTCAAGCCTTCAAGGGCGTACTAGTACGTTGAAGTTGAAAACGTTCAACAAACACTTTACATGTATAAGCTTATGTAATTTTCCTTAAACTGCTTTTTGCTACTAGTGGATGTTTTGCAGGTCCTAGTTTGTGTAGTCCCCATAACGCTCAATTGGTACTTTGTCCTGGACGTATGAGCCAGCGACGAAACTCATGCCAGAACCCTCCTCCTCTAAAATTCCTGGGACTTCACGCTCGAATTCGCTTGCAAGTACAATTAGCAACAGTGGTGCGAGTCTAACTCGCCGTTCGCGGACAACGAAACGAACGCGAACGGTAACCACAGAGTCCCGACCAGATGGTGCAGAAGAAGACCAGGTACTGGATATCTCAGCTGCGAATAGCGCAGAACCATTTCCTAGTCCGGTTCCGACAGTTTCTTCCGAATGTGTATTGTCCCCGGTTACTACGCGATTCGAAACTAGATCAAGTCCGGTTTCGAGTCCAGTGAACTTGCAAACAAATAGTGATCCAGAACGGAGTGGAGGAACATTTGGCCCTGTAGGAGGCGATTTCCACGTGGTTGTGTCGCAGGACGCACCTTCAACCCCTGCCGAAAGTCAACCAGGCTCCCAAGCACTGGCAGGGTTCACTCCAACCATTCCTGTAAGTTCAGTGTATTTCCTTTGACGAGCGGAGCTCACGAGGTGCTAGATGAAGGGCAAAGGTCGCGGGAATAGAGCAATGCTTACGTCTCCTCCGTCTGCCTTCCGTCCCAATCCCACCGACAGCGACCATGCGCGAAGTAGTGTCCGTGACTCCTTGCTAACGCAACAATCATCTACATCTTCCTCGCTTTACCCTCTCACTACCTCCATCGGGACAGAGTCGCCTCCTTCTCCCCTTTCACCGACGACACAAGACCATGGCGTTGTCATTCCAGCTTTCGACATCGATGGACCACCAACAGTGCAGGAATTCAATGCGGACGATGTCTCATATCGTCTTCAGTTGCTTGTGAAGAACAACTATTTTCTTCCTCCTGCTCACTCAAAGCCATCTCCGGCCGACTTTGCACCGTGTGTAACCACATGCAAAAAGGCAACCTCTCCTGCATTTCTGGATTATTTCCGAGTCGGAAAATCCAGATCTAAACCCGCTAGCCCAGATTCCTACGATGGTTCTCCGGTGTTGAGAGTGACATCGGACTCTACGATCGTATCCGGCTATGGCCCTCGCGGCGCACCACAAGCTTTTCGTTCACCGAAGAGTGTCCAGCACATGGCACGTGTGGTCGTTGTCCGTGAGAAAATGGATGATCTTGTCGCTGCAGCAAAGCAAGCAGAGATAGACTTGAAGGGTCGAGACGTTCCCTCAGACCGCGATAGGGGTGTGCGAAGACCCAAGGTTGATGTGTTTGATGGGATCATTGATCCCACGGATGCAGTTGACGTACCTCCCCCGTCGGCCAACTACACTCTAGCCTTGCAGGCCTCAGCACTTCATGGACTGGGAATCGAGGACTCCGTGGGAGCAGCTGTGCTAGCGGAGCGCCTACCTCCTCCAGGTAGTCCTGGACATTCCATAAGTCTTGATCCACAAGAGGAGGCGTGGAGAAAGGCTTTGCTGCATCAAGTTGTTGGACACTCGCTCAACAGTTCAGCAGTAACGTTGTCCACAGCTCCGTCCACCCCAACGAGGTCGCCGCGCCATCCACACTCGTCAGAGTCACTTTATCAGCGCGCTCTCATGCACCCGCGGAGGATGCTAGACAAGAAGATCCTCGAGAATCCGATAGTTGACCACCATGAGGAGCCTGAGCCGCCAATAGCACCCACTACGGGCGAACCTTCGGGAAGAGATCTTGTCGCTCGTCTTCCGGCCCCGGAACGTGTGCGCTTATCCAGCTATACTCCACTCCGAGCGGAAACCCCAGTCCCTCAAACCCCTCTTGCGCCGCCGCCTCGCCGACAACTCGGAACCTCCCAGTACTCTCATTCACAATCTCATCTTCCCGCAGGTTCTACAGAGCTGCGCCGAATACTTCGCAAATCCTTATCTTCGCCCATACTCTCCGATTTCTACGAACTGAGAAGGGGACCAGAGTGGGCGAGAACGCCGATGATGACTCCGCCACCGCTTCCATCATTAAGTGTATCTCCTCCGCCCTCGCATCGCATGAGCAGGATGACTGCGCTGACTGGTCTCTCTCGGTTTACGGATGACTCGACTGGTTTCGATGAAATCCGTTCTCGTCCTTCGCTGGCAATCTCATTGCCAACAACCGATGGGGGACGTCGGCCATCGTCTTCGGAGTACTCACAACCGTCTCCAACTGCGTCTGCCTTCAGAGATAGATGGTCAAATGGCTTTTATTCCGCGAACTCCCAATCACCTTCGGTTGACCCTCTGCCGCATTCGCGAGATTCTTCGGCGTCGCCGCATCCTCTAATCCCTCGTCCTTCTACCATGTCCCCGCCACCTAGACCCTCTTCATCGATAGCAGGCATCGCTTTGTCGCCCCCACCACATCGTTCTGGAAACCTTCGCCAGCCCCGACATTCACGACTCCATGAAGCATCATCCTCAGAATTTAGCCAAGGCACCTTCCGCTCCTTTAACTCATTTTCTCCCATGCCTAGTCACAGCGAGACCCGGGGCCATTTGCCTCTGCCACTTGACGTCAATGTCTCTATCGATAGCTTTGCATCTGGGATTCACTCTGCGCCACCACCTTCATCACCAGCCACCTTTTTCGACCACATTCAGAACCACCCGAATGCTATGGATGACCTGGACGATTCTGATGATAGCAGAAGTGACATAGACCAGGATATGCCTGTGTACCCTGTACCCTCTCCCCATCCATCACTTATGCAGCTGGGCAATCGCTCTACCCCCAATCTTGCCAGGGCTGCGAACGAGTCGCATTATCAAGGGATTCCGACTGAGCGGAACCAGCCCGTGGGCAACGTCCCGCATAAAACTCCATACTTTACGAGTGTCAAGGCATCGCCGAGCTCTCTCACCCATCTCACGCTTGCGCAGCACTCACAAGAACATCTCACAGTCGACTGTGTGGCACCGCAACGGCCGGACACACCTGGATCGGAGAATGTGCGTCGCTGGCAGAAGGAGCAGCAAGCACTGGCAGAGTCATCGAAGAGATTGGATGGGATGCTGATCCAGCATATGGAGGCGGAGAAGGATACGCTGAGGAGAATTGCACAGACTGCAAAAGTATCGAAACCCCTTGAATTATCTTAGGACTCGTTTTGCTATCCTATTTACTTACCACACCCCTTGTTTTCTTGCTGCTCGTTCATTGCTTGTATTGTACATGAGTACTTCCGATACCTACCATCTAGTTTCTTACCGGAAGTATCTGATGAGATTAATGAGTGAAACGGTCAATTAAGTATTTAAGGAGTTGTGCTCGGCGTCAATTACAAGTCATGCAGTGCATGCGCAGAGGGTTACGTAGCGTTCTGACTCCGCTCCTTTCAGTCGAGCTCGCTTCTGTCTGCAACGTTGTTCATGACTGGCAGCAATAACGATATGGAGAAGACGAGCGAGCACCAGAAACACTCATACTCGTGGCATCAGGTGAGCCAGGGAACTCTGATAATTAACACTTCATTTGGCTTACGCTACCTAGTCGCATGATCAGGTGAAGCCAATGGGGTAAGGGTTTGTTTAGCAGTCCTGACACTTGGGCGAATTCCAGGCTACAGTCTTATTGCTTGTTCCATATGAGACCTCAAGAGAGGATGTTGTTGTAAGTATAGTACTGTTGCATTATTCGCCGTGTATAATCTCATGTTCACCGTGGTTGTTCACCGTGGTAGGTGGTTATTGAGCGCAACTACCTCCTGGCCGGGGTTAAAGGGCAACAACCCATCGTGAAGGTAAGCCTTCGCATCGAATAGACGGATTTGCAATCTTTAATAGCCATTTCCAGGGTCGTCTTTATAGCCACGTCGACGTGGCAAACTCGGCGTGGCAACTCGAACCTCGCAGCTCGCGTCTTTCCGCTCGAGAGCGAACAACGTCGACCATCTCGACGACATCAACCCAATCTTCTTTCGCCTTCGTATCCGATCCAGAAATTTCAAGCAGCTTCGCCGCTTCCCTAGAGAGTGGTCAAGTGTCAGACGCAGAGGAGATTGTAACCCCTTCACCTGCACTATCATCGCCTATCTCCTCGGCTGACGAGCATACGAGTGGTTCAGGTCACCAGCGTCATTCTATTCATGCTACCTCTGGTCCTGCATCGCCTTCATTGCCTGTACATGTTTTATCATCATTCTCCTCTTTGGAATCACTACATTCCAACTCAGGAAGACTCGTGACACTTCATCTTGAGAAGGAACAGTCGATCATCTGGCCGTCGTTAATTGTGAGCTTCCCTTGTTTGGGTCTTCTCCATGCTTGAGCTCACCTAGTAACATAGCAAGGACCAATCCCCCAGGAAATTTCGCCATGCGCTCCTGTCCCTATGCTATATGATTTCAGCTTGGAGTACAAATACAATATGGATCCCACAAGTCTCGTCCTATATGCTATAGAACTCTACGACATCAGGAAAGACAAAGATGAAGCATTCGAGTGCTTTGTGTATGTGATCCTGGTTCTGAAAATCCATTCCGTGTATGACTGACTGCTTGTTTGTCTATGCAGACGAGCATGGCATCATGCCCACCTCCCATCTGCTACAATGAAGCTGGTTACACACTATTTGCCTATCCAAACATCACTGGACCACCTTGATGCATCTGAAGAAGGGCAACGCGGAACTGTCTCCTATTATGTTCAATGCATTGGCGGCCCGACGGGCCTGTCCAAGCTCTTCTTGGAGGCTGGTCTTCTTCATCTCGAAGGAGCGGCTTCTGTCTTCCTTTCAGCATCGTATTCTACGTTATCGTCCATTAGGATGCCGCCACAGCCACAGCCAGGAGAAGGCGGTACAGAAGCATGGAAGCGCGATAGGGAAGCCGCAGGTCGATACTTTGAGCGTGCTCGCGCTCTGCAGCCCGATCTCGACATTCCTGTCCTTCCTGATGAAGGCATTGCACATCATGATCTCGGGAGCACTCACGAACTGGAGATGCCATCTATAGAGATCCATCCCTCTGCCTCAGAGAGTGTCTATTCTGGAGAGGATTCGCTGTATTTAGAACAAGTGATCATTCCACGCCGAAGAAGGCAGAAGAAAGAAGAGCTTATCTTCATGGATGAGGTCAAGGGCAAGGATGACATCGATAGCGCATGGTACCTGTATGTCCCGAGCCTAGTGGGTGCCGGCACAGCGCTGCTGGTCGTGGGCGTTATAGGCGCCCTCAGCCTCTCGTCATGGAGAAGAAACCAGGGATCTTGATGGGTTTCTTTCGACTCACCGTTATCAGTGCTGTATTTGCTTTGTTATGTATGTAGACTCACTGCTCGAGTTATTGGTTTACTTGCACAATGCTATTGCTTCCCTATACTAGCCGCGGGCATCCTCAGTAAATCCTATATTTTGTCACAATAGGCGCTAAAATTCAGATCATGACTGGTGTGCGGTTGCGCGTACACTCTAGTCACGATCTGAATACTTATGTAGTAAATCTCCTGCATTTATCCCGCATCTCACCCTCGTCATGCACGGTACCGCTTGGTCTAAAGCTGCAGGCTCTGTGCCCTCAGACCGTCTACGTTCCGCACAGCGCCAACAGCATGTTCCCCCAAAACAAAACAAAGGAAAAGGCATAGCCCAAGAACCTCCCAAAAGCAAAGCGATCCGCAAGCTCGAATCGCTCGCTGATGGCGTTCGCAAGTCGTCTGGCAGAGAGAAGGATCCAAAGGGCGGGTGTTTCTGCCAAGGTAAAAGGCACTACTGACTCGGATCTGTGCTTATAACGCTGAGATACCACTGTTGAGTCCAGCGAGAGAACACGAACTTTCTCCTTACACCTCCATATGTCGTGGTTGTGGGTTGATCCTATGCGCTATCAATCTGCCCTACTACGCATGCTCGCATTGTTCTGCGGTGCTCCTCTCAGACATTGCGCGTTCCTCGCTTTCTGCCCGCCTTAATGAGGAGATATCTAAGCAAATGTCAAAAGAGGAAGAGCAGAAGGAGCGAGTTGTTCAGCAAGCACGCGATGCGGAGGGCGCATTCCCTGTTCTCCCTGGCTCTGTCACACAACCAGTTCCGTCGAGCACGCCCTCGCGTCCCCCAGCCCAGACGCACAAAGTATTATCTCTAAACTCCAAGACGAAGAAATACACAGTCTCATCATACACGAACACCCCTGTCCCATCCCGTCCGGCATCTCGTGCTGAGTCCGAGGAAGAGGTTCACAGAATCACTGCACCTTCCCTGGAAGTTGACTATGTGAAGAGCAAACCTGATCGAAACCATCTATGGAACAATATGCGTATGGAAGACCTTCTTTATGTTCCCGTGAAGTAACAAGCCGGCAGTGCGAAAGGAGATTACATGGCCTCTTGCATAGTAGAGGGTTAATGATAGGCTGAGGTAGCGTAAAGAAGAGTGCCACTTGGTCACACACACAAGATACATACAGCAGAAATATCAATAATCAAGTTTGGGGCCCCGTTAAATATCAATAGATGTATATATAGCGCGAGAGCCAGATCAAAAGCAAAACCGAAAACAGTACATACATTTCATCTTCGAGATCATGGTGGCTGTTCTGGGAGTAAAGTGAGGAGTTCTTCCATATCGAATTTGACCTGGTCAAGAGCTAGCTGCTTCGCGGTCAGTTGAGCCCTGGCAACCTCCAACCCCTCTTCAAGTCGCCTGAGTTTCACAGGATGGGGGCTGGACGGGCGTGGTGGGGGACGAGACGTTGGGATAACAGGAGACGAATTTCTTTCAGGTGAGAAAGGGAGTGGAATCAGGAGCGGGTCCATAGGGGAGGATGTTAAACTAAGATTGTTCCAAGATAGAAGAGCGATAGGCTGTAGAGGTGTCGCCAGCTCCATGTTTTGTTCGACGTCTATAGCATCATCCATATGCTGAACGTCGTGTGTGTGATAAAGACTCTGTTAATTTGGTGAGCTGCAGTGTCTCTCTTGCGTGGATGATGGTACCTACTGGTGACTGCCGATGCAATGACAGCTTGAGAGCGTCGATTTCCTTAAGCAATTCATGTTCGCGAGACTTGGCAGAACTTCGACTATGCTCAAGTTCTTGTTCGAGTCGAGAGACCTGAGAGGCAAGCCTAGACCACGGTAAATCGATTTGATGAGAATGCAGATGATATGATGGTGCTAATGAACCTACCTCACGCATTCCTCCTCGATAACCAAAATTTGTGGAAAGTCAGGAGGTTCCCCTCCGTTAGACACCTGGAAAGATTATTCAGTGCCATGACGTAGTGGCTGGCGCATGTCACGAACTCTGCGTGCCCTTACGGCCACCTCAACAAGTGCCTTCCTCTCCACTTTAAAGCCCTCAAGCTGGGTAGCATAGGAATTAATCTGGTCATCCAGCTGCGCAATAGAGCGCAGTGATACAGAAGTCGGGAGAACTGTGGGGCGATCGTGAGACCATATTTGTGTGACTACAGGTGAGCCAGCTGGCAGAGTGGATACTAGATTCGGTGATGTCAAATGGACTTCGGTATTAGTCGTTTGAGGGGGCCTCGGAGAGAACTGGTTGATCCTGATTAACGGGAGAAGCTCTTCTTGGCGGTGACGAGGGGCCAACGGGTGTTGCATCTGCTGAAATGTATGGAGGTGATCCCGCGGGACCGCGCGCGCGCTCAAGCTACGGCAAGTAAACAATCAGTAGGACTGTATGAACGGTGAAAAAAACGAAACCCTCACTTTTCGTGCCAAGCCTCGTATTTCAATTTCAAGAGATTTGTTTCTAGTGTTGCTGTCCGCTAATAAACGGAGACAGTCTTCATCTGTCATGGATTTTGGAGGGGGTATTTCGCTTTCAGAGTTCCGGGGTTGGCGTGAACGGTTTAGCGGTGACTTGTCCCTCTTTGGATGGTGTTGAATAGATGCTTCTAACACGGCCTCGCGTGCAGCTACTTTCGCCTCGAGTTCAGAGATACGGAGGTTGGCTTCTTCCACAGCCTTACAGTGAGCTTTGCGCTCGTGGTCAAGCTCGGTGCGCAGCCTAGTGATGACAGAAGCACCGTACTCCAAGATTTCCTCAGAATCCCTGCAACTTCTATCGCTGGATTTGAAATGATTTTCAGGAAGTTGATCTGGGTGTATTTTTCCAGCGTTCAGTGCCGACGTCTGCGAAGCTACAAGGAACGGACGGACGTAGATGTTTTGTTATATCCATGCGACTGCAAGGCCACATACTCCAGTCACTGGACATCTGGACTAAGAAAAAGCACAGATGTATGAGTAGCAGGCATGCACTCGTCGACATATCACTACACACCTTTCTGAATCAAGTCCTCAACGACATCTTTGAGATCATCCCGCTCGACTTCGAGCACTTTCGCAAAGGTTCTCCAACGTTCAATTTCATGGGACAAGTTTTCCGTCTCGCGTCCCTTCGCCGCCAAGTCGATTAGGTGTTGAGCCTTTAGAGAGTCCACAATGTCAATAGCTTGGAGGAGACGAGCCTGTGTCTCTGATGCTCGAGCAATATAGGCATCTATCCGGGCCTCCAGGCCAGCAATCTACAATGTATTTTTGATGTATTTATCAATAATGTGTTTCCTCAGCTGACGGTGCTACACCACTGACCTGTTCGTCTCTTTTTCGAAGGGCCGCATTTAAATCATCTTGCGTCAAAGTTCGTTGGTCCTTGTGGCCCATATGTACCTGGATGTATCATACAACAATTTATACATCCAGCCTGTCGTAGATATACCGCATGTAACAGTAGCTTCAAATTTCAAAGTTCGCGGAGACTCCAACAAGGTGAAGCAAGCGTGAGAAAAAATACATTGTTTCATTTAATACATTTAATGACATGTACGTAGACATCGAGTCCTAATTACCCAAGTGCTTACCAGCAGCGCTCTCCTCAAGTGACGGGTTTGAACATTAGACAAGGCTAATACCTGCTAATACCTTCACCCACACCCTATCTAAGGCGGCCGGTCACGAGCCTAACAGCGAATCGGGCACGCACGAACGTCAAAATAGACCTCTGATTCGCCATGATTCATCACCAACCCGCCTGCCTGACTCTACAGATACCTTAACTTTTACTTATAAGGCCTAGGCAGGGACTAGCATATTCCATGGCTGAATTCCGAAATGGTCCACTGTGGCCAGTCCACTGCGGCTAGCGCTCCGATTGAATGCTGCAGCACCCACGTCACCTATCAATGGAACCCTTTGTGAATCAGAGTACTTAATAATATTCCACAGTTTGATCTCGTATATATTCAGGTCAACCGCGCTCATGGCAGTCTATCAGAACTTTAGACTTCTCTCACTTGCTAGACTTGCTATTTTTGACTGTATCATAGACTTGTATTGGTACGAGCTCTTTGCCTTTGGGATTAGTGTCAGTCTGACCTTTAATGTTCGTAGAGTCATGTGTAATTTTGTTGTCCCCATTCGCACTTGCTTCAAGTGCTACCAAAACGAACCGCTTTTCGACGAGAAGCAAAGGCGATTGTCGCATGTGAATGAAAAGAATGAGGTTCCGTAATCCTCTATGCTTGAAAGTCATCTCGACTCATTACATTATTCCCAACAGCGAAAGTTAACGTATATGGCACCCCCCCAGGACTGCTACTCGCGCTGGTGTATTTTTAGCAGCGAGCATCCCAAGGTTTGCAGCTCCTGCCGGATTACTTGTAAACAAACGTCAGTGCCAAGATTTCCTGTTATTCGTAGAAAGTCTGACGTGTTTTATGTTTTGCAGGCACGGCAAAACACGCGAGATTCAGGGTGGTTCACCGTCATACGTTTGCCACAGCTGCGCCTCGTGCCCCCAGCAGCATTGCCCATCGCCACGTGGCGTATGCAATGATGTGTTTCGTCGACGGGAAACTGGATGGTTTGCTTGGTTAAGAAGATCTTCCGCCAGATAATGTCTGGCACATTCTCACTCACTACGCAGTACCAAATCCATCGCATAATGTTGCTCCTTCTGAAGAGTTTTGGCATTCACGATTGACCACTCAACATCATGACCAGAGGCATTTGCCACTCAACACGGCCCTGCGAAATCTTTACTGCCTTAATCCATCGACAGAGTCTGTCTCAATTTAAATAGCAACATTAATGTGACGCACGACTATGGGATCTAGGTGCGCCCCTTGGCATGTTTGATGCAGCCCATATATTCTTCGTAGCGCTGAGGTTGCTTCACGAGGTGGCCCGGTTCCCTGGGATGTCCGAATGTAAAATTTGACTCAGAAGCTACTTAAACTTGTATTCTTTCTCTGACTGCTATTTCCCACCTTTCCCCTTCAAAAATCTGTATTCTCTAGCCCGTCGGATGCTCGACTTGGGAACATTTCAGTGGAGCGTACAACAACCTGGTAACAATATGTGCGGGAGATTGTTCAAGTCGTCCGATATCCAAATTGTGAACAAGAGGTCTGAATAGACGACACGCGGACTCCTACCAGCAACAAGTCAGAAGCGATCGTTAACCTATCATATGTCGTGTCATTAACCATGCTGACCTGATTTTGATTCCCAGATAATTGGCGACGCTATGGCCCGTGTGATTGTCCCCTCAGCTCGACGCACCGGGTGCGTGGCCACCAGTGACGCAAAACGAAGCAGGTACGGATGTGATGTATGTATCACAACGGTAAGCATGAAGCAGGACGAGGCAAGGTTCAAGGTCTGGTCTTGTGAAACGAGAAGCCAGACAGTAAGCCCACTAAACAACGTGGTCTTCCTGCCGGAATTGAAGGTGCTGGACAATTGGAGACAGGCATGGAAGGAAGTGATTTGTCACATCTTGTCATTGTCAGCTGTGCATAGACTTGCACGTAATGTTCCGTGACTGGAGTCGGGGAATTGCCCTCCGGTATGTAATTATACTTCTCGTAATGTGCACAACTAGTAGAAGCCATGGTGGTGAGAACTAAGAACCACGTACACTGTATGTATGCGGGTTTCGGTCACCAACGGTGTCACCCCCCCCTTGATCATATGGTACTTAGTACACTGTATATACAAGGCAAGGCCGTCGCCTCACAGCATCGATGACTTGACACAACTGGCAACGGATCGGAATTCTCAAAGATCAATTCATCGATGCTATCCAGGCTGCTAGTGCTGGTTCAATTATACTTAAACCTTGGATGACATTCGGCGGCTATGTGTGCTTAACGCCTTACAAAGACATATCCTAAACTTAGCACAGTGCTGCATCGATATGCAAATGATTGGAAATGCTGGAAACGCGGAACGTTTCTATTGCTGTACCATGAGGTAAGCACACCGTACACTGGCTAACTAACTCCCTGCTGACAGGTTGAGTTCTCCGAGTCGGACTTGGCGTCCTTCAAGTTGCGCCTGGATCGTACTAAACATATTTCTTCGCGAGAACGTGCATGATGACACCAGATTGCAGATTTGCGTGCGGTGCATGGAGTGAAGGCTTCTCTTATATCAACCTGCAGTGAAGTCGCTTCTTTGACATAATTTAGTATGAGTGCTGTAAGTTCGTGGCAAGCAACTCAACTTGAAGCTGACGCGCTCTTGCAGCTAAACGTGAGTGCGAGTCCTGCTATCGAGTCCAAGTCAATCCTGGATCACTGATGTGCTCGTCCAAGTACTGTTATGGTGCAGCTTTTATCCATTACCAGTTGCTTTCATTGATGATTCATTGTGTCTTTCTCGATAGTTGCACTAGTATCGTTTTGGGTGAGCTATAGAATTTACAACTCCTTGGTAGAGACTCATGCTTTTACTTGGACATTCAGTTGTATGACTACATACTGTGCATGTCCGATGCGGTAAGTAGAAATTTACTTGAGCGTCCTAGAGTCTACTGATTTATAGTCGGGCAGGTCACTTTTATCGCCGAGTCTCGATGGGGGATCGGCACATTTCTGTATCTAGCTTGCAGCCACTTGCCCTTTGCCTACCTGTCACTGAACATGCTCGGTGAGTTTTCAGCATTCATTTCCATTTTTCCTGGGCCCTCATGCTGATGGTGTCTTTCAGTGGTTTTTCAGCCTGATGCCCCTTTCCCTGTATGTGCAACTTGAAGCGGCGCAGACGTTTGAATTCAACCAATCTCAATCATAGCTTTGCCGTTCTTATATCATCGCTGATATCTGTGAGTCTGGTGACACTTTGCCCAGACATGCACTGACTCTGTGTCTAATACATCATCAGATGTAGGGTTACCGATAATGATTTGCGCTGAGTGTGGGTCCAACATTCGAACTAACCAACAGTCACGGTGATTCTGTGCTCTAACACTTGCATTGGTTCAGGCATCTTCCTACTCAGGGCATATGCAGTATGGGAACGGGAGAGATTGCCTGCGGTGTTCGCAATCGTGAGCATCATTGTGAGTCCGATATGTGGAGTTTGCGACCGATGTTTGACCCATCTTCTGCAGGCCTATTTAGTGCCAATCATCGTCTGCCTACAAGAATTTACCTCGTCAGTCTCCGGTGTGTAGTTGCACACTTTGCCTGCTAGGCTCCTGACCTCTGTCATACAGGAGAATGCTGGATCCCTGGCGTTATCGGATATCTGGATAAGGAGACAAGTACTAGAGTATATGTGGTGTACGGCTTGCTAGCTGTTGCCGAGTTACGTTCGTATTGGGAGCTGGTGCTAACACGAGCTGGACTGACTGCGCGCCCCTCCATGCACATAATTTCAGATGTCTTGTTGTTTCTACTGTATCGCATCGCCAATGGTTATGGCGGCTGGGGGATCGACAACCGTCTCACACGGCATCTCATGCTACACAATCTGTTGTATTGTGGCTGCGGATTTGGTTGGTACTCGCAGATTAACAAATATCTCTTGCATATTCATTTACGTTATAGCCTTTTCTCTCAGCGTTGTTCTCACCACAATTTTTCTCCCGGTAAGTCAAGTATGTGTGCATTTGAAGCCGCTGCATTAACACAAGATTTAGTTTCCAGTTGCACACGTAGTTACAGAGTTTGTCCATTCACACCTTGGGAGAGGTGATGATACTTATTCGGCAACAGGTTTCAGGTCGTTGTTCAAACCGTCTTGGTCACGCGAATGCACAGGGTCTTCTGGAGATCGGACCGCGTCTCTTGTGGTATTAACACAGATACCTCTCTCACAACGTGGATGGCAGCAACCCCAGATGTTATTTGACGGTGCGCTTCCTCCGCCAATCATCATGATCGTGCAGCTGACACCCAATCGATAAAGAGACAATCCTGCTTGGAATCCTCTAAATCTATGCGACCATTGCGCAGACTCTCATGCAGGCGAGGGTCAAAGATGGATGACGGACGGACAAATTAATAGGTCGGGTCCATGTACCCACTCACCCACTCTTCCACTTGGATTTTTTTTTTCAACGTTGTTTATAAATCTTTTTGTGGAAGAGAAGCAGTAGAGAGACGCAATTCATATACCTCAACGTACGATGCAGTACATGAGCACGTAGCTCCTCAAAGGAAGTCAACTCAGATTGACGGTACTGGCTTACGCAAGCTGGCATCGCCACCATACCACGCGAACTAATCTTCAAGATTATTTTCTTGTGAACGCTGTAACTTGACCCCAAAAAAGATCCGACCTGCCTGGCTCGAACAGGCGACCTCAAGATGAATTTATCCAGTTACAGTCTCGCGCTCTTCCAACTGAGCTAAGGTCGGTTGTATTAAGGGGAGCTTCCGCGGACTTCCAGTGCAAACTCAAATTAACATGAATGGGGGGAATTAGCCAATATACAAGAGGTAGAGGTCTGTCAGTACCAGATTCCGCTTGAAAGTAAGTATAAAAATGCAGTCATCACTTGTCGTAAAGGTCGTAGTGGAAGAAGGTAGAGTAGAGAACGAGAACGAAAATGATAAAAACGATGATAAGTTTCAAGAATTCAGATGCATATGGTAGCGGACGGTCTCTTTCACATGATTGTGCACCAACGAGACTTCTTTTCCCTGTCTTCCTCGACGGCAGAGGGGATGGCGGAGGTTGGAGCAGTGGTTGGAGTGTTTTCGATTGACGACTTATGAACAAATTCTCCAGCGGCAACGTCGAGCGATGTGCGACCCTCTTCAGGAACCTTGGGCGAAGAGGAGAACCATCCACCAGGGAAGAAACGAGAAGAGGTCGTGGACTCCAGCCTCTTGCGGTTGGCTCCGTTGGTGGTGGGGATATCGATGCGGAGGGTGTTGGATTCAGTGACCTCGGCGGCGTTGAGCTCGTCGACGGCAGACAAGCTTGGCCTGAACACATGGAATCAGGGATGAAGGAAGAAGTGAGAAGAAAATGGACTGACTTCTTTGCGAATTTCTGCGATTCTTCGACAATAGGGAATGTTTGAGGGGTCTCGGCGGGAGCTTCTGCCATAAGAACAGGGGGGATAAGCACCTCGTCCACCGCATGTGCAGTAGTACTAGCGACTGGACCAGACAGTTGCTCTAATTCGTCAAGTTCTTCAACAGCCTCGTTCGGCCCCTGCTTGGTGACAGAGTACGAAGGGGTCCACGGCGACTTTGGTCTTTCACCAACCGGGTCATCGACGGGCGTTAAAAGGTCCGAGTCCGGTTTAACTTCGGGTGCATCCTCGATAACAACCTGAAGAATGTTGAGCAAATGTAAAATTCAATACAGAATACAATCTTACAGGTGGCTGGGTGGACTCGATGATAAACGAACCATGTTCAACAGACTCGTCTTCCGTAGCGACCGTTTGATCCACAAGTGCAGATGCTGGTTCGAGTCCAGTTATCGAGTAGGACGGCGTCCAGGGAGACCGACTGCGCTCTTCAACAGGTTCGGTAGCACCCAATTGCTGCTGAAAGCATTAAGCGTGACTAACTTCAGCATATATTAGCAGACACGTACCATACTCTCGTCCTCGACGATAAATGAACCATGTTCAACTTCCTCCTCGGGTTCTTCTTCCACAGCAGCTGGCTCGGGTGGAGTTAGTAGCGAAGGTTCTGGTTGAACGGCGACACCTTGTGCTGAAGCAACATCATGGGGAGCCTCTGCTTCAATGGCTGAATCAGGAACACTTGGCTCCACAGATCCATCCAAGATCTCCGAAAGCGTGGCATGCGTGTCTGCAACAACTGTGGTAGTAGAACTGGCTACCTCGCCAGAAATGACGATCTCTTCTGTAAAAGGAACAGATTGTTCTTTAACTGGCTCCTCTGCAACAGATCGGGCAGCACTGGACAGAAGCTGTTCCAAGTCATCAAGTCCCTCATTGGTCTGAGCAACGTTGCCTTGTACGGTCACCGAGTAAGAAGGAGCCCAAGGCGATTTAGGACGAGGCTCTTCCAGTTCGCCAAGTGCAACCTATCCCCTAGTCAAGCCAAAGGTAAAAAGACAATGGAGGGGAAATCATACCTGCTCCTCTGCCAACTGTACGGTCACGGCATCCTCAACTAGGGACTGTCCGGGCACTTCTGCGGTCTCCGGAACAATCGCGGATGCTTCATCAACAACAATCTCAGGTGTTTGTGCCTGGGTAGGGACAGCGTCGTCATCGCCTTCATAGGTGCTCGCAGGCTCCTCAACTGGAACGCCTGGTCCTTGAGTGATAACGCTGTACGAAGGAGTCCATGGTGACTTGGGACGTTCAATGTCGGTAGCAACGTTAAGAGTTGCAAGCTAAAACATGACTGAGAAAAACGTGAATAATAACAAAATGGATCGTACGTACCTGATGCTGTTCAGCGACCTCTTCGACTGCGGCAGTTTCGGATTGCGCGAGTCCTTCGGTCTCTTCAATCTTGCTGGAGGTCTCTACTGGTGCAACTGGAGGCTCCGAGTCCTTACCGACTTCAGAATGGTTCCCATTGACAGGGACTTGGGAGGTGATCACAGGTTGTTCCTCTAAAACCTCGGGTTCCTCTGCGGTTACGGACGCAAACTCTTCGACAATAGAAACAGTAGAAAGTGACTCCTCTATGGAAGTTTTATATGGATGTTGCTCAGGCAAGGACACGGGTGCCTCTGCGTATTGTGAATCCTCAAGTCCGTCCGTGGTCTCTTCGCTGGTGACCGATGTGTCTTCTGTCTCCAGGGTAGTGTGGACCTCTTCGGTGGCAACGTTCTCGACGACTAATGCTTCACTTGCAACGGGAGCGGGTTCTTCGACAACCACGGGTTGTTCAGCTACAGGAGCGTCCGACTCGACGATCGACTCCTCGGCGACGGTCGCGGTTCCTTCGATTGATGAAGCAGCCTCGTGCGTTGGTTCCGCGAGAGTGACGGGGGCTTCTTCGAAACCTGGGGTAGTCTCCTCCTCCGTTGTAGAAGTGGTTTCTTCGGGCTCAGCAGCAGGTTCTTCTGCTGTTGGCGGTGCCTCCGCAGTAGATGCGGTAACAAGCTCTGCCTCAGGTGCGGGGGATTCCTCGGTGGTTGGAATTTCATCAAGGGCAGGCTCGTCAGCAACCGAGGGCACTTCTGCAACGAGAGGTTCCTCGTTGATAGCGGGAGAGATGTCATCGTCAACAGAGAAAGACGTCTCTTCAGTCGCGGAAGCTTCCAAGATGACTACAGGCTGATTGTCGGGCACCGGAGTATCTTCAACTGCAACAGGCTCATACTCTCCTGTTGGTGCTGGGGCTTCCTCAGGCGTAACTGGCTCAGGCTCTTCTACTTCTGAGGGCGCGGGAGGCTCCTCGACAACAAGGATATTCTCTTCAACCGTTGCGGCGACTACCGCTTCAGTTTCTTCGGACACAGCGACAGGTTCTACTGCTGTCAACAGTGCCACCACAACAGAGGGCTCGTACAAGGCGGTAGCGGGCTCTTCTTCCGGTGCGGGAGGTTCTTCTCCGGCTGAAGTTGCTTCAAGAGCAGGTTCGTCGGCATCCGAGGGCGCTTCTGCAACAAGAGTCTCATCCATGTTGGGGAGAATTTGATCATCAACAGAAACGGGTTCCTCTGTGTCTGCGAGGGTTTCCTCGATGGCTACAGGCTGGTCTTCGGGCACCGGAATGACCTCAACTGCAACAGGCTCATGCTCTTCTACTGCTGTGGAGGACTCTTCTACTTCTGCGGGCGCAGAACATTCCTCAACAACAGGGGCATCATCTTCAAGTGGTGCCTCAACAGAAGAAACGAGTGTTTCGTCAACGGTTGAAACGTCTCCCGCGGGGGGGATCTCTTCAGTTGCTGGAGCGACATTTTCAGCGAAACCCTCTTCAGTTGTAACACGAGGCTTCTCTGTAGACGTGACAGGTTCTTCGGCAGGGGATGGGACCTCGATTGGGGAAAGAAGCTCTTCGGTACCAGCAGCATCGACGGAATGTAGGGTCTCTTCTAACACCGGAGCGTCATTAACAGGAGTTCCTAGCTCATCCACATGAGCGATGGGCTCTTCGACAGTAGGCTCGGCTTCATCAACGACAGCGTTTTCGACTGGTGAGGTCAGTTCGAATGGAACAGCTGACTCGATAGGAGTTACATCATCTGGAGTGAACTCTTCGACTGGTGCAGATTCTTCGACTGCTACAGCCTCGAGTGAGGAAACCTCCTCGACTGGTGCGGATTCTCCTGTAGGAGCAACGTCATCGACTGGGACGAACTCTTCATCAGGTATAGTTTCCTCAGCCGGAATCGTCTCTTCATCCGGCAGCGTCTCCTCAACTGGTAGTGTCTCTTCGACAGGGGATTCCTCAATCGCTGCAACTTCCTCGACTGATGCGGGCTCTCCTGTAGAAGTAACAGTATCGACAGGAATGACCTCTTCGACTTGTGCAGTCGCTTCAACCTCAACCTGCGCCATAGACTCCTCGTCGGCAGCATCCAAAGCTGGCTCTTCAAACACGGGAGTCTCCTCAGCTAGAGGTGTCTGCGGCTCATCAGCGACCGTGAAGTCCACCTCGGGATCCTCGACGAATGACGTATTGGAGCTGGGTGGCTCGATATCAATCGGGACAGTCTCCAGTACCGTAGACTCGACTTCAGGTTCTGTGGGCTCCGGATCAACTGCTGCAGGCGCTTCTGGCTCGACAGCGTCAATTTCCGGTTCTGCTACGGTGTTAAGTCAGCTGCAATAGAATCGTCTGCAGCAACAGACTCACCTTCGGCTGCAACAACAGGTTCGACGGGAACCTCAGGCTCCGTATTCAGCGCGGTGGCAGATTCCTCCGGTTCGGTTGAGAGTACAACTGGCTCTGTTGCAGGCTCAGCTGGAACCGACACAACCTCGGGAACAGACGCATCCAATTCCAGTTCAGTGAGAGCAGCTGGCTTGTCCTCAGCTTCAATAGCACCCTGCGGCTCCTCATTAGCCTCATCTTGCGCTGCATCAACCTCTGCAGTATATTCCTCCGCCTCTGCAGTTGATGTCTCCAGTGGTACAGTAGTGGCTATCGCTTCCGCCACCGGCTCAGTTTCTTCAGCCGGTTCCGACTCGGCTGCTTCTGCGATGGGCTCCACAGTTGCTGAGGTTTCTTCAGCCGCTTCTGACTCGCTCGCTTCTGTAGCGGCCTCCAGAGTTGCCGCGGGTTCCGCGTCAGGTTCACCGACAGCCGGAGTCTCCTCTACGAGGACCTCGCCCAACGTCGCAATTGGTGCAGCTTCAAGGGCAATTGACATGGCCTCTGGGTGGGGTTGGGAAGTTTCTATCTCGACCGGTGCAGATTCTACTAGCGCAGATTCCTGCGCGACCGGTATATGGTCGCCTTCAGGAGCGGCCTCTGCTGCGGGCTCGATGGACGCTAGATTTACGGTCTCAGTGACCGCGAGTTCTTGTCCGGCAGATGAAATCTCCGCTTCTGTATAGCTTGCTTCTGGTTCGATCGCCTCACATGCATCTTCTATGACAGCCGGCTCGGTTTCCGCAGCCATGGGGGGTATTTCCTGCAAGGTCATCAACATCGGGGGGGAAATAGATTAGCAACACGGTAACTCACCTGTACTTCAACAGCAGGGGGAACGACAACCTCTTCCAGCATGTCAGCGATTGGCTTAATCTCAGTGTTCGGATCACGGATGGGCGTCTCGTCCTGACAATGGGAAGGCTCTGCGCCAGTAGTGCTGCCGACGCCGTTTATGGAAGGTTCAACAGTGTCTGATAGGGAACTCTCAGGGCCAATGCTAGCATCAATAGGAGGCTCTCCTTCATCAAAAGAGGCTTTGGGAGAGCCCGCAACGGTGGTGTCAACATCAACAAGAGGTATTTGTGTCTCTGTGCTGGCAGTGGTTGGCAATTCGTCCTGTAGTTGATTGTTAGATGATCGACGCGTCAAAAGCGTATCTTTGTATTTGCACACCTTGGTTATCTCTGAAATGACCGTACCGGAAACAATATTCGCGTCCTCTTGGAAGGGCTCTGCGACACTCGCAGGCTTGTCCCCGGGGACGATTGTGAGAGTTGTAAGTTGCTCGGATACTTCTACGAAAGGAGACTTGTGTTGGCCATTGGGGAGAGGCTCGGAGTCATGGATAAGAGTGGTATTCTCCTTATCAGAATCGCTCGTAGGCAGAACAGGTGCCTCTGGTTCCATATCATCGACCAACTTGCCCTGGATAACAAGTCAGCCACACAAGGGTTACAAGGCAGTAAAGAGTGGCACGCACCACGTGAAGAACCTCGACAGACGCATCTGCCGCGAGGGTGTCATCTGAGGAAGACGTTACCGAGCTATCGTCGTTCTTGTACCCGGCTCCGGGTACGTCTTCGGCGCCTAGTGCAAAGTCTTCCACACCATTTGTAGCAGCATCCACGACTTCCTTATCAGTTGCCAACTTGCTGGATTTCTCGAAAGCATTGGGACTATCGTGTATGCCATTAGACATCGGCTCGTCAACGACGACAGCGTTGTCGGCCACGGCAGACATGTTCTCGAATAAAGATAGTAGGGAACGTGCTATTGGGGATGGGAGAGAGAGACTGAAATGTTCGTTCTTATGAGCGAATCCGTCGATTGCAAGGCGCAGCTGCAAAAAAATGCAAGCGACGTGCGCAAAGAAGCTCAACCGAAATCCGCTTCAAAGGTCTACGCGACTGGTCACGTGCTGCCATTCATACAATACAAAAAATCTTCAACCTCCACGATCGACGTGGCCAAATGAAATGCTTTCATGTGGATCCTTTCACTGCAGCCTGGGGGCTAGTTTAGTCACAAATGAATGATACTCTTCTATAATGCACAAAGGAGTACTAGGCAGGCCACATGCCGATGAAACAAGTCACTAAATTATGGATAATATCGAGTGGAACACAGCAAAGACAGGTGGTATGTATCAAAATTAAACAGTCCATCGCGCGTCATGATCGTGGCTACATTAATAACATGCTTAGAAGAGAGCAGCGCCAACGAGACCCATCACACCGGCAACACCCATTGCCGAAGAGACAGAGAGGCTGGTAGCACCACCGGTCTTTTGAGTCGTGCCAGCGGATGCAGTGGCACTGGCAGAACCTGAAGATTTGACACCGGAGGCAGTGGAGGATCTAGATGCGCAGATGTGACTTAGTAACCACCAAGGCGCATGCAACAATGGCAACTTACCCAGCGGTCGGAGTGGAGGTGCCAGTGGCCGTAGCGGTGCCACTCGTCGCGCCGCCCTCGTTTACTGAGGTGTTGACGCAGCTGATGTCAGTACCGGGCATGATGGTGACAATGTCAGAGTATGCCGTGGTACCGGTACTATCCTTAAGAGCAATGTTGCTACACCCAAGTCAGCTGCGCGGTTCAAAGGCCCACGTAGTATGGCTCACAAGATGGTGTTAGCTTGAAGATCAACGTTCCAAGTGTAGGAGGTACCCGTTTGTGTAGGGAACGACTTAATCTGGAAATGTCTCAGGACGGTCAGCCACCTAAGTGCAAAAATAATGGCTTACAGGTGCGGCCATGCTCTGCGAGCCTATCAAGCGAGTAAGACCCAATACAACAATACTCAGTCATTCGCACGACAATACATACCAGGAACAAGGGTCAAGTAGTAGGGAGCCGTTCCGCCACTCCAACTCAACAAAATGGGCTCTAGAGAGAAGTGTTAGAGCGCGTAATACATATGCCAGGGTACATACGGCACTCAACAACATTGGCACTGCAGCAGACAATTAGTGCTGTCTCCAGCGCGACAAGATACAAGAGAACGTACGGTGTATTGATGGTAAGGCCAAAGACGGCGGGAACGGCGGAAACGAGGGCAAGGAAAACGGTTGAAAACTTCATTGTTGGTATAAGTGTGAACGAGCGCGGCGCAAACAGCGGGTCGGGGTATTCTTGTCTGGGACTTCGAGAAAATAAAAGTACGAGAGAGAAATGAAACACTTCCGTTACGACAGCACTCTTAAGGCGTGGCGGAGTCTAAAGTCCATTACCGTGCCGAGTTCACGGCAGAGCCATTTTTAAACCTCCGCGACTAATCTTCGCCAATCTTCTCTGGATTTGGCCTGCTGTCTTCTCGCCGAACAGACTGACGGGCGCAGCTGAAATTAGGTGGCACCAGACTGCATATTTTGAATACAATTAACTCGTCGAGGCTATAGTTCTACAAGGCGTTTGTGAGACTTTGTGGAGCAGCAATTGCAACCATGGTTTAACTTTAAATAAGTAGTGAGACAGAATACTTCAAGGACTGCCGTCATGGCATTACAACAGCTATTTTAGGGCAAAGACAATCCTGTTATGTAACGTCGTGAGGTTTGCAAGTGAGAAAATCATGCCTAATCACCTGAGAGCCACCATGTGCATACAGGCAGTAAAATGTTCATCATAAACCGATCCAACTACTACGTCCCCCAGGATTGTGCAGCGAAGTCTGCCCAATTTTAATGACACCCGCGGTAGACCTCGGGAGTTCTTCACCACTCTTGCGAATCTCAGAACGCTCTAAAGATGGAAATGCATCGACAGCGTCGATCACAGGGCTCGGCACCGCAACATGTGTCGAAGCACACGCAAAGAAGGACCCATCTCCAGATGCATCATCAGAGTGCTCGGGTGACGATGGAGCATTGAAGACAGGTAAAAACGACTCGGCGTACCACTCGTACCATACCTGCCGCTCATTTGTAAGTCGCCAGAGTGATACTTGCAGTTCCGAGTTGCTAGGTAGGTACAGCGGTTCCTGGGCGAATAAAGGTCAACGGGAGCCACCAGAGAATGTCGATGACGACACCTACTTTGAATGGGAAGAAGAGTGGAAACCAGCTCAGCATGTCTTTTGACACCCGATCTTTGCTGTGTGGGTGAATGCTGAGGCCAACATGCCCATAGAGGACGGCTTCAAAATAACCTGCAAGCCCGTGCATAACCCCTGCATGAGGAATATGGAACGACAACTTGGCTGAGCGGACATTGTGACTATTGGTCAGCGGTAAGCCTAGACACTCGGCGTAATTAGTGTCAGTCTGGCCCCAAACTCCACCATTCGTTTACCTCGCTCATCGACGGTCGCATCTTTTCGTGGATGCTCGAATTCCCAGCACAGTTGGATCTTGCGCCCGCAGCGGCCTGATATTCCTCCACCATCTCCGCTCAGGATGTTGACGTTCTGAAACATCACCACGTATGGTGTTTCCATGCCTTTGATGTCTCTGTTGATCCGCGCGTTATTGTACAACTTCGATGAAGATAACGGTGCGAGATGAGCGCTGTACGATGACGGGATAGAGATGCCATCAGCTGGAGAATAGTTAGCAAACGCGGCGATGAGCATAGACAAACCACACGTTTCAAAAACCTCATTGCGCCGTCTAGGCACTCCGGACTTAGCTCGTTATCGCCGAACGAACCAAGTAGTTCACTGATGAGGATGTCCACTTGCTCAGGAAGGTCTACGTGCCGCATGTCTCCAAAGAACAGCTGAACAGAGTCACCCCACTCCTTCTGTTTCCGGCCCTGCAGCCTGTTTACAGTTAGACGTCAATTTGGAGATAATGACGGCCAAACAGACGTCACAAAAGCATTTGGGTTCTTCTCGACTGCGTAGACGAAGGCACTTCTTCCCGATCTCTTGATGGCCGTCAGACTTCGTTCGACAAGGGGGCCACGACCTGCCCCAGCAACGCAAATCACACTGCGAAGAAGGGTTAAGCCTTGTAATGCATGCCGAATTTGAGGCGTACATGCGATCGCTATCAGGCCAGTCCATCAACGCGTGATACACGGCCTACAAATTTCACGTGTCACTGTGAAACTTCGCTTCATAACAAGCTAAACGCACTTCTTCATAATTGCGATATTTCACAGGGTCCTGTTCGAATGTTTGGTACGTAATGCTCTGGAGGTTATCCATCAGCGGCTAGACAAACATCAGTACGATGGTACACGGAAATGAGGTGTATGTACCGACCTGCAGGGGGTTCTGGAGGAAGTCTTGATATCCCTGAGCGAAGTGCTCAACTGTCCCTGCCGTCATTGCTGCCTGAATAGCCGAGCTGGTCTTCTCGACATGTCGTACATATTGCGCGTACGCTGATTCGCCGCCTTTGGTATGTAGGCCCGAACTTACCTCTGACATAATGATAATAGGGTGATGCTAGCCCAAGTCTTGTTCATCATCTACCCAATTGCAGAAATACAGTGTGAACTCACCGCCATACTATTCCGTAGAAAAGATTGGGTACCCTTGGGAAGGACAGGGTAGCCCTTCACATTCGCGATAAACGTGGACGCGGGGAGGAATATATGTTGAACGGGTTCAGCCATCCATCTGTTCAGAATGCCGGCATTAGAAGGTAATGGGGGGGTGAGATCGAGCGCTAGAATTCAGCCCGTCAAGTTCTGGCACTGTCCAAGACGTAAAACATATGCATACTGAGCGTCAGTCGCGTGTTGTAGTCACACAATGTACGTATTATGTCCCACATCTCCCAAGTTGCATTTAACTCTCCTTCGGGTGCTCGGGCGGCCTTCAAGGACTTTGGCGTGGAAGCGCGCGGTATGACAATTTTTGGTGTTGAGGGTGCGGACGGGGTCGACGATGTGCTCTGCGTGGAAGTATGAATGGGTGATGATTCCTTCGGTTGAAAAACGGCGGGATCGTAGATAGGAAGGCGTATTGAAAAGTTCATATAAGTGGTACTTTTGAGGCATTCATTTAAGGCGCGCGCATATGATGCGACATGCGATCGATGCCTCGGTGGAGGCAAGATGACCGTCTGAACATTGAGGTATGACGCGTAGGCCACTTCCTGATGCAATGCCTATAAATCAGGCTAACGTTAGTATACTCAAGTACAGAAAATAAGCGGCGGGAAGATCGCTTCACAACGCTCATAAAACATAGACTTTCACGGAACTTACAATTTCAGAGTCATGGCGCACCCAGTCATCCGATGAGTCAAGCTGAAGCCAGTCTGACACCTATCACAAGTACAGGCACCGCCTCATCTGTCGCATTGCCAGATTCAGGTGGCATAATCGACGGGGCATGATTCGTTGATCTGACTCACCAAGTCTCGAGATGGTCACCTCCTCATGCAGGAAAGATGGTGCTTTCCTCCATGCCTCTGCCTGCTGTTCTGCAGTGGCAGTTTCATCAGTGTCATCTGCACTTGCTGATGGCACGATGCACATATTTCTCCATCGCTCTCTCCATTTTGGGGTAGTCAGAGGAAGACAAACAAAGTCGTAACCCTTGGTGTGACTTTCCTTGATTAATTTGAGAACGGGTGACTTATCAGATCCATTGGTGCGTGTAGAAGCCTGTGAAATGTCGTCAAAAGTGAAACAAGAAGCTAAGCTCGCCGCAGCGTCAGCCATGATCTTGGGGGAAGCTATTAGAAGTGTGGCGTGTCCTAAATAGGTAATCAGAAAAAACGCGTGTCTATAAACGCGTCATCTCGCGTTTTTATATCTGACCTTGTTTCGTTTGACCGCTGAAATCACAAACTTTCCATAACCCTTGCCTCCTCCATTGTTCTTTGTTCTTCTACTCATTTCGCGACTTTCCGAATCTCTGCACCCACAAACGTGTAGTAGAAGCTTACTTTTTTTGCTTCTTAGACAAGTCATGATTGATGCTGATTGATGTCGGGTCATTGAACCGCCATCCAAACACTCGTGCCCATACCCGTGGATCTCCATGGATATGTTTGCACGACACATGTACAGGTCTCCGTCGTGCCAATCGATTATCACGCCCAAACTTATTCTGCCCGCGGCTCATAAACAAGGTCACCCCAAAAGCATAGCCTCTCAACACCCTAGCCACCTTCGAAGACGTCGTCGTAATCCACGAATGCAACATTACCCTCGGAATCTTCGTGCGCATTCAAATACCGAACGTTCCCATCCATTCTCACTCCACGAACGTGAAACAATCATCGATCGGATAAATTCGAAAGGAATTAACGGAGCAGTTGGCGCTGGGCTGTGCCAAGCCTGGGCGCATACCCTTCAGTCCGGCTGCGGACATCCGAATCCCAGGGACAAGGGAATTTTTTGGACGCCAGCTTCCTGAACTTCCAATCCCGTTCTCATAATATTTGGCATGTCTCAAAGAAGTAACTGTTGCCTCCGAGGATGGTAACTTTTTACGGATAGTGTCCCTCGGGTGACGGCTGATTTGATCGACTGTGATCATGATCAGAGTATTAATCGTTGTGACGATCATCCGATCGGGTGATTGCTTTTGAGGAGTGCAACACTGCGCGATAGCCAGGAGGAGTTATGTACGTAGTATGGACTAGTATGGATCCACATTGGTGGCGGTAGAGTATTAATTATTACCATCCGTTCGAGGTCTCTTGACTCCATTGGGCGAGCCAGCTTCGGAATGATGTGCAGCGGCACTATCCGTTGTCATTTCATACCCTGTTATTACCCCTTCTAACACTGTCCTGCCAACAACTTGCCTCAGCTCTTCATCCGGATCCCGGCCATCTGCTTCAGCGCGTTGCATGATATTATGGACAGACTGCACGAGTGATGACGTGAGGGACTCTGTCGCGATGTTTTGCTGATGTTGCGAAGGTTGCGAGGGCGACATCGCCTCAGGCATCAGACACGAGGAAGGATCTAGGCGTGACTGCAGGTATGCAGCAGTTTCGGGGAAGTCTTCCCGCAGATGTTCAATAGGCTGACGTTTATATCCTATCAGCCAAAAGGTGATAAATGACTGCCAAGCTCACGCACGGAGACAGCATCATTATTTTGACGGTCTAAAGTGGCTCCGTGGTCCAATAACCACCGTGCGGTCTCGATATTTTCAACAGCATACAACGGTGTATCTCCGTCCTCGTCGGTGATATTGACATCTCCTCCTGTGCTTGGAAATGAAGTTTTTTCACATTTGATGACCAGGGATCTTATCACTGACCTTGAGAGACCAGGTAAGCTAGGGTCTCAAGCTGCCCGTATGAAGCCGCAGCGTGCATGGGGGTGTATGTAAATAGATCTGGAGCATTGGGAGATGTGGCTGGAAGGAACCGGATCAGACTTCATCCTGCTAACCATAAGATGACATGCATTGCTGTTCAATAAGTTCCTGAAAGGAACGAGATAAGCTTAGGACATACCGTAAGCGAAGACGGGTTACGTACTCGAACCCTGACTAAATCGCCATCGCCTGCAGCGACCCAAATGTTCTTTTCGGGCTGAACTCGCGCTGGGACGGGCATCGATGAAGATGGAAGGTCAATCAGTGACTGCTAACGCCTGGTTTGGTAGAAGGACGTCGATAAAGAAGACGTCCCGAATTGGGAATTTAGGTTTAAATTTGGGACAAACTTTTTGCCACAATCGGCACACTAGCTTGCCAAGTGCACAGTCGATGAACCCTTCATCTCCGGACACTGACTCTGAGATAATGGAGCAAACCTGCGCCGAGGAGCCCGTAGGCTACGGAAAATTTTGAATGCTTCTGACAGTAGGAAAATGGTACAAGTTACTTCGTTTGAAATCTTGGAGCCGGATCTATGCTGATCGGAGCTTCCCCTTGAAAGCTCGGCACCGTCATGAGGACGAAATATGTGATTAGAAAGAGCACGCTGTGGTACTGCCTTCGTAAATTTACGAGGTGTATTTTATGCCTTCTGCGGGATGGACCGCGAAGTTTTCAGGCGAAATAAACGGAGTCTGAGTTCTGATATAATTCAGCGGAGATATTTAGTTTGGAACAAGTTGCACTAATAAATTCGAACCTAGAAGTCAATTTGAGACTTTACCGGCGGTTGGCCTTCTCTGTCCTTGACGAATGAGCCCGCCATCCCTTTTCCTGCTCGATCGATTGTTGTAACTCTCAAGAAGGTCGATCCGAGTTCATCCTCCGTCTGTTTCCCCCAGATTGTAACATATTGTATACTATTATTGGGGGTCTCTTTACGGAGTTCGTTTTCAAGCTTCTAACAAGTCATGAGCTTCCTCGTGCCAACGCAACGAGGCCTTGAACATGTAACCCAGCCCATGGGCGACTTCTCTTCCATACATAACCAGCCAAACAGATCCCATCTACCCCTTTCATCCTTGGAAGGGTATCCTCACCAGGGCATGTCCGCCCTCTCCACTTCAACGTCCTTTCCACCCTTTGCCGACATTTCCATGTCTCAAACTTTGCCAAAGGTTGGGGAGACCCGATGCTGTGAGTCTATAAATTCTATTATTCCCTAAAGGGTTTCGCGTCCGATTGTTTCGGAACCTTGACACTCGATCACAATCCTGTAATTTTCTCTTGATCGTCAATGATTCACTGACCACGATTTTGCACTTTGTTCTCGCCTTTAGACTGGTCGTTATTATCGTCCGATTTAGATTTCGTCTATCTGGATCCTGTTCTTGCCAGTCATCTCGAAAACCAAGCCGACTTGCTCATTGGCAAGTCTCTCCTATCCTTCGTTCACCCTGAAGAGCAAGCCACTGCGCGAGCAGATCTCGCAGAAGCTCTCGAACAAAGGACGATGCACGGTAGTGTAACCAGGTAAGCGATTTGTCTTGCCCAATTCCAAAAGGATTTATCTTGATCCGTTTTTTTCAGGGTCAGGTATTGCCGCCTCTCTCGCATTCGCCGCATCCTCGGTCACCAAGGGCCTTCTCATCCGTGGCCTGATGGTGACAAGATTTCGGTCGATGCTTACTACATGGTCGTCGACATTGTTATTAACTGGGCTGCAGAGGGCCTCGTGCTGTGCTTTATCCACGCAGTCGTTGATCTCGAACCTGGTGACAACGATGAACATCACAGAACTCCATGGACAAATTGGTGTGGCACGCCGTCCATGCGCCCGGAACAGATATCTCTGTTGCAACAGCGGCTTCTATATTACTTACCTCAATCGACTGCCACGACTAGGGTATTCCAGATCTTGCTCAACTCTAATTACAGTCAGCAAGACTGTCGTCTTCTGCTGAGCTGGCCGTCGGACAGTAACCAAGAATACCCTGGTACGCCAGGAGCAAAAGACTTTGCAAGGCGAGCAGTGGGCATTCAGACCTCCACTCGGGATAACAGTGCGAAGACAAGTTGCACGAGACGTTGGAGAATTCAAGATACAATGCCTGGATTAGGCGAAGTGGAAAGCGTGTTTATCCCTCATGGTAAGCGCTTCCTTGATGAAAGTCCATGTGCTTCTATTAAACAAGCGGATATAGGTTCAATAACGTTTGCATGCCACACCATTCAGCACCCTGCTTCGCGGAGCTTGTCTGTCTCTTATTCTCAGTCTCAGCCGTTCACGAGGCAAACAGACGCCTACATGCCTGCACACAGCCAACATCACCCCTATGACCTGTCGGCAAGCTCGTACACACTCCCGCCAGTTTCTACCTCAATGCCACAATCTTACGGGCACTACACACCGTCTTTAACGTCCCAATACTCTCATTCGCCGTGGGGAAGTTACTCGGAGCCTTCTTCCTCGCTTTCCCAGTTCAACAGGTGGCCTGCTCAAAGTCCTGCCCATTCGATGGCATCCCTCCCATCGGCTTCATGCACCATGCGCGAGTCGCCTTACTCGAGGCCATCGCCGTCCCCGATTTATGGCGAGAGCAGAACGTCTTTAAGTAACTATCAAGCTACACCTAGTCCTGAGGACTACAGTACCAAGGCAGGCTTCGAGGCCTTTGACACCGGTATACCGCCTGTACCTTGTGGTACCGATGTTGTGCCTCCTCCCAGGCATCGGGTAAGCCCCGGAACACATAGAGACTCCCTGCCGCGTACTACCAACAATCGCCCTATCGGCGTTCTGAAATGCAGTAGTTGCAAGGCAACTTCCAGTCCCGAGTGGAGGAAGGGCCCCAGTGGCAGGAAGGAGCTGTGTAACGCGTGGGTGATGCCACAACATGCAACGAATACTTACTAATATTTATTTGTTTTCTGCTTCATTGACCAGATGTGGCTTACGCTACGCCCGTTCTCGTGCAAAGAAGGAAGGGCACGTGGTGTCGACACAGCGTCGGAAGAAAGACAAAACCGGAGCCGTTGGGGCTAATGAGGAGTCTGCGGTGCCGTCTACTCCTCCGATACCTATTGCCGGTGCCGCTTCAGCGACCCGTTGCGGGGGTCTTGAAGGGACCTCATTCGTTTCCACATCGTCTGCTGGGTCTGGATCTGGTAGTGACGTTTATTCTCAACCAAGCCCTGTAGCACCGGAAGATAACCGACCTTCACCATCACCTCCGTTGCCTGGTCTCAACTTTGTCCATTATCATCCGTCTCAGCCGTCCTCAGGACCGCCTCATCAACCACGAGTTGATGGTCGTTCTCCGTTCTCTTATCACGCGGGGAGCCATTTCCAACCCTCCCCATCTCCGTTATCTTCGGGTCAGCTGACTCTCCGTCCACCACGAGGGCAAGAAGAAGTGCCTGTCTCGTCTCGCAGCGGATCGTATCACCCTTATCCCTCGCCCCCATTAAATTCTACCGTTTTTGAACGGGCAAAACCGCAGGATCGTCACCTGTCTTCACTGACTCCCTCTCCGGAGCGTAGTAGATTCAGGTGACCACGCCTCGTTAATTCGAACAAGCTGGCTCGCGCGTTTTGTGACACCTTGGCCTTGTTTTTGTGAAATGTTGCGTTTCAATTTTTTTAATGTTTCCGGTTTCTTTCTTTCGGCCAATGGTGCTTGCACTTCCTTGCCTAAAATATCTATTGTGCAATTCGTCTGGTTGTTCCCTTCGGACTTACATAGTGCAACCAACACATGGATACATGCCTTGTGTAGTTTTATCGTAGTGGACATGCTAATTTGAATGAGGTCATGAGATCAACGGAGACTTTGCGTGTTGTAGGACTCTCGATTGTGCTCGCACTTGCCCGCGTTTCTGGTTGTGCAATCGCGATTCTCAAAATTTTCGATTACGCCGATCAACTCGCGCATGCCAAGGATCGACCACGAGACTAAATAAATTTGTTATGCAGTGTCAACGTGCTTTCAAAATTCTGGGGTTTTTTTGACTGACTGACTGGTATGTACTGCGCGCAGTTATCTATCGTTCAGAGCCAGTAACCAGTTACTCTGTCCTCGTTACATAGTCAGAATCTCGACATTCAACATGGTACGGTCTCGAGCTCTCCATTTCACAAGGGTTAAACAAGTTCGCCATTCCTTCTACACAGCCACGAGAAGCTACTCTTTATGTAAGTGACATAACGCCGCCACTTGCTTAGCCTTCGGATCTATATCATTCTTAGCCTGCTGGCGGCATCTGTTCATCTCATCATGAACCGGCCGGGTGAACCATCAGTGGACTGCGCGAGTCATGAAGAATTCATAGTTGTTGAACGGTGAGCTCCATTGGCTTCTGTTCAATGTAATATCTTGACTCGTGGGTAGCCCCACAGCACGTGTCGCATTACCCCCCAAGGAAGCTCCTGCGGCAGATGGAGACTCCGATGAAGAAGGCGAGGTCGATGGTTCGCAAGTAAATGATATTGATCTATTGGAGGACTTCCCGGACGACACTGATGTGCGTGCTTGACACGGTGTTTCGTCGTCTAACTAATCGAGGCATACACGACTAGGAATTAGAGCTCGTACACTCGCGGTTGAGCTCTTTGGCCAATCTTCGACTCGATCGGTTTGCGAGGCATCTGAGGAAGCTATGTCTCAGACAAAACGCTATATCGCATCTAGATCCCGAGATCTTTAGACAGCTCACGCAGCTCGAAGAACTCGACATGTACGACAATAAACTCAAGACTCTGGGAGATGCCTTGGACAACATGTCTTCACTAACGTGAGCACCGTTTCTCAAACTCAAAGCCTCTGATGTGTTCTTAAGTCGTGTAGTGTTCTGGACCTCTCATTCAACCTTCTACGACAAGTGCCTGAGGCACTATCGCATCTATGTTCCTTGAAGACCGTGTATTTTGTTCAAAACAAGATCTCCAAAATCACTGGCTTGGAATCGGTGGGAGTGACATTAAGAAGTCTTGAACTTGGTGGAAATAGAATACGGGTAATTGCGCCGATCAGCCGATCGTTCACAGGGGTAGCTCACGCTGGTACTCTAGCATATCGAAGGTCTGGATGCGTTGGTCAACCTGGAGGAATTATGGCTTGGGAAAAACAAGCTCAAGAAGCTAGAGGTGCGATACATCGCATTACCGGGGTTGGATGCTTAAAGTCACACGACACAACAGAATCTGGACAAGCTGGGCAGACTGAAAATATTGTCTCTTCAGTCTAACAGGATCACAAAGATTGAGTGCCTGGAACGATTGGTTGATCTGGAAGAGCTCTACTTGAGTCACAACGGAGTCGAGCGTTTGGAAGGTTTGGAGAACAACGTAGGTTTTTGATCAATTATTCCGTCCTCATGCTCAAGCTCTCGCAGAAAAAGCTGAGAACGCTTGACGTTGGTGCGAACTTTATTCCAGCGATCGAAAATATCTCGCATCTCGCATCACTAGAGGAGCTTTGGGTAGGCGCCCCCCCTTGACTGCGATCGAACCCGAATCTCATTTTACGATCAGCTCAATAACAACAAGATCCCTGATCTGCGAGCCCTTGAGCCCCAGCTCAAGAATATGGCATCCCTTGAAACAATCTACCTGGAAGGCAATCCGTGTCAGCAAGTCGAAGGTACAAGTTACAGACGGAAGATAATGCTTGCGCTTCCACAAGTTAAGCAAATTGATGCCACGTTAGTTCTTCGATTTCGGTTTATCTCTAGAGTGTCTAGCTGACCGGTCATTTAGTTTTGCGAGACCCTTATGACTCATTGGTCTCTAGCAACCCCTTTGCAATTGAACGCTACTGATTCGAACTAGCAACAATTATACTCAGCTACTTGATAGGTCTGATTTCCGACGAGCCTGAGGAATTAGAAATTAAACAAATCCATACGTCAATCGTTACCCACCCCAGGCCTAGTCGAAAGGATAATCCCCCGTCTTAATGTTCCACTTCCCTCTAAACGATTCACACTTTGTCGTTGTTCCTAGACTTGTCAGAGGAGGGCTCTTACGGGGTTGACCGGTTTTCGCCCTGTCATGATCGTCGTGTAGTTTCTAAATTCTCCCATATAAAGTAGCCAGTTTCTGGGTCGTGCGCAATGTGCAAAGTTGACAAATAGGTGAATATTGCGTGAGTGTACTCGACATCGACATAATGATGCATTATTGACCATAGTTGGACGTCGACGACCCTGAGTCAGGCTTCACGTTTGCATCATATACATTTGGTCTCCATGCAGACGCATCAGTCAGGGAGGCGGGACGAGGCACACCTGTGAGTCCGTGGCGTTTTATGTTGCCGAGACGTTTCGCTCGTACTACAGTTAGGATATAATCACCGTGAAATGCAGTGTGATATCCTGCGTCCTGTACTCGCCGTGTGGCCTTGATCTATACCATTTACGACCTCCTTGCGGTCTGCACGGTGGGCGCCACCTGTAATATTGGCAATATGCAGAACAAATCACACAAGAGGACGCATGTCTCGGTTACTGAGCGTGCTCAGGCCATGATACCATCATCATTCTCCGTTACATATCTTGGCACGTACAGTATGGTCATAGTACATACAGTACGTAGGCCGTATGGAGCCGTTTCTCATATAGCAGTGCATCGTCGTACCATTTTTTTTTTACTTTTTGGAAATTCGACTCGTTTGGCCCCAGCAATCTGTTTCTTGGCTGTGGGAGGCATGAACCTCCAAATGACAGATGACGCTTACAACGATGGCGTCAGGCGGGTACATCGATGAATTTAACAGTGGACTGTTGAAAAGAAAATGAATCGAGAAGCTAATTAAGAGCCTGGTGTTGATTGTCGTCGAGATAGGAATTGAGGAAAAACAGTCCAGTTGGGATCTAAACTTCAGATCACTCGTGATCTTTCCCGGTTTCGTTTGTCGTTACAACCCACGCATGCGGTCGAAGACGCAATTTGCTAACTCGGACGGGAGCGTGAAGAGTACTGTGACTCTCTGGGAGGCGTAGCATGGGCGTCCACAATGGACGGTATTAGAAGCGCACGTCCGGAGATCTCCGGTGTAACTGTACAGTTTGAAACTTTGGTGTGTACACCTACCTAAGGTAGTGGCAGTCAAGCAACATCCAGTAAGCATCCAGCAACACACACAATGGCGAAGAAAGATCGCGGTACCTCTCCCGTATACATGTATGCCTCACATCTCATTCCCTACTTTCAGTTGGCGCTTCTGGAAAGAAATTCCGTATGACCCTTGGTCTCCCCGTTGGTGCCGTCCTCAACTGTGCCGACAACAGCGGTGCCAAGTCACTATTCATCATCGAGCCTTACGGATTCGGTGCACGATTGAACAGATTGCCCGATGCAGGTGTTGGAGATATGGTCGTTGCATCAGTGAAGAAGGGGAAACCTGAACTGAGGAAAAAAAGTGTGTTTTGTCGCTGCACCTTCTGAAGATCAATCAATACTGATAATGTTGAATTGCAGCGATGCCCGCTGTTGTTGTCCGCCAACGTAAGGCATGGCGTCGGAGAGATGGCGTGTTCTTGTACTTCGAGGTACGAGTCAATCTTGTTCGCATTCCTAGATATGCAACCATTTCTACAGGACAACGCCGGTGTTATTGTTAACCCCAAGGGTGATATGAAGGGCTCAGTTATCGTCGGCCCAGTCGCAAAAGAATGCGTAGGTTTAATTTTTCAGATATGGAAGATTGTGTCTGACGCTAATCCTCAGGTTGACCTGTGGCCCCGTATTGCAGCCAAGGCCGGCTCTGTTGTATGATCTAGATATGGTGCAATCGCATTTTTCTCATGTCTCACTTCTACATCAGTAAGTACTGGACGAGTCACATTAGACTGAGCAGTCGGTCTCGGCGTGTGGTAGGACAGCGCTGCTATCAATGGCAAATTGCCCTGCTTGCCTTTGTTTGAGTTCACGTGACTCCCAGTGCTGGCAGCGAACATTACTTGCACAAGGCTCCAGAGCTTTCGCCCGGGCGACATCGAGGATCTCGGTGTCACCCGCTACTTGGATGCAAGGTTATAGAGAGCTTGCGAAGGTAGCTGTGTGATGCACCTCCTTCGTTTGATTATATCGGAGATCCCTCGCTTGGATGAATCGGTTCTTTGTCATATTTCTGAATCTAAGTATCGTATTGTCATCGGTACCGAAGTTCCCCATACCTCCTACACCGGCAGATCGGTGCAGTAGAGGGTGGGCCACTGTGCTGGGCCGACACGGACTGGAGAGCGGCAGCGCTTATCTGAATCACTGCCCGGAAGGGATCATGAAGTAATGCATGGCGAACTTCAGCTATTGTAACCGGTGCCGGTGAAGAGAAGTCAAGGGGGTGACAGTCTCGAATATAGACTAATCATGCATAGATTGCAGGTCTACTACTGACATATGTAAAAGAACTGCCGGGTTGATGTATATTCTGAATTCTTACTTCCTTGCTTCGCACCCATACGATTAATTGCATGTCTGTTTCCAACTGAAGATAAGGAATTTGACATGATTATCTTCTGAGCGAAGAACGACATGATACAGCTTGAATGACATAAGTAGTGGCCTAGAATTATCTACGGAAATATATACAGTGTACGACGGATTACCGACTGAGGGAGGTGAGGTATGCGAGCCTTACGAACGACATGAAAGGAAATCAATCCAGATCACCTCAACATCCACCACTTAGACCTGCCTACTCGTCTCTATATCCTTCAGGGAAATGTTACTCCTGTCGCACATTCCGCGGAAAATTCCGCCCTCCAATTTGAAAAGATTAGATGGGGTGTCGATTTCCTGAGAGTGTGAGGATTAACCACTGTCAGAAAGACGCTCGCAGCAACCTACTACAACAAGACCAGCGTCGAGGACCAGAATCCGGTCGTATGAAATGATAGTTCGAAGTCGGTCTGAAGTATCATCACATTACAGTATTGCACCGAGAATAAAAATGATAAACGCACGGGCAATACAAAGTAGCGTATTGTTCTTGAATTCTGTCTGGATAGTGTGCTGGATCTTGCTATCAGTGTCGAGATCGACAGAGGCTCTGGAAAGAATTCAACATCAAGCATCCAGGAGAAGAGCACATGACTAACGTGGCCTCGTCAAGTACGACGACTTTGCAGTCTTTCACCAACGCACGCGCTAGGCTGAGCAGAGATCTCTCCCCAACGCTGAGGTTCGCTCCCTCGCTCTCAATGGTGCTGTCAAGGTCGTGGCGGCCCGTGGAAGTTCGCCCGTCCCTGATGCCATCGCTGGAAATTGACTGGTTAGACTCGATGTCAGAATCAACAAGATAAGATCGATGCAGCGCATCCCATAGCTCCGCGTCATTGTATTGGGAGAACGGATCCAGGTTGGATCGTATGGTCCCTGTTGATTTTTCAGCGCTCCCAACAAGTGCATGTAACTTAACGACACTAACCGCTAAAGAGTAGAGGCTATTGAGTTCGTACATCAGTCCTGTGTTAGCAACTACAAAGAAATATTACAAACATCTTGTGGGATGACAGAAATCTTGGAACGAAGGTCTTTAAGGCCGATCGTAGATATATCGACACTGGACAGGGTGAAAACAATATTCATCACGAGCGATGACCAACGTACCCATCGATAGTGATCGAACCACTAGACAACTCGATAATTCGAAATAGTGCGAACATCAAGGAAGATTTGCCAGCACCAGTCCTGAGGGGACACCACATCAGCGCACATTAGTGGATCACACAAATCAGCTGACCTTCCAACAATACCTATCTTTTCGCCTCCCCTGACCTTGACCGAGATGCCCTTCAATACATTGGGGAGGCCCGGCCTATATGCCATCTTAACGTCATTGAATTCAACAGTGCCATGTTCAGGCCATTGCGCCGGGGGCTTGCGTTCTTCGATCTCATGTGGTGCCTCTTGAGGTATCGTGTCCTCATCGACATACTGCATCACTGTGAAGAGTAAGTGAGAGTGGTAGATGTATCGTAAAATTTGCGACTCACGTCGTTCCACTGCGTTCATGTAATTCTGAAGCAAACGATCATTGAATAGTCAGTAATGTGAGATAAGTAAAGCCCTGCCTCGACGTCTGCCGTCTGTCTGGTCATGCCAGTACACATTTGTGTCAGCAAGACTTTGATGCGAAAAGGTTAACATTGTAGACCGTGTTGACAGCATCGGGAGACCCACTAGTATACGTCAATACCAACCCTATCTGGGCGGCGTTAATCCCGGAGACGTCGATCACTGCGAGAAGAGCAACCTATCGAGATTGCAGCGTTGATTGAAGTCTCTGCCATTAAATAGATGCTTACAAGGAAGACTAACACGCCGCCTATGAAGTCCAACCTTATCGCAAGCCATCTGGTGGAAGGCAATGAGTCAACAACTGCCACGATATATGCATAAGACTACTTGCCTCTGGTTTGTAGCCACGAGGTATAGAGCTCTATCCTCTAGATCGACGTAGTATCTATTGGCGGCAATGAACCGCTTCATTTCTCCATAGCTTCGGATGGTAGGGAGTCCCGTCAAGGTTTCGGAAAAGTGGGCATACAAAAGAGAGCGAAGCATAGAGTCTAATGGTTGATATCAGAGGCTTTCTAGGTCGGAAACACGACAACAAACCCAGGCGCTTGACCTCACGGGCACTAGCTCGATAGAAGGCAGCGAAGTAGCTGTAACCGATAATGACAAAGCAAACAGCAATGACTAGACAAGCGTGAGCCGTATCCTCGCAAACAATATCTATTATACTGACCAAAGTATGGTTCTAGGAATGCTACAATGATGAGAGAGCCCATAACGTTAGACAGCGTCAGGACAACTGGATCTTCATAGTTAGTTTCCGTAAGTGAAGCGTGTGGCTAACGTACCCAATTTCATTGCCACTGGATATGCATAAGCAACATCTCACTATGCGGTGATAGACAACTCACTTGCTAATTGATTGTCAACACCTGAGTGAAAGGTTTCAGGATATCATAACACAAATTAGCGAGATGCTGACTGTCGATATCTTTGCCAAAAACGCTCAGGATTCGGCCCATAGGCTATAGTATCATAGTCAACATATGTTGTTATGCTTTCACAACCACTCACTGTGGTGTCAAAAAAGGACATGGGTGCGTAAAAGACGTTGTGCACGGACTTGTGGTGCAGGTTTTGAGACACGTAAAAGGCAATGAAGTCCATTCCAACACAACTACAGCAAATTGCGTTGGTTGAGCATGCCACCATCTGCGATAGGAATCTACTTACAGCAAGAATGTGAAGATGGCTTGAACAACCCCGAGCCAACCGTACAGCATCTGATAGAACGAGTTTGGCCGGTCGAATTTGCTGCACCGTGATTTCAGAAAAGGAATCAAGAAGTTTTATAAACGAAACTGACTTGCTCTCCCACCAAACTAGCGTATACGAGTTCAAGATCTGGCTTGCCTGCATCGCGAGCATGAAGAAAAGAACTAGAGGTCCTGTTATCGAACCGCGTCCCGCAACCAAGTAGGTCCAATACACTGTGAAACTGTCACCCAGGAAACCCTGGCAGATGAACTTGAACACACCTCCCCAGGATACAGAGCCTGTCGACCGCTTCTCTTTGACGATCAAGCGACCTTCGAGTTTACCATGACCAGTAGCCCTCTCTCTAGCTCTTTCCGACTTCAACTTCACATCCTCGATGGTGATGACGCTAGCCTGCAGAATGACTTCCTCCGCCTGGTCATTATTTTCCCCCTCAGACGCATGGCCACCAAACTCCCGGTCCAAACGCGCGAAGTCCCCACCGCGGGAGATTAATTCGTCGTAAGTTCCACTCTCTGTGATGACACCATTGTGCATGGTATAGATGTGATCTACTTGAGAGAGGAAGTGAATCGCATGCGTGACTAGAATGACGGTAACCCCGCGATTGCGCAGGGCACCTACGATGGCATCTTGAAATAACGACTTTCCGACGTGGGCGTCCACTGAAGGCATCTGTTAGTATAATAGACATAAGATGAGCTACATAGTTCACCTGCCGAGAGCGGGTCATCAAATATGACAATTTCAGGATCAAAGTACAGAGCACGAGCAATATTAACCTAGTCCGAAGATGAACATCGAGTCTTTAGCGGAAACACGCCACGAACTCACTCTCTGCTTTTGGCCACCGCTGATATTGATACCCTTTTCTCCGATCTGGAAGAGAGTATAAGCCGTGTCATCAAGTTGCGTTCATCCGCTTGCCTCAGTCAAGTCTCCATCAGGGAGCAGTTGCAGATCTGGAAGTAGACAAGCGGTCTCAAGAACGCGCCAATATCTATCTTCCTCGAATGGTCGGCCGAAAGTGATATTATCGCGCTGGAGTAAAACGTGAGATATATTCACTCATTGAGAGCGATGTCATGCCCACCAAGGTTGCATTCTGGATCCATGCAGTCTGCGGGCAATACCCAACGCGACCGCCAAACGAGACATGCCCGGAGACCTTCCTCATCTCCCCAATTAATCCTTGCAACAAACTGGACTGTTCATGGGTCAGTAGTAGCTTCGAGAACTCGTCCGGCGAGATCACCTTGCCGCTTCCAACAGGCCCAACCACGGCGACCAGTTGACCTCGGGGGATTGTCATGGTAACGTTCTTGACCCTAAAGCGCGGTGCGTCCTTTCCAGAAGCGGGGTTTTCTTTCGCCTTGTCCTCTTTTGCCCTCTTGCCGCCGTGTGCGCCCTTCGAGCTGAAAGCTTCACCAGAGTTTTTCTCAAAGGACTCCCACTCAAATGTCGCGTCCTTCATCAGAAGCGCGGGTTCTTGGTCATTGTCGATCACGAGTGCATCTTCGGAAAGAAGCTCTGCGTGGAATATGTGTGTGAGCCGCTGGATCGCGCTAGATGCGTCAGGGATGGCCGATAGAGCGCGGGGCATATACATCATTGGTTGCCGGAGAACCTGCTTATCGCTTAATTGCATGTTTATGTACGCCACTGTAAAGGATCTCACCTGGAACAGACTCAGCGAGGAGAATATGGCAGCAACGTTGAAGTTGTACTCTGTGAGGGTGTATGTGACGAAGGCTAGTGTAGCAGCGAGAATTGGGAGCGAAAGCGCGAGCGCCAGGCTAGAATAGATTAATAACACGTCGCCATGCCATACGCATCTAAACTTACTACGCGGAAAATGAGTGAAGAATCCGTCGGATACCATGTAATTCCTTCTTTCGAAGCTCGAAGATCTCTAAGCGGCGTTCGTCAGCATGATGTTAATGGTCCTCGATATTATTCCTTACTTTGAAGAAAGGGTGCCTCGTAGGAGAAGTACTTGACCACTCGCATGGCGCCTGTGCACCCTTTCAGCATCCCCAGTCATCCTAGCCACTTCAAGATTACGTACCGAATACCTCTAGCAGGACTTTGGCTCGTTGATCAGTCCACTTCATTGACCCCAAGCGGATACGATGCTGCAGTGTCCTTGTCCACATTTGAAATGGGATGACAAGGATGAATAGCGAGAAACCGGCGAGAGCAGACGGTCCGAGCTAATGTTCAATGACATCAGAACAAAATGAATTCTTCGCGATGTGCAACAAACCTCGGTTAGAAGAATGATGAGGCAGAGTGTGATTTGAATAGGCCCGGCCCAGGCTTGAAGATAGTAAGCCATCTCGAAGCAAAAAGAGTCAAATATACTCACCTGCATGCTAGTGGCGAGAGGGTCAAGCAGGGGTTAGTCGACGTCATGAGCGTATGTTTAAGTTTGCGACTCACAAACCACTGAGCGCATGAATCAATCCTGCTCACGTCCGTAGAAATATGGTTAACCAGTACGGCATTGTTGAGTTTGACACGCGCTTTGCCCGTGAGGTTCACTCCACGTTCGTAAATACACGTTATCAGTGCGGCTCTAATCAATATGCCTGTTTCCATTGAACGCCAGAAGTACTTGAAATGTGTCAACTTAGCCGAGTTCATCTTCAACTCACAAAGTTTTACAAACCTGGTGGGTGCAGACGCTGGCCATCAAAGTAAGCGCGAAGAGTCCAAGAGCCATGGCGATACCGCGACCGATATTGGGGACAGGTTCTCCGGCAATAATTGCAGCGGAACGCTCCTCCGCAAAGACGATGATTTGCTGCAGGGGGACAAAAAACCATAAGAAATGACCACAACCAAAGACAGGTTGCTATTTACCCGAAGGACGATAGGACCCATGAGTTGTCCCGTATCCCCAAAGACCTAAATAGCGTGTCAATTTTATTACGACGGTGTCAATTTATGAGGAAGATCCATGCCTTGAATACACCTGCGATCCAGAACATGCTACGAAAAACATCATTCAAAGCCCAAGTAAGGCTGGCTTCTTTCCGTCCTTCGGATTCTTGCCAATTTATCTGAAATATTGCATGTCGCTCAGACCAAGTCCCGCCTTGCGTCTGTCCTTTACTGGAAATTGCGCGTAAGGTCCAGCCGATATGCTTGAAGAGAGATGGCTTGAGCTCTCCACTCTCAAGACGTGCATTCCAGTCGGCTGCTGCCTTAACACGCCGCTGCCATGCAGCTTCAAGTTTAACGGCAAGTACAGCTGACTCTCGGGGTGTGTCCATTTTGTATAGATCAGACGCTTGTAGCGTGCGTTGATATCCAAGAACCTGAACATATGGGTTAGAACAATATGATTTGGGATTAAGGTTCAATGACAACCATTATACCGGTTATCCAGGTGTAAGTGAGCTGAGATAAAATGGAAGCATTGGCTAAGGGAATCAGCTACAGAACACGATGTTATTAGGAGGTCCTTTAGCAAAATAAAAAGGAAGGTTCGCGCACCGCTGCATCCTCCAGAGACGGGGGAGCTGGAGGTGGTGGGTCCTTAGGTAACCTGCCCGCGGCTCCGTGAAGGAAGGCATTGTTTGCAAAAAAAACAACTTCACTTACCACCACTGCCACCATTTTTGACGAAAGTTGGTATACTCATCACCGGTATCGAGCTGAAGATGTAGAGGTTGGTGAAGATTGGCTGCGTTAGCCTCCTTGGGCTCTCGTTCGACTGGGACCTGCATAGATTCTTCTGAGTATTGGGAGGACATATGGAAAGAGACGGGGATAGCTCTGGCTAGTTGTAATAGAGAGCGGTGGCGATTGTAAAATTATACCTCTACCCTAGTGCCATCTGCCAGTATTACACATCAGTTCCGTAAGCCTGCCCTGCAACCTCAAAAAGCCTCGGGGTCACCTGCTGGTTGCCAGTGGCAATCGATAAAACCGTTCCAAGCTCGCATTGGTGCATGGGTACGACGAAGCCTCCGGCTAGGACGAAAGGACCAGATGGAGCCCATGATTATCGTCTTCGTGGGTCAGGTGTGCTAAAGGCCCCTGGCCCTGGGCAAAGACTCCGCCTCCTGCCAACTAGCAAACCCTCAAACCCGTTAACTACCTCATGCATGAGTACAGGCAACATCAACCCCCTGATGAGAACATTCGTGAACTCGAAACCGCTGCCCAATCCGACTCCCCTAGCATCCGTCTCCGCTAGCTAAAAAGGCCCTAGCCTCGGAGACAGAACTGTAGTGGGTGCGGAGGATATGGTCTCCCTAGCGGCGCTCGCTCGCTCGGACGCTGCAACTGCGGCTTCGTTGTTCATAACTGCTGGCTAAAAATTCGTCCCGGGTCCTTTCGGTAGGGTATTCCGCATCGAGCCGCTCACATGTCCTAGCGATGATAGTTCCTGATCTGAGTTGCGATGGGCTCGCGTGTGTCGTCGATTGATTTTGTCTTGAATCATATATGCATGGACTTGGAGTCTCATACGTTCTAGGAGGTCGACATTGTCGTCTGGAACATACGTAACCAAACAACACCACCGGGTAATATTAGGGACACACACGACTTAACAGGTTCAAACTTCAAGAACCTGAGTGGCATACGTGGTAGGCAGTAGCCACCGATTGACTAATCCTTGGGCATTGAGCACCAAAGAGCGCATCCAGGAGGGCCGTGCTTTCTGGAATTTCTTGCACTATCCTTTGGAGGGAGGAGAGGGCGAGCAGGGAGTGCTGTACTCAACAGAGGCTGCAGTTGAGCGGTGGGAAACATAGTCACAAACGGAGTGATGAATACTCACTGGAAGATTGCTCTCAGCAAGAATCTCCATGAGAGACCAATCGCTGCACCAGCACTGCCTCGACGTCACTGCCCTGACCAGGGCCAAGAAGTTTCGAGATTTCTGAGACCGGCAGAGTATAACTTTTACATTTAAGTACACTTCTATTCCTGGTAGCAGTTCACTCGTTAGCTCCATGAGCAGAAGCTGGCACTGATCTCGTGATGGCGACTTTCCCAAGTCTCTGAAGGAATGCTATAAGAAGATATAAATGCCATTGTCGACGTCTGCGCCGTCTAACGAGATGGTGGCAGCAACGTCCTCCCCAGAAGTCCCCACTGCGATCTCGCACACCAGTGGGCACATCTCTCTTCCGAGCGACCTAGATTGCGAGATGGAATAACTCCAAGCAGTACTAGTCGGGGACCACAGTGCGGTTAGAAATAACAGGAGCGACAGCTAGCTCACGACGCGGCTGATCCAAGGACAAAATGCCACGCCTTCTTTGTGGGCGGGTACTGAAGTTGCCAAACGATAGTTTGGCGTAGTAAGACTGCCAAACGGTGATGAGTTGGGCAACAAAGTGAGTTACTTACTGTGGAGTAATAGAAATTGCAGGGTGTAATAGCTACTTGAGATCGAATGTCGGATGGATGTTGATTCAAGTTGCTGTGGAAAGCTCGTTGGATGGCGATGGTACCGGGTATGCCGCTGCCCTCACAATCCAGCAAGCTTTCCACATGCAGTCGAAGGACGACTGGGCGCTCGTCAATATTCGTCCTGTACTATGCAGTTGACTACGAAGAGTAATAGTAGTTGCGAGTCATGTGACACCTATATAGCTATTTCGTGTTTCAAACCTTCGTGTAGATTCCAAGTTCCAACTCCCATTTCCTCGAATGGCGCCGGCCAACAAAGCGAGAGCAGCAGGCGTCAGCGCGAGTTCCTTCTTCGATCTCAAAGCAGAACTCGCAAAGAAAGAAGACGAATTCACTCGGTCCAAAGCTGCAGGAGGGAGTAGATACACAGTGGGCGGGATCAAGAGACCTGACAAGGTGAGAAAAATCCGTCATCGAAGTCTGGGAAGGGAATGCAATCATAACCCAGAAACCGACTGTATGGACTCGTTCCAACAAAGGCGTCCAAAACCGCGCTGCACGCGACATAGAACTGGAAGAAGTCAGTAAAGTGACTATTGAGTCTGGGCGAGCCATTTTGGAGAGGAAGGCGAAAGTATATGAGAAACTGCGGAAGGGGAAATCTGGTGGTCTTACTGAGAAGCAGTATGATGGTTTACTCGTCGATGTACGTATGCATGCTACTTGCTTTCAACTTCAGGTATACTGATGTCGAGACTGTAGTTCGACTCTCAAGGGCCCATTGATCATTTCGAGTCGGACAGTGATGATGTAGATGAATCATCGACGGTTCCTCAACAGCTTCAAGACGATGTAGGTACTCCTGACGGTGCTTCTAGCATGCTGCTGATAGAATGTGTAGGATGACCCAGTCATAGAATACGAAGATGAATTCGGACGACAACGAACAGCACGCAAGTCCGAAGTACCCCGGCACCTGCTTCCGCGTTCAGAAGATGCCGATCCAATACCAGACGATGACAAGTAAGCTGAAGAGCTAGGCTTAATCACACTCATGACCTAATCTTTCTTCTTCAGGGACGTCATTCATAATCCCGTCGGCTTCTTCCCAGTCTACGAACCCTCTGCAGAACGTATTCAAGCAGTTGAAGAAGCTTTCTTACAAGCCGATAACCCGTTGGCCTCTCATTACGATTCTTCAAAGGAGGTCCGTGCTAAAGGTGCTGGGTACTATCAATTCTCTGCAGACGATGAGACGAGGAAGCAACAAATGGAGGAACTACGGTCCGCGAGGGTGGAGACTGAGAAGACAAGACAAGAGGCTGGAGCACTGGATCTTAAGTCGGGAGAAGTGGAGGGCATGCGTGACGATAGCATTACTGCAGGCTCGTCGAGGAGCAGGGCGATGGAGAAACGGAAGAGGGACCTTGAAGAGAGGCGAAAAGTATTGGATGCGAAGCGGAGGAAGGTCAAGGATGAAGAGACGCCTGCAAGCAGAACTCTTGGTTCCGGTACTCAACAAGCTTCAGAGGCTATGACATTCGAGGCGCGGGACACTTCTGGTCCGTTTGCGGCGCTGGAGAGGCAGGCAACTGAAACTTCAGACCGACCCAAGAAAAAAGGCAAGCAGAAAGGGACTCAAGACGGACTCAAGACAGAGGCGGACGACTTCTTGGCCCAGCTGGAACGGGAAATATTAGGTCGTTAACCACCATCGAGGGCGGTTTATACCCTTATCGGTGAGTTATTTCTTGTTGGGTAGTTATGTCGTGCTCATCAAGTATCTAGCCTTTGCCTTTTTGCGACAGCATGATGATGATCCGGAACGTAGATTTCCATATTGCGCCGGGACGTGACCAGGACTAATGTCCCAACCACTTATATCACTCTGATATGGAGGAAGGTACTGGAGTGTTCGATCACTTACAACGTCCGTCGTGACAAGACGCTCACGCTCATTGTTCCTCCAGTTGATATACTTCTGTGCAGTGACCTTGCAACCTTCGCAATGAAATAGGATTACTAAATGCCACTGACAAATTGAAACAATCCTGTGGTTCAACCGCTACTGATGATGACCTCAATTTGAACCTACCACACCACTATTTCACCCCTTGCCTCGAGAACTAACCTCTCGGGACAACTCAGAGAGCATCAACCTTTGTCCCCCAGATTTGTCCTCCCGAAACTCCACACTCCACGTGGACTAAAGGATATTGTTTAGGCCGACGTCTGGGTGTAATGATACAAGGAAACCGTTCAATGAGGGCAGAGAGAGTGACGGTCAATCCAGTTGCTGTTGACGCAGCGAAGTAGAAGACAGTGATTTCCAGTTTGCTCATGACCCAGGAGCAAACACTTGGCAGGCCCCAATATTGTGGTTAGTACCTACGGAAGGAAGTTCCTCCTTTGCGATGGCTACCAAGTCCAAAATCTTTGATGTTAGCTCGCCTCCCTCGTACGATGCAATTTCGAGGTCCGTAGGAGAAGATTCTGTCGAATGCAATCGATCTTTTTTTTCCTCTTTCTGCAATCGAATCAGAAACGTCGCACCGCAGCCCTATCTCGCATCTCTAAACCTATTGTCTCCTGTCCTGATTCTACCCCTTCCTCTGTCGCTGCAATCGTCAACTCCTGCGCTGCTGCTCTCCCAGCAGCACAGTTCTCCAACCTCCTCCAAAAACCCAATATCCGGGGTCACAGCGCTGTATCGGGCAATTGTAAATAATCGTCGAAAAGCCCTTCTGGAGTTTATCAAACACCTTTCGGAACTCTCACTTGTTTGCTCTTTGGACTTGCGCGTTGCGCGCATGACAGCTAGTAACCAGACATTGTATACGCAGCTGAATTTGGGATATAGTCTTTATCGTAAGTGTATCAGTTTTAATGCCCACACGAGAGAGCATCAACTAATTTATTACGCACTCTCAGCCGAGGATGAGTCTTTGAGACTCCTTTTGGGTTGTCCGCCAGATGAGGTTCGAGTGCATGAAAGGAATGGGCTGAGTGACAACCACTTTGTTGCTTGTTTCCGCTTCAGGATGTTCCAGAAACGCCTGAGGCAAGCGGCAATGGTCCAAATTGATCACTACAGATTCCAGAACGTAATTATTTACAAGCAGCCAAAACTGGGAACGTGCAGGACAGCAAACACGAACTATAGTGTAGTATTCCTACTGTAGTTCTCTACCTCAATCTCCCTATTTTTGAACCCATCACACCACTACTTCACCTCTTGCTTCGAGAACTAACCTCTCGGGACAAATCAGAGAGAATCGACCTTTGTCCTCCCGAAACTCCACACTCCACGTCCCCCGACGCAAATAACGTCGCTTCAGCGGCTCTTTACCAGAGACGACATTCTCCATGAACGTCTTGCACGTCCTGAGTACCTCAAGTGCAGGACGGAGAGAAGTAGCATGCCCGCAATTGATCATCACATTTTCAGAGTCGGGGTGCGTTTCCACGAGCTCGATGAGTTGATCCATGGTGGAAAACCACACGGGTAAAGATCCCCCGCTTGGGAAGATGATGGGATCGTCTTCGTATAGGGTGTCCCCGACGTATAGCATTTTCTCGTCTGCATCCCACAAGGCAAGTTCGTCGGGAGTGTGCCCGGGAGTATGCAAGACTGTGAGGCCTAGGGATGAGCCTGCTGATGAGGTGATCTCATGTAGATGCGGCACTAGAGTGAGCTCGTAGGTTGGTGGTTGTATGCCGTGAGACTTGCATTCAGAGTTTGCAGGGAAGTTCTCTGGAGAGACGAAGCCGGGCGAGTGGCTCGAGCCCAGAATGGGGCTGTCGGCGGCGAATGGTTCCACGCCAACTTCAGGTTCCCGGGAAAGGATCAGGATCAGCGGGTCGATGTGCTCGTATCAGAACAAAACCTACGGATATGATCGTAATGGCAGTGGCTCTCCACCACGATATACTTCATCTTCCCTCCTTCATTCAGAGGTTTTCCGTCGTTATCAGGGATATCAACGGTCTCGATGAACTTTCTCAAGCTCTTCAGACCGATCTCCGGATTATGCGTAGCCCCGCCACATCCTGTGTCCATGATGAGGATGGTGTCAGCGGAAGGGACTACTTTGGCATAGATGAATGGATGTTCGTTGAAGATGTCATCCCATTCGACGATCAAGAAGGTGGTCTGTGTCAAGCGTCGAGCAGTGAACGCTGGCAATTGCTTGTTCTCTGAGTTGGCGCCTTTCTCCATATCGACCGTCAAAGTTAAACGAGAACGCTGTGGTCTGCGATGCGTTACTAGGTAGAAAAATACAAAGAGAACACCAGTTAAAAAGACCAGTACTGATCCCAGGCTCGAGCTCATCCTGTGGGGAAACGTTGAAAGCGAGATGAGAAAATTGCAGTTCTTATCTGTGAAGTGTACTCACCTGCAAGCACCACGAGACTTCTGAGATATTTCTGGCGACTTTTATCCACCTGATACAGGGCAGATGATAGCAACTTCTTCTCCTCCTTTTAACGTCACTTCTTCGATGTTGTCCACCATCTCAGCGTTTATGCTCCATTGACTGGACTGAAGGATCTTGTCTAAGCCGACGTCTGGGTGCAATGATACCAGGAGACCGCTCAACGAGGAGAGCGGGTATTGTGGGGCAGGAAGAGCGATGTATTGTTCGGTCAATCCAGTCGCTGTTGACGCTGCAGCAAAGTAGAGGACAGTGATTTCCAATTTGCTCATGATGTAGTTGGTTTTCGAAGGTTACGACCTAAAAGGATATCATCATGTTTCTAAACCATAAATAACGAGGGACATGGCCACCTTACTTTCCTTTGTATGTCAAGCTTCAAGAGACTGCCATCATATAAATGGTTATCTCGTTGGACATCTATGGATGCGAGACCGCTTGCCAGTCTGCGCGGCGGTCATCCGAGTCTCTGGTCCGTTGTGGCTGTGCACGCATTACTTATTCCGGAAGCCCCTGTCTATCCCACCTACTCCAACAAAAATGAACAGTTTGCTCATCCACATTTACACGATCGTTTCCTACATCTCCGGCTCGCTATTTGGATCTGCGGCCGTCATCTTGGTGCCTGTTAGACTCCTATTCCAATTACTTCTCGGCTTAACTTACTTAACTTTCCTTCTTTCGCTGCTTCACGCCGTTCGAGCGACGCAAAGGTGGTCAACACACAGGAAGTCGGAACCAAATGTCCAGAATTGCGCTATTTTCCATGCAGCAATGGGTGCGATATGGCTGATACTTTTAATTGAAGTTCACTATGACAGTGAGTGATTGAGTGTTCTACTAGTATTGCCTGGGTAGCACTGATTACGCCCACAAAGCTCCACTGATAAGATTACTACTCATAATTCTAGCGTTTGCTTGCGCATTGATCTTTATTATCACCGTACACCACTGGTCGATCCAGCGAAGCCTCTGGGTCCCTGGGGGAACTTTATCACTTCCTTTTTCCGTGGCTTCCATCGTGTAACGCGACTCATAGCGACGTTCCGGAAACTCTCTCTCAGTCATTCATGTCTGGATCTCGATTGCCTCCCCTGCAGCTCGCTGACTGACGCTCCTGCAAGCAAAATAGGGAAAGTTAAACAAAGTACTACAATCACGTCTCAGACTCTAGCACTATACCCTAATTCTACCAACTATTTTGGAGTGTGGCTGTGCACACCCTCTTGCGATGAACCCCTGTGGACCTCTAGCTTATTCCAAATAATAATGAGTGACGATTCACATCCTCCGATCCCAGTGGCATTTTACCAGATTGTTGCTTATGCGAGCTAGTTGGATTCGCGGCCGCCGTCTTGGCGCCTGTTAGATTCGTATTTTCATTACTCCTCTGCCTATTTGTCGTATCTTTCTTACTTGCGCTGCTTCACGTTCACGTAGCGCAAAGATGGCCAGCATACAGGACAAGCCGCACTTGCTTGCAGTTGCGCTTTTTACCATGCACTAATGGGTGCGATATCACCTGATATCCCTAATCGAAGTTGAGTAATGACAGTGAGTAAAAGTGCTCTATTGCTTGGGTAGTGCTAATTGCGCACAAAGCCCCACTGACAAGAGCAGTACCTATAATACTGGTGTATACCTGCGCACTGATTTTTATGATGATCATCTACCACTGGTTGATAACTTACTGCGCTGACAGCGGAGCGTCTGGATCACTGGGGGAAATTTATCACTTCCTATTTTCATGGTTTCCATCATCGTGTCAATCTGACGCAACCCATACGGACACTTCAGAACCCCTCCCTCAAACACTCTCGTGCCCTGATTATCGCTTGCCAATCCCCCCTGGACATCGCTTACCCCTCCTCCTCGGCCCTGCAGCCCGCTTCCCCCTCCTCCCTGACTCCCGTGCCACCTGCCAGCCAAACAGGGGTCGCTGACATTCTCTTGCCACCTTATTACTCAGTACGTTACTGTCTTCTTACCGATTCAAAACTAAATTCCTTCTCCTAGTTTTCAGACACGGGCCTTGCAGAGAGCAAATCAGATGTAGAATATATATAAGTATTAGAGGGGTCTCTACGGTGCATGGCAACACGGGACGAGTGCACACCGGCGACACTGGATCTGATGATCATACAGGTGATAGATGAGCGCTTGACCGTTTATTTTTTCACTGTCTCTGTTCTTAGGAGTCACTATGCCAATCGAAATCAAATCGTTGTACAATTTACAACTACTCTATAATAGAACATAATCATAATATTATGTAGCGAGTTGCCGTATATGCCCCTAGTGGTCCCTTAACTCTGCGCACCACCAGATTGGTTTCGAGGTCTTGATCATCACGTCCTGTCCTGGTACGAGATGATTTGACGTGGACACAAGTCCGTCAAAAGATGACTCTGTGTTATCCAGGTTCCACCGCAGTCCAGTTGTTGTCAAGATGGTTGAGTCAATACCGACAGGGAGGAGCCCGCACGTTTGTCCCAACACGTCATGATTGATGTGAATGAGATGTTCGCCCTAAAATAGTGTGAGATATAGCCCTGGAACAGTAATCCGACTCACTTCATCCAGGACCCATCCTACATTATCGTCGGTCACTGTGTAGACACGTTTGCGGGTCTTGCGTAGTTTGTGAAGATACGATAGCGTATGCACAGTCTGATCCAATCTTCCGGAGAGACCTCCTAGGATGACGATCTCAAACTGTCCGAAAGATGAATTATTATGATATGAATGGATACGAGAATTGTCGTTTACCTCTTGCCCAGTTAAACGCTCTTTCTCTTCCAGCGCTTGCACACATTTCATTAGATCCGTAGAATCTTGGTCGGAATCGTAGATTACTGGTACATTCTGGACAAAGTTGAGAGAAAGGGTCGATTGCAACACAAAGGGCCATACCTGAGATATGTAATACAATTTCACATCCTCTCGCAAGGAGTCGAGATCTCCCTTCACCATATCAGGGAGAAATCTAGACTGACATCACTCGCCATACACCGCGGCGCCGCGCAAGGTAGACTCGATGCTGTACTTACGAACTTCGAAGATCAAAACCACCAGCTGCGCTCAAGGCGTCATGTAAACGATTGGCTCCTCCATCAGCACAAGAACGCCATTCGCAGGCGGCCCAGAGTGTCTTCAATAATCTGGTATTAAACGGTTGGTTCAGAATGATAAGAGCGCGGGAGACATTAAAGTCTTTGACAGCTCGCGGGTCCAGGAATGGGATAGACCATTCTACAATCATGGCAAACGAGGTCGACAGGTTATAATTCAGTGCTGTTACAGTTCAAGTCCATGGCAATCCGTCGGATACTTTCCAAGCTTGAATTCGTTTCATACAGATCCGCATCGTGAGAATACCAAGCTAACTGGCTCTCCGACTTCTCACTTTCTCCGAAGATGTCCCTCTCCCCAGTGGATGAGATCCCCCAGCCTCCCGATGCGAAAGAGAGCTTGTTGTATAAGCCTGGCCTCACCAAACCTCCTTCCCGTCGTGGAGAGTACCTGCGTGAGAGGTCGTCCAGGAAGCATCTGCCATACCCTCAGAAGCCAGCTCCACTGGAGCTCCGGATTTCAGCCCGTGTGACAGGACGAGGATGCAAACCAGAGTTCACGCCTGAAGAACTTAAATAGGTATGTTTCTTATTATTTTCTTATTATTTCATTAGAAACTCATTTACGTGGCCAAAAGAATGAGGAAACAATACGCAGGGGCTTCTCGGAGATGAGCTTTAGCACTTTGTATAAAGCATTCAAGGCGACACTTGCTGGCCGCGAGGCTGCACGTCAACGTCTCCTGGCGACGGCATGGGAAATTGAGGAGGCAAAGCGGTTCTCGACATTTCTTCAGGCACTCCATGACGAGAACAGAAACCGCCTCAAATTCAAGGATGATGAGCTGAAACAACTCGGGAACGTTTTTTCTGAGCGTGGCCGCACAGAAGTCGACAACGACACGAATTATCTTCAGGCTGCATACGACGATGAATGCGAGATGCTTCGCGCTATCGGTGCCCAAGCAAATCTGATGTCAAGGCACTTAGGCTCAGATATCAGGAATGATATGTTGGCATCCACAGGACAATCTCACCACCAACCTCGATTCGTCGGTACGGCGAATCACGGGAGCAGCAGCTCACATGAACCATCTGATGGTAGTGCCACGGACACGGACTCAGATGATGACGATCAAGATGATGGGTTATCACTGGCGGGCCACAGCAGCCCTCGTAATTTGGGTCAGTTGCCCTCGTGTGACTCCCAAATCCAATCGTGGTATGTCTTACGTGTATTGCCAGTGTATTGCTCACGCTGATCTATATCAGCGAATAGATCAATTCAATTCGCCCTGGTTATCAGAACTGATACCGACTGAAACTTATCGGACCACCCTTCCCCCCTCTTACATTTTGTTCGTAAATCAGCTTATCAGACCGCCACGGCTGCCCAGTTTGTACTGATCATGTAACATTTGTGCTTTATTTCTCCTTGTGTACTACCACGATGCAATTCAATCAGCGCAATCGCTGTCTCCTTCTCACTTTATGACCCCCAACTTCAATGTCTAGCGGTTCATGGCGCAAAAGCAAAGCCAAGGTTCCAAAGCCACCACGGGGATCTGGTCTCAATCCCTCGGGTCTACCAGCCGCGCCCCAGATCGACATTGCTTCTGAGCAACCTCGGATGTCAACCTTCAACTTCGATCCACACGGGGAGACTGGAGGATGGCAGGGGGGCAACAGGTGAGTGCAGCGGAGCTGCCTCACAGCTGATCGCTAACGATTCCAGCAGCGCGGGGTATCACGTCCTCATTTGCTGTTGCCAGCAAGGTACTGGCTTCTTCGTCCCTTGCGGATTCCGGGCATCTTGTTACCGCAGAAAAGAAGGGCCCGTCAAGTCTTTTAGATGTCTCTCGTCTTAAGACAGATAGCGGGTCTCCGTCACAGAAATGGGAACATATAGGTTTGTCCCCTCATGTCCTCGTACCCGTCCATGTCGTTCCCCGAGCCTTCTATTCCCTCCTCGCCGTCTCTACTATACGTTTTATTTCAACAAACGTCACGACGCAATCACCCGAAAAAAACATCCTGCAGAACGAAAGTCCTCCACCGTACCACCCACCACCATCCCATCCTTACTTGGCAGCACAATTGCGCCACGGACACAATTCCTGCTGCTGCTGTTCGCAGCACGCCTTCGCAGGGCGCACTCCATAGGAAGGATGCGATGTTGTCGATTTTCGGTGCGAGGTAGGTCACTGGCTTGAGGAAGTGCCTCCTGAGGGATGGCGTAAGCCGAAGTAAGTTGCTTGTTTCTCCTTTATTTGCGCGCACGCTGTGATGTCATGCGGTCCATTTGATCCTCCGTGCGCGGCTTTTGTGCCATGCCTGTGGCATTTCCTCTCTTCACATTGACGCGAGCACGTGACTAGATCAGACTCAATTCGTGTCTTAGATCTTGTCACTGGCTCTTAGACTTCTACATCCTCATCGTGTCGCCGACATCGAGAACAAGCCACGGCGAATAGCCAAGTACCTATCACTTAAAACATGAGCGATGGCATAAATGACTGGATTGTCCCTGACAGCGAGGACGAAGACGGCTTCCAGCCTCTTGTAGTTGCCGACCAGAGCGTCCCCTTGAGCAGGAGCTCGTTTTCTGCACACTCCACAAGTATTTCACAGGGTCAGCAATCACTTATATGTTGTACTGCATGCTAACCGAGCATGTTTGTGCAGCATCAGTCATTCAGACTGCCTCATTGTTTTCCAGTCCAGCGCGGACCCCCCGACGAGTACATAATTCCCTCGACATTAATGATTCTCTGTTTACGCCACCTCCTGGGTACCAAGATTCTGACTCACCACATGCTTCTCCATCACTTCCTCGAGACGTGGAAACGTCTGTACCCAAGTCAAAGCCGCGTCCACGACCCGGGCCGCGAAAGTCTCGAGCTACGAACACTATTTATGACGACTTCCTCAACGAAGATGCGTCTCGTGCTTTTGGATCACTCATTAGTTCCGCATCTGCAATTCCAGCCAGTACCTTAGCTGCAGATAGTATCCGCGCTCCGACCACACCTTCTATCGTCTCAGAACTCATCGAGGATGTCAATCCTACATTCATCATTTCCGAGCGAGCTAAGACGCAGAAAATGCAGGCAAAGAATCCGACTTATCTCCCTCTCGCCCACGATGTCATCGAATTATCATCTGACTCCGACCTCGATGAAATATCCCTCAAGCCTCCACGGAAGCGGCACAAATCCCAAGACAAGCTCGTCAAGCCGAAGCCCAAACCAAAGCCCAAGTCTAAAGCCAGGAAATCACCATCGCCTAAGCTTGCCGAACGAGTCATCGCGGATACTCAGACGAGCGATGTTGTCGTCCTTCCTGCACATCAGGAGCAGTACTCCCTTCCCAGCTGCCTTCTATGGCGTCGCACCTCTCGTCTTCTCTTCCGCCTTTACCTGAATTATCTTCTTCTCCCTCTTCTCCACCTGTGACGACTCGCAAGCGGAAGAGGGCTCCCCCGCTTGAGCCTGACATCCAGGGAGAAGAGATGGACGTAGACGTCTCGCACGGTTCGTTGTCTATTACAGAGCCTCCTCTATTCTTCGCACAATCATCACCCGTCGTCCTTCCAATCGATGACTCACACGTTCTTGAAGAGGAGAACAAGGACGTTGACGCAGACGTCGTTGCTACTGGGACCAAGGGTAGGAAGAAGGACACAAAGTCATCTACTCGGACAAAGGAGAAGAAAAAAGGTCGGAAGGAGGCTGATGAAGTCGAGTTCGACGACCTTGCGCACAAATCCCCTCCGGATGAGGCAGCTGCAGGTAATGATGATCTCGCAGAAGACGATTTCATTGTAGAAGAGGCCCCGAAAGCTACTTCCAAGAAAGGGGCACCACCGAAGCCCAAGCCCGCCGCAAAAATAAAATCAAAACCCAAGGGCAAAGGCAAAGTGGTTCTCTCGGAAGGTGAGAACGAGGAGGACGACCCTCCTTGTGCGAAGTCACCTAGCCGAAGTCGCCATCTGCCTGAGAACGAACTCGATAAACCTGGAGGTGGCAGCCCCAAGAAGGATTCTAAAATTATTGCAGACTCTGCAACAATCAAGGTACTCCTTTTCGATAAGATCTCGTATTATTACTTGACGATAACCTATCTCCTTCCCAGAAGAATTCGCCACAAAGTATAGCTGCCCCGCCAAAGCAGACTCCATCCATCGGTCTGAACTCACGCTTCACCATCAAATCCAAGTCGATACCAATGTCAGAGCTCATCCGACGTGTCAACTCGCGACCAAATTCACCATTCACAAATGCGCCTACCTACTCGCCATTGATGAAATCTTCGCGAACGATGCTTTCTCGCATCGCACCGCTCCACCCCAACCGGCGAACCCCTCCACCATCTTTACCGAGACCGCCCCCGCCGAAGAAGAGCAAGAAGCAGATCGAGATGGAGGAGCGCATCGAGGAGGAGTTAGCAGAGACTGTTGAGGGATGGTCGTGTATGACTGATGAAGAGAGGAGAAATTTGCGAAGAGCACGGATTGATGCTGAGTTGGGTTGTGAATGAGTCGCATGTTCTTATTCCTTATCACGCCGCTTCGTTTTTATTACCATTATCGTGTACTGGGCAACTTTGTAAACGGTTCACCCTGCTCTTGACATCCCCTAGTACGAATGGACATTGGGCTCGAGAGGTGCACTTCGGAGCGAGGGCCTGTATACTTCCTCTTGGCCATTTTCCAAGCTAGTCGGATTCAAGCTGTTCCGCTCCCATGGGTGTCTGACTTTTCTTGTGTACATGCCCAAATCATGATGGGCTGATAGAATGTGGCCTTGGACTTAGGAGCTGTGACGCGGCCAGTGCCGACCCTCAGGCCTCATGGAGGATTATTGTCAAAGGATTTGATTCGTCACCGTGATCAGTAATCTACTTGCTACTGAGATTTCACCTCAGGTATCCACCTAAATTTATCCTTAATGTACAGATTCATCAGCGCGAACAAGCTATGCTAGATGATGTAAATAGGGGATTAGCTTGACCGCAAGGCAATGTATCATGATTACACCCTGTAACCATAGCCGCTATCATATCACCGATCCACTGAGTCCTCATCTTGCCTCCATTCCCCGTCCAAGCGCCATTGTTTAACGAGCTGAGAGGCACCAGCGATTCGCCTATCTTCGTCTTCCCGTTCCCAGTCTTGTTCCTCTTCGGTAGGCAGGACTCGGATAGTATAACCTCGGAAGAAATGATAGATGAGTTCTCCTAAGTCGCTTTGAGAACTGTGCGAGTAGCACAATACCGAGGATAGTCAGTCATGGTGCGGATGATGGAGGCGCATAAAGCTGAGGGTCTTGGTACCACGATGTTTGAGCATTGAGATTGTGAAAGGTGGGAATGGCGCTACTCAGATAGTTCAGAAGGAAAGTAAGAGGCAAAAGAGGAAGGGTATAAGACGATGTGAACGACGCAGGCAAGCGAAGTGGCCCGAGTGATACGGTAAAAACGACCTTTGGCGTGCATGTCGGCTTGTGTTTTCATTAGGAGGTCCAGCTGGGGAGAGAATGCAAGGCCAAGAGATTCAAGAACGTTGAAGGTATCATCGAGGCGATCATCGGGTACGACATACTAGAAATTCTAATACAATACGCGAGGGTCAGATACATTTGACAATTTGAAAGACGCTCACCCTGAGTATGCGGGGAATTTTCATCCGTTTGTACAGTAGCGTACCTCATTCAACAACTTGCAAACCAGCGTCTTGCAACGCTCGAAGGGCAATTTCTACGACTTCCTCTGGTAGACGATCGAGGATGGGTGTGACGATTACTATACGAGCTTCCAGCGGATTTGAAAGAACTGCCGCCACAAAGAGGTGCTTGAATTATAACCTAGTTGATAGTCTGCCATAAAGAAGATGCCTCTTTATTATGAGTCGGATGAGTTGAATCAAGGTGTTTGATGTTCTCTTCTGGTTTCGCTTCAAAGCTTCAACCCTAGGTTGTCCTTTACCTAGCTGATATTCATCAAGTGATGTCATCGCCTAATATTCCTTACTACTACTACATCTGTCAAAAAGTACGGGAGAGATGTGGCCTTGCGTTAGGCTCATGACCAGCCTGGCGTATACTACCACGGACAAGTCGAGTAGTGTTAGCATTGACACATAGTCAGACTGGTTACGAGTCTAGCCTTGCGTCTCAATGAGGCGCAGATGAGCGAGTGTCTTTCCTGATGGTAGTGTAGGCAGACAAGGAGGTAATGATGGACGCTTTCGGCGGTGAGGACAGTGGGGACAAGAAGAGGTGACAAATCTATTGATGCGACGAAGGTGCTTGTTCAAAGGAGCGTGGTGGGCGCGCAAACACATCATATTGATAAACCTGTCACAGAGGCGGATTTCATCAGCTTACAGCCATTTGCAGAACGCTAGGCCCAAAAAAAATTCGCTACATATATTCGGCAATAAGTTGGGACAACAAACTTTTAACCTCGGACGGACAATCTCGATCTACGACTCGGATAGGACGATACATATCCAAGGAACTGCTCTACAAATGAGCTTGCTATATGTCAAAGACCCAACGGTCCATCGTTACACTGGGATTAGTGAGCGATCATTGCGATATACGTATCGATATCTGATCGGAGAATAGAAGTTAAAATTAACAAAGGAGCAATGGGTCGATACTGCATCCCATTGGGTCACAGACGCTGATATTTAGGCTTACTTAGAGGCTTACGGAGGGGTGGTGGCAGCTTGGCTGTGAGCGAGAGGCGATTTATCTGCTCATTACGTTTCAACCCATTATATCGTTCATTTCTGACTTTTTTGTTATTATGTTGACAGAATACGACCTTGACATCAGACGAGCTGCGACGGTCCCCGAGCCCGGGTCAGTAAGGCGGAGAGGGTGTCAACGTTCATCGTGAATCCTTGAGACGACAGGCTTTTTTTTTGCACTGCTTTCCAAATTCGGATTCAAATACAGGGGCGTATACTTGACGTCGCTTGACACTTACTGCGGTCAACCAATTCAGGATATTCACCCCCATGGGCCATAACGCCTATTTCGGCAAGAAAAGCACTCCATGGTGGTACTATATCTAGCGCGAACGCATCGTTACATATCAAGTTCGTTACTCACCTCAAATATGACCCTAGTCTCAGATGATCCCAGTTACTGGCCACTAATCAATTTGTATCGGTTGTCCAGCTATTTTGTAGGTTTGTGCAGGGACCATGATGTCGGTCATTTTTAGATCTAACCTTGGCCGCGGTTTCGCAGTCGCCTCCTTTGCCGCGGTGGTATACGATTGGGGTGAGCAAGATCTTAGATGTTATTAAGGAATCACTGGTAAGTATATTCATGATACTTTCAGCGCTGACATTCGGAGAAGAGGTTGGTTGATGACATTGCAGGAGCAGCTATCTCACTAACATTGGCTCTATAGGTTGAACTGGTCTGGGTGAGCAGAGTCCCATGTCAGAAGAACAGCAGGATATACAATTAACTCGGGGCAGAGGCAACGCTGGTCACACGTGACGCTTCTATATCTCGGTGTACGTATGTTAGAAGCACGGTTAGCTGCTTGCTGACTTCAAACAACACATTCTAGGTGCGCCACGCTGCAATACCATATGTCGCGTATGTTTGCAAGGCTTGCCAGTCGGTGTTGTTGCTAATCAGCCATATCCCACAACCAGCTCCGTCATGCTTAGTATGTCTCCTTACACACATTATGTTTCTCTCTTCTGACCAGTGACATATAGTAAGCCTTCCGTCGGTCTCGGTGACAGATGCAGTGAGCATTCTACTCTGGTGCCTGCCATTCCCATCCAATTACTTACACTCGTATGTAGGGGTGAGTCAGATTTTTGACTGGCGTGTTGTTTGGATATAATGATGGCAACAGCTGTAAGTCTCTTGGTCTTCCTAGGTTCGTCGTTAACTGGGTTTTTCAGGTCATGTCATGTACGTCACACTAAGTTGGACGAGTTTGGCGATAACTACAATGCTAAGCGGTGAGCTACCGTCCAATACCTTAGTGATATTGACTCGAATGAAACATCGTGCAAGTCATTGTGACCATTCGGTTACATGTCATGTACCGGCGATCCAGAAGGATGCTTATCTTTCTCATTGTGATCTTCCTGCCTGTCACGATGGCCTACGGGACACTTGTCGCAGTGATAACCAGCAATGTTTCAGGGGGTAAGCTTTTATTATAAACGGAAGACTGAAGCGCATCAGGCTCATCGGACGAATATCAGAGGAATACATCCTATCCGGCACCTATATGTGTTATTATAACTATGACGGAGCCCCCCTTCCGATGTCCATACCCTGGGCCCTCTACATTGTTTGGGAGGTCATCATACTGTGCCTTGCAGTTTGGGTCGCTGTAAAACACTTCCGCGAATGGCCATTGGTTTGGACCACCGCGGACTCTTTCGCGGTGTTAATAAGAGTACCCATGGTTTACTTTCTAATGTGAGCTCGTACTTTGAATGTGGTTGCCTTTTTGCACTGATAAGTTCCCCACGTGCTAGTTCGATTGCCGTTTCTTCATTGAGCATCGGTTATTTCTCTCCAGATATCTACGTAAGCCGATCTGTCACCGAGTCCATGTGCATGTGGCATTGTTAATCATTTCTGTAGGACTCATCCTCTGCGGGCTCTCAGGTTTATTATGGTGTTTTCGAAATTTTATTTTTCGTGCAAATGTTTGTGCTAGGGCCACACCTCATCCTTAGCGTTCGAAAATACTACGCTAAGCTCGTGGTCAAGTCTGATGCGGGACCGTACTTGACTGCAATGGCCTTCCAGGAGCACACGCATGTATCAACTAGCAGTACTAGTGGTGTGTAGCACGGGAAGTGCTTCAAGGGGTTAATACTTGTCTGGATGTCATCTGCAGGGAGCACGAGTTTTTATTATTATCGTGGTGCTGATATGGTGTTTCGAAGTAGATTTGAAAAGCGAAGTGGGTATGGATCTGGCAAATAATGCTCGCTAACAATAATGTCGTTTTGCATCACTATCGGAACTAGGTGTCCACCCACACTTTTGAAATCATGAAGAATAGTGTCGCAACCAACCAAGTCCTGTGGGGGCAACTCCCTTACTTTAATGCTGGTATGTCTGTGCTGTTGTTCTAAGTCAAACTTCAAAATGTTCAATGCTCGCTCTCGCTCCTACTCGAACGTGTTTTATTGGTCATAATGTAAGGTTCAGAGGAGATGTGTAACAGGGTTTATGATTATCCGGTGCAATAAACGTTGCAAATTTACAAGATCTTAGTTGAACGGTGGCGATAGGACATGTGTGCTCCGTCATGCATCATGTTCCAGAGGACCTTCTCATATCGAATATCCGATCACTCAAAAGGATGAGAACAGTCCTGCATTGCATGATAGGTCTACCTGAACAAGTCGTTGACAACTTGGGAAGCTTGATGCTGCTAGAATATAGGTGCGTCAGGGTGACAGATAGTGGAATATATTATTATATCCAGTCTTTTGCCTCCGTAGATGTTCGTCTGATGACGTGGCTTTGGGTCATCTCTGGAGGGCGTTGACAAGTAGCTGTTGGAAGTGCAAGCATCGTTGTCAAGGGAGTGCAAGGACGGAGAGAATATAACCTTGGATAGCGCTGATGCAGCTGCAGCGCTCAAGGCTGCCAACGACAAGATTGTTGCCGCTGCTCGAGAAGTTGATGAAGTATGCTTATGATGATGATCTGGCCATTACTGGGTTCCACCTGTCCAGTCACTTTCCGCCAATATTCAAGGCATGACTAACAAAACTTTCCATCTCCACGAAAAACTGGTTCCTTGGAAGGTTGTAATCTTCATGACGCGCTAGACAAGAAGATTTCAACCTTCCGAGGAGTGCAACAAGAGATATTGTGTGAAAAGGTAGGTTACAATCCTTCATTCCACACGATATGTCTTGCTGCAGCGCTTTTCGAGTAGATCTGATGTGGGATGAGATTGAGTCGCACGTCAGCGAACGATGAGTCCACTAAGTTGGTAGCACGACTCCTGAGGCCTGAAAGTTGGTGAGGGCCCAAATCAGCTGGGAATGACCAGATATTTGGGTATGAGAATGGGAGGCTTACAATTAACAAGTTGACCGATCCGTGTGGATGGAGAGGAGAGGATGCTATACCCAGATAGTTGGCATAGTACGACCCGTGACTAGTTATTGACAGTCAATTTTCGGACTCTACCTTAGCGCTGGACGATTAAGATCAGTACTAGACTACTAGTGGCGTCGACTGTGCCCTACGATGGGTCATAGATGGCCCCGACGAGTGTCTAGACTGTAACGCGCATGATGGATGTCGCTGATAGTAGGGCTTCTCTGAGTATTTTGTGCCCCCAAAACACAAGAGTGGAATAAGCTGGGGCTGTGATAGAGTCCATGATCGCGGGAAAGAAGCAACTGAAGCAAAATTGGAGTGGTACGTAAGATGTTACATGATCCGAGGACACTAAGTAATTGCTACTATCGGTTACGGTCTATTCGTGACGAGCCTCCATTTCGTGAGTCACACTTTTGGGCATGGAAACGTGATGGCTTGTCACATGGTGTAACGGTATGTCACGAAATTCACCGCGAAAAAGCGTGACTCACGAAATGACGGTCCATCACGAATAGATCGTAAGGGATAGTACTACTCCACCCCTCGCCTAGGGGTCCTCGTCAACAAGCTGATGAGTTTCGATGATCAAGAAGATTAGTCTTACAATGCGGCAGCGCTCAAGGCTGCCAACGACAAGATTGTTGCCGCTGCTCTAGAAGTTGTTGGGTTGATGAAGACTAGTCGCTAATCATCTGACCGGTACTGGATTAGTGACTGTGAGGGGGGAAACCACGCAGCTGAAGAGAAGCATGCAGCAGAGGGATTGCTTGCCGCTGTGTCATCACGGATGGCATATAGGTGCTCGACATCCAAAATATGATTTTGGCTGTCCACAGTCACTTTCCGCGCGGCATCATTACTGAGAAAACTGGACCATCGTAAGGTTGAAGCTTTCATGATGAACAAATCAACATGAAGAGTCAACCTTCGGAGGGGCGCAGCCTGTGTGAAAAGTCTGCTGGCAATGCTCGCGTTTCACGCAGTGTGCGCTTTTCAAGTTGATGGTTACAGGCTTTGGCATGAGACCGAGTCGCACGTCAATGAGGGGTGCGCAACTCCCTAGTAAAGTCCAGATCATTAATTGGGGGATGGAGTAGGCTTCCAGACGATGCCATAGATAGTTGGGGGTAGGTAACTCGTGACTATCTTACACGTCAAGTATGCCCCGTGATTGGATCTAGAGTGTACCGCGTGTCGCTGATAGTAAGCCCCCAAAGTTGGATCGAAGTTGTACGTAAGAGGATATAAGAGCATGAGGATAGAGTGCGTCAGCATGTCATTCCCGAGTGTCCTACAGACTGCTACTAGTATCTTTCTACCATGTCTAACGCGGCAGCCAAGCTCGTTTTCGTTGCATGTCTTGTTATCAATGCACTTTTATGGTCTCAGAGTCGATATGGGCACCACAAGTCTACTCTAGTTTCCCTATGGAAGCGGGAGTTAACAGAGAAGAGCTGTTCACCTCTAGCATATGAACTTTCATCGCAATGCGCACACGTTCTAGAGTCATGTCCATTACCTTCGACGTTCCTCAGTATTCCCTACTTATCCCACTACTTCTGCGCCCCAGCACAACTCCGACCTCTCATCTTCGCCGGATTACTCCTCTGGCTGCTCTTTCTATTCAGCACACTAGGAATATCTGCATCTGACTTCTTCACTCCAAACTTGGCAACAATCGCAACATTCCTAGGTCTCGATGAAAATGTCGCCGGTGTCACCTTCCTCGCTTTCGGTAATGCCTCCCCGGACGTGTTCAGCACTTTCTCTGCAATGCGGGCAGACTCGGGCAGTCTTGCAATTGGAGAACTACTTGGAGCAGCTTCATTCATAGTAAGCGTCGTCGCAGGCAGCATGTGCATCATAAAGCCATTCAGGGTCGAACGCACACCCTTCCTCAGGGATGTCGGCTTCTTTACCCTCTCCGTCGTCGTCCTCCTCGTCATACTCCAAGATGGCCTTATTAGAGCAGCGGAGTGCGCATTCTTGGTCGCAATGTACGTGTGCTATGCAGTAGTCGTCGTGGTCGGAAGCTGGTGGGAACGGCGGCGCGAACGAAGGGAAAGGCTAGAAGCTCTCATCCGAGCAGAATACGGCGAAGATGAGACCGTAGTGGAACCATATCATGACCTAGGTGCGTGTTCGTCCTTCTACAATTATTCATCCCTCATTATACACAGTCACTCCCGCTGACACCCTCACCGTGCCCCTCTCCCCACCAACCCGAAGTCGCGCAGCATCATGCCCCCAGCCCCCACGACTTTCACTCGCAACTCCTGCATTCCCTCGCCCCTTATCATCCTCTTTCCACGCACTGTCCCCTGGTGGGGCCCGTACTCCCTCGCCCCTCACCTCACCTCACCTCTCACAGATGCCATCCTTCTCCCTGGTCGGAGCCCTCGAGTTCAGACAGGTGGTCGCAAGCCTACAAGCACACGCCGCTTCGAGCAGCTTATCTATCTTCGAGAGCCCTATCACCCCTTACGCCGGTGGCCGCTACCACCTACACGGGAGCCATGCAAGCCGCACTCCATCGAGCGAGGTAGATCCTTGGGACTCGACATTAGGTGTCCCTCTCGACGAACGTAGCCCAAGACTACTCGTGAATGATATGATCCCAGAGGGCCACGAACCATCCCCCTCACCGTCTACAACCGACGTGCAGGCACACGCCTCTACCTCAATCTCACCCATCCCTTCCATCTCGCATACACCTGCGTCTCCAACTGATGCTGCGTCCACGACGACTACGGAGGTGGAGCCGTATGTCCCGCCCTCGAAACTCCAGCGTGTATGCCGAGTCGTCAAAAAGACCTATTATATCCTCTTCCCTGCGCTGCATCACTTTAAAGAGAAGAATATCCTAGGGAAAATAGCCAGTCTGCTTGCAGCGCCTGCTGTGATGGCGCTCACCCTGACATTACCAGTCGTCGTCGTCCCGTACGACTCCAATGGATCCGCATCAGAAAAACACAAACGCCATCACCATAGTGCTGGCGAGGATGGCCGCTTGGTGGAGTTCGAGGAAGACGGCATCGAACGTGCCTTGATCGCGGAGGAGGTGATGCAGCCGGACCTGCACGAGATTGAGTTCAATAAATGGTTGATGGCTGCTCAATGCGTGTTAGGCCCTTTGTTTTGTCTAGGAGTGTTATTCCGTGTGTGCTTTCCCACTTTTTGACTTGGCTGCTAATCATCGGTCTGTTTTTAGACGACGCGAATCACCTTCCATTCCTCGTGTTAGGGACGGCTGTGTGCGGAATTGCAGTTGCTGCGCTTGTACTCGTGTTTGCGGATGGTAGAAGTCACCCTACTGCGCGTATGGCGCGGTGTAGTATGGGCTTCTTGGTTGCTATCGCATGGATCATGGCAATCGCCGATGAGGCTGTTAATGTATTACAGGTCCGTTCTGTACTTTTGAATCCGGATCTTGCTAATGTCGTCTATACCCTCGTCTCTTCACATATTCACACGAATGTCTACACAGACATTCGGTTTTATTTTTGGACTCTCAGATGCCATAATCGGCCTCACCATCTTCGCAGTAGGCAACTCCCTCGCAGATCTCGTAGCAAACATGAGCGTAGCTGTAAGTCCCCATCTATCCCTTCCCCACCCCACCTCATCCCCCTCCCCCTTAGGTATTCGCCCCGATCATGGGTTTCTCCGCCTGCTTCGGCGGTCCCATGATGAACATCCTCCTCGGCGTCGGTATCTCCGGCAGCTACGTCATCTCCCAGTCCTCTGGTCAACCCTATGAGCTCCATTTCTCCCCTACGCTTATGAGCAGTACATTCGGCTTGCTCTCGCTGTTGATTGTAACGCTCGTGATGGTACCGATGAATGGGTATGTGTTGAGTAGGTCTTGGGGGATATTTTTAGTCGGGGCGTATTTTGTGGTTATGGGTGTTAATTTGTGGGTGGAGTTGAGGTGGTAGGTGGGTGGTGGGGGTGATGGTGCAGATGGTGAGATGTATCGATATATACGCTTGGCATTTTAAGGCTGACGGATGGTGCTTGGCATTTGGGACTTGGCATTGGATGTTATCATGTTTTAACTGTTATACCTGCATCTGATGTTGCAGTGCACTGCTTGGATAGATGCTACTTCACTCTGCATCGTGTATGCATACATTCGATTGATGATCAATGATCATTTCCTCCTCCTGCTGTATTCGGGAGGTTTGTATTTGTACGCTTCGTATCATCCGACGGCTTCTGCTGCTTCATCGTTGTATTCATGTGGCGTGGCAAGACGGCGTAATTGCCTCATATTTATAAGTCCTTGCCTTATTTACGCTCGTTTGGAATAGGTCAGCCCCTAGATGATCTCGAGCCTTGACTAGGACTTTCCACCTTCATCACGATAATAGGTGCGTGGAACGTTCGTGTCTTTGCGTCATGGCCACCGTGTGAGGAGCTAATAGGTGAGCCGCTCAGTTACTCCCGGAGCTAAATGTCGAATACCCCAGGTCTCTACCAGCATGGACGCGTGACCGTCGCTACCTTCTATACCTGGCTTGATCAAGTCCTTGTGGTTTCCGCTCCTACGGTCCTAAAATGACACCTGCACACCGCATGTAAGCTTCGTTCAATCCGCTGCAAGCACACTTCTCTTACATCGGTTAGCACGCTTCTCTGAAATCGATTCCCTTAATTTAAAGGTTCTGAACTTTACAACTCGAGTCCGTGCTCGAGATATGCGATGTCGTATAACAGGAGAGCAGGTACAACCAGGACTTCGAGCTGGATATGACTTTACTTCTTTTAATGCGGTTCGTATTTTTTTTTCCCTTTGAGTGAGAATGACGAGGTTTGCATTGTGCTTGAATTTTTGAAATGTTTAACTGGTACGACAGGTATATCACGGATCCTAATCTTGCCAACCCCTGACAAGATCAATTCGGTTCAGCAGAGGTTCCTAGTTAGAAGCGACTGGCATGATGCGTGATCCATCCAAGTCCGAGTAACTCTCTACCGACCCCTGATGCGCAGGACGAATACAGAATGACAGACTTCCGTCGACGAGATGGCACATCCTCAGTAGATTGCAAGAACCTCTTCATCAATTCTAACCTCCCAGCGCACTTCTGCCCCTTTCCTCTGTTATTAAGAGGTCATTTCAGGCAGCGCGTACTCGCTAATCTCAAAGCCTTGATGCTGCCAAGGGATTCCGAGTCTGACTCTGACTCTGAACCTCGGTCATTTGACGCGGGAATAGACATGGAGGCTGGAGGGGGTTTGAATCTGAGTAAAGGGTGGTGGACTACGCCTCATGGACATGCGCAATTGGATGCGCAGCTTCATGCGAGTTTGAATCCTAGGTAGGTTGAGTTGCAGCGAGAGGCTTGGTTTTCGAAGTTCGAAATGGAAAGTGCGGGCCCTGGGGTGATTGGTATGGGTGAGTGAGATTGCGAAAATGGAGAGGTGTTGTGGAATTGCTTATAATCTTTCTAGTCATTTACAAGATGATAGATAGACGATATCGACAATAGTCAGCTGCGAAAACATGCTGAGATATGTAACCCGTGCTGATACTCATGGAGTCGTGTTTGCGCGTTCTTTGCGATAAATAGCTTACTTAGTCAGCTAGGTTCGGGTTTCGTTTTAGCGTAGTAGGCCCAAACTATCTATATCATCACTTCCTTGCTCTGCTCGCGATACGCAGGCACATCGTCAGGCTTGAAGTACGTGGCGGCGGCGGCGGCCACAGCCGAAAGAGGTTGTTTGGATCGCAAGGTCTTGCCAAACAAACTGCTAGCCACGCGCTGTTTGGATACCTGTACCTCCTTAATCTTGCCTTGGCTCTTCTCACCAATTGATGGAAGCCTTCGACGAGAAGCGTATAACAGAGGTCAAGCTCAAGTACGGGATCGATTCATTTACCTTCACTCATTCACTCGTCTCTCTCCTCAACCTCAACCACCCAGAACCCCCCCATCTATCGGCTGCCAGTGGAACTTCTACAGAACATATTCTTGCTCGTCGTTAATGACATGCTGAACTGTCCTAGCATTTTCTCATTTGGAGAAACCACAATCTCGGCCAATTTTTCCAGCCCTCCCCTACTCTTCACTTGGGTGTGCCACCTTTGACGAGCAATGCGGCCCTCGTATTGCACATTCGACGACAGACATGTGGTCGCACATAAAATTTGAGCTTCCCTGGCGGTCCATGAAAGTATTCAAGCCATCCCTTCCATCTTTCCTCAAGTTTTGGCTCGCCCTGTCTGGCAGTCGACCTCTCACCCTACAAATCGAACGACGTCTTTCCGCTATCAATTTTACATGGGGCAATGGAACGCGGCCGCGGGGTCTCTCACAGGTAAATCGTGGAATCTCCGAGATCCTATTTGCTGAGAAGGGGCGTTGGGAAACGGTTGCTTGTGTCAGTCATATCCAATGACGGTGATATCTTCCGCACACCCCAGTTGAGAACCTTGCAGTGTAACTTGTCAGATGTCCAGAGATTCTACGCACCAAATCTCTGTCGCCTACACATCGTCGATTATTGCATTACTGTCACTCAATTCACATCTGCTCCTGCCTACAAAGATATCAACATATCCACCTCTGTGCTTCTCCTCATGTCATATGCTCCACTTCAGTTATTTCCCCTCATCTGGAGACCATCGTCGTGGATTCAATAGTGTCATGGATTGATGCCTATGCCGAGGCCTCGGTGGTAACCACACCCAAGCGATAACTGGTCACAGCCTGGTACCCTTTGCTGCTCCATATCCTCGGCAGAAAGCCCCGGCACGTCCACGATCGACATCAGCCTTATTTATGATTTTGCTCATGCCTTCCGTGACGATAGCCAGGCCTTTGCTTTGCAGCTATGAAGTTGACCGGACCTGCATGACCACAATTTCCAACAGGCCGAGTTACGGAGCGACTTTCTACCAGTTATTATAAACAGTTAATATTTAACATCTGTTTATAAGCGCTGATTTTTCAAACGTACCCTACGAAGTTCCGTCTGGTTGACCACGAATGTGGAAGACCAAAACCCACACATTGCGCAGGAGTTTTGGCATATATGAGGCGGCTGTACTACGTAGTGGACTCGATCGTCGATCCAAGGATGGTCATATTACGGAGAGTGTTGTTTGGGTCACAACCTCCGATGAACGTGCACGTATCTGACCAGCAACGCGAAGTCAAGGCCCCCCAGGAACCGGAGATTCATTCTTGCCCCACGACCCCATCGTACCATACATCTTCTCGTGAGGTTCACAGTTCTCGAGTCTGCGGAGATTATAAGCCAAAAAGCATCAACTGTTTTCGCCTAAAGTAGGGCATCCGAGCAATGCGTGCCTTTATGTTCACACTGGAAGTTTCAGCCTATAAAACACCTGCCTGCTACTATGGCTTTGCCTCATTCCCTCCCAGAAACTCAATCATGTTTACTTCCCGCTCCATCATGTTTGCGCTCCTCAGCTTCCTCGTTGGCACCAATGCGTGTATAGAGTGCCCAGCCACATTGATGGTCGACGGTAGTGCCATGCGCCTATCGGAAAACTGGCCAGGCGTCTAGACCACATGGTGCATGTATGTTACGCCCACGCATTTTCATTGAACAAAATAACTGATAGGCTGGCAGTTATGGATCATTAATGTACTGTATATATTACAGTGTAAGTGCTTTCTGGATATTTTGCGGCTCATTGTTCTCGCTTGACATGCTAGCGATTATATCAGGGTGACGGCAAGTTGGCAGGAGGGAATGCGTCGTGTCTGGCTACAGCACCTATGATGAAAAGCTGCGTAACATGATTTGAAGAGGTAGGGGAGACGAGACACCCAACAGGAGGAGTAATATTCGTCTGCAGACGCCTCCTTGTAGTATATATTATACAGAGGAGAATGGTGCTCGCATGCAGCTGTAACACGCGATCCCCAAGTCCGTGCCCAGCAGTCTGGAGTTGTAGAGTGCAAATTACTCTTACGGAACAGCAGTTGCAACGCCCAGTCGAAAACTCCTAGGGCGCCCATCTAAGGCTAGCGTTTTAAGTTTGAAAAGGGAGAGCACTGAGCAGGCTGTGCGTGCCAGACGCGTCTGGCGGGTCACTACACGGTACCTCAACGAACAGATAAAATCTAGGATGTTGCCGTTGCAGAAGGCTTTATGGCATGAACGTTCGATTTGAACAATCAAGATAAAACAGCTGATCCGAATGCCACCCGAAAACGTCTAAGTCGGTCCTGACACTGATCGTATCATACGATATGTACTAGCTAAATGGTGGCCCCATCAGCTTGCCGTAGCCCACACTAGCCAATACAGCCATAAGACTAGATCAGCCCACTACTAATTTCTCTATCACCGACAAATACCTTAAATACTGCCTTCATCCGCTGCGCCCACGGCCCCACGATGACCCAACCCACAGGCAAAATGAAGCTCGCAGTCCTCACGTCGGGCGGCGATAGCGCCGGCATGAATGCTGTCGTCCGTGCCATCGTCAAGATCGGCATCTTGAGGTGTGTTTTAAATAGTTGGAGGTCGTGCTAATTCTTACGTCTGCATCGTATTCAACTTCCATCATCATCTATGTGAACAGAGGCTGCGAAACATGGATCGTACGGGAGGGATATGAGGGACTTGTCAGGGGCAACACGCAGGCGCATACGGCTCACATAGATCTTCCAGCTGATGCTTCTGCACAAACATGTGCCCATAGAGGAGTACCCACCAATCTTATGCAGAACCTCCGATTTGGAGATGGTGACCTTCTACGAGATGGAACGGGCGATCACCACCATGGTCGCACGTTGAAAGGTCGTTATATCGTTCGCGTGGGGTGGGATGATGTCAGAGGTTGGTTTGCTGAGGTGCGTGTGTGTATGTTCCTCCATAGGGCATGTGTGCTGATTGTTACTCTGCAGGGTGGTACTCTCATCGGAACAGCTCGCTCCGCAGTCTTTCGTACGCCCGAAGGTCGTCTATCCGCTGCTCATAACCTCATTAAAGAGGGAATCGACGCTCTTGCCGTCTGTGGAGGTGACGGTTCCCTAACCGGTGCCGACCTATTTCGGTCCGAATGGCCTTCCCTCGTAGCACAGCTACTCGCTCAGGGTAAGATCACAGAAGAGCAGGCAGAGAAGCACGGACATCTCAGGATCGTTGGACTTGTTGGCTCGATTGACAATGATATGAGCATGACAGATCTGACTATCGGTGCACCGACGGCGTTACATCGTATTTGCGAAGCTATCGATAATATCAATTCAACCGCTGCAAGTCATTCGCGTGCATTTGTGTTGGAGGTGATGGGGAGACACTGTGGTTGGCTGGCTTTGCTGGCTGGTGTCAGGTACGTCATGATTACTGCCGATTCGCAAACGCTGATAGCAGTGCAGTTCTGGAGCAGACTTCATCTTTATCCCTGAGCGCCCGCCCATAACTGCCCCTGGGGGAACCTGGGAGGATGATATGTGTGAAGCCATTCATGGCGTAAGCTAAATCCTTTTGATTTTTGTTACTGTTTTGAACCTCCTTTACAGCACAGAGAAGCTGGCAAGCGCAAGACAATCGTCATTGTTGCCGAAGGTGCGCTCGATGCGGATCTACAGCCTATCCGCGCGGAATACGTCAAAGAAGTCCTCACTGAGCGTCTTGGGCTCGACACGCGTGTCACAACTCTTGGACACACCCAGCGTGGTGGGAGGCCTTGCGCTTTCGATCGAATTTTGGTAGGTCTTCGTCTCTCGTTCATTGGGTATTGTTCATTGAAGCTCGATTCAGCCGACATTACAAGGCAAGGAGGCCGTCAGTGCGCTCTTGGAGGCTACGCCCGACACTCCTTCGTACATGATTGGCGTAAGGGAGAATAAAATAACTCGTGTGCCACTCATGGAGGCGGTAGCGATGACTCGTGCGGTAGCTGAAGCCATCGCCGCGAAGGACTTTGCAAAGGCAATTTCCATGCGTGACCCCGAGTTTCTCCAGAGCTTGGAGGGTTTCTTTGCTACTTCGACGCTTTTCAAAGAGAAGCAACTGCCCCATCACAGTGTAAGTTTATCATATCACATCAAGGTTAGTCTGATATCTTTTTCGCACAGAGAATGCGTGTTGCAATGTTGCAGTACGTCTTTCTACGCGATATCTTATGAAATGTTATCTCACTCTACGCAGCATGGGTGCCCCAGCTGGCGGCATGAATGCGGCTACCCGAGCTGCAGTACGTTACTGCATCAAGCAAGGTCACCGCCCACTTGCAGTCCACAACGGCTTCCGCGGTCTGCTCGACGACAACATCCACGAGCTCTCCTGGCTCGGTGTCGATGCTTGGACTTCCCGCGGCGGTTCTGAGCTCGGCACAAACCGTACCCTCCCAGACGTCGACCTTGGCGCAGTAGCTGCACGCTTCCAGGAGCACAACTTCCACGCACTGATGATAATCGGTGGATTCGAGGCGTTCAACGCGCTACTGATCCTTGAGAACGGGAGGAAGCATTACCCTGCGTTCCACATCCCAATGGTTCATCTCCCAGCTACGATCTCAAACAACGTGCCGATGACGGAGTTCAGCTTGGGCAGCGATACGAGTTTGAATGCGCTTGTTGATGCGTGCGACTCGATCAAACAGAGCGCGAGCGCAAGTAGGAATCGGGTGTTCGTCGTCGAGACGCAAGGTGGCAAGTGTGGGTACCTTGCGACCATGGGCGCGTTGGCGGTGAGTGATTTGATGTTGAAGTCCGTGGAATGTGGGTCTGATGGGCGTGACTACTCAGACTGGTGCCAGCATCGTCTACACTCCAGAGGATGGCATGAACCTTGACACGCTTCGCCAGGACGTCAAATTCCTGAAGATCCGTTATGGTTTAGATGCCAAGGGCAAAAGTGAAGGTCGTCTAGTTATTCGGTCAGTTTTATTTCTCAACTCACACACTGAACTTGCTGAGATGATTCACACCATCCGACAGCAACGAATGCGCATCGACGGTCTACACCACTGATGTGGTCATGAAGATATTCAAGGAAGAAGGCGGTAACCTCTTCGATTCGCGTTCGGCATCCCTCGGGCATACTCTGCAGGGTGGGATCCCATCACCCATAGATCGTGCACGTGCTGCGCGTCTCTCGCTGCGATGTATGGCATTCCTCGAGGAACATCACGATGCCCTACAGAAACAAGTTGGCAAAGAGAAGCAGGCGCCACCTGAAAGTGCAGCAGTGATTACGATACAAAAGTCTGCTCTGAAATGGGTGCCGGTCCAGGATATGGTGCAGCATGCAGATATGAAGAATCGCAGAGGAAAGACAGCTCCATGGGCGGGGATCAAGGACCTTGTTGAGGCGCTTGTTGGAAGGCCTGACCTGTTGTGAGTTGACGAAAACAAAGGAGTGTCGTATGTGCTATGTGGATGGATATTTCGCTTTCTGGTGTTATCGATAGACTGTTACCAGTTACATTGTTGTAGGGTACGAGCAGAATGATATCAATTGTATACCTCTAGTGACGCGCCGGGCCTGGCTCAAAAATTGAAAGCTCTAGCCGGGGCCTACCTAGGACCTTGAAGCCCTTAGCAGGCGGGCCAGGCCCGGACGTCACTAGAATACCTCGAATTTCGCTGGTACCATTCACCCTCGCAAGGAGGCCAAAGCGACATGGTTCCGTTCTTTGATCAGTGCGTCATACTGGGTAAGAAACAGGGAGGTAATGTATGTCTGTCTCCCATCCCGACTACATACTGACTACACCGGCGCACAGGAATCTGTCGTATGGAACTTGGACATGCTGGAAGGATCGTCGCTTTCCTCTCTGCGCACGCAAGGTTCCATACGACAAGAGACGCTAGTGGTAACAATGTGGACCAGTGGGTGGTCCACGGTGGAACGACCACACGTGGACAAGAGCAGCGGAGTTCTAAGTATAGTGTATTTACACAGCCACCAGGTAAGTGTTTATTTTTCACACGGGGGACGCGTTTTGAACGTGACCATTGCACGTTTTATATTGAAGGCTTTGCTGGTTCTGGTTCTACATTTTCCCAAGTCTGTTTAAGACTTGACTTGTAACTCTTTTTCTACACTTGTCTATATACTTGAACCTATAACATGTCTACAACAATGACACCACGACCTGACCTTCCATTCAAGAACCAGAACCCCCATATCTCTTCTCGTAAGTCATTTTCTTTTCAAAACATGAGAAATACCCTAACCATAGTCTAGTCGACCTCTCTAAATTGCCTCCTGTCAAGTATCAGTCGCTTGATCGTGATGGACATGAGGTTTTGGTACGTTTCTATATTCTCTCACCCTTATCATTCACCTGACACCTCCTAATAGGTGGGGCGCATGAAGATTCCTACTGTATGTTCCATCAACTCCAATTTGATTATCTCTAATCATTCCCCTAGCCCGGCGGTCATGCTTTCATCCTCAGACGCTTCGATACCGGTGCCATCAGTCTCACTACTATGTTCCGGGCCGCATTTCCTACTGCTTCTGAAGCTGATGAACGTCGTGAAACAGTCTGGGTAAAGGATACCTACGATCTTGCAGGAAACAACGGTTCCACCAAGGAACCTTCCATCGTTCGTCTTGCAGGAACATGGGTCAGCCCTGACATCGCTCTTCGTCCCGAATTCGCACAAACATATGGTTTGGGCGGTGTCATCCCTCATGTCGCCAAGGCCACACCCGACCCCAGCGCAGCCTACCGCCGCTCTTCCACGAAAACGACGCCAAAAGCGGTGCCCAGATCCTCTCCTGCTGCCACTAGCAATCTCCCAACTCCTGCCCCTTCAATCACACTTCCGACCCCCAAACGCAGGAGGGAAGCTTCCCCCGTACCGGCTGCAAATCCTCCGCCTTCTAGCTTGCCCCCTCCACGCCGATCAGCTCGGACCAAGAGTCCGGCACCTGTCCCAGTCTCTCTTTCGGCTAAATCGCCTACCAAATCGCCTGTCAAAGCCCCCCGATCGCCAGCGCCTCGCTCGCCCGCACGTCGGTCACCCGCACCTATCTCGCCGGCAAAATCTATCAAACCTGCATCTGCCCGGGCCGTGCGAATCATCGAGGTGACTACTCCAGGGGGATCTGACGAGACTGTCGTGGAAGAAGAAGCGGAAACAATCGAAATTGCGCGCCTGAATATGTCCCAGGACATAGCTGAGCAGAAGGAATTGATCGAGCGGTTGAAAGCGGAGCGGGATGGTCCGATGATGGAGACCGACTCATTAAAGCGCACGAGGGATGATGCAGCTGAGAGGACAGAGTTGAGGTTTCAGTTTAAGGAACCAGAAATGCAGGAAAGGCAAATCGCAACAAACAAGCGGGTTGGAAGGTTCCATCTGGAGCCGAGGCAAAAATCATTTGCATGGGGTGTCGCGGCATTCGCGATTGGAATGAGTGCAGTGTGAGTATTCATTCATCTGGCATGTGATATTTGTTGGCTGACGACCATACAGATCATTCCTTCCCAACTTATTCTGAACACGCTTTCAGCTAGTCGTATCTGTTTTCCTTATTATCCAACGCTCTCGTTTCCGTTCTTTTCTGGTGCCAATTACACCTGTACGTCTGCTCTCTGCGACACATTTTGTTCCCTTCGATGGATCTTCTAGTCCATTATTCACTTTCCCGAATCCCGTAACGTTTTCCGGTTTACTTCGTAGGTAGATCGTTTCTATTGCTAAACGTTGAGTAGTATTGTAATGCTTGTGATATTGGCACATGCAACTGTACGTGATGACTGCTGCACTAGTGTTCGCAGAAGCGAAATAAACCTTGAAATGCATCATGGATCGTGTTGTCACCTCCGTCACGTAGAACCAGTCTATTTAAAAATTAAAATGCTTCAGGTAATTAGTAAGCACAGCGGCGTTAGTGAGTTGGTTTCAAACTGACCCCACTGGGCCACAGACGTTACGACCATGTTGCTGAACATTACGGTTAGACCGAGAGTATCTCCTTCAAGATCCGCTAAATCCCTCCTTGAATGTTCCGACAACATGTTTGATGAAGTCTAAGAACTTTCAATGAGGGATTTAGCCATTTCATGTGTTCTTTAAATTCAATCGCTTCTCGCCGTCGGGGCTGGGCCACCCAGGGACTTCGAGTCATACTTCATTTGTAGTAGCCCTGGGGAATTACAACTTATGGCGATGAAGCGCAAGTGGGTACTGGCTACGATGGCTTATCGGTGAATCACACCGTCTTTTCACTGTAAGCTAATGGCTGGCATGTAACAATGCAGACGGATCTTTACTCAACCAATATATCTGAACGCAAGACCTATCTGCTTGGATTGCTCAGATCTTCGAAACTCGAGATCCACGCACGCTTTTTTGAATTATTGAAAACATATCTGGGCATCCCGTTAGGTCGTGAACCGTTTGAATCATATGTATCATGCTTAACAAGCTAATCCTCTTTTGCAGCCGTAATCATGGGTATCGATCCGAGCTCGAGCTTGTTCATATTTCTCGGTGCTATGGGCAGCTACTTAACAGTCACCTAAATTTGCCACCGTCCAGCATGATTAATGTTATTATGCTGTTGCAGAAGAGCAGAGAAGTCGTGAAAAGGTAGTATCGACAAAGATAACTAATGTTCCATTCTATTGGGTCTGGCTAGGGGAAACTATGTCCAAGTGCCACCCTCAATTCTCACGTGATCAGTCGCGAGGTGTGCCCGAGTACTTATCAGAAACAAAATATTGTTCTAGGGTCCAGAATTTCATGGCAGTGTGGAACGGAATAACCTGACATTGGTAGAAGTACTTGAGGTGTTCTAATAGGGGGTTGGGATGATGCAACTGGCTAAGGCAAGACACGACTATTTAGCAATTCTCGTGATCTAAGTACTGCCATACACCCGGCTGTATGCAGACGAACATTGCTCCTCCTGCTGGGTGCCTCGTCTCCCCCGCTCTTCACATTACGTCACGCAGTGTTTCTTCACAGGTGCTGTAGCCGGACAAGGCGGATACCCTTCTGCCAACTTGCCGTCACTCTGATATGATCGCTAGCATGTCAGCCGAAAACAATAAGCTGCAGAATATCTAGAAAACACTTACACTGTAATATACACAGAACACGCGTTGGCGCCAGCGAGGAAGCTGAGCAGCGCAAACATGATGGAGCGGGGGGTAAACATGATGGAGTTTCTGGGAGGTAATGAGGCAAAGTCATAGTAGCAGGCAGGTGTTTTATAGGCTGAAACTTCCAGGTGAACGTAAAGGCATTGTTTGGATGCCCTACTTTAGGTAAAAACAATTAAGCAAAAATGCATCATAAGCTCAGCAGACTCGAGAAGAACTGTGCACCTCATGAGAAGATGTAGCAAATACTCACAGGGAGATGTACGGAACGATGGGGTCGTGGGGCAAGAATGAATCTCCGGTTCCTAGGAGGCCTTGACTTCGCATTGCTCGTCAGATATGTGCACGTTCATCGGAGGTTGTGACCCAAACAACACTCCGTAATATGACCATCCTTGAATTGACGGTCGAGCTTACTACGACCGCCTCACAGATGCCAAAATTCCTGCGCAACGTTTGAGCTTTGGTCTTCCACAGAAGGTTCGTGGTCAACCAGATGGAACTTCGTAGGGTACGGTTGAAAAGTCAGCGTTTACAAACAGGTGTTAGAATTAGCTGTTTATAACACTGGTAGAAAGTCGTTCATAATCTAGCCTGTCGGAAATTGTGAAAAATTATGGTCATGCAGGGCCGTTTCCGCTGTCGCCGGACAACTTCACAGCTGCAAAGTAGAAGCCTGGCTACCGTCACGGAAGCCATGAGCAGGATCATAGATAAGTCTGATGTCGATCGTGGACATGCCGGGGCTTTCTGCCGAGGATATGGAGCGGCAAAGGGTACCAGGCTGTGACTGGCTTTCGCTTGGGTGTGGTTACCAAGACCTTGACATAGGCGGGATGACGTAGATCATCCAGGAGGGTTGAATTAGAGCGCCAAAGCAGGCTGATTGCGAGAAGCTTGCGAGAAGAAAAACGTTGAGAGCACGAAATCCGTAGAAAAACACTTGCCTGGTTACTGTATGAAGGCGAGTGGGGAGATTGGACTGGCTTTCAGGAAACATTCAGCGATGTGCCATCAGATGTACCAGGTTTTGAGAGTTGCTCCAGTGTCCTTAGTGTCCTGATTGCGTCATATCGCAAACAGCGCAGGGCATCCCTTTGCACAGGGTGTAGCTCAGCATTTACAAGGTCCATGCTTTGCGAACAGCCCAGAGGGGTGGTGTTGACCGTATCATACTGACGGACGGATGACTGACCCGATGACCCGACAAGCTTGACTTCCACCTTCGATCGGGCAGGTTTCCAAAGCGATGCGAGGGACTGTAGTGTGATACTCAGGTTTATGAGGAGCGATTCTGTCCAACATAGCAGAAACTGCAACTTTCGAGCTGCTGTCCATGCACTTTCATCCATAATCCTCACGATCGTCGAGGTCTGCACCCAGAATAATATACTCGGTAAACGATCGGTCGAAGCAGTCGCTGGGGCTAATATGAACATCAGTAGGAAGTTCGCGGTGGAGTTAAAGCAGTCGTACGCCACGGTTGTCTCTAGCCATATGATTGAATAGTATGATAATCAAGCTGCAGGCTGATGATCATTTATGTAACACCGTAGACGATAGAAAATTATGGAACATCGACTCACATGCCGTGAGCCACCGATATTCCCATATTTTGTACGCCGAAATGCTCTTTCCTATACATGACGTTATAAAACAATATAAAGCAATATAAAGTGATGTAGAGCAATATCTGAGTCTGAACTGAGCGTGAATTGGCGTGATTACATTGCTTTAGATTGCTATATATTACTTTGTATCGTAATTTACAGGAAAGAAGCATTGGGCTTGGAAAATACTACAAAATCTACTAATATCTGAGTCTCACCGGTTTACTGATCGGAGCAGTCGTCTAAGCTTCCATGAGTTTTTTTAAACATTGTTCGAAGTCTTCCCTCAGAAGCTGTAGGTAGGGTGCGGACGCCTGCTGAAGGAATTTCTGTATTCCAATGGCCACATATCTGGCATCAATATTGGCATCCCACTTTCTTGAGAGAATATACGAGGCTCATACTCCGATGAACCCTTTCAAATCATTGGTATTGAACTGAACGAAACAGCTGTATTGCGAATCTATCCAAAGCACGAGTAAATTGAAGTGCATGGATGAAATTACCGAGGCTTGAATAGAATTTGTGCACTCCGCTCGTTCGAGCTACAGACTACATTTTGGTTCTACACCCCTCGTCCATCAGATTTCAAGTTCAGTGTCACTATCGCTCATTGCCTAAGATCACTGAAGACGAAGAGGATATCTGTGCTTGTGGAAGAGCTGCGTCAAATATTCAACTGCAATTTTGAAGTGTCAATGTATTGGAACAGTACCAAGCACAGAGTTTGCAAGATCTAGTTAAGTGGTAAATGCCTCTGGTAATGATATCGAGTGGTCAATCATGGATATCCACTAATAACAGGAACCAACTTGATGGGTTTGGAATTGGTAGTCAGTACAAAACATACGGAAATGACATGAGATATTATGTTTCGGAAAATCTTGATAACCCGGACCAACTAAGTAGTTTCGCGTTCACGGGGACACACCATTGCCTACAGCGTGTGGCGGCCCGGGGTGCGATGGGCACAACTGTGGCAAACGTATGAAGACGAGCCACCCCTAATTTCGCGTGTTTTGCCGTGTCTGTAGAGCATGGAACATGTCAGACATCTGATCTGAGATAAAAACAAATCTTGTCACTGACGTTTGTTTACACGTGAGCCAGCAGGAGATGCAGACGCCAGGATGGTCGCTGCTGAAAATACACCAGCGTGAATAGCAATCCTGGGGGGGTTCTATGTATGTAGTTTGCTTTCGCTATGAAGAATAATGCGATCAGCGCCGATGACCTGTCAGCTCAGATGACTACGGTACCTCATCGAAAAGCGGTTCGTTTTGGTGGCACTTGCAGCAAGTGCGAATGGGAACAACAAAGTTACACATGATGCTGCAAAACAAAGGTTACACTGGCAGCCGTCCCAAAGGCGAAGAGTGCGCACCAATATAATGTATGATACAATCAAAAACAGGGTGAGTCTAGGAGTTGGGGGAAATGTAAAGCACTGAGAGATCGCCATAAGTGCAGGTGAGCTGAATATATATAAAAACGAACTGTGGAACAACCACCAAGTTTTTTGGTCCACAACGTTTTCTATTGGATGCTTTTGGAGTGCTCGCCACAATGGGCAAAAGTGAACAAAGGGAATTGGATCATGGCAGACGGTGGCCATTGCATACTAGTGGACCTTATAACGGGGCAGTGAAAGACCCAGGCACATATTCTTGTTGAGTTTGGACTACAGATAGGCGAACAGGAACATTCTGCAGAGGGAAAATTTTGCTGTAAGATGAGGCTGAGCGCATGCTGTGGAGCTCGTGGTTAGTGATCGGTTTTCAATCGACGGTTAGGCCTGTGAGCAGATCTCAGATAAATCTGACCTGGAGTTCTAGACGAGAAAGCAAATCACTGTAAAATGTGCTAACGAGGGAGAACCTTCCAAAAGATGCCTGAGTAGGATTCACTGTTCGGTCCATCAAACAATGGATGATGATCAGGCATCATTTGGATCCGGGTGTGCTGGCTATAAACGTTTTAACTGTGCGTTGTGCAGATATTGTACCCACTGCCCAGGCCATAATGAAGAAGGAAGTATGATTCGGGTAGGGGAGGCTATGCTCAGTGGACTCGACTGGCCAGACCCGCAGCCAAGAGACAGTCAATACAAGGGACATGCGTGACGTGTCTCAACTATGATACGAGAGAGAGAAGACTCCTACCCACTAAGCACCTGGCGAGGGTGTTCGGCAAGTTCTTCAGCGCCACGTGTATGCTGACTTAATTTTAAACTTCTGAAGGATAAGTACGCAACATTGCCAACAACCAAGAGAATCTTACTAGCACAGGTGCCGCTATCAGATTACATTGGCCTGGCTGCCTGATCAGTGCTTAAGCATCGTTGGTGATGTGGAACCTCGGTGAAGAGCTGGGTCCTAAATTTCCGCGGTGTGAATGCCGTGAGGTTGGTTGAATTCGAGCGCTGTTAAGGGAACCGGTTTGCAGGAACCGAGTAAGGTCGGCGTCTGAGTGATAACAGACGGTACCTACAACTCCCACCTCCTGCAAAGAGTAGTCCTACATATGACGGGACCCACACCTGAAGAGTGAGTTTTCTCCCATAATGTGCATTGACCCTTCATCGTATTTTGCAGCGATACCCCTAGTGACTTCACATCTCAGATTTCTAAGACGTTGAAGGTCGGAAGTTCGTGTAACTCTGGTTCCTTTGGCACAATTTATCGGCGTACCATCGAGTCCAGCGAAGGTACAATAGAGGTCTGTCTGACCAACTCGCCTGAGCTCGTCCATCTAATATTCATCAGGTCGCAGTGAAGGTGTTCAAGATTGATCCTGGAAGACCTATGGAGAGAATTGAAAAAGTCAGTCTTCTAACTGGCTCAATTCACACTTCCCTCAACATGGTCTATGTAGGGAATACGTCGAGAAATAAAGGTGTGGCTTAGACTGAACACCCGACTATCGTGCCGCTACTTGGCACCGCAAAGGTCGAGTCCCCATTTCCGGCTCTCGTTTCCCGATGGATGTCCTCTGGGACATTGTATATGTACCTCGAGCAAGGTATAGTTACCGCTCCCGCTAAAGTTGAATTGGTGGGTCCCTTGTGCACACCAATCACGTTCATTGATTTTATGCTACAAGGTCATGGGCGTTGCCGATGGCCTGAATTACCGTTCGTAAACTCCTATCATGTTGTTAATTTCGTTCTTGATGCCTATCCAGTTCATTCGGAGAACGTGGTTCACGGGGACCTTCATCCTGTATGTATGATCGTGTCTCTGACTCTCTGGATGTTGCATTCATTCATAAGCCTTAGGCGAATGTGCTCATCGATGGTTCAGGGAATCCACGTCTCACTGATTTTGGTCTCGCAACAGTCGTAGGGAACGTAGAGTTGCAGTTGAATTCGACGACTGCAGAACGCAGTTTTAACCATCGATGGCGTGCGCCTGAAGTCATTGGAATTGAGCGTGACCCGGAACGACCAACTTTCAAGAGTGACATCTATTCTTTCGGTGGTGTCATGTTCTTTGTGCGATCTTTTCCGTTTTTTTTTATAGCTCTATGTTAAGCTTTCGACTCAGATCATCTCGGGGGATGTGCCATGGAAAGAGAAGAAACATTCGCATCAAATCACGATTGAGCTATCGAAAGGAGCCATACACGCGCGTCCCAACAAAATCCTTAACGATCACTGGAACTTGATACAAAAATGCTGGTCTTGGGACCCTGTAGATCGTCCCGGGGCAGCGGAGGTTTATGGTAACATTGCACCGAAGAACGCCACCATTATTGAGAGTGGCGCCGGGAAAAGCTCCGTTAAGAAGAAGGTCAATCCTTCTTACGATACCAGCAAGTTTACTGCCATATCAAGGCTCATGAAATATCTGATGGACAAATTGACAGAAATGGTGGAGTTTATCAACGGCCCTGCATATGCACAAGGCAGTACACAATATACTGCGCTTATTTGGCCCTCTTCGTCTTTCAACATCCGCACCACGCATATACCTCAACAAGAGCTTGCAAGCGCCTCCGCCAAAAGACGACATGGAAGCTCTCTTCGTCCTGTTCCACTTGTTGGGACGCACGATCCTGCGTCACATGCGCCTGCTCTGGAGACTATCTACCCCACACCAATGCGCCCGGCACCTGGCCACTCAGTTAACGTTTCTCAAGATGGTTGGATCCCGCGAGCGGACCCACAAAGATCTTTTATTACAATCCCACTACCACACGAAACCATTCAGCCCATGGCCCCTAGCACGCGCTCCAACGAATTAGACAACCACCCACGGCACAATTCCTTGTATGACGCCAGGGACCCGAACTACGCTCTTGTGAGAACCCGTGATTATGCATACGCTCAACCTGCCCCAATTCATGTCCCAAGACCACGTTCTCCACCGATTGTATCGCGGTCATTGGCGCATATCCCTCAATACGAACTTGTAAACGTCCCCGCTAGAAGACAACATGGAAACGCTCTCCGTCGCGAGATGCCTTCTGCGCACACAAGGAGTGGAAGCCAGCCTGAACGACATACATCATCACGCAGTGGATATGGACGCGAGAGGGGTCGGAAGGAGGATTTAGTAGAACGTTGGCGTACAGACCCAGAAGTTTTCGCTACGGCAGCTCCTGGGACGGCTGTAAGAGATTTTGTGCAGCCTTTCACCAGCATCCAGTAGGGCACTAATTTCTGTTGGTCCAGCAACGCAAGCCACCTGGATCTTACCGTCCCAGGGAGTCAACCATGCGCGCCCCGCCTGCTGATTCACGTCTTTCAAGTCGCGTAGAGTCTCACACATCACAAGTCACCCCCCCAAAAGGGAGTCCACCACGGTCAAGAAATCCGCTCGACTATTTCAGGCAACGTTTCCAACGGCGATCACACTCACCCGACAGCATTCCAGATATAACTGTAGAACCACCCGTATGTGTTCCTACCTCTGCAATTCATCTTCCGTTCATCATTTTTACAGTCTGATGACTCTTCGAGCTCATCCGATAGCGTTCCAGATATAACAGTAGAACCACCCGTATGTATTCCCACCTCTCCACTGTATCTTTCGTTCATCATCTTTGCAGTCTGATGACTCTTCGACCTCATCTGAGTACACGCATCACTCCCACCTTGATGCCCCACGACCTCTACCCCTATCTCACGAAGAGCGCTCCCAGACATCCAAAAGACATCCACAAGACTCGCAAAGCCCCTATCGCTCAACCATGCCCGTGAAGCCTCAGTGGCCAGCAGGGTTCATTCCCATGCCAGGGGCACCTCTGCTCAGATCGATACCACTTTTCCCTGATCAGGATGGGTAGGTAGGAACGATGGACATTTGCGTTATCTTGTATTCGTAGTGTTCTGATCTTTGACCTGTTTGCTGGATCATGCAGTGATGTAAAAATCCGGTTCAGTCCGATTCAAGGAGGGTTGCTATTGAACTTCACGTTCGGTTCTTCTATAGGTGTGAACATTGGACCAGACCATGCATGAACCAAACCTTTGCGTTCGAACATATTTGACCATTGTGAATGGCATTCCTTACCGGAGCTATACATCGTAGCGCCGCTCACGCAGCAAATCCCCGATGTACTTCTACGTCATCGCAGAGTGATATGCATTATATACAAGCGATCCGCTTACCTTCAGACGTGTGGTGTGTATGATGTGAAACAGACCGGCGTCGACTACGTTGACCGTCTTTTGTGCAGAGGTGATTTCGCACAATGCAAAGCACCATGCAGAGCTGAACATGCCGTGTGAGCTTCGAAGATATGGCAAATCAAAGTGTGCGCGCCGCGGACCTTGATGAGGCTCAGCGCATGCTATTGAGCTCATGGTTAGCAAGAGGTTCGTAATCGATGGTATGATCATACGATACCATACAACAATTCAGATCAATCTGACCTGGAGTTCGGGACGAGAAGGAGAATCCCTGTAAAATGTGTTAATGAGGGAGAACCCTCCAAATGATGCCTTGACGAAGATCCATATATTCCATACGGTCACCCGTCCAGGCATCATTTAAATCTGGGTATGTTCACTGTTGGCCGTATATATTGAAAATTTTGACTGTGCAAATTATTTTACCCATTGCCCAGGCCATAATCAAGAAGGTTAACGGCTGTCTTCCTTCTAAATGGCCTGGCTCTGAGGGGAAACTCTGCCGAGTATTACTAGTCTTTAGACCTGCTGCGGTAAGCCCGTCAGTGGCTTACCTGAGTTCCCATTAATCAGCATAAATACTGTTCGAGATAATGAAGCGTGAGCTTTCATTATCAGTTAAGGGACCTGCCCACATACTAGAAGACCCCGAAACCTTGTTTGGCCTCTGACACCCTGCGCTATAGTTGAACCCCTGCCTGCTGCTCACACCTTTCTCCAGCAGGGGCATCCTGCTATACCAGGCTGACTGCCTGGCACTCGGGGGAAAATGACCGTCAGACCTGTTGGAAAAAACATGATCCAACCAGTGGAAATTCCCGATTCCCATCATGACGAACTTGATTAAATTGAATTCGTAAGTACTTTAGTCCGACAACGCCCACTGCCGTGGCATTTGCTTCTTCGTCCTTCTCCACCAAGTACTCTGTATCTCGCTGTTGCGGGCAACTTACCCGGTGCTGCTTCATTTGTGTACAGGTGAGTAAAGTCTAGTCTGAATGAGCATGTAGATGAAACATCTTCAAGTTCGGGTTTAGTGTGACGCTAGCCATGCTCTCCCGAGTATTTGCAGTCCTTGCTGTCTTATTGGCACGTATTCAAATGCATGCAATGATATCGAGTCTTACTTTCTACAGGCTACGTTCATCTATCGTAGTGGTCGTGTTACCAAACATGGCATTCTCACTCTTCCTGCACTGCCTCCATCGTACTATGTCAACGGCGATGTTGAGACGCACTGTTCGCTTATTCGAGAGCCATCCCATGCCCTTAATTACTGCGAAGACATGACTTTCTGGGACCACCTGGATGCAAATGGCACTATAGCTACCCGTTTTATTATTGCGGGGTGCGATCCCAACCGCAAGGCATGGAATACTGTCATGGGTCCCCTGCGCAATCCCGAACCCAGGGGCTACCTTTGGCTGATCGATACAATGGACGATAGTCTTCAGCGCATTGAGTTGAATGGATACCCGGAAGGACACGACTTCCACCCGCTTGGGATGGAGATCACGCCCTCTCAAGACGGAGCCCCGTCCATACTCTATATAGTCAATCACGCACGGGAGAAGACGACGATAGAACACTTTGTTATTTCCCCAGATATTCCGACACAGGCACTCTGGCAACGCACACTTTCATCACCTTGGTTTGTGTCTCCTAATGCCTTGGCCATCACGAACGAGACGTCATTCTACGTCAGCAATGACCATCTCATGACTCGTCGACTTCCTTTCCCTCTCGCACCCATCCTGCCGTTAGTTGAGAGTATTGCCGGACTGCCTTTAAGCTGGCTTGCACATGTCACAGTTAATTCTGATGGCACAGTCACGCATGAGCTAGCCGCCCTCGGCGTGCCTTTCGCCAATGGCGTTGCTATCTCCCCAGACGGCACGACCCTCGCGCTATCTTCCACCACTGTTGGTCACATCTACTTCTACGACCGCAACACGACAACAAATGCACTCAAGTACCGGGAGACCGTCAACGTCCCCTTCTTCAGCGACAACATTATGTTCGACGAGCACGGCACACTTATCGTCACAGGGCACCCACACTTCCCGTCTCTCACTGCGGTCGCTTCCAATAAAACAGATGCCCGAGCACCAAGCTGGTCTGTCTCGCTCACCCCCCTTTCAAAAAACACGCATTTTGCGGAGAGTGCACATGCGGTGGATAGGAAATTTGATTTACGTGCACCGTTGTCGGCGTCAGAAGTTGTTCCCGCTAGTGAAGGTTGGGAGCTGGAAACACTGTTCCAGAGTGACGGGAGTGTATTTGGAACGTCTTGCACATCCCTCAGGGATTTTAGAACCGGCGCACTGTACATGGTGGGTCTATATGAGGAGGGGTTGATGGTTTGTAGGCCTTAGTTGGTGGGCAGTTCTCTTCGTCGTTTGAAGGTGCGCTACTAGATATCGGTCTCTGCAATTCTGATGTATTACTACTACACTTGTAGAGGCCCAAGAATGTGTCCAAAAAAAAATACTAAAAATGCAATGAGGTAAAGAGGCAAGAGTACAAGAAATCGATGCATGGTGAGGAAAGAAACGTCACTCGCGAACAACACTGAATCCCGGGAACCATCATCGCACACCTTACTCATACCCTCCCCAGGGGAATAATACTGGCACAGTTCTAATGAAGAAACCTTGTCAGCACCAGTTGAGAAACAAACAAGAAAATCGGATATTTGGAATGCATGTGACAGCGTGCAGAGAAGCACTACAATCATTTGAATTTCATACTGGCATAGAAGAGCGGCACGTCCGACGGAGGTGAAATAATGAGAACCGTCGGTCTTGAAATGAAAGAAATACCGACGGCGAAGAAAAGATGCACACCCAACGGACACTGAACACGACCACCTGCACACTATGGGCGCTCAGTAATAGTAGAACCGATGGATCACTTGGTGGATTTATTCAAGTTACCGCAAGTGCTTGCAGAGCGGTCTACGCTGCACATGCAGAACAGCATCCACTTCAGCACTTGCGCAAATGGTTTCTCGGCTCGTATGCCAAATCCAAGCCAGCAGTATGCTAGTCGATGCATCCACCGATCCGGACACTTCCCTAGGTCAAACACGAAGACCAACGGGAGGTGCTTCGAAAGAGCCAACGCCAACGGGACCGGCAGCCACATGTCCCACCGCCAACGGGAAGAACAAGAAAATACGACGATCATCGCTGTAATAGAAGATACAACGATCATTGCTGTAGTGGGCTTTGAGCCTTTGACCACACGGGTTCTCCAACGCCAACGGATGAGAGCATATCATCCGACTCCAACGGTATGCTCCCCGTTGCCAACGGGACATCCACAGGCAACAACCCTCCACTCTTTCGCCAACAATATAAAAGGCAGACATGTATCCTCGAAAACTCACCTCTTATAGTCCTGCCATTTCTTGTCGTTGCCAAACTTCTTTTCGGCGGCGTGCTCGAGAGGAGGAACGCCTGACGCCTGCAAAGCAAATTTAGATTGGCGGTTATGATGTGGACAATTATGGCGGTATTCTCAACTCACGTATCGAACCAGAACATAGGTCAGAAGAGGACTCGCGGCGGTCGCAACTGCTGCAGGAAGTGGTAAAGCGCCAGAGAATGCAGCAAGACCGAACATTCCAGTCCAGATACCGAGTTCGCCCACATAGCTATATGCGACATATGAGCCCTAATTCTCAGCACAAAAATCTCGGATGACTTACTTGGGATGACGACTCAAACCCCACAGTCCTCTGGAAATGAAAGGCTCTTCATGTTGCTTTTCCTCTTTCTCTCGGCGCCATGTGGATTTCTGCCTGTCTGCTACAACTTCAAGGGCAAAGGAACCTGCGATTAAAGCGAGAGAAATAAAATCGGAGGCACGCAAAGGAGGGTGAGCTGATGCCGGAATTACGTTTGACTGTTGTACATGGGTTAAAAAGGCACAATCTGAAGGAAAGGACATCTTTACAATATAAACGGGCAATCCAACAACAAAAATCCAGGTCGCTTGCGCCATCCATGCACCGGTAAACTTGATTTTGTCCTTCTTCATTTCATCGAAACGTGAATCGCCACCAGCTTTGATTGCTCTCTGGGCCAGGAAGCTCCCGAGCCTCACTGACCACACGACAAGGGCAGCAGTGAGCAGGGCCTGCCTCGGAGCTAAGCTTGGAAGCTGAAGAAATGCGGAAGGTGAAATCTTGCCGCGCGAGCGAATGTATGGATAATAAATGGACACAAGAGTGGTTGACAAGAAACCGGCAGCTCCAGAAAGATCGTAAAACCTGTCTTCAGCTTTAGGAACGAAGATGCAGGCCAAGCCTGCTTGCAGCGCATAAGCGCTCGCAGCGACGGGTACAAGGGGTGAAGATAGCATTATGAAGGTGAATTGGTTGATAAAGAAGAGATTTAAGGAGACCTTCCAAGGAGACCTGATAACTGAGCCAAGTTGGTGACGTCAATGATTTACTTTAACCAAACCCTAACCATATTAGCAGCGGCGCCAAACTGGATCACGGGATGACATCACTTCCATTCGTAGAAGGAAGTGTTTGTGCGAAGTCTTAATCGCAACCACGATGCCGCTCACAACCAACGCTCATCCAGAGTCACAAGCCAAAACCGGGCCTCATTCTTCCATCTATCACCCTCCACCCGAAGATCACACCCACCACCAAGATCACCCCTCTGACAAGAAGTCCATTCCCGACACTGGCTGGCGCGGTTCTCCTCCCATCCCCTCATCTAACGGCGGTGACTCTGAGAAAGATTGGATGTCAAAGCCGCCATACAACTGGACGCCGGCGCGTGGTCAAGATGGCGAGGAGCTCTTCAAGACAAAATACGAGTCATCCTGCTGGTGTGGTGCAGTGCGTTTTGCTTTTTCGGGCGACCCACTCGATGCGAAGCATTGTCACTGCAGACAGTGCCAGCGGCTCCACGGCGCACCCTTTCAGTGGGCGGTCATCTTCCCAAAGACAAGCGTTCGTCTTCTGCAGAATAACAGCGATGCTCTCCACTGCTTTTCCACCACAACGAAACACGCCGCACATCATGTCCCGTGCAAAGTCTCCTGTAACATCTGTCGGGCGCCACTATTTGATGAGGGGAAGCGCACGGTGCTTGCATACCCAAGTGGCTTCAAATTTCCCCCTATCAAGGCACGCTTGAATGCTTCCGACGCGAAGGACGGCGAGATAGCGGAGACAGGGGAAGGGCACCACGATCCGCAGCACGAAGATATCCATCCTCCAGGTCACTACGGTGGAGTCCCTCTTGAGTTTCAACCCAGTTGCCATATTTTTTATGGTGAACGTGTCATGGAAGTGTGTGACGGAATGTAAGAATACATCTCCCTGGCCACCCCTTGTTCTGACATATCAGTAACAGTCCAAAATGGAGAGGTCATAAGAATGACAGCGAGCTCATGCAGGAAATGAGTGATGTCGTGGGTGTTATGCCTAGATACAAAAGACATAATGAGGAGCCACAACCATGATGCCGCAAGGGTAGTGATTTGATGTACACAATACCTTAGAGTGTGGACCCCGATGATTCACCTTGTGTTTGCGAGAAGTAGTGCATCAAAATATCTACAGATTTGACATCAGCGTACAATCAGGATTCGGAACTCGGGATACAAAGAAAAATGATGATTTTCTAGCCGTCGAACACGCCCTTATGTATTGACAGTATCATTCCCCAGAATAGCAAAAACCACCCGGTTGAAAGACCGCGCGAAGCGCACCATTTCCCTGACGAGCATTTCCGCCCGTATTCTTGCGACGCTCTCAACGCTGTTGCGAAATGCGCCGGTTCCAAAGCTTCCTAGAACAATATTCTTCGACCCTAGCTGTTCAAACAAGAACAGAATGCGGGTCATTCTCTCCTTCACGACCTCGAGAATCCTGTTCTCAAGCGCTCCTCCATCGAACGGTGATACCCACTCCTCAGCGTCATTGCGTAATACGACGGCCGATGGTGTAAATGGTATTGCATGATGATAGAACTTATACTGATCATCTTGATGATGCAGAGAGTAGAGCGCTTTCGCCTTTTCTGAAGTGAGGCATGGATGAAGAGTGGAGGAACGCACGATAGACTCTTCTTGGTCTGGCGCCCCAGATAAGACGCCCATATGCTTTCACTGGATTGGCGAAATTCAAAATAACGATCCTCCCGAAGCTTCGAGAGTGGGATGATAGGGCGTCTATGAGTATGCGAGCACCTTCCAGCGTCGACATCTCAAGAACAGAAACCTCCGTTCTCACTGCCAGTGACCCTTGTGGAGGCATGTACGCCACCCAAGGGGTGAGTTGGGACTGGGGATAATACGCGGTCACTTGCGTGGAGAACCGCACTTTCGCAGCCAGATCGTGTGAAATGTCTGCGAAAGTGATGGTTCCTGTGTTGATTGCCTGCAGAGTTGCACCTAGTATTTCCCTGCGCTTTTGTGCGCCTCGGGCGCTCTTGTTCAAGTACAATGCAATCGCAGCTGACTCCATGGTGGTTAATGATGTCGAAAGGTGTGCTATCGCTAGCAGGAAAAACTATGTGTTTTCGTAACTTCAATCCTATCATAGGACACTCACAGTTATGTAATCTTGTTGCAGGATGCCACCTAAGAGGACAACGCTCGAGCGCTTCGTTCTGGGGATCGGAAGAACCCGATTACGATAATCTCGAAACAGCCTACGAGACTTTAAGTTCAAGTACACTGTCATACGCGGCGTCTGGGTATTTTTAAGTGCCTTTCAGGGTTGTTTCAGGGCTCCTGTTATCTTTGTGATCGTGTGATGCGGCAAGTAGGTCTCCGCGCTGTAGGAGCAACTTGGTATACCAGTCCAGAATTGATATTTCGAGTATCCGCGGATACTCCATAGTATTATTCTGGACGCTGGCAGTGGGCACTGGCGCCCAGAGTTGAATTTCCGTGGCATTTGAAGATAGAACCCAGCCTAGGCTGGATCTTTGGAGTACTTATCGGTCATTAGACATGAAACATGATGCAAACTTGAATTCTAGGACCTGCTTGATGCTATGCCGTCGCGGCAAGGAGAGAGGGAAACCAATACCAAATAGACGCACACATTGGAATAAAGTTGGTTTTATTCGCACGGGACGACATAACCCCAACGCCAGAGAGGATTACAACCACCCCAGGATATTCAAAAAAAAATAACCAGGCGAAACTTTGCTATTCTTTATTCCTATCTATCCCTGTATCACAATACCCGGAGCGTGTGCATGGACAATCCACAGCACTACCAGCCGCTCTCCCATGCACTCCATCCCCCCGTAGTACCCACATACGAGGAGGAGGAAGAGGAGGAGGAGAATGAAGACGAGGGCGCCGTTGAAGAGCAGCTTGATCGCGAAGACGACGAGCACGAGGTAGTCGCTGGGTGCGTAATTACTGTGCAGTGTCTATGATTGCACGCGTCTGATTGTAAGTACTCGTAAATACACATATTCTATGTGCTTGCCATGAACAGATCTGCACAACAAGCAAGCGCAACTGCTGCTGGAAAGCAGGGTGTTGGTATGACACAACCTGACCCGCCACAAGACGCAGAACGGAAAAGACGCCCTGGTCGTCCACGTGGATCGAAAAACAGACGAACACGGGCATCAGTTACCGACTTGAAGGAGCCAGCTAATGCTGCCTCCAAAACATCTCCACCACAACACGGGTTCTACCAATATACAGCTTCCCCAGCTCCAGGAGAGATAATACAACCCCACAATCAGCAATACTATGAGTTTCAGTGGCGCGTGCTAAACTTGTGCGCAGAGTTCTATGGAGCAGCTGAAGAGCTTGTTGTAAGCGTCCGCTGCGTGATTTCGAGGTGTTGAAATAACTTCGCCCAGAAAGCTACTCCTTCCCTCGTTATTGCGCAATGTTACCAAATGGGCCCTGCCGTGAAAGTAGACCCCCTGGCCATGCTAGGCGAAGCGAAAAGAATATGCGATACCCTTGTGAGTCACGTAATTTTGGTGGTAACGTCTGAGTCATACTTATTTCTCAAAGTTGGCATCTCCCTCTCGATTAACCACACACCCTCCACCTCCACCGTACTTCGTACCTGCTTATCAAGCTCCCATTGCACCACCGCAACCTCAACCTCAACCCGGGCCATCCACATCCACTACAAATGGCAAATCTCCCGCCACTACAGGGCCAGTAATTTCAGATCCGCAATCATTTGTCGTTTCTCTGGGTCATCAACAAGCATACCCATATGCTCCTGCATACCCAACTGCACCATACTATGGCTATGGTGGATACGGGGGTTACTATCCTCCTGTGCCTGCGCCTGGGCCAAGTACAGCACCCACGACAGGCTCTGCGAGCGGAAGCACAGGAGGTGCTGCGGGAAGCGGTGGAAATCAGGGTGCCTGGTCCGAAGAAGAGACGGAAAGGCTAAAGAAGCTCGCCGAGGAGCACCGCAATGGTAACGGCGAGATTGTATGGGATACCCTATGCGAGAAGTGGGGCAACTCTCGAACGAGGCGGGTGTCTTTCTATCTGCATATTAGTTGTTTCAGGGGGCTAATCGTTTTCGGCCTGATAGACATCAAATATTGATAAAAGCAACCTCGCTGGGTTTGAAAGAGTCCTCATCACGAGGAATGAAACGAAAACGGGAGACGGATGGACAACTTGAGCGCCCTCCGCCTGCAGCTCCCACTCCGACAAGTACAGATGCTCCCCATCATCAGACTCCAGCACCGAATCCGGTTCCTACACCTGTTCCGCAATCCGCACAGGGAGCGTCCGCCTCGCCAACACCCTCAACACCAGCACCAGGGTCCACTCACCCTTCTCCAGCCATTCGACATGCGCAAACGCAGCAGCAACAACAGCAAGTACATCAACAGCCGCCACGATCCCTCCCATATCCTATGCCTACTGTTGCCGCTGCAACATCGCCTGTTATATCCACAAACCCGATGGATCGGCCGGGAAGCGGAAGTTACTACCGCACACGACCAGCACCTGGGATGAAACCTGCATCTTCGGGATCGACGCACCAGTTCATGTATCAGCCGAATGGAGGGCGCAGAGAGGGTTGATTGGCATATTTTTTTTATCGATTTATCGCGTGGCCTGAGGTCCCTTGCTCGATAATTTGCTACCTTACTTTTTTGATACCGATACAGCTGTGCAGTGCAGTTACTAGTTTTCTACGTGTAGATATCGCGTATATGGTCGGTCGTGTTGTGCTTTTTGCAGGTTCTGTGTTCACCTGTCCAGAATTTATGGTAAAATCATTTTGTTACGACCGCGCGGAACCGCGGACCTGGTAAGTAATAATACAGTAGTACTTGTCACGAAAAGTATAGGAGGTATGTATGTTCGTAATCGGGAAACAACTGACATAGTATCGCTCTCCGTCTGCTTCAGACAGTCTCGGCATACTTATACTATAAGCTAGAAAGTGGAACAACGTTTTGGTTGTGCTCATTTTTAACCTTGCCTGAATACAAAACGTCGAGATCCCAAGAGATCCTCCAGAGATACATATGGTGTTCGAGGGGTTTCGCATGGCCAAGCACCTAGGTGCTGGGAAGCTAGAACGCAATTTTGATCATGCCCTTTCCACTGCACAATGATACTTACTAGAGAGGAAGTAACTCTCCGAGCGAGAGCACATAACGGAGCGCCTGCAAGATGGCAATGATTCAGAGGGGAATTACGCTTCCGAGACTTGACAACCATGATGCGTGAGCGTCATGAGATATAGTGAAACTTTGTGGATTAGCAAGCCATCAAAAACCATGGAAATCAGGATGGATCGCCGCGTTCATGTAGATAGACGCAAATGTAAGGTACTCTGGAAATATGTTACAGATTACCGGGAATGATAAGGTACTACGGCCCAGAACGACAGATTACCGGACATGATTATGTAAGGTATCCAGAACGGGGGTGTACTGTCACCGTGTACAGCAAGGTATGGAATAAACTCGCGGAAATAACAAAGAAGTATGCGCACGAAGAACTCAAAGGAGCAGGGACATGTTAGTAGGATCCGATGTAACTGAATGTACCTTTAGGTAATGCAATTTAAGCGTATGTTTGCGGGAGAAAGAAGCGCCACACTGGCCGCAGACATATTTCACTTGCAAGTGAAGTTCCTCGACGTGTCGAACGACGCTCTCCCGTTTCATGGGAATTCTCGTGCAGCCATCCCATGCGCAAGGAATGACTAAATCGCCACGCCCCTTCACTCCGTGCGTACGCAAGTGTGTAGAAAGTGCTGCCACGTTGATGTATGTGTTGCACGTCATACCCCCGCCGATGTGCCACAGACAGAAGGTGTGATCGGAGCTTGCGTGTGTGGCGGGGTCATTGTAAACCTATGGAACGTCACATCATCGTCAGGCACAGAAAGCATGATGATCAGCGAAGACTGACGGTGGGGAGGAGAAACGCGTCCTCTTGCGATGATAAAGAATAACCTGGCGTCGTCATTGTTAACTGAGAATATGATCAATTGGCTGCTGACAGTAATGAGAGGATTTGGAGATGAGAGGACTTTGTCAGAAGACTATATACTTGCTGCCACAAGGCCGAACCTTATTCGGTAGGTTAAAGAGCCCACCTGTAACGAGGGCATGCAAGCCAATTCGTCCAAATCGGTAAGCATATCTGAAATATTTGGCCGGTCTGTCCATCATACGAAGACGTATTCGTCCGACGGATTGTTTCCGCCGTCGAGGGTTGGCCTGCGGATATTAATTGAATGAAAACACCCGCCATCATGAAATCAGTGAGTGAAATACTTAGATAGAGGTTGAAGCTTTACGGAACGGAGTACTGTGCTGTTTTGGAGGAAATGAAGACAGCAAATTTTGCGCACATCCCTTTTCCGCAGGTGAAGCCGACGAGTTGCGGCTGGGAAAGTGAGCCGGGAAGAAATATCTCGGAACTCAGTGCCAGAATGCACTGATTGGAAGCATTGTAGACATAGAGCCCGTGGATGAGTCGGCGACTAGTTGATGGTTTCCCAGCACAGCTCAAATCGAAGGACTCGCTGATAGCGAATGGAACGTTGCACCCATTTAGAAATTCTGTCACTCGCTAATGCAACCACCTGAGCGGCGACTGGGCATGTGCGAGCGGGATGACGCTACCTGCACGGTGATCTCAATATGACCAAGTTGGAGAAGTAAGAGATTTTGTGGCGCCGTTGCAAGCGTGTTTGAAGTGTGTCATAAATTCCTGTACTGATATGTCTTGGAATTCCTCCGAAGAAAACGTCGTCCCGCAATAATCAATGGAGGTTCGTCAACAATCGTTTTATCCGGAAAAGTAGATGGTGGCAGGTTCACTGACAAAAAACTACGGTGTTTGCTGTGGAGGCCGGTATGGGCATTGAATCGGTGGGAACATGCCAGTCAGATGACTGACGATGATTGCCATCGCACCACGCCTCAGGCTATTTATGTGTTCAAATCTGCATCCATCGCTCAGAAACCGCCGTCCAGGGGTTCGTCATTGAATTGGAATAAAAGTAGGGATATGTGAATTGCACGATAACCTCCAATTCCGAGCAGAACATGCAGGGGACTTAGACGGATGGCTGTGTAAGCATATCTACCATTTTGTGAACACGATGCACCCCTGTCAGTCCAGGAAAGGACAGTTGGCAGGTATCCTGTATGGTAGTGACAGGAAGCCATCAACCAAGACCCTGTACGGAAAATATTAGAGGCAAAGTTTGACGTGTAAGGTTTGAATACCTTCGGGCTTTTCGATGGCATCCGGGAACGGGAACGGTGTGCGACCAGTGTTGCTTGCTGGTTCTGTGGTTCTCTGAATGTAGATTCGGGGTTATGACTCGAGTCTAGAATTGTGATCAATGGGAGTCACAAGGTTCAACCAAATAAAGTACTCCACCATGCTGAGTCAGCTTGTCGTCTCTTGTCGGGAGCGCTCACCTTGCTCCGTTTTTGATTCAAACAGGGCCACTGCACTTCATTTGCCGCCTCTTACTTCTGAACCACTACCATCATCATCGTCATCACCACCATCATCATCATCATCATCATCATCATCATCATCATCATCACCACCAGTATCTTGTGCCAACAACTTCATACAAATAATAATTCTTTGGATTGACAACAGGAGGTGATAATGTTCTCAAGCCCGACGTCGAGCCGTACGCTCGCAACCACCACTCTCAAGGGCGCTGGCCTCATCGACAGTGACACTCGCATGCGAGATGCCACAGCAGACAAGCCAGGTGGCCGCAAGGGCGCATCAAAGATTCGCTCACACCGCACTCATCAGATGGATGTCTACAAGTACAAGGGACCTCAAGGCCCCAATCGAGCTAGCATGGTAAATATGAGACCTTCCCATTTCTTAGCTTAGTCGATCTTCCTTTGAATGTTTTTCATGTTCATGACTTGGGATTTTTGTACGTCGCTGTATCTATCGCCGTCGTATATCACCCCCTCGTCGTGTCTGTCTATCTATACCCCGCTCTTCGTCTCCCCTTTTTGTGTAAACCCTCGCTTACAAAATGTCTGGCACCCACCGCCGCTCGCACATGGACAGCTCGCCGCACGGACGCCAGCAGGCGGCACATCGGATGTTCTCACGATCCGCGGCGCATCGACGGTGGGGCGGCTTCGCAGGAACGCCGTTACGGCGGCAATTACAGGTGTAGTGCCTGGCAAGGAGCACGCACCGAAAGCAGTAGAAGTATGGAGAGAATTTGTGAACAGACGTTGGAATCCCGAAGCGAGGTTCTTGAATCTGGAGGTGAGTAGACGCCTGTTCAGGTTGTGAATTTTGGCTGATGCCATGGTCAGAGGATGATGGATGATCCAGAGATTCAGAAACACAAGTTGCTGCCCCCAGGCGCCCCTGGTTCATCAGTAAAGGAAGCCTCAGTATTGTTCAAGTTAGCTTCGCACCTGAAACCTGCAGTAAGTTGAACCTTTGTTTACTGACGCTCTGGAGTTTCATGCTTTGACTGACAGGTCCAAACGCTGTCTCTCGCAAACAACAACATCAGCACTGGTCAGCTCATTTCAACAATAGCGCACTATCTCCCTACGCTCGCCAATCTATCACTACAAAACAACAATCTCAAGGTTTGGCGAGACATTGATTTCATCTCTGGGCGAAAAGGGAAGCTCGAGCACCTACGAGAACTCATACTTCTCGGCAATCCCTTGAGAGAGATGGAGATTCAGCATGGAAGGGGAGATAAGTACAAGAGGTACGTTGGTGAGAGATCATCAGGGTCGCCTAATTAACGATTTTCAGTGACATGGCACGGCGTTTCACGTCATTGATAATGCTGGATCAGGAGGCCATTGCTACGATAGCATTCGACGCCCCTGGGCCATCGTCTACTCCTGTGACAGAGAAACGAGCTACCGCAACGACATTTCCATACGAGATGCGGCCGCCATTTATTACGGGCGTTGAAGACTCGGTCGTCAGCAATTTCCTTGTTCGGTGCGTCATCTTATCTCGTGATATTGTTTGATACTTATAAAATGCCATCGTCAGGTTCTTCCCACTATTTGATGATCAACGAGCTGCTCTTCTCGATGCATATCACCCTTCCGCAACATTCTCGTTCTCATGTAATACAACCATTCCGTCCCGCGCACGTATACAGGGCCTTCACGTATCTAAAGACATGCCTCATCAGCGCAAGCTTGATTGGGCAGTCTGGCTCGAAAATGGCTCCCGAAATCTTAATCGCATGGGAGGTGGCGTTGACAAAATCGTCAAAAGTCTGCACCTAGGTAGCGAAGCGGCGATTCGAGCAATGTCGGCACTACCAAAAACGAAACATGATGTATCTGGTTCACCAGAGAAGTTCTGCATCGATGCATGGCCTGTTGGTCAGGGCGAGAACTTAAAACTGTTCATTTCCCTACATGGGCAATTCGTAGAAGGTGTGTATGCGCGATTCTCGCGGACATTTTTTTTTTTTGGCTGCCCTGGTCATCCCTATACTCCTGGGTGCTCCATTGCCTTGGTTGCAAAGCAATGAGCTTCGGGGCTTCGAATTCTCTCTTCCGCAGTCCCACGTCATTGTGTCACCACTGACTTGTTTCCTTTCTGGCAGAACCTTCGCAGGGTATTCGGTCATTCGACAGAGCGTTTGTTCTAGCGCCAGCGCCAGCAGGTTCTCGGTAAGCCGCCTTTTCATCGTGCGCGCTCGGGATTTGCCACTGACACAATGGATCACCGGACAGGGCCAAGTTAAATGGCTGGGACGTTATGATACTCTCGGACCAATGGTCGATACGAGCATTCTCAATACATGATGCATGGCATCCAGGACCAATGCGTGTGCAAGCTGGGGAGGCTTTACGGACTCAGCAACCGACTGGGTCGACGCCATCGTCATCTTCATTGATTCCCGCTCATGCGCGGGCACAGCTAGAACAAGCAATATCGACATTCGTGAGTATTCGCTTATCTGCTTGTCCAATATTTTTTGACTTACGTCTTCATCTCCGTGTTCGCGTTTGCTTAGTCTGAGCCAGAGCGTAACCTTATCCTGCAGATTTGCGAGCGAACGGGTCTAAATGCAAAGTATGCGGTAGATTGCCTGCAGAATAACGCTTGGAATTGGGATCGTGCCATCGCCAACTTTGAGCAAGTCAAGGTACGCGACGTGTGCAGTGCACTAGTGCGTTTACTTACCGATGTCTGTCCAGGGGGCGCTGTCACGAGATGCGTTTCTGTGATTTTTGGGAGCATGAATCCTAATATGGCGAACTCCGGTTTCGCAATCGATTCACACATATTATTAGAAGGTTCGATTACGAGGAGTTCGCTGACGGATTTGAGATCCGTGAGCAGTTTATATACATTTGGCAAGCTGAAAGTACTTCATGCATCATCGTACCAGTTCAATGTAACTTTTCATATCATATTACTATCATATAACGACGTATTTCGGTCAATGGACTCAAAATATTTTTGCGTTACTCGGGAGGGCGCCATGTTTTTGGAAGTGCTACTAGTGCTAGTGCTAATTTCCCAGCGAATTAACCGCCCTGCATGTCAGACGACGGGTTGGGTGATTTTAAGTTTTTGTCGTCGCGACTGCTACCCTGAGCGAATTGGTTTACCTACTAGAAAGTTGAATGTATTGAAGACTTTAGTAAATAAGAGTCCTCGATCGATCTAAGGTGAGGCCGACAATAAGAAGCAAACAAAGGCGGGATGGGAGGCGCATTGTTTGTTTTTCCCATTTGTCTTATTTTATTTTACGTTATGGCCTCGAGGCAAATCGGCCAGCCGGCTCGAGAGCGTCTGGTAAGAAGAATGAGCATCAGAAGATCAATGAGAAGAACTACTTCAATCGCCTCGTGCCCCATTTGACCCCCATTATATCTGTACGTATACAAAACTCAATCCCATCCTTCAACTCCACAAAACTACCCCCCACTGTTTCTTTAACCCGACTCATCCGCCCTCAACGACAAGACTCGTCATCTCTCACACTCGCTGCCCTATTTACGATTGACGACTAGCTATGAGTCGTGTACAACGCTCTTTTGAAAACTTTGCTTTGCTACAGGCTGCCTCAGAGGGTTCTGCCGCCGCAGTGCGCGATGCACTCCAATCTGGCGCTGACATTAACGCATCTGATAACTCTGGCAGAACTATTTTGACATGCGCCCTCACCGCCGATAGGTCAGTCATCCTCTAACGCGTCGTCAAAATTCTCTGGTGCTCACTTTGTGTGGTCAGGTGGGAGACGATAGACGCGTCCGACGCGTCGTTTATGTCCGAGGACCGCCTTCAAGTCCTTCGCATTGCTGTGTCGCATCCAGAAATCTCATTATTCACGCTGAACGCACCACAAGATTCGATAAACGATGTAACTCCCCTTGGCATGGCCGCTTGGCTTGATATGCCCCAAGCAGTCCAGGTTCTGCTAGACTGTAGCTCAGGTGCCATCTCCGTTGACGCCGAGGACACCGATGGTGCGACACCTCTGATGTGTAAGTCCGACAATCTGCATCAATCTAAAATTTCAATTCAATTGACTGCGCTCCGACAGACGCAGCACGCGATGGCAGGCTGACAGTGGTCCAGCGTCTGGTACGTCATTTTTTAGCTCCCGCGGAGTTCAGATCTCTCTCATCATTATCCGGTAGCTTGCTCGTAGCGCTAGGCCCGATCTCAGAGACCGAAATCATCGATCATCGCTTCAGTTTGCTTTACCCCATCCGCGCGTTTTGTGGACATGCGAACAGGCACTGCGCAACTACCGTCTGCGAGAATACCAGGTAACTGATTGGAAGCGTGCAGAGTATGGACATAGGTACTGATTCGTTGTGATAGAACGGCAACAAAAGAGGTCTTTGCCAACCCAGCCTCGATATTAGCCACCTATTCCCGCAAACCTCCACTCAGCCCAACTTGGCGCCAAGCATCCCCCCAGCCTCGACTTTTTCATCTGAATCTATCTCCTTCGTAACTGACTCTGTTGTACAAGCTGTACTCGCTGCCGATCCTTCTGTGCTTTATCCCCTGTTGTTTTCACAATCCTTTGAACCTTCCCCTTTGGACCATGGACCTATTCTTGTAAATGTACCCGATCTGGAAGGATGGAGCGCTATCCACTACTGCGTATCTGTACCAAACCCCTCTGTCGAGATCCTCGACGCACTGTATCGCGCTGGCGCCGACGTCAGCTTGTTTACTATCGGCGAGCACTACACCCCTCTCCACTGCTTTGCACGGCTCGCACGCGTCTGTGATGACATCCCAGAATCTCCCCAGTTGTTGTATCAATTCGCTATCCATCTGATCCGTGATCTCCGTGCTCCCCTTGCGGCACCTGACAAACATGACGAAACTTGTATCCATGTGGCCGCAGAACACGGCGAATGCCTTGATGTACTCCTCGCTCTTCTTGACTGTGATACCACAGGTACTGTTCGCAATCTACGCAATTCCCGAGGGTGAGTTCATTTGTGTTTCATGTTCCTCCATCAGGATCATAACAAATTCGACCACAGCCTTACAGCCTTCGAAGTCGCACGCCCGATCTTCCGTTCCGCATTTGGTCCCGACGGACAATTCATCCGTCCGGAGTCGTCTCTCTCTGATCGCACCATTCGACCGGGAACTTCGAGTTCTATTACATCTATCACCTCTTTCACAGACCGCACTACCCCGCTTTCCCCGCCCACGATCCGCATTTCCAATGGCCCAGCCTCGCATCTTCCTCTTGATTTCGACGTGACTGCATCCGCGGAACGTCTGCTTGAAAACTTTACCCTTCTCTCCACTGAGGCACAGTTTGTCCGCGACCACGAGGGCCTGGATCGCCTTGCCAGCGTGGTGGATGAGTCCTCGCAGCTCGGGTATGACGTGCTTGCCCACTTCAGAGGGCAGGTGGACGATGCTGCGAGTGACCTGCGCGACCTGCGTTCAGCTCTCAATGCTGTCGATCATTTGTGGAACACAACTTCGCATGACGTAGATGAGCAACTCCGTGTAATTCCCGACGGACGGAGCTTCGAGCGCTTCCTGGCACGTAGACGCTCGCCCAGGGACTCTGAGGACTCGCAAACCACTGCAGTAGAAGTTCAACCAACGTTCATCAAGTCAATCCTGAAGGAGACAGAACCAAAAGTGTACGCTGATGCTTCTGTTCTTACCGATCCTTCGGCTCCCGTCCCGCTTGAGACGACATCCGCATCGGGAGCAAGAACCGTCCCTTGGCCCGAGTGGTTGGATAGCTTCATCCTCAGTGCGGACTCCACGACGTACAAAGCGCACCTCGCGAATCTCATTGAGATCGAGCGCGAATTGTTCTCTCGCGAGACGATGAGCTCACTCGAAGAGAAAGTTCCCAACAAGGAGACCAAGCTTAAGAGCCTCCTGCGCAGTCGCAAGCGTTATGAGAAAGTTGAGAAGAGTGGAGCCTCGAAGCTCAAGGCGTGGCTGAAGAAGAAGATCATGGCGGAGAAGCCTTTGCGATTGCAGATTGAATATGATCTGGATGGTGAATGTGCAGTCGGGGCGGAGGTTAAGGTGGAATTCACGAAGCGTTCTATCACGATCTCTGATTCGGAGAAGCCCTCAAGAGCCTCATCGTTATCTCCGCCTCCTTCGAGAGACGAGGCTCAGTCACCTCAGGCAGTCCTATCCGTTGCAAGTCGTGACCTGTCAAGCATCGACGAGTGCCTTCATGCGGTATGTTCTATCTTCGTCATCCCAAATTATTTGACTTATCTTGTTCTAGGTTGACCATCTCATTTCTACTGCCTGCCATTCAATCTCCCGCGCCGAGCGCATCATCAAGCGCACCATTAAAACGCGTGAAGCCATGGTTCAAAATCTCCGTTCGCGGTATCCTCCTGTTCACACCTCCATGTTTGCATTCCCCTCCGATATGAGCACCCCCTCTGGTCTCTCTTCGTGCTCTTTTTACCTCTCCCCCGACAGCGCCTCCTCCTCGCGGTGTTCCTCCGCCCAGTCCTCAACCATCTCCCTAGCCGCTACCCTATACGACGACGAAGACGAAGACTCACGAGCACTACGCAGGCTCCTCCTGCGAAAAATTAGCGCACACATTGACGGCGCTTTTGACGAGATCGACCGCGCTAACGTATGGTTACGTATCGTCAAGAGCGTACTGCGTGGCCTCAAAACGCGGACGACGACATAGGAAAAGGACCCACCAATCGATTGGACAGGTATTGTATGTTATTGTTGTAATGTAACTGTGTATATTATTGCTTCATCTATAGATTCGGTACTCATCTTCATCTCCATCCCCATTGCATCGTACGTACGCATCGTAGACATTGACATATGCATTGCTTTTGTGTTTCTTTTTTTCGATATTTCATCGGTTGGCGTTTGTGTTTATGATTTTTGTGTTTGGTAGAACCTTGTAAACAACATGCAAGATCATACTGTGCGGACTCCTACTCGCTACTTGGCAAGCGAAAGTAATGTTTAGGAACAAAATCGCAATCTACCGATGAAGAGCATTGGAACCAAACAGACTGAAGATGGCTATTGACATCATGGATTGTGTATAAGTCTTATCCAGGCATACGTAGGAACTCGAGTGTTAATGCAAAGCACTTTCTTTGAATCTTTACAATTTAATACAAATCTACTTCGGAACACAATATCAGCCTCGTGACAAAACTCCAAAAAATTCTCGTGCCCCCTTTAGACTAGTGTTTATCATCTGAAGTGTTTCCTGTGCTACACACCACTGCTAGTCGTCACATGGACACGCTCCTGGAAGGCGATTGTAGTTATGCCGGTTCCTGCGTCAGAGTCGGCTACGACCTTGGCGTTAAAGTCTCGGACACCAAGGATGAGGCGTGGTCCCAGCACAAACATCTGAATAGTCCAGAAAATTTGAAGAATACCACCATAAATTTGAACTCCCTCGGAAGATGAGTCCTATAGAAAAAATGATGAACGGTTGTCACATAGAGTCAGTGACAAATCGATGTACCGAGAGTGTTGGAGAGAAATAACTGAGAGTCAAGCAAGAAACAGCAAGAAAACTAGCACGTACAGAATTTCAGCGGAAAGAAAGATAACCATATTCAAATGACTAGCTTACCTTGCAAAGTAAGCCACGTGAGTTTTGATTAACACCACGATACAGTCCCCGATGGTCCATTGCGTCGAAGGTCGATGCAGTTCCCGGAGGTGTTTTATAGCAACCCAGAGTGCAAGACACAGTGCGAGGACCTCCCACACAGTGCCGAGTATCCAAGTCAGGGAAGACAGAAAATTGACGTCTCCCTCTAGGTCATAACTGCACATATAAGTGCCAGAGAGTATGGACTCCTCTGTTATTCGTCCGATGAGTTTGATGCTTTTCATTCATTCATAATTAAAGCTTACCTGCTGATGTATGGATGCTTACCATCACAGCAATCACTCCGCAGGGGATCGTGACAGCCAAGAAGATCACAACGAGAAAGATAAGTATCTTTTTCGATCGCTGATACATGGCATGCAACCGACAAATCATGATGACTTGCATGATGTTTCAGTCGAGTCAATATCACTCAAGTACGTCAGCTAAGGAGCTCACCATTCAGCATGGTTGCTACCCCCAAAGACATCCAATTGAGTACGAAATAAATAATAATGCCTGAAAAATTCAGTTAGTGATGCGTCGGAGGGCTAAATGCTCCAAACGAACTCACACCTGTTGCAGTCATCGTATCGAATCAACGAGCTGGTCGAGAAATCACTCACCCCTGCATGACAGCACAGTTAATTGGACGGGAATAACAGGGATCGGTATAAAATTACTTACTGCATCTGTCACTTCGACTGACGGAAGATTGTCTGTACGCCGCTGGTGATAAGGCATAAACACAGTATATTTGAGGATACATACGCGACAGGTTAAGGCTGTTTGTGAGAGGTGGCTTATTAACACAACGCCGACCGGTTGGCCTTGAAAACATACACAGTGAATGGTATTCCAGCATAGCGCACCTAGGACATTTTGAAGTCAGCATGACTCACCAACCACACCTATAAAATAAGCTACGTACACCGAGATATAGAAAGGTCATCAGGGACCAGCGTTGCCTCTGCTTTGGGTGAGTTTCTGTACTTTTGATATGGGGCTCTGCTTACCCAGACCAGTTCAACCTATAAACCATTCTTAGTGGGATGACTGTTCCGGAAATGGCATCAACCTACCTCTTGTCCGATTATCAGTGCTGAAAAACATATCATAAGGATAACAATGTTCTTGAATACTATCTTTCTTACCCCAATCATACATCACCACAGCAACGGAGGCAACTGCGAAACCACAGTCAAGGTTAGATGGAAGCATCACCGACTCATCATAATGCAAGCTGTCCACGAACCTGCAAAATAGCTATACAAAATATTCGAATTGATTTGCGGCCACGAACTGGAATCATTTGAGACCACGGTCATATTCGTGGGACGGATGTGAATGTGGCGAACTTGGTGGACGTACAACAATGGCGTTCGTGCTTTTAGCGGAATTGTGGGCATGCATATTTGTTCCCGTCGCGATTGACCGAAGTAAGCATTGCGGTGTGTAATGAAGTGAAAAGGAAAGTCACATCGGGAGCTCTCGATCAAATCAAGCTAGATTTCTGTTATTTTGGTTGCAGATCTGCAAAGTGCAGTGTCAGACACGTGGAATGTTTGACCACCGCGAAACTTCGAACAACTGCTCGTGAGTTCGGGGCCTTGTTTCCAATGCGACTCTAGAGATCCGCTTGCCACACTCGTTTCAATTCAGGAGTTCCATCAGTGAAATCATGATCCACTGCGAAAAAAAAACCTGACATCTCAATGATCATCGGCGAGCCTAACTCTGCTTATCTGCACACTCCGCGCCTCGCTGGACGGGGTCCGCGGAATGTAACAGATCGTCCGAGATATCTCAACAAGATCGCATTCTGTCGGCATGACACAAAAGTCAGAAACGCATAGAATAGGTCAAAACGCAACCCACAGATCCTCTCCTATCCGGGCCTCCGATGCCTCCGAGCACACCCGTCATGGCCTTCCAATGCGCCTGTTTCCTCCAAAGTCCTCAGTATCTGTCGTCGTATGCGCACCTTCTCACTCTGCCTCGGTCGGGCTATGATGCCATAAAGGTGTATGATAAGTGTAGTGTAACTGTGATGTAAAAACCGATGCAATACGCGCTACTTGAGTCGAAATCTGTCATCCGTCATGGAGTTGATGGCATCGGCGGTGCATCAATTTGCACAACCAACCATGTAATACATCCTAATTGACAATCCGCGATTAGTCTGGTGAATACTATATGATGCCATCCCGAGCTCCAACGGAAATGAGACGTTATGGCAGGGGGAAATGACGACTTTGACACGCCTGTACGACCACCCAGCTCGGCTTCCTGTTTTTCGAATATTACTCGTGTAACGTCAATGGTCATTGCTTTTCAGTGAGCTTCTTCTGTCCCAACTTGATGCAGTGCATATTTGCCACCTAGCTACATAGAGCAATATATGTAAGAGTGTACGAGAGAGATAAAGGCAAAGAACTCACTACGGCAATATCACGGCCGGCAAGGTACAAAAGTCGTGTACTAGTACATGGTGAAGTTTCAACTTACCTAGTCTCCCCTAGCCACCCCTATATAGACGGAAGGAAGATAGTCGTTCCTTCTAATATAGCAACTTGCCAAGGGCCCGCATGTCCGACAACGCACGCTGTAACTGTTTTTAGCACTTTCCAATAGTTCGTCTAGAACGGAGATCGGCGTCGGGCGAATCAGAAACAAGCGCATATTACGGCTCTCAGCAACCCATCCCAAGTTGGTCTTCAATTTCGGTTGAAACTGGAGTTTGGGGATCGAGGACGTGAAATCTAACTTGTTCTGGATGGTAAGGCCCGCCCTGCTGAGGATATACCGAGGCCCAATGCCCTCTTCTTCCACCGGGCAGTGTACTATGAAGTCATTGAAGTTCGTTCTATCATCGTTTCCTTCTTAAACGTTAGCAGCACGCTGCATGTGACCATCTCCAGCACATCGAGGACTAGCCCAGTGAGCGCGTCGCCACTCCAAGTCGAAGGAATGTCGTGACGGCTTAAAGCTGGCCTTTCCTGAAAGCTTGAAGTACAATATGATGCAGGCCCAGGCTGGCTGATACGGTATTGCGGTGCGAGCAAATACTTCTTTGAGAAGGTAGTAAGTCACAAGCTGTTTCCAGCCTGAATGTCACACCTCATGTATTCGACGAACTTGAATATTGCTGCGACCATGGTCCTCGCTAAGGCTAAACAACATTCTCATTCAGAATTGGACGAATATTAAGCAGGGGGAGCCCGCACGCATACACCTTTGTCGAGTCTTCACACCAAAAGTGCTGGGTAGCACAGCGAATCATAATTTGTCATGATGGCCATCATGGCATCATCATCCTCCAAGCTCGCGTGAATGAGGACATCAGAAAACGTGAGCAACGGATTCACTTCTGTCTGGGATGATGCTACTACCCAGACACGTATACGACACAGGGACAACAACATCTATGCAGGGAAAATATTGGATATACATTCTACCATATGTCACCCTGACTCGGACGCGCCCAGACTCTAGCAGCCTAATATTTTCCAACGATTTGTTCAGGTAGAGCCCTGCCAGCCTTTGCAGGACTCTCCTCACCTTTCGCAACGTTCAGATAACAAGGTCCTCTGGAACATAACGGAGCACGTCCGTTCGAATGAGAAACGTCGTCAAAGCAGCGAAACATGCATATCCTATCGCCACCGCTCAAGTAGAGGCCATCTTTGAATCCAGCATTAAAGTAAGGGTTACTTCCTGAGATCGCGATCTGCTTGGCTGGTTGCAAAACACTATTCTTATTATCTTCAAAGTGAGGCAGTTCCGATCGTGAGGAAACACAATGCGTGCCAAGACCTACTTCTCTTTCAAGCCAACTTCGGAATACAATATTAGTTCCATGACAAAACTCCAAATGAACTTCCTGTGCTCCCTGCAGATGCGACAACCCGGCAAGTGTTAATTTTGGAACATTTTCCGTGCTACACATCACTGCCAGCTGACACATGGTCGTGCTCCTGGAAGACGATTGTAGTCAATGCATCAAAGTCGACCACGCGCTTAGCGTGATATTCTCGAACGTTGAGGATGAGGCGTGGTCCCAGCACAAACATCTGCAAGAACAAGGAAACCTCCCAAACACCATAATAAACCTGAGAGCCCACGGACAATGAGTTCTGTAGAAATGATAAGTGTCCTATGCACATGCATTCAGTGACAGATCGGCTTACGGAGAGCTTTGGAGAAAAATAACCGAGGTTCAATGAAGAAACAGCAATAGAGCTAGCACGTAGAGAGCATCAGCACAAAAAGATAACCACGTTCAGAGTACGAGCTCACATTACAAAGTAAACCATGGGTGTTTTTATTAGCACCGTGAAACACTCCACGACGGTCCATCCCATTGTCCGTTCACGGAAGTGTTTTACAACAATCCGGGCTACAAGGCACAGAACGAGGACCTCCCATATAGTGCAGAGCAACCAAGTCATGGGAATCAGAAGTTGGGCGGCTCCATCATATTCATAATTACACAGATAGGTGCCAGATAGGAAGTACTCCTCTGATATTTGTTCGATGAGCCTGATGAGCTTCTGTCTTCCATTCGTAATAAAGCTTACCTGCTGAAACATGGCTGTTTAATATTGCGGCGACCACTCCGCATGTGATTGTGACAAGCAGGAAGATCACAATGAGAAAGATAAGCATCTTTCTGGATCGCTGATACATGTCATATAACCGACAGGTCACAATGACTTACATGGTAGTTTATTTGAGTCAATATCACCAAGGTATTGCAGTTGTGTAACTCACCGCACAGCATGGCAATTATCACCACAGTCATCCAATTTAAAGTGAAGTACATGACATTGCCTGAAACACCCAGTTAGCGATGATCCTATGAAGACCAAGAGACTCACAGCTGTTGCCGTCATTTTATTCAACCAACAGACCAGTCGAGAATCTCACTCACCCCTACATATGAGTGCAGGTAATTGAACGGGAATGACAGATAACACAAAATACTTACTGTATCTGTCACTGGGACTGACGGAAGACTTGCTGTATGCCACTGGTCAGAAGAGACAAACACAATGTATATGGGGAGACATACTAAGTACGACGGCGCTGGTTGTAGGAGAGCACTAATTAGTACAGCGCCAACTGGTTAGCCTTGCGAACATACACGGCGTACGGTATTCCAGCATAGCGCACCTGGAATACGTTGAAGTTAAGATAAAGAGCCAACTGTGCTTCTAACGTACACTGAGATATAGAAGAGTCGTATGGGACCATCGTTGCTTCTGGCCCGAGTTAATCATATTATCTCGCTGTTTTTCTGATATGGGACTCTGCTCACCCATACCAGTTCAAACTATAAAACCATGGTTAGTAAGACGGCTCCGCTGGTAACAGCATCAACCTACCTCTTGTCCAAATGTTAGTGCTGGAAGTACCATGAGCATATCAGTGGTTCCTTAATACTACTTTGCTTACCCCAATCGTACACCACCGCAGCAAAGGAGGCGACTGCGAAACCGTAGTCAAGGTTAGATCGAATCATCACCGACATCATGGGACTGGTCCCTCTACGAACCTACAAAATAGCTAGCCAGACGATACGAATCGATTATTGGCCAGTACCTGGGATCATCTGAGACTAGGGTCATATTCGAGGGAAGGGTGTGCGTGAGTGGCGGGCTTGGTGGACGTATAACGATGACGATCGTACTAGATATACCATCCTCCAGCGCTTCTATTCCCAAACAGGCCTTATGGGGATGAACATCCGCTCCTGCATTGATTTACCTAAGTAAGAATTGTCAGATGCACATCAAGTAGAAACCAGATCGCCCATGCGCACCTCCTCACTCTCTGCCTCGGTCACGAATCACAATCGAGCTAGAAGGCCACAAGGATGCAGAGTATGGAAACCGCAGTGTGACTTTGATACAAAACCGATGCAAAACACATGATACTGCATCAAGCATTGGTGATCCATCAATTTGTACAGCCATATTCATCCTGGTTGCAACGTCGATAATCCGTGATTATTCTGGTGAATACACTTGTGACGCCAACGGCCTAGCTCAAAACGGCACTTGTAGGCCACGTGGGAGAAAGATGGATCGGACAAACCATGTGTAAAGTACCAAAAGCATGACTTCTTGTTCTTCGAACGTTACAGACGCCTCGTCAAATTCGTAAAACGTCGACGGTCATTGCGCACGTTTCAACGACTTCTTACGTCCCGACTTGATCCGGTCCCTAGATGCCTAAACGTTATGAGTGTGTGAGGGAGATGAGGCAGGATGAGGCAAAGAACTCACTGCCTGGAATTATCACAAGTAAGGCGCAAAAGCTGTGCAGTAGCTTGATGGTTTCACCTGCGTACTCAAAAGGTCAGAGGACAAGGGACCGCATATCATCATAGCGCGCGCTGTGTACAAAATTGTCACTTAGAATGGAGGTCGGCGAAAGAGAAACAAGCGCATAATGGTACTGGCGGCTGTCAGCAACTCATTCTAGGTTCGTCCTCGAACATCGTGATGATCAGACCAAAGGTGAAATCGAGGACACAATGTTTCCTTTAACACCGCTGCCTCCGAGAATAATGTTCTCGAGGTCTGTATGGAGACGATTAAGGAAGATAAGAAGTGACAGCTAGAGATGAACTCCAAAGGACAGGCACGGGGGCCCACCAAAAAGCATCTCGAGCTTGAGGCATGGAATTTGCTGGACTCGCAACAAGGGAACTTTAGATTAACGAGTGCAACAGGTTCTTATCCCGCGAAAAGCTAGAGCAGGAATTACGCACACAAATAGTTTACCAATGAACGGTAGGTGCAGTGCTACTAGGTGACACCAAGCCTTAGAAAGACCTCGCTTGCGGATTCATACAGAACTTGCATAGATTCGATGACGACGCCGTCACGATAATCAAAACCATGCAAGTTCTGTTGTCACCAAAGCCATGGAGGTTCTGCATGACGATGATAACCGGGAGATACCGGACGATGATCTGTGTTTGTACTTACTATCTTTGACCCAGAGTTGCAAAATGCGATGTAGCACACTCATCTTTCGCTCATTTTCTTTGCACAATGATTCTGAAGGATGATCAATGCATAGCTCACTGTCTGTATTTTTTATTTCACAAAAAATGGACGAGAAGTGCTTGCAGGAGTAAAACACTGCTCAGAAAGTGTACTTTCCACGCCAATTCATCACAGGGAAGCCATCGCATCGACCAAAAAAAAATCAGGAATTTTACGCATGATTCCTCATTACCTTCTAACACTGCTCTAATTTTTTCCGACACAAAAATCGAGCTGTGTTGTGCGACACTTTAAATGTTGTACTTCATTCGATCAACACTTGACGGCGTCGGAGAGTAAAAACGGCAGTGTGACACAGTGTGACATGATCAATTCTGTGCAGGTGAGAAATTTTGCAACTCTGTGCTCAAACACCGTTCACGCCGGCTTCTCTCTGGCAACGTAGCCTCAACAAAATTTGCAAATGTGTTTTACATAGCGCTGAAGCCTGAACTGAGTCCTACGTCCCCCTGTTGTCGCCGTTTTTAAATGTTGTGTTATTGTTGAGCTATCACGCGAACATCGAAAAGTTTTGCAACTCTGGGCCAGAGATAGTACGATTGACTAGCACCTAGTACCGATCGAGAAGGTCGCTGTCAGGCCCGGGAGCGTACCACTAAACAGCTTGTCCGACCGAACTCTCTCAACAAGCTGTCGCAATATTCTGACACCAAAAAGTCAGACATCCTCTGTTATTGGGCCATCATGGTCGTGATAATGTCATAGGACACAAAAATAACTGATGAACCGATGCAAGATGGACAAATCCATCATGCATTACATCAATTTGCACAGCCATGTATCGTGGCACTAGATGATGTCCTGGTGAGTTCTAAGCGGCCCACTGGCAGTGGCGCGTTGCTGATCATTGCTATTCGTCACACTTACAGGATGATAAACTTTGAGAATTTCTAGATAGTCTGGCTTATCACTACCCAGTACATAACCGCCAAGCGCTCACTGGCGAAGGCAGCATTATATGACACGTCTTCGGCTCGGACATAGACTCAAGCTCAAGAATGAAACCGTGAAACGTAATGTCGGGGTTTTCTACCCAGTTAATGAATCTTTCGCATTATGCCGCTTGATAAAAGACTCCAAGTTCGTGGCAACCTACTCCTGCGTACATTCAGCCCCACGAGATCCTACTAAGTTACTCCATTTTCAACAATCAGGTTGACCAACCGTAACAATAGCATTCATCATGGTTGCTTCACACTATCGAAGATCTGTCAATTACCCTCCCCTTGACGGATCTCTGTTCCTCCCAGATTTGATGGAGTTCAATGCACAACATAACTCAGACGTCGCTTTCTTTATCTATGAGAAACTTGACAGCGACGACCTGGTCTCTATCTCACACTCGGACTTCTATCAAGCTTGTCATCGAGCCTCCCAGAAAATTAGACCAGGTCGCGCAGGCGCAGACAAAGAGGTGATTGCCCTCATCGGGAACTCCGACACCCTTCTTTACCAGACGGTATTTATCGGTATTATCTTTGCTGGGCTGGTTGTATGTGCATAGATTCTCTGAATGAATAAGCCCCTCATCGTTGCTATTTTAAGCCTTTCCCCATGTCCCCCCGCAATTCAGCGGCGGCAGTCATAAACATGATGCAGAAAACAAAGTGCCGTCGTTTGATTACGACCCTGCACTCTCTTACTTCCCTGGTTGACGAAATCACAGCGGACTTCGTGTCTCGTGCCACTCAAACGGGCCAGCTGCAGATTGATGAGATCCCGGCGCTGAAACACCTGTACCCCGCGCTTGTCAGTGGTGCTCCGAACGGGGCCCTTTCGCCATACCCTTCCCCTGTTTCACCATCGTCTGAGAACGATATATTATTCTACCTGCATTCCTCGGGCAGCACTGGCTTCCCAAAACCCATTCCAATAAGCAACCTGACTGCCATCCATTGGTGCATTAGTCGTGAGTGAAACAATCTGCACAGCAAAAAAAACATGCTAAGATTGAGTGGGCAGCACCCATTCTCGACCACATCGACTTTCCCGGTCATATCCGCATTGGTACTGCATCCTTGCCCTCATTCCATACTCTTGGTATATATCTTCAGCTGCTCATCCCCATCACCTCCCTGAGCAGCGTGTCTATTTACCCACCTACATCCCTCCTCGATCCCTCGGCAGCCCCTGTAGTACCCAACTCGCAAAATGTCCTAGACTCTGTACTTAAGACGAAATCGAACGCTTTGGTAGCCGCGCCTACCTTCCTGGAGAAATGGGCGTTGTCGCCAAATGCTGTCGATACTCTGAAGACGCTCGAATATGTTGTAAGCATGTTATTGATATTTTAACAAGGGATGGCTCACGCTGTCTCCAATGGCAGGTCTATGCTGGCGGTCCGCTTGCACCTAAGATGGGAAATGTCCTGGTGGACGCAGGTGTCAAGCTGTCTTGTGCTTACGGCGCTACAGAATTTGGGATCAACACTTATTTTTTCCGAAATGCGGTCGAGCAAAAATTTTGGGACTGGGTGCGATTTGGACCAAACTCCAAGATCAGATGGGCTCCTCAGGACGATGGTACATACGAATGCCAAGTTTTGGTGTGTCTCGGTTTCTATACTCTCTTTCAGCATTGAACACTTCCTCGCAGACAACTCCGACGCATCAAGTGTCCGTAGAGAATCTTCCGGACGTTAAGGGTTATACTACTTCGGATGTATTTGTCAAGCATCCGACGATAGAGGGTCTGTGGAAGATGTACGACTGCAACTCGTGTCATTCATACTCTCTGACGTTTTCCTTAAAGCGTAGGAAGGATCGATGACGTTTTGATACTCTCATCTGGGGAAAAGACAGTACCGGCCCCCATGGAGAGCATCATCGGCGCAAACCCCTATGTGAACGGCACCGTCATGTTCGGCCGTGGACGCAACCAAGTCGGAATCCTCATAGAGCCCCGTGCGGGATGCGAAATCGACGTCGACGACGAAAAACAGCTTGCTGAGTTCAGGAATCAAGTGTGGTAAGCTCCCTACAAAAACGTATGCTGCTAAGTCTGAAGGCCCTGAAGGCCTGAAATAGAGGAAGCGAATCACGAGGCTCCTGCCTTCAGCAGGATCTTCAAGGAGATGGTTCTGGTGACACGAAATGAGAAGCCCATGCTTCGAGCTGGAAAGGGGACCGTCACTAAGAAAGCAACTGTCAAGCTGTATGAGAAGGAGATTGATGCCCTGTGAGCATAATAATATACATTTGCCATTCCGCGAACTTGACATTCATGAACGATAGATATGAAAAGGTGGAGGGCAGCACAAGAGCGGGCATCGATGTTCCTTTGCCTACAAGCTGGACTGCGGAAGACGTCGAGGGTTGGCTTATGGTCCACGCCGCTGCTGTGAACTCCAACAAGGCGGTCGATCCTGACACAGATCTTTTTGCTCAGGGCTTTGACAGGTCGGTCTAAGGTGAATTAAGGCTACATAGTGCTCTGCTTACTCCATACTTCTAGTCTCTCTGCGACATTCTTCAAAAACCGCATCATTGGCTCCCTCAGCTCATCTTCAAACCGTGACGTTCAAGCATCAGCATCGCGGATCGACCAGAACGTCGTATTTTCAAGTCCTTCAATTCGCCAGCTCGCGAGAAGCGTCATCAACGCAGTATTTCAACGGAACGGTTCAGGCGCTGTTGATATCAAAACTAAAATCGAGGACATGATCGAAAATTATTCAGTCGGATTTGGGGACTCCAGAGAAGCCATGGCCTCTCTAGTTAATGACTACAACCAAAGCGGTCATGTGGTCGTCTTGACTGGGTCCACGGGAGGTCTCGGTTCATACTTGCTTGCGGATCTACTACAGCGAGAGGACGTGTCAGTGGTATATGCCTTCAATCGCCCGTCGAAGGCTGCGACATCCATCCAACAACGTCAAGAACATGGGTTCGAAGACCGCGGTTTGGATGTCACCCTGCTACAGTCAGAGAAACTGGTGTTTGTAGAAAGTGATACCACTCGCGGTGACCTGGGTCTGGATAAGGAGTTATATCAGAAGGTTTGCTTCGTTTCCAGTGTTACTGATTCTACTAAAGACAACGTAGATCTGCACATCTGTCACAACTATCATTCACAACGCTTGGAAACTCGACTTTAACCTGGCGCTCTCGTCATTCGAGCCTCATGTGCGTGGAACGCGGAATCTTATAGACCTGGCACTATCTTCTCCGCGTCATCCAAAGCCGCGTTTCATGTTCACCTCTTCTATCGCATCTGCCCAAGGCTGGGATAGAGAGAAAGGGCCTTTCCCGGAAGAAGTACAGTATGATGCAGGGGTGGCAGTAGGCCCTGGCTACGGCGCGAGCAAATACGTGTCTGAGAGGGTAAGTCACAAACTAGTTCCGGGGGGTATGCATTCAACGAATATTTTTCCAATCAAGGTCCTCGTCAACAGCAAATTGCCGGCATCCTCATTCAGAATTGCACAGATATCAGGAGGGCGCCCACGAGGAGCTTGGTCGACGACTGACTGGTTACCGATCGTCGTCAAGTCGAGTGTAAGTCTAGGTGCGCTTCCAGAAGCCAAAGGGGTAAGTTTATCCTTGTCGAAGCCACCAAGGATACCCATTAATGTCATACGCACTTTAGCTTCTATCCTGGATCCCTTTCCACGCCGTATCACATGCTATCCTTGATGTAGCATTCTCGGAAGAACCTCCAATCGCCATTAATCTGGTGCATCCAAGACCGATAGCGTGGACGACGTTGATGCAGCCTGTTGCGGACGCCATTCTTGAGCGTAAAGTAACAAGCAACCCGCTGCCTCTCGTGCCGTTCTCGGAGTGGCTCGAAAGACTCGAATCGAGTGCCAAGGACTTGAGCGAAGAAAACATCAAGCGCATTGTACGTTCATTTCAGTGGCTGGCCAGAACTTTTCCCCCATCTGATCTTCGATTGCAGCCTGCTATCAAGCTTCTCGACTTCATGCATTTCATGACTCGATCAGATATTGCGATCAGGGCATCTGGGAAGATGCGCTCCGAAGCGGGTGGCTTTACCCTATTCGCCACTGGTGTGGCCGAGCGCGTCAGTCCGACGGTGAAGGAGCTGGAGCCGTTGTCGGCGGCGGACGCAGCACAGTGGGTGGACTATTGGGCGTCAGTGGGGATGTTTAAATGAAGGAGTGTGCTTATTTGCACTGTCAACTGCGTGCATCGAACATTTGAAGGACTGACAAGGACCCTACCCTCACAAATAACTTCACATTCTACTGTACGGGTAAATCACAAGGAGATAGATACACACAGAAGTCCACTACAGGTAGGAGGCACTCCACGGCCAGGCCCTCACTCAAATCATGGCGGTGAACGCTGCCATACCCCAATGCTATGTTGCACAACGAACATGGCTATCATATCCTCGTGAGATCACTGAGCCTCCGAGCAAAAGCATCACGACACTGATAATGAGTCACCTCTCCCCTGAAAAATGTGAACGTCAGAAAACGTCATTAAACGCCAGCAACGGATTCACCTAGGAGCGTGAACTGCGATAACACTACTACCAAGACGTTTATGGCATTGGGGACAACTTCGCACAAGTCATCAGCAACATCCACGCGGGAAAAGATCGGACATACATTCTACTATCCGTCACTCTGACACGCCTAGACTCTAGCAGCATCAGCTTCCTAGCGACTTGTTCATTCCGCGCTTTGTGAATATCGCGAATGACATGACTATCGAATATTGGCGCTCGTAAAGCTTCTTGAAGGAATGGGCGCACGTCACGAGCAGTGACGAGGGGAGGGAGAAGTTGAAGAGTTTCAACGGAGTCTAAGCGAGGACTGTGTCGACTAATCAAGTTTAGGGCGGGCTGTAACAAGTTCGGCGCTGCCTTATCGGTGGGACGGAGGTAGAGCTTGAGAAGAGTCAAGAAGATATTTCTGGTGGTTGCGTTTGGATTATATATTCGCTTGCAGTATCTTCGACAGGGTCAGCGACATATTGAGATTGTGGGAGAGGAAAGACACACTCTTCGGCCTTGGAATAATCCCGGAGCTTGTAAACGTAGAGCTCAAGAGCATGGTCGTGCCTTCCCATACGTCCCAACAACACAGCTCGTGCTTCGTAAAGATCTGCAGAGTAAAAGTATCAACATCCACGGTGAGTTTTATTTTGGAACTGGCTGACTCTCAGACAGTAAACCATACAAGCGATCGGGGCGGTAGTAATCAGTGGTATCAATGAAGCGAAGGAGCTTCGAGTAAACCTCCGATCCTTTGGCTAACGGACATTTGGTCAGAACATTTGTCCACTAACATGATAAATGACTAACCCTCATCTCCTCGTTTGCGAGCGTTCAGCGTCATGTTCAGATAGAGCACTGCCAGCCGATCGTGGAACGCAGGACTCTCTTCACCTTTCTCATCAATCAGATACTCGATATAACGAGTAGATATGGTGGGGTCAATCTTTTCTAGGTAATCCGTTACTTGACCTCGAGGGAGTTCAACGTCGTCCGATGTAAATATCTTGAAAAAATGTCAGCAAGGAACCTGACAAGAAAACATACAATGATCACCTGGAAAGCCACATCACGGTCCTCCTCAAAGATCCAGCGGGAGGACTCAAATACTTGGTTGATGTACTCAGGACCAAGTTTCCGTAGGTAGGATATGGACGGATCAAGCTTGTCTTTTATGTCCGTCTCCTTCTCGCTTAACCTAAACAACGTCCTTGATCTGCAGGCGCAACCGAGTAGAAGACATAAATACTTACTGGTGGAGAAGATTGAGAGCCTTAGCATGCATCTTCTTTCCGTTGTAGAGATATATTAGCTCCGCAAATTTCTGGTGACGTTAGTAAATATTACATGTGAGCACGGGTAAGAGATTTGACGCACTTCTCGTGCCCGGAGCTCCTCCTCGACCTCTGATACTTCGCACCAATTGGGTAATCGACAAAGTGCACCAAGGAGGGCCGGCTGAGTGACAAGATAAGACTTGAACAGTGCTGTGTCCACAATCTGCGCGAACCGCACAAGCTGCTCTGGAGTCAACAGGGTCAAAGGTATGTTCGGCAGCGCAAATAATTCTTCGGTCGAAGTCTCAGAGAGGAAAGGCCACTGGTGAGACTGAGCAGGTGCAATATGTACTGCTGCGAGTGCGCCTGCCACTTTGGGACGACGATCAGTAAGGTATCGCCATAGAGCATCTACCGACCGGCTGAAATCATCTAGAAAGTGGTTTAACACGACTAGTCAACGAGGATAGAAAATCTGACTGACCTACTTGCTTTACCTTCTTCCTCCCACTAATAGATGCAGTATCATCGTCTTTGTCTTTCAACGAGGACAAAAGTGCACCAAACGCAGTTCCCCGACGAACGGGAGCCCTGACTGACGTTGCGGGGGGCGACGGCTGCTCCAAGAGTTTCTCTTTGCTTGCATTGTCATTTTGGGACTTTGTTGAGGTTGCGTCGTCGTTCTTGGGCGTGAGTGACTGATGTGCAGGTCCCCCGAAAAGTGGAATCCAGTCATCTGCAGGAACAGAAAGACGTCCGGCGATGCGCTCGGGATAGAGAGCAACGACCTTGGCGGGGTTGAGATCAAGCTCAAGGAAAGAATTTATAGCATCATCGAACTTTCCCAGCCGGAATTGAGACACGGCGTGAAGGGCGCGAATGTGAGTTTGTCGTTGGTCCTGCAGAAGGTGGATAGTGTTATGTCTCTCAGTAAATGAATCAATTGAAACGAACCTTGTCTGGTAAAAGAGCTTTGTCCAAAGTATCAAGCAGCGAAAGTGCTTCAGAATAGAGGCAACGCTGGACAAGTTCATCAATCTGATCTCCCCATGACCTCATCCGGAATTGCCATACGGAGCTACCCTCGGCGGTAGCTATTGTGCGGTCGCTCGGAGTAGCAACGAGGAAGAGAGGGGCCTTGGCGGCAGGAGAAGACGTCAAGAGTCTAATTGTGCAAGTGGAGGTAGGGGACGCTACGGGTGTCGGTGGGAAGGGAATAGTTTGGACGGGTTGCGTTGTCAGTGACGATATGACTTGTACAACGGGAGAGGGGATGAGGGATGACTGAGGGGCAGCTGGTGCGCCTCCAGATGGAGGAGAAGTACTTTCGTTCTCCGGCACCGGGACGGTACCAGGAGGAAGTATTGAGAAAATGTATGGGTTGACAAAAGCTAGACAAGACGATCAAGAAACTGGTGAGGACTGGACAGATTAAAGTGCTGACCAACTTCATCAGGGGGACTTGGCCAATCGATCGTTGCTGGCTTGGTCTGCCTGCCATCAGTACCGATGATAAATCCCTGATCTACCGGAAGCTTCAGCTATCTATTGCCTCGAACCAAATACTTGACATACTGTCTTTGACAATGAGTGCCTCGGTATCACTCAGCCGCACCAACCCAGGCTTAGCTTTGGCTCCCAGCCCGAGGGTCATGTACCCAGTAATCCCAGAAAACGCGCCCATGGAAGAAATATTCGCGGGTATAGGTGTGGTGACATCGAGTGTCGTGAGCTTACTGATGGAGAATAGAGCGTACTCGGTAGGTGAGTACGCAAAGCAAATGTTATCACAGTCAAGAAACACCACAGCACGCGGCGAGTGCGGAAGAATAGTTTCCTATGAGCTAGTTCAGATGGGGTCTTCGACAAGCACAGCGAATTCGTACCCTGACTTCCTGTGCCTCGCCGTCCTTCCACGTGTATATCACCACCTTCCTTCGGCACCCCACAATAAGCTGCGTCACCATCGTAGGGATCGGGCCTGCCCTTCCGACGCTATTAGCGCTACCTTGGGCATCACTTGGGGCGACGTTGTGCACGGAAGAGTGAACAGCGAATGATAATGCACCCTTGGCTCTTGTAAGCGGCGTTGGAGGAGCAAAGCTCGGGAGAGGATACAGAGTTAGTATAGTTTCTGTAGAGGAAATTCATGATCCTCGACAGAAGCATTCTATGTTGTTGGTCATACCGGTGAGAATGACCAGAGAGTTGATATCCTTGACATAGCCCAGCTGGTCAATAGGTCTACGAGACAGAGCCTTCTTAGTGTCCACCAAAGTTGATACATTCTCTTGGTAGTGACATGAGCATTTAAGCACTAGCAGCATCCCGCAGTAGCATACCGGAAAGTTCGCTGTACTCGTATATGTAGAGATTGCCTGTTGCTGTTCCGACATACAACCTGTCACCTGCGTACTACGATTGAGCATATTACACCTGCAACCTTCTCTGAGAACTTGCCCTGCACGAGTAAGGCCTCTGGTCTTTCTTTGAATCCGCTGAGGACTGTAGTCGGTGGGTTGAACGGCGCCATGAGTGACTGGTCGGAATGATCACTGGCAGGTCGTGAATGCAGCTGCAGGGACTGTGAATTGAATCATCGTACTGATTGCCATAAACGGCATCACGTCATTTTCCCTTGCGAGGCATTCAAGAACCTTTATGCATTATGTTCCAGGACCAGTCGTGACGTATGCACCTTGCGCTTGGGAAACGGTCGTGTACTTATATTGGTATCCTACTACTAGCGACCACAAGTACTGGACTATGTGAATCTACGGTGGCCATGCGTTGCCTTGCTCTCAATATCATGATATGCGCCTGGCAGCAGTAGCCCGATATTGGGGGTACGCGGTCTCTGTCAGGCTGTTGCTTTTGGCTTTCTGAGATGGTGTCGGTGTCGCGCTCTCTGCGTTAAGGACTCTGTATATTAGAATTATCCAAAACGGAGCACCTTTCAGACTGCCCGCATTTGTCTCTCTAGAACCTTGGCGGAAGGGAAATAGTCCTCCAACTTGCGGATCATAGCCTCCACGGTGTTCAAGTATGCATCCAAATTTGAGACTAGTTCTTCCTGGGACAATGGCGGGGGGAATTGCTCTCGAAAGGCCTGCTGGAATGCGGCGTCCGCCTGTTCTGCAGTCAAGCTAAAGATTGTTAGCCTGACATCCCGGAGACCATGAAAGACTTACGTCACAGACAACAGTTCTTGTTTTTGTTCCTCTTCCCATTGGGTGACCTCCATTAACCACTCCTTACATTCTTGATACGAGTCTGCCATCATTTTTTTCTCCTTATCAGAAAGTTGGTGATGAAACGTTAGATTGGACGGTATATCAAGGCCGGGGAAGCATCCCGGAAAATAGTCATTCAGACGTTCCGCGAGGGACCACGACTCATGTGATGTCACAAGGTAGTAAACATGCTATCTGGAATGAAGCTAAAATGAGGGCGAGCTTGCAACCTAAGAAACGCACCAATAAACACAAATTCTTGACAAGCAAAAAATAAAGCAGCCTGTCATGCTTGTCGGCATCAACGTAACCATTGATCCTCTTCAGCTCGCGTTCTGTGAGCAGTCTCATATCAGAGCTAGGTTCGTTCGTGTAATACTCCTGCCACGACAGCGCAGCGGAAGCCATCTGGACCGAATGTCTCCGGAAAGTGTCAACCATGGCAAGGAGGTTGAGCAAATCTGGGATCTGCCCGAGAATAAAAAAAGGCCGAAGGATGTTACGTATCGCGTAGAAGACAACGAAATGTGGCGTCTGTTCATCTGCAGATGCGGGTTCATTCTCAAGTAGCATAGAAGATATGTAGTCTGCAGCTGTGAGTGAGGTGCGCGTACTACGGATGATGAACATGAAGCACCATATATTTCTCGGTGGCCTTTTGGGTCGTATTCGGAGCCCATTTCCATAGCGGATATCATTTGATGAAGCGCTTCCATGACTCGACGGTATGTACTAATCAGGGGACCAGTTGTGGGACTGTTCAAGCCAACAATTTGTGCATTGGACTCGGATGAGTTTTAAGTGTCAGGTGATCCTATTCGGCCCTTGCCGAAGTTGTTACGAAATGGCAACGGTCTCAAACTGCTAGGGAGACGACTACTAGTATCATTCCCTGCAATGCAAAACTTTCCGCAAAACTTTTGTAGCTCCTCAATCACATCACTTTTTCTTTCTCAAATTTGCCCCATAACAGATTCGTATATCCTCTACATGGATCTGATTTTTACTGATTTTTAGGATGATGTGGTGTCACGGTGGTGTCGGAGCAAACCCGATGAAATTCAGGGCAAAATTTGGTCACATCTTGTCACGCCTCGGCATGGTAGCGGCTATCCGCAGCCTTCAAACAGTTGTCGAACTTTGTCGAAGTGCGCATCGCGAAAGGCTCGAAAATGGTGAATACAGCAGTGTTATTGAATCGTGGTTGATCTAGTTACTGCGATAGTTACTGTGGTTGCACTGGTATTGCTGATAGGCTCATGAATAGAATTGATGCCCTGCATAATTGTGCTGAGTCTGCGCCATGTCACCAACTCGAAATCGGCATCACTCACTGGTGCAAAGTGAGGGTGTGGAGAGTGAGGCTGAAGTGCAGGATGCTGCTGCGCACGCCAACGAAGGGTATGGTATAGCACTTTAAATTGGGCAGCTGCTGCCAAGAGGTTTTTAGCCCTCTTCTTTCTGATAGCCTGGATAGCGGCCGCGATGTTGGCCTCACGAGTGGGATCTTCTTCGGCTTTTTTGGAGTGTTTTCCTGTGTGATTCTATCAGCGAGAACAGTGTGTGATGTCTGTAAGACTTGAATGCTTGACTGCAGAGGATGGGTGCTGTCACTGCTGTGTGTGCCGAGGAGGAGATTGAATTATTTACGCAACAGTCCCCTGTTTGGTGTCACGCGGTTGTACTCGTCGTTGATTCTACCACTGTAGTACCTCAACGCAAGAGAGTGACCTTTATCGAATTGGTGTTCTAACATCCCTACAAGGTGCTCATTATGGTCCGGGTAAAACTTTACGAATACCTTTGCAGGATCTTTGGGATCTGGGTGATTTGTGTTCGACCAAGATTGCAAATTACCACTATTTCATCTCTCGCAGCTGCAACATCCAGAAAATTTTATTCTACTTGTACAAAACATCATTTCTAGATACTCTGCATATGCCTGAATTTTTTCGATGTCAGTTGAGCACGATGTTGAAGTGTTATGAACTTTTTGCATATCAGGAACCGTTTGCATATTGCAGGGAATGATAGTATGCGTGCAAATGTTCCGTTGAGACTTCTACTTATTCTTCTTCTTCATCCGAGTCCCCAAACAAACAGGGCCCCCCATACATCTCCTCATCATTCAGTCCACATCGTACAACCTGGGGTGAGACTCGATACGCGAGTGTGGCAGGGATGCAAGGTGGTATCTGCATCTCGGACTCTGCCTCCGTCGATGTACAAAGTGGCTTGTTCTCTTCGGCGAAGTCGGTGTCTTTGACGGAGCCGGAATTTGTGTAACCATCGGGACTTCCTTCCAACTGTGAATCTTCAAAATGCTGTGGTTGGTGGCGGCAATGATCAGTTTCCCCCATCGAGTGCTCTTCCACCTCGTCGTTCATCGTTGGCCTGTGTTTATCTTCGCCGTTCAACTTGACCGACCGTGGACTTCTCGTCGAACTCTGTGGATTCCATATCTGTGCCGTTCCGTCCAAACGAGGCCTGATGGCACAGCCGACACCCTCCCGAGCGCGAGTGAAATAGACATCATCATTGTTGTGCTCCTCTACAGACTCAAGGTTTAGGATCTTCCCGATGGTTTTCCATGGGTCCGGATCATTCAGAATGTCCAGAGGTAACCCAGGATCGCATACATCCGAGCCGCCGAAAGAAGATCCGAGTGACGAATCGAAAGCAGTCGAATAACAACCTTCCACAGGTTCTGTTCGAATGGCAGGATATAATGGCTGAAAAGTTTGACGATGTCGCGTGTCAGACATCGCAATGGAGGACTTCAGAACCGGTCCCTCCGAAGGTTGGGCGGCGCAGAACGGCGATTCGTTTATTTTTTGACCCCTTTCAAGAGTTGTAAGTGTGTGTCGTGTTTCGAAGGGGGAGGCTGAAACCGGCTTAATATCATTCGGGTGGTACATCGACTGCGGGATGGATCGCAATCTTGCTGAGGATCCAGATGCAGAGGCGTGACCTTGAGGGCTGCTGAACCTGACGGAGCTATCCCATCCCAAGAACTGTGGAGGATTGTTTGTAAGGATGGGTGCGGGGGAACCAAGCGGAGAATTGGAGCGGGATGGCGATCGGTGCAAGAAAGGCTCGTAATTGGGACTCCATCCATCATGTGACTTTGCCGCTGAGGACGCATCTGAACACACGAAGGAGCCTGGTGATGACAGTGGCGATGTATCCATGTCGAGAATGCACTCCTCTGACCCTTGAGAGTTAGAGCCGAAAGAAAAAGGAAAGCTGTTTGACGGAGGTGAGGGGTATCGTTGTGGGCCCATAAGATCGGGGGTGAGTATGGATTCACGAAGGACTCCGGTCTCAGCAGTATCCATGTCGGCATAACCTAAATCATTGACGCAGCTTCCGAGGAGATGGTCTACCTCCACAGTCTGTGGCGGATTCCCATGACTGGTGACTATACGACAGTCCGGCGAAGGAGGCTGTAGCTTTCCTTTGCTCCAATGATTGGCGTAAATTACTCCTTCGTCAAGGTCATCATTGTTATCCGACGGGAATGAATGACTTGCGCTTCCTGAAGCCCGACTGGTTCGAGAGAAAATATCACTAGAAGTTCCTTGAACCTAGGACATGATCAGCGTCCTACTCGGATGCTCACCTTTCTCATTAATGTTACCTGAACGTCTGACTCATTGTCGTCATCAATAGGCAGGTGAAGATCTTCTTCGGGATCAAAGCTAGGGCCTCCATCTTCCGCGTGCGGCGAATTTCCTCGTAGGGGCAGTCCAATCATCTCTGAAAGAGGGATTGATAATATGCGGTCAATTGCATCACGATAGGCCACCGCTGACACGATCAGCGCATATAAGGCAGCTCGACCATCTATCAGGGGATATATCACATACGATCAGATAAATCAAGCGCTCGAAGTATTTTCGAAGGTCTTTTGCGGCGCTTTGAGGTCTCGTAGGTGAATGATGGGTCGCACGATGTGCTTATATGCGCCGTGGAGGGGAGGCTGCCTTTGATTTTGGCGTCTCGTTGTGCAGGAGCAAGATTTATTTGATGCAAAACAGACGTCAGGGTCATCTTTTCTGGTTTCTCCCTCTCTTCCCTTGTGTTGCATAATGCAGCTGCCAGCCTCTGTTGACCGAAATGTCGCTTCTGCAACCGACCTGTACTGTCTTTAGTCCGCGTTCGAGCAGCATTCCTACATTGCGTTATAAGTAGCCATATCATATTTTACGCTTCACTAACTTTTTCCCTCCCATGTAGTTGGCGCCTGTCATTGTTTCAATACGGGCTTGGTTGAGTATGAGAATCAATGCACTGAGTGACCATGAAACGCGTCGCGTAATGAGCACGTGATGTCTAGTCAGCTATGCAAATTGTAACAATCTCTTCCTTTCACATCTAGTACTTAATCGAAAATTCAGCCTTCACACCAACTTCACATCGTCGCGAATCTACCTAGTAGGGATCGGCTGGTAAGTCGGGTTTCTGACGACTGTCCTTCCAGATCTAACCTGTCTTCCCAGCTCTCTCGTCTCTCAAAATTGCGGAATGTATTGGTGTATCTTGACAAACTGCCTTTATTATAGATTTTGGTATCGCGAAGGAGTACCGGAACCTGCAAACCGACCTATGCGCTATCTCGTCGAGTTTAACGTCTCCCTGGAACTCCCGCATTCGCTTCAACCAACAATCACTCGGGAGTTGAGTCGGCTCGTCGCGACGATCTCAAACCACTTGCATGCATGCTGGTCTATTTTATTGCGTGGCTTCCTTCCACGGCTAACTGGTGGCTACGTGCAGCCCTCCAGCTGTTCTGATGTCGAACTCCATACTCGAGCCTAAGCAAAACGCCTTGATTGAATGTTTGTGTCGTGAAATTCCTTGTGAATTTGCGACTATCCTCGAGTACGCGCGCTCTCTCTCGTTCCCAGAGGATCCTGGCTATCGCTATCTTCGCTCGATTTCAGCCAACCCGATCGTCAGCGTCGACTTAGCGAAGCTACCCATCCTAATTGCCTGAATAGTACATCCAACAAGAAATAATACATCGGGACTAATGGACACGAAACTGACAAACGCTGAAGGCTACAAATCTATGCGAAAAACATCCTGGCCAGCATGGACGAGTGGGTTTGTGCGTAGCCCGATCGCCACTGGCTTAAGTTGAACGACGGCTTCTCACTATTGGCCGTACTCGCTACGGTTGCGGAATCATCCATGTAACGCAAACTCGCATCAAAGTGATACTCTGCACGAGCGCAGACCTTCTGCAAAATGTGAGAGGTGCAATCAGTTACAGTTCAAAAGCATCGAGATGAAGTAGTCGTACATCCGCATCTTTGAGAGAGTCGTCAGCAATGTACTTGGTAAAAGATGTAAAAGGACGTACAATAGACGGGGGCAGGTATGGAGACGGATCGAGTTGCGCTCACATACGCGTGGCAGAGAGTGTATGACACCTCTTGTATACTAGGGATGCACGAAATTTATTTGGTAATTGGTTGTTCTTCGACTAGAACTTACGGTCTGATATCAAAATCGAAATTCTCGTCCTTGAGTACAATATAGTGGGCAGGTCGGCTTGCTGGAAATAGTCATACATAGTCAGTCTGGAAATCGCCGCACATAGTATACACCAACTTCCGAGCAGCCCACCATGGGACAGGAGGTAAAAGTCTTTGGCTATCGGATTGGCAATACCTTCACTGGCGACAAACCCAGCTTGTACATTGCCGCTCTTTCGATCTCCATCTTGACTATGAGAATCGCTTAATAAGTGATGGAAACGCAGGAAGAGATACGTACGGGTTTATTGGGAAGAAGCGAACGTGATGTCTGCGAGGAAAATCAGCGATCTTTGCTTACCCAGCTGGGGTGGAAAGTCACCTCTTCCCTACAATGAGGTAGGTGACTAAAGGCCAAGGGTCACTTAATTTCACTTCAGCCCAAACCCTTCTGATAGCCTCTGATGAATTTATCAACATTCTGCGAAGTCTTATTGTCTCCTACGAACCTTTGATGTCTTGGAACTCCAGTTCACCGACACCCGTATATTCACCTTCAGAGAGACCGTCTCTGAAGAACATGAGTCTTTTCGGGGCTTTATGGTGGATCTTGCCATATCGCGAAATGGCGTCCTGCGATAAGATAAGCAACTGTCCCATTTACCAGAAGGCAGTGCGTACATAAACCATAGGACCGAGCTCGCCTATTCTCTCCTGCCGCGGCTGCTGCACCCTCGACGTTGCACTGTACTTGACGCCGTGCAGGTCATACGAAAAGACGACGCTAGCAACCGAGGGCTTGTTCTGGATACCGGGCCCGGGATGACCAACATCGGCACCTGGAAATTAAAGTCAATACCAGCACAAACGACGGATCATCGATGGCATCACGGACCAAAAAATATGAAATCTTCCTTCGTGAACCAGTCAAATGCAGGAGATGATGGGATGGAGTTCACTCCCGTTAATCGAGCGTTGATTCTGAGGGAAATTAGCTTCACATGGAGGTCATGTTTTGAATATCGCGTACTTGATGGCGATGTTATTACAGTATTGGTCAAGTCGTGATCCCGTAAACTTCGCGATGTTGTCTTCCCGCTGTGAAATACGTATTGGAAAACCACGAACGGTCGGGATATGAAGTAAAACCCACCACACATTGTGTAGACACCTGCTCACGACACAAAGTTAGCCCAGAAAGTTGCAATCAATGACGATACCTACGCCAAGAATGACATCCCCTGTTCTCTTAACATCTTGACGGATGTCAGCGGCAGATTGAGGCAGGATGACTATTACGATCTCAGGTGGCTTGTTATAACCAGGAGGGGCTCCGGCTGAGATCAATGCCAGAGAGCATGCCTCCTTGATATCCTTTGAAATTATATCCTTTAGTAAAAATAAAAATAAAAAAAGCGCCCGTACCCGTTCTACCGAGCCGACACCACTGCCTCGTTTGTATGACGGCTTAGATTTCACGGCTACAATCAACTGTCAACAACACTCTTACAAACCTAAAGAAAATTCGTACTCATCCCTGGAATACGATGGTGAATGTGAGAACTTCAACAGCACGATCAACATACCTCGTGAAGTGCAACACGTTTCAAGTGTATCCATAAACCCTTTGACAACATTTTGATCGAGCCTTAAACTGTAATCCACAACCGCCCACGCCTTGATGGTCTCAGGAGAATGTAGATGCTGTCTCGTGATGTTCCATGCTCCGTTGTTCACTTCCTATTGGCAAAAATTAGCTAAATAGAGCAATACGCGAGAAAAGCCACTTGCCGCCGACTGTTTTTTGCCGTAGGAGATGGTAGGTGGTCTGAGAAGTTGACCTTGCAACATGATTGGTTTCTCTGATATTTCCATTCCCGCGTCTTGGATATAAGGCGAAGTGGCATACTCGAGCGTCTGAGCGAAAATGATTAATGAATCTCAACTTTGGCGAATAGCTTACGGGAGGTTGGACTCGGTCGCCTTTCTGGCCAACGATCATTTCCAACCGTTTCTCTGGCCTGAATTTGGAAAAATCAACCATCATGCTCGTCATGTTCTGCGGTAGTTTACGGGTGTACCGCTGGCCTGCGGCCACAGTGCAAAGTTCAGCCGGAATGACAGTGTTTTTTCCAGATCCTCGGCTCAATTCGATGCCAATGATGTCGGGGAATGATAACCGTATGTTGTATGTTTTGTGGTAGTATTCCTGCGAAAATGACAATGAGATTCAGGATAAGACTATGGAAATGATTGATGTGGAGCGTACCGCCACAGTTGTGGGAAGTGATGAGCCGTCTTCTTGCTCTTTGGTAAACTGAAAACGTCCGGCTGCCTCAACGAGACCAACAATTTTCTTTGTCACAGTCTTTTGTGGTAGCTTTATGTCAACAAGAACATTCCGGAAAAACTGGCTGAGAATATTCCACTCTTTGCTATGCTTCTTGTAACTGAGTGCTCGTGCATTCCCTCGAATGTTCAAAACTTCTAGAGCAACGTCCACAAACGGCCCTGGTTTGTACCTAAAATGGACAACACCAGATGAGAAGCAACGCAAGCGAGTTGGCAAGACGTACATTGCTGCTGCGCTGATGTCAACGTTCACAAGAACTCTGCCAATTGCTGGTCGGACACTCCTGCGCGCCAACGTGAAGGATGATCGTTAGGTTTTGAGATACGACGTACTGAAAGAATCCGCGAAACAGCTGAAGACCTCCACGAAGATCTTTTGAGCCAGTACTGGTAAAGTAGGCTCTCCCGTTATTCGGGTATTTACTGAAGTGGCTTCAGTCATACAATCGGTTGCAGAATGTGTGACTTACAGATTCGGGGCCTGGCGAATAATAAACTGGAGGAGATTAAGGGCGACAGTGACCTTAGGCGTTTGATCACTGATTCTTCCATTGAGAAAGCTTTTGAGGTCGCTGAACCACATGTGCCATGAGATATGTCTAAACTCGAACCGAGATGCGTAGTGCGTACTCAAATGTTACCGCCTCCCCTGACACACGGGCTACCTTGACTGTAACTCGACCTTTTCCGGGAACCACAAGGGTGTACTAGTAACCAAGATCAGGCTGTGAATACTGCATCACAATCGAAAGCGTACATTTCCTGCGTTGCCATCAGGGAGATCCAGCGGTGCGGCAGAGTATAGAATACTCTTCCCGTCAAACAGACACAGACGAAAAACCCTGGGTGCCTCGTGGTTTTGGAGTCTTTCGATTATTCGATGTCTCCATCGAACATTTTCGACATCGGGTGTCATTACTAGAGAAGACTTGTTCGAACACAGTGGCTATTACTGGCACGAAGGCACACGCACCAACTGCGTAAATTTACTCAGGACGACGATAATCGTTTGTCAAGCAGGTATGTACTCACCATCGTATTGCTCGTACACTTTGACGGGGATTTGTGTTACATCGAAAGCGTTCGCATATACGGTCATGGGTTTACGTTGGCCCAACGGTACAGTAGACGCCGAAGCCATCTGGAAAGATATGTCGATCGTTGAAGGATGTAGTCCAAGATACGAGGATGATAGGGTTTAAATGAGATACAACCGCGCTTTTGAAGAAGAAATAGTGCGAATGGGTGAGGGCGAGATGGTAATCATGCACTTTGATTTGCCTGCCAGCTGCAAGGATCGTACAATATCCGACCGACTCGGATTTAGTCTTCGTGAACCATAAAACTGGAATTTCTCCCAAGCTCGTGCTCAAGAATACGAAGCTCGCGGTTCGGCGGCCTCGAGGCAAATGGAAGAGAAACGATGAGTAGATAGCAAGGAAAGGAGGTATTTTCCCAAAATTCAACTTTATACACGAACCACGTGTCAATCGTTGTATTTGGACTCGGTTCAACTTTCACGATCTTGACATCGACTGGCGCGTCGTCGAGCATCTTCAAAGCGTTCGGCGACGATGGAGGAGATGGAAGAGCAGGACATCGGCCTGCTTTATCCTTCTCGATCAGGGTCCTGCACAGGATCGACTGAAACTATTGCCTCAAGGCTCACATCCCGGCAGCCTTCTCCAATTGAATTACATGTTCCAATTGATGGTGTTGGATCGCGCCAAGACCCTTTGAGCCCACTCAAGTCGCCCTCAATGTCCAACGTTCACGATACACATTTTGGACTTCGCCCGGTTGGCCAGAAGACTGTGATACGTTCTAGAACTCTTCCTCGTCTGCCCAGATTTGATACAACTATACAATTAAGTTCGGAGTTCACTGGCTTTGAGTTTGAGCGAGACAGGGCGTTGCGAATGTCTCAATGGGTCCTGGCTTTTGCCATAGGTCAGTGCCGCGTAACATACTTAACTGTTCAATTTATACCATGCACCCGCAGTCAATTTTGATCTAGATCTCGGTCCTGTTGTTTGCGGGGTATATCCACCCTTGTGTTTGACACCCGCAGAGAAAGAGAACATGTAAGTTGCCATTGTCCCGATCAGTTTGACTTGGGTATTGAATTTCGTTCTCAAGTGCTTTCTCATCCTTCCCCGATTCTCTACAATTCGAACAAGGATCAGAAGTGCATTCTTTTCGCATACAAGATCTCGGCGCATCAACCAAAGACGTCGGTCTAGACAACGGCAACAGCAGATCAGGTAGCATTGATGGATATCTTTATGGATATTCGCACTTTTCCCAAAGAAGAGACAACACCTCAAAGCGAGGATACCAGCAGGTGAATCAGCATGGCGGGTCCAATCACTTTCTAAAATGTCGCTAACATCGATTAGACTTCTTTAGTACTTCTCTCACACCAACAGTACCCCGCACTCTTGACCACCCTAATTATGAAACTTGGGCCCTTGTTCCTGACCCATGGTGTGCCTATGCTGGAAACGGCCTGTCATAACATTGCCAACTGGTGCGCGTGCCGCTCTTGTTATATTATGTTTCAATCAACTGAATGTTGTCTGTCAAAGAAAGGTGCAGCCCATCGCCCGGTTTGACTGCTGAGCTAGGATTTCTAGGCTCGGTTCTCCATGTCGAGTTGCCCATGACTGCAGATACTCAACAATTGACGGATACTGCATCTTTTCGTGAGAAATTTGACACGACTTTGCATGTAATTAAGTTGGTTTTCTGTTTGCGTCAACGACTGACGGAACCGTATCAGCTACTGTCTTCTATAGCTCCACTTGACCCGCCTCCAATATCGATATTTGAGGCCTCTTTGTCGCATTTATGGTCAATATGGGAGTGCCTGATTCTTTGCGAGCCAATCTTGGTATTCGGATCTTCACCGGCAGCAACGAGTCAAGCAGTCTGGTGGCTCAGAGATCTGTTGCGTCCTGTGCGCCGTCTGCTTGTCATTTGTGGAATCGATGACTGACAAATTCCATTCTCAGATACCTCTTGCTAATGATTTCCGCCCTTACTTTACCATTCATGATAAGGATCACTCGCTTTTGGTCAATAAACTCCCACCTAAAGCTGGCCTTATCTTGGGTGTGACCAATCCATTCTTCCAGAAGTCGTGCACCCATTGGCCCCACGTCTTGAGCGTAGGGGTAAAAGCAAGGTATGTCTGGGGTTGCTTGTGTTCTCAACTCTCATCGTTCACATTCGTCGTCATTCGCTGCAGTCCGCGTCGTCAGGGGAGTGCGACTATTCTCGCAGGGCCACCGCCCGGATGGTGCACAAAAACTCATCGCCGATACATTTCCAAAGACCGTCAATTATTAAAGGCAACCGAAAACGCTTGTCAAGCAAGCATCCAAGACAGTGCGTCCACCAAATGGTGATTAGTACTTACTCATGATTCGTAGGGATACAAGCATCATTGGACCTCAGAAGACATTTTTGTTTGCGCACCAACACCATGTTAGTTCCTCTGAACAGATACCTCAATACTCTGATACCCTCTCCGACGGAATGTATCACCGTTTCGGGTTGTAGACGCCTAAAACCTTTCAGTTCGGCCGACTTTTTCTCTTCGCTTAAGGCGAATGGGTCCCCTCTGCCGTTTAAGTCCGCGGCTAAGCGGAGGGAGTTTTACGAAAGGTGGTTAAAGACGCCAGCATTTGGGTTGTGGTTGGCTCAGCAAGAGGAAGTAGTGCAGAAGACGCTGCAGGACAAATGGGCTGGTTGATGTCAAGTTGGTTCCTGTCGATTACCACCGAGCGCATCATAGATGAGCTTCCTTAAATCCGTATAAGTATCAGGAACATGTTATTCCGCGAAGTAGATCTTCATCAATTTTCAAGTCAGCGGTGTGACGAGAAGGTTAAGCGCCAGCTGCGCCACCGATAACAAGTAGAACCAAACAACTCTTTCCGCTATAGAACATGACGGATTTGGTGAAGTTCGCCAAGAATCTCTTGCTTTTGCTCTTCCACGTCGCTGTCGCGCAACTTGTACGCTCTCGCTGCGCTCTACGGGTCTTTTCTCTGTTCTTATTGTGCTTTGCTCTACGTCCTGTATTTCGCTCAGTTGGGCGCGTAATCATTGTCACTGTATCCATACTTATCATGTAAGAGCTCCTCTACTTGTTTGTGTAGCTGACGTGGGTAGTGCGTACAGGCGGCTTCGTGATGCCCCGTGTGGAAGTTTTGCCTCGTTGTCATCTGTGTTACCCTCATGTCTGTTGGTACTCAAATCCTGTCATTTTACTTTTTTCTAGTGCAAAAGACTTTCTATTCTTCTGCTTGAGTCAGCGAAATCATGCCTGAGGAAGATTATGACATCTACGGCGAATACGAAGCTTATGCTGCTGTCAGAGCCAACCAGGTGGGCACATAAAATGCGTCTACTTGGTTGAGCACCTAATTGGACTGACTGTATGCGCGCTTAAAGGGTATTGAGGGACAGGAATTCGACGCAAAGGAAGAGCCGGTGGAGGCTATGACGACCGAAGTCGAACCCTCGATAGGTGAGAAACGGCCTCGGAGCGATGAAGATGAGGAGGAAGAAGCAAAGCCGTCACCCGTCCAAAACTCGCCTCAGGCCCCTCACGTTCAGTCAGTCCAGCAAGGTCCGGTCAGGACCGAAGGTATCTCGCATGGCGTCGTGAACGGTAACTACAACGCCGTAGTGCAAAACGGTGGTCAGATGGGAGGCGGGATGGACCCGTCGATGGTGGGCTATGATGCACTGTATATTGGTGATTTGCAATGGGTCCGTTTGTCCCGTCGTTTAGAATCCTGTGTATATCTTTCTAAGCCTGTTTTGGTGCTTCTCTCTCCTACAGTGGACGACAGATGAGGACCTGCGTCAAGTCGCTCTTAATGTCGGCGTGTCAATCGATCACCGTGACATCACCTTTTCTGAACACAAGGTGAACGGCAAGAGTAAAGGGTGAGCAGCTTCTTGGCAAAAGTGAGGCGTCACTCAGTCGCACTAGTATTGCCTACGTGGAGTTCAGTAGTTTCGAGAACGCCAACGCCGTCAAAACATGGTTCGATAATAAGTATGTGGGGCCTGCCGCCTTTGCAGATGCCAAAGCTGACCTTGCATCCAGCGACTTCCAAAATCGACGTGCTACAGCAACTCTGACAAATTCTTCGCAAGGCAATCCGTTCCGTACACTCCCTAAAGGTCTGTTTATCGCCTAGGGCATTGGATCAGCTTTGTTTAATCATGACTCCAGAACCACCGCCACGAGATACCCGAACCAGCCAACAAGCAACCCCTGTTCCCACCTCAGGGACAAACATGGGCCGCGGCTCAACAGGGAACTTCCGCGGTGGTACTTCCAACCAGATGGGGGGAGGTATGATGGGTGCACAAGGTCGCGGGGGCGGTATGACGAGCAACATGATGCGCGGTGGCATGCCCACAATGATGGGTAACATGGGTATGGGCATGGGCATGGGCGGCATGAACATGATGGGAATGGGGAACATGGGCATGGGTATGGGAGGCTTCGGTGGGCGCGGCGGCATGATTCCCCAGGGACCCCGAGGAGGTGGTATGATGGTGGGTGGACGTGGCGGCATGGGAGGAATGGGTATGGGCTTCTAACGGTCTCCTGCATGTGGATTGTTGTTCTTACTTGCACTTGATGTACTCTATAGGTATGGGAATGATGGGAGGACGCGGCGGCTTCGGCATGCAAGGTCACTTCAATCCAGCGTTCATACAAGGGCAGCAAGGCGGTCAGTTCGGTGGCGGCGGCTCAGATAGGAAGCGATTCCGAGCGGACGATAATTGATGATGCATCAAGGCAAGCGCCATTCAAAACACCTGTGGATCGACGTATCTAAGTATTTATTTATTTCTATCCTCCGCTCCTTCGTATCGTGCGTTCAGCATTTTAACTTGTTGATATTTGCTTTTTCCTTGTCGCTGTTGACATTGCTGATGTTCAATAACCTATCCTTGTAATATTGAAACATGCGTCGATCTATTCTGTCTGCTGGTGAACTAGGAAGGTATTGCATTGCACGAAGAGCATGGGTACGACTGCAGAGACTGAATACATGGTGTAACATATAAACAAGATTGCGTTGGCTGATAGAACAAAAGTGATGGTGATTTATGATTTATGGTATGCGTATATCACATCTAAAGCATCAAGAAAGACAACGGGGCAGGTTCCACCATCCATGAGGGTATGAAATGTCCATGAAATATAGCATGCCGAAGTCAGAAAAATTCCTTGCCTTATCCCCGCCTCTCCTTCATTTCCCTTTCCTTCTTCTTGCGACGTTTCTCTTCCTCGTGGCGTTTCTCCTGTTCAAGGGCCGCTTCATCCTCTTTCCTGGCGAGACGCGCACTACAAATATCTTTGTCAACGATGGTATCGTCGCCAAAGGTGGAATCACTGACCTTCTGAGTTCCTCCCGCTCAAGAACGCCAGCATCGACTTCCATATCATCATCGTCGCTATATACATCCTGTTCAACGTATGCACGGCGGTCCTTGCCGAATAGTTTCCAGATTTCATTACTGTAAGATTCCGCTTCAGCTGAGGCAGGACGCCTCTTCGGAGGAGGGGGGGATAACGAGGAGGATGGGGAACGGGGTCGTTTCTTAGTTGGCCCGGCGGAGCGTGCTGCAGCTGACGTTTTACAGGCAGGCACCTTCATTGAAGCAGTCGAGGTTGCAGTCGACCTGGGTTTCGCCTCAGTCTTTAAAGACTTTGAGCTATCTGCGCTTTTGGACTGGGAAGTCTTTGAAAACGATAGGACAGCAGACTTTGGAGCAGCTGTGCTCTTGGGGGGGCCAGAGTGGGCTTGTCCTACAAAGTCGCATCGAAGATGTAACAATGATGTGAAGGATGTTGCCGACAAAACACTCACTGGATGAAGGGCTAGGGGAATTGGAGCCAGAAGACGCTCTAGATGGGGCAGCCGTAGATGCCTGAGCACTAGCCTTGCTTGTCTCCTTCTTCCCCTTACCAAACCAGTCATTGAACTCTTTGGCGTCGTCGCCGTCCAACGTTGCGGTTTTCGCCTTGGCTCTGTCCTGCAAAATCTCGTCTATGGTCCGCGTATCTCGCTTGTGGACGTTGAGCTTGGTTAAGGTATTAGGGAGTGCAGCAAGGCGAGCCTTGACAGACTGCGAGCTGTTACAGCTGTCCGAGTTTGGCGCTGACGTGGCGTCGATGGCGCCTCCTGGAAGTCGCCTGCCGGCTTTGTGGTAGCCGGAAGATGTGCCAGCCCGCTTAATGGCATAACCCCTGCGCATGTCGGCTTCAAGCCTGCGCCGCCGTTTCTCCTCGCGAGTGAGAGCCATGGCTGGAGAGCCGGAACGGGAGCCGCTCTCGTCGTCTGACGGCAATCTGCGCCTGCGAACGTCGTCCTTCGAGGTTCCGTTGGACGATGGCCACTTAGGGCCCAACTTGGCCTTCTTTGGACCATAAAGCAACGCATTGCGTTGTTCCTCCTCCCGCCTTGCCTGCTCTTCCTGCATGCGTCTCATCTCTGCTTCTCTCTTGAGCAACAATTCTCGTTGCTTCTTCTCGTCCTCGAATCTCTTCTGTCGGAGCTTGGCAGCTTCTTCACGCTCCTTTTTCTCAGATTCCTCCCGCTTTTTCCGTTGGAGCTCCTCGTTACGTTGTCGCTGCTGTAGAGCGCTTTGGACGGCGTTTTGGGACTCCTTAGTTTGTGAGGCGCTTAGCGCCATCAGAGCAGCGAATGACATTATGGTAGTCAGGCTCAGCCTGTGGATAATGTAGAGTTAGGTGAAAGCGAACGAGGGGCGCTCAGCAGATATGATGGTGGGGGTTCGAGGGGCAGTGCCTTGGCTTAAGTATGTGCCACTGTGTGGGTGGCGGTGTGAGTTACGGTGGACAGCTGTCACACTTTCACAAGGGGCTTTGTGACATGCTGTGACAAATCATCCGAAAAGTATGATAGGGGCTATGCACTAATTTGTAATTTGTCAATTTTCCCTGCGCCTCTGCAGCGTGAGTGAACTCTGATAAAATAACACATACACCACGATCTGGCTGGTTGATGTCCGTCTGGCCTAAGTCTTATCAAAGAGCGGTTCCGAAAGAATTAGCTAATGATGGAAGCTCTTTTGTGAGCTCTTGAGAGGAAATTAGAGATCCGAGAGTATCACGAACAGTCAGCGGAGTCACCTTCCCGGAGAAAGAGGATGTCCGCTCGGAGGAGAATTAGGCGACGTTGAAGCATACTCGCCTTAGTGAGGGGATGATATCTTCTTTATTTTGCATACATAAAGTTTCGAACTTTTCTTTGCAGTACTGGGCCCTTGAAGATATTTGGTTTCCCATGCTGTCAATGACATCACGGAACTGCTGCCGACTGGTCCATCAACCAATCGTAAGCCCTTTTTAGCATCATTCAATCTACTGATCTCCCGTGTGCATTCGCTAATTGGTGGATGATATAGATTCATATGGATACCACCTCTCACCGTTTCCCAAAAGTCCCTCTGACAACAGAGAGATGTCTACTCGCCATGACCCGGATTAGAAAGACCGCCTGGGAGTTGCAGTCCGTTGGGCATGGGATATCGTCCTACCAGTTGACCGAGAGCGGATGCTTTGCTGTTGGGCACTTAGGCATTAGTATTACCCATTCAAACACAACTGATACTAAGTAGCATTTCCGATACAGTTGACTGTCATCTTAACACGAAACCAAGCTCATCAAAAAAAGAAAGGGTTTCAATGCGATGGCGGCCCCCTCTTATGCCCCCCTGCGTGAAATCCTGAAATCCGCCTTCACGAGCCTGGGGGAGATGTTCATGTGATCTTTAACGACCATCTGATCGTACTTCAGAAGCCTGTCACGGAAGTCCTCCTTATCATGCTCAAAGACCCCAGTCATCGCGCAGAGGTGTTCGACATCCTTACTCAGTTCAAGTAATTGACCAAGAGGATGCTCGTGTTTGGGCCTACGCTGGAGGACGAGAATCTGATTGTTCTTCTTGCCGACTGGGAGAGCGTTGAGGTAGGCGTGGAGATTATCGTGATTTTGGATCTACTGATGCTATATTTGACTTCTATAGGCTCCTTTGGAGACGGTCGCTAGTCCTGAGCTACAAGCTCTGACTGAACATCTATTCACACTGCCTTGACCCCTTACCACTGAAAGCAGTAGTTGATGTCGCATACAAAGCAAAAATTGTATATTATAAGATCCTGCATCATGATAGATTGATACTTTATCCATTCAAATGCTGAGAAGGTCCAATAAGAATAACTCCAACAGTGAGACACATCAGCCGAATCATTGGAGGAACAACATAGTGAAGGGAGATGTGATTCCATTCGCAGAGAGAAGTAGAACATACATCAATCCGCGTAGTCACTTAGTTAGTCGACCATAGGCAAAATATACGCAATAGATCCTAGAGTTTATGGACAATTCATCCACCAACTCGAAACTGAACCTGTGGGATATGAGATAAGAGGCGATGTCTTGACTATGAGCAATCGATGCGTCATGCAAATAACATAATAAACATTGCATGTTGGTCAGTTTGAACTTTGGGGTAAGAAATATCCGGGAATGATTACAATATCTGGACTTACCTGGGGTGCATCAGCATTGACCATCTGATGTCCCAGGTATTAGCTATGTTGGATCCTGACTCAAAATGCAACACTATCAAATAAAAAAGACGCAGTGGAAAATCTCCCAGAACTCATAGGTCAAGACTAGTGAAATACGAAACTCGATGACAATGTCCGCGAAAAGCTCTTTTGATCCAAGACACCCTCAGGGGCCTCAGGGAAAACACCCGCGGGCATAAGATTCGTTAACGTCGATCCCACAATCGTCGGGGAAGGAAGAGCGACGCGCAGATGCCCAGACAGACAAGGGAAATCATATAATAGTAGACGATCCATGCTTGGTGAGGGTTCTTGATAGAGAGCGAGAATATAGATGTGGCGGATGCGGGACCGATCGTTCGGACGATCGAAACACCCAGCTGAGCGATCCCATTCGTTGCGCCAAGAGATGCATGGTTCGGAGACGCTGCGGCGATATAAATAAATACGCAAGCTGAGGGGGATCATGATCAACGCAAAGAATCGTGATATAATGCGGAACTAACAATACGCCAGATTTAATATCATCGAGAGAACAAGTTGCAGGCCGACAATCACCCATACCGTGAGGCTCAAACCCTGTACCCTGGCCACAGCATTGAGGATGGGGAGAGTGATGATCATCGGGACTGCAGCAGCCATTGCCGCAGAATAGATCGTTTTTGAGCCGAAACGATCATGGAGATCGGCGAAGAAAAAGATCTGGAACAAGCCGTTGATGACACCATAGATAGCTAGAATATTGCCGATGCGTGGGGGATCTAATCCCAGCCCACCGAGTTCTAGCGGTGTGGCGAAGAACAGAGGTTGCACAGCACGAAATGCGATATCGAGAAGTGACAAAGCGGCATAATTTCCAGCAGCTATGATCACTTTGGGTATCAAGAGCGAGCGAAGGGGTAGTGGCTTGGAGTCAGCGTTTGCACACTGAGCGGTATCTTCGGTGCATAGGGAATCAGTTGATCCTGTGGGTGTCACGGGGACCTTGACAGGGGTGGAATCTTCGCAATATTTCCCCTTGAGCAAGCGCCCGAGAGTCACCCTGGCAGGCACAGTCTGTCAATCAAACGTCATCAACTTATTATCCTCCTGCCAACCTTGCATGTTAACGTACCTCTTGCAAGAAAAGGAACGTGACGACCCAAGCCAATGCGGAAAAGGTGGCAGGTACAGCACATGCGAGGAAATAGGGATAAGTCTTCAAGAATTGGGAATGTCCGAAGATGTTCGGAAACCGATCAACTGGTCGGGATAACGATCCGCCTATAAGGGGGCTGCGAGGGCGTCTTATTTCCAGAAGCGATGTGAATTATCACAGGAACATACCCAAGGGTCCCACCACTTGACCAAGCTATTGGCATATACGCATATGCCTGGGCTAAGTTGGTAGAGTCGGTAATCTCTACCATCATACTTTTGATTACGCCAATATTGCCATTCAATGCACCATTTAGAGCACGGCTGAGTATTAGAAAGTGTCGGGAATCAGAACTGTGAGTGACACGGGAGAATGAATGATCGAACCTTAATACGAGTCCTAAAAAGGTTCTGGATAGGCCGAAACAGTACATTGAGATAGATAATCCGAAGAGGCCTGTCAAAATGACAGGTTTCCGTCCGATGTGGTCTGATATACGACTCCAGTGGAGAACGGTGAGAGCTTGGGTAGCAAAGAATAGGGAGTGCTGCACATATTTGAGCCCGAAGATATACACATTGTTCAAATGAGACTCACCATAAGTCCGACGTAGTGGCCCACACGGGTTTCATCGCCATTCGTAATCCCAATGTCTCTTATCAGCTGGCACGCACGAGTGTCAAAAACTTATCAATTCGGCTGCGAAAGAAACATACCTGAGGTGCAAAGGGGGATATAACTTGGGAAGTAAGTGGTTCTGCGAGCTGGAGAAACAGTATGATAGAGAATTGACGCCAAGGCAATGGTGTCCTAGCCTTCTTCTGCTGCACGGACTGTAGCAATGGCGTCTCCTCATCCACCTGCTGGTGGGACATGATGGTTCGCAAGAAGGAATTGAAGAATGAACGGCCGAGGACTGCCTAGAGGTTCTGTGGAATGGTACATAAGCAATTCAAGTTGGCAGGTGATAACCGAAAAATCCGTGCTACCTTTGTCATGACATGACTCACACAAGATACTTCCTTAAGATCATTGTACGACAGTGTATGACCAACACTTTAATTAATAAGCTGTCAACTGTTTTCTGATCTGAAAGACCGTATTGAGATCGCAGAACCAAGTTGCTATCTGCCGGCCGTGACTCTGAGTCCCACGTCGAAGGTGCTGAAGCGGGCTTTCGACTCTCGATGGTGATGACTGTGCCCAACTTTGGAGTCACAAAATGACATGCCGCATTTGAAATTTAATTGCCTTCTGGCTTCTCGGACTTGTCTCGGACCGATGTATTTTTGGTAGTCCACTCTAGCGGAACCAAAAGATAAACTTTGCTTTTCCTGCACGTGACAGTGACACGCTCGTTGACCGCGAAGACGCGACTCGACTGTACGAAAAGGTGAATTGCAGAAATAGATGCAGGTGACTGGCGTTGGAAAATCCATATCCTGTGGGTTGATGGTGCCGTGGCATACATTGCAAAGGACAGCCATGGCACGTTCCCCAGTCCAACCCGTCACTGGCAGGCTCAAACCTTGGGCAAAATGAGCTACCGTTCATGGCAGAGCTCTGAAAATCCACCGTCCACCCTGTTGTTCTTTGTCTTATACATTCCGTCCACAAAGCGGAAAACGTCGGTACCTTCCGATCTAAAGTCCACAACGCTTTGGTGTCTATATCATCTCAGCCTTGCTTTGGTTAATTTATATCTTCACGCCCCTCATCTGTATCTTTACCATCATGCCTCTCAATGTGGACAAGCAACTTCCCTCTTTGCCCGGAGACTTGAGCATAGATCCTGCCTCAAGCCCCACGCTCCTGGCACCTCCGGCTACTGGTGGTCGGGTTAATATGGCACGTCCCCGACCAACACTCAACTTCGAGAAGCCTTTATCATCCGAAGAGCTTGCACATCTACGCGATCACTGGAACGAAGCTGCCTCAGCGGTGAGTGGCACCTATCCTATCAGATGGTCCATGATCAGCTCACTCATATGTTCCAGCGGCGCATTCGCTTTCAGCGCCACCCAGTAGATCATGATCGCCTGCGGTCTGCCCCCTTACCAACTTCCGAAGCGGAAAATGTTTCAGGAAGCATTTCACGTGAAAACGACCCTTCTACGCCCACGCCTCGGAAACGATGGGGAATCTTCACCAGGTGTGCATGATCTCACCTAGATATTCAAGTAATTAATGCGTACGTGTTGCGAACAGAAAGACTGACGGTAGATGCCCAGAAGATAGACGAGCAAGCACCAAAAAACCCCAAGCATGTCCGCTTCCAGAACGTCTTGAATACAGGAAACGTAGCGAAGATCGACGGACAACCTGAACGCGGCTACCAAAGCTGGTGCACAACAGGTGTCTCCTGCCGTACATCCCATGCCGCGCGAGGCCGCCGCTTCTACTCCCACAGTCAGAAAGCCCACCGGTACTCCTGTCACTCGGCTCGATCAGACTGCGCAGGAACTGGGGATTGACCTGAACGATGGAGGTATTTATCTTACTCTCGATCCCGAATGGAGATCCTCCAGCGGCGAAGTCGTCCTCACATTCTTGTCGCCAATTCCTGACGTGACTACCAAAGCATCAAGCACCTCCAAGCGTATCCGCTCCAAGAAATTCTCGAACATAGCCAAAGCAGCAAGATCGACGCCCAACCTGAACGCGGCTGCCAAAGCTGATAAACAAAGGGTGTCTCCTTCTGTGCATCACATTCCGCGCGAGGCCACTGCTTCTGCTTCCGCAATCAAACAGCCCGCCAATACTCCTGTCAATCAGCTCTATGAGGCTGTGCAGGAATTGGAGATTGACCTAAACGATGGATGAATTTATCTCACTTTTGATCCCGAATGGAGATCCTCCCGCGACAACTCGGAAGTCGCCCTCACCTTCTTGTCGCCAATTCATGACGAGACGCCAAACTCGGCCCCCATCCCCCGGCGCCGCTCACTGAGCGAGCTACAGTCTGGGCAGAGTTCCCCAAATCCTCGCGCCACAAAAAGGGCCAGGATGCAAGCTGTTGATGAGCTGCATTCTTTCCTTGGCTTTGACGATTGAGCTGTTGTAGTTATTCTACATCAGTTCCACTACCACTCCTTCATTCTCTACCACTGCGCATTCTGTTCAACTCATTGATAGCTCTGTTATACTTATGACCATTCTACGATATTTTCACGCCGCAACCCTTTCATTGCCACTGGGCACAATGTTCAAGTCATCTGACAGCTCTAATTACTCTTTCGTTCCCACTGATCACAATATGTATCCAGCTAACCCATTTGTTTGTATCGCTATCATCCTTCAATGTATATCATGCTAGTCTGCTAGGTATTGCGCTAAAATTAATATTGGCCCTAGGATCTCCTAGGATCTTACGCTGAGGCGCGGATCTTGCCGAACGCCCGGAGAACTTCGAGATACTTATCATCATCTGACTCTTTCATCACACAAGTAGCGGCGCAAGTCCAAGTTACTTCTCAGGCAAGGCGATGTACATTGACAGGGGAGGACGACAATGTTGTATATATATTTATCTTGGCACTGATTTGGAGTTCCGGAGTAATTTTGAAGAGAAATAAATAAACTAGCGTCGTGTTGCACTACGCTAACTTGGAACTAGCGGCCCGCCTGTACTCTTTATTAGAAGGAGCGAATTGCTTCCTTCTTCTATAGGGGAGACTAACCCATACTTGACCCATATTTGCTAGACTGGTGACCAGCCCGCCCGCGCATCCGGAGACTCTTAATCAGTCATCCCGGTTCCTTTGCATTGATGCTGGATCCAAATGCCTCTGATCCGAACAGTGCGATTGGGTACAGATCATAATCAGTGCTTTATTGATAGTTTCACCGGATTGATGGTGCCATGCGGACACGCTAGGTCCCTAATTCTGCGCGCGCACACGCACTGCCACACAGTACAGACCGACCTAGATACGTGAGCGCGAGCTGCCAGTGCTGTACCACGCGACCAACTCTTCCACCAAGATACACAATGCACTGCATGTCGGTATTTAGGTTACCGGTAGAGGCGTTAATGTTACAGCCTTGGGTATGATGGCATCAGTGATTAACGAAGCTTGGTACAAGCATAAAATAATGCCTACACCGACACCATTACGACCTTGTGCCAGGGATCGCAGTGCACTGATGATTGATCACACAGCATAAAGATAAACGTGGCTGTTATACATAGGCAATCTCCGGAAGTCCGTATGATTACCTATAACGAGTAAGCTTTAGATCGTCAACCGGGAAGCTGATTCCCCGACCCAGCGTCAATCATTGCGCCGCAGATGGGTGCCAAGTACTAGTTATCGACGTACAACATTTCGACCGCCGGATGTAACTCCCACTGATTGAGATTAGTAGCCAGACATGCGCATGCGGTCCCCACAGTAAGATCCAATTCTCTGTCGTTATTGAATGGACACCGCAGCCTTTGACAGACGATTGAAGGTATGCCACGACACATCCTTGAAATGAAAGCAGGTATAACCCGAGTCTTGAAATTATACTGTTTCCAAGACTACACGTGGACCCAGTCAGGACGACCACATGATTACGCCCATGTGTCGAAGGTACACTTCACGATCATGTTCTCGATATCGATCATGACGTCAACGGCACCTGAACCGTTAAGTTGCAACATTACTGCATTCATAGCGCTTGTCGCAAATTGAACAATCGAAGATGATTTTCTGGTCGATCCGCGATACTGATGGGCCTAGACGATGCGATCTGAGCACGAGCCAAGGGAGCCAGGGGATGCGCTTATTGGGAAATATCGCCAAGAGACTAGAGGAATGGATTGGGTGATTTTTGCGACATGGCGAAGGCGACCTAACGTCCCGCATGGTTTATTGTCCTCGTTAGTCCCTTCGTCCTGACTAGCCGCCTCTGCATGCGCACGTCGTTTTGCCTTTGTTTTGCCACCAGGTTCGTTGAGCGCTGGTAACCAATAGTCTCGAAAGGTGGGGTTCCAACATTTTTGCGCCACATTGCTACATCATAAAAGTGTTGACCGTCGTTGGTCGTGTATAATTTGTCGTCCAAGCAATCTGAAAGGTAAGAGCCAGCCTCCAGGAGTCCAATTAGCGCAATAATTGCTACGTGTGTCTGATTCTTCGGGTTCGTGAAATTTGTAGCACCTTCGAGTCCATGCGGGTGAGCTCCACCACCGACCATAGTCAGGGTTTGAACATAGCAGACGAGTACCGATCACTTGGCATGTGCCATGCATAGCTCGTGTGCAACGTGTTTTCGGATATGAGCCTGATCGCATTATGTCCGCAGGTCCAGACTTCGCGGAACCCTTCGCGACTTCAAAACAAGCATCGGGCTGATTCGTAGACTTGACCCAGATCCCCCATGAGCAGGTCCACAGTTAAGTTCCACAGTTGCTCTTTCATTGTTTTCTCTTTGAAGAAGATGCCACAAAGGAATATTCGTGGGTGTTCATGTGACATGTGGATGTTGATTATAAGCGGCCCTGGCAAAGCTGTGTCATGTGCTCCGAGCTTTTATACCTCGCACTAGTGACATTTACTACCACCCACTCACCATCGTCCACCATAATCAGTCTTTCGCTCTGTATCCTATTCTAAATGACCTCCCCACCGCATTCTCCTCCACCTCAAAAAGTTGCTTCCAACGAACCAGAAAATGATAATCCATCTTCACCACCTGTGTCACCTAAACGTTCTTTTGCCTTCACGGACGAGGCAGATCGTACACCAGCTTCTCTTGGTTATTTTAAGCGTCGTCACGTCCACGATGATGGCGAAGCCGCCAAACGAGCACCTCTCGGTAAGTTTAGCGCCTCCCACAGCCCTGATGCTATTGCGCTGGAACACATTGTGAATGCAGATCCCTTGTCAGCGTCAGAAATCGACAATAGGCCGGAGAACGATCCAAGATGGTCAGAAGCACCATTCCATTCCCTTGCTACTACTGCTCCTGAATTACGATCGTGTGATGCAAACCACAGCATCCCAATTAACGGAACTGGGGATGAAATCACATGCTCGTGGCCGCCTGCTATCAAGAGTGGCGATGCTGATAGTACAGCAGGAAGTAGTCGCAGAGAACGCCCGCCACTCACCCGTGGCGGAAGGTATAGCTCCGATGCACAGGAATCGGTTCGTGCCTCGGCAGCTGGATCCGCATCAGCGTGGCCGCCACCGTTGAGGAGCCGGTCCGACCTTTCCTCACCAGAGCGCAGGACGTCGTCTCGTGGGTGGGATGTAGACAAGGTAACGCAGTCTATAAGATCGCGTACACCCTCCGTGCCATATGTGCGGCGTCCTCCTCGGGATCTTTGGAAGGCCGCATCCTCATCTAATGACCCCGTGCGGACGGTTTACGGCCTAGTGGATGACCGTGATTCAATATTTGATACTTCTCCACCACCTGGAATCACAAGACGCAGGGGATCGGTACCCGATTTGACTGGACCCGGCTCTTGGTCATTGTCACTGGCGTCGGGCAGTCAGCCATTGCGTGCCGATGAATCTCCCAAATCCGTGCCCCCAATAGGTGCCGAACGAAGTAGAGTGGTGTCGATGACGCCACGAAGATCTAGGTCGTTGCCTCCCGCAGGATTACAATTACCCAAACCAAGCGAAGCGCATGATAGTAGCCGAAGAAATTATTCCCGGCTCAATTCCAATGCTACATTGCATGATACCTGCCTCCTGGGAGATCCACGTATTTGTGGCGTATTGGAGAAATCTGCATTTGATTTACCAATCGATAGGGATGAATTCTTTCATCTCTTGCGACAAGCCGTACACAATAAACACTTTTCAAGGGTTTTTTCTCCTCTCAACCCCCTCCGAAATCCAAGGCCCAGCTCCTCCCTGACTGCCAACCCAATCTATCAACGATTCATGCCATCCTTACTCAACAGGCTATCACCACGATACGCCAAAGGACCTGACAAGCGGCTTAGAACGTGAGGGCACTTTTACGTACGCATGTACCACGCAGTTCTCATGTACACTTGCTTTGTTTGTCACGCAGTCTCTGTGAGCTTATTCAGCCGCCGTTTGCAATAGAATATGAGTGCACGCACTGCCAGGAATGCAAACGCGACACGATACGTAAACGGCTACTGGCCCGCAATTATCGATGCATGCGCCTGGCTCCCACTGTGTTGACCACCCCCTTAACATGCAATCCAGGGCCACCGTCAAGCTCGCGGCCCTACAATATTGATGAAGACGAGAAAAGTCTTTGGGAGGAAGTGGCAGCTGCGACTTCCACCGAGCCCTTCCCTGGGAGTCCTCGCTTGCGGGACTTGCATGACTTTGACGATGACAACGAGGACGATGACTACCCGGAGATACCGGATGAGGACTTGCTTTCGGGTGGAGAAGATGTGAAGTTTGGGATGGGGAAACGTCTGCTAGCTGAGGTTTGACTAGCATGCGTTGTATCAATAGAAAGTTTTTATGAACCCTGCTAATCTAATGCTATGTGTATGGACGTTTGTATCATTACTGCTCGTATAGGAGTTTTCTATATATCATGGGACGGGAGATGGAGAGCACTTTACGACGACTACTAACCCCCCATGAATTCTCTGCACAAAACTGAACCGATTCTGTCTTCAGCTCTACTTTCGAATCAGGTACCACTACGAAACTTCCGACAATTTTCTCCTGCTCCCTGCGAAGTAAGTACCTGGCAAACATTTTACACACTACTGCTATATAATTGACACATGCACGCGCTGCTGGAAAGCAATCAAACTCATGCCAGTTCCAGTGTTAGAGTAGGTCATATGCAAAGATAACGGATCAGCGTACCGCAATCATTGGAGAGAGATCACCAACCTAGAGAGAGGCAACAGCAGCAAAGCTAGTGGCATGTGCAGAACTCTTCAGTGGCAAAAATAAATGCATTACATTTCGAGCTCACGTTGCAAAGTAAAGCACGTGAGATTTTATCAACACTGTGAAACAGTCCCCGACGATCGATCCTGTCGATGATCGGAGACCGAGTTTGGCTGTGCGACGTTCGGCATGATGTCAGCTTGCAACTTTCTTGCAACTGGGTGAAAGCGTGGGTGGGTAGTTAGTGTAACTTATTGTCTGTAGTGACACAAGAAGATATTGGTCAAGTTGCCCAGACCTGTTCTCTTTTCAAGTCCACTTCAGGCCCACTGCTCCTCATCATCATCTGGCTATCACATAATAATTAATAATTAGAATGAGACACACCGCGGGTATGGGGGTCACGAGTACGGCAGGCACGGGCCCTATGGTGTAGAGATTTGCTACCCGTGGCCACACCGTAGCGGTCGGGCAGCCCACTATCTCCGAGTCTACTCCGCGATGTTATATTTTGCAAGGGATTCACCAAAATGGTGGACGTAAAGCGAATCTGATGCAAAACGCACTGCACTCAATATACCGTGCAGTTGATGCGATTGTAATGCATCACACAGCCAGGTACATCTCGACTCATGATCTGTGATCAATATCAGTTGAATGTACGACACCATATGTAAGTGAAAAGTGAAAACAGAAATGAGAGGAAGCAGGGGAGACAAGAAGATTCGAACGCGCCTGTAGGCCTGCATGACTGTGCAGGAAGACCAGTTTCTAATTTTTATAATTATACGGGCTCGTATTGATGGCCTTTCAGTGATCTTCTTCTGTCCCGAATTGAGCCAGTGCAGTGAGCACACGAGAATGCTATCAAGATCATCATCATCAGCAAAGAACTCATTGTCGGGTCTACATCATGCTCAACAATATCATGGGCAGGCTATGAAGCCACACCACAGTTTGATGTTTCCACCCGCATACGCGTGTTCAGCTATCAATTATCAAACTTTGTGATGAGCTCACTGATCGTGGGAATCGACGACACAAAAGACCATAGCATCACGGACGCTCGCTTCTGCTTCATACGTCCTCCTGGAAGATTTGATCTGACCATAGTATCTTGCTCGCTGGCAGACGTGATAGAAATAACTTGGGACCGATGCTTTCCGAGTGCCCAATTCAGTTGGTTTGGGTGAGCTCACTGAGCACCTTCCAAGTAACGACCACACCAGAAAGCTCACGTCCGATAATGTCATTGAGGAGCAGAGCATCCTGAAATTCAATACATCTGAATCACCTGAGATGTCTCCTGAGTAACAATATTTGAATTTAGGCATGAAGCTTTGAAGCTCACAGCTCGGTTGTTTAGAGAGACCACGTCCGTGTGCAACTTGAAGGACTTAGGAGACGATCTAAGTATTCAGACGTCCACAAGATACTATCGTTGGGCCAGAGTTGCAAAATCTGACGACCACATTTTCATATCTCGTTGTTTGCTACACATTAAGACAAAATAATTATACGGACCTGTAGCTATGTGTGTCATGGGAGAGCTCCAGCTGACAGAAGAACAAAAAGTGTTCAAACGATGCTGCCAGAGGGATGCCGACGCAAAATGTTAGAAACAGTAGAGAGTTGCAAAATTTCTCATGGGCAAGTTGGCACAGATGTCACACTGTGTCACAGTGTCGGTTTTGCAAAACTGAACTCCGCCACGGCAAACGGTGCAATGCAAGATGCAAGTCTCGAATTTAGAGTAAAAACATTGATTGCGGCGCGGGGAATCATTCTACGGGAGGAATATTAGTGTACAGTATGTAAAATATATGGTAAAGAATATTTATGGGTGACTATAGTACGAGTAAGAAGAATAGCACAGACATGTCACATCCTGAATTTTTTTCTCTCGCTCTTCATTGAGTTTCTGAGCTTTTGTTCTGAAAACATGAGCGCAGCGCGCTGGCATGCAACAGATTGAGTACCCGAGCAGTCTCAAGTCGTCATTGAAAGTTTTGCAGCCGTACACTGCCGCACTCAAAATTGGTTCTCCGCTCCAAGCCGTCACGCTTGATCATTCTCTGACATTGATGCTTGCATTGTCGATAATAACAGCAACTGTGCTTCGTTCTCGCTGGAAAAATGCTCAGAAGGTGGGGGTAGGCATAAAGTGTGTGCGGAAGAAAAAAAATCAAATTTCGGTTGTGATTTTTGCTTTCGCCTAACTATTCTACGTGAAAAAAGGTATCTTCGAATGATAGATTTGAAGCCGTATGTGTTCCTCATCTTTATTTTTATAAAACAAAAATACAGTACTATGAATATATGTTGGAAGGTCCTATATCCAAGAGTGGGGGACTTAAGATGTGATGTTGTGTGTGCTACGAGGCATTTTGCAACTCTGGCCCAATGATAGTACGAGCAGTTGAACACTCGAGTGTCGCGCACAGTGATACAAGAAACGCAGTTGCCTAAGTCTTTGCCTAAATCCTTGGAAGAGCGGTTATGCGGAAGGCCGTTAGGCCGTCCGTCCACTTGCTTAATGCTCGTCTTGTTCATCTTGCTGGGGGTGAAGGTATCTTGCCGTTGAGCTGTATCTAAAGGATGTTGATAGCTCCCTGGTAGTACTGAGTAAAAGCCGTATGGATATCGGCGGAGAGCTGGGAAAGACCAAGATGCGCTGAGGGTGGTGGGGGTGTTGGAGCCGTTGGATCATCGACGTGGTGGAAGCAATTCATCAGTACATGTGCTCAGTCCCAAGCTTGGGGCTTGCCTCTCACTTCTGAATCATCCACTTCACCAGTTTCGCTCGAGGAGCACGTTGACCCGACTATCTTCTTTGATTTATTTATTTTTGTCAGTCACTAAATAACCGTCACTCTGAATCTTGGAATATACACTTTGGAACACCGAATAACATACATAGATACCGCCACGAAACTACAGATAAAATCCTCCTGCTCTTTCAGAGAACCCAATACGCATCTCTCATGCTACACACCATTGCTAGTTGACACGTGTACGCGCTCCTCGAAGACAATTGAAGTCATGCCAGTTGCTGCGTCGGAGTCGGCCACGAGCTTAGCGTGAAATTCCCGAACGCTAAGGATGAGGCGCGGTCCCAGCACAAACATCTGCAAGACCGAAAAAACCTGAAGAAAAGCAGCATATATCTCGGCTCCCACGGAACCTGACTCCTATAGAAATGATGAGTAATGGTGAAAATCAGAGGTCAGTGACGAATCAGCGTACAATTAATGGAGAGAACCCGCCAAGCTGGAGAGCAGCAACAACAGTAAAGCTAGCACGCGTGGAACTTTAGCGGGAAAAAGATCACCGCATTCAAATAACAAAGTCACCTTGCAAAGTAAAGCACATGAGATTTCATCAACACTGTGAAAACGTCCCCGATGGTCAACCCTGTCGATTGTCCAAGTTGTTGCAGACCGCAGATGTGTTTCACAGCAATCCAGACCGCAAGACACAGTGCGAGGACCTCCCATATAAGGGTGAGTGTCCAAACCATTCTACTCAGAAGTGCAGCGTCTCCCGCCTCGGTATAGGCGCACATATAGGCACCGGAGAGAACATACTCCTCTGATATTCGTCCAGTCAGCCTGATTTTTTGATACATAACTAAAGCTTACCCGATCCAATATACTTGAGCCCTATTGCAGTCATCACTATGCAGGCAATGTTGATAGCCAGGAAGCTAACGATGAGAAATATAAGCATCTTTCTAGATCCCTGATACATGGCATATAACCGAGCAATCATGATGACTTGCACGGTGTGTCAGTGTAGTCGATACCACTGGGGTATTGCAGCTGCGTAGCTCACCATTCAGCACGACGGCTGTGATTACATTTATCCAATTTAATGCAGAGTACAGAATACCGCCTGAAATAGAAAATCAGTGATCGCCCTCATATGATCAAACACTCCAACGAAACTGACACCTGTGGTAGTCAATATAGTGAACCAAAAGGCAGGTCAAAAATCTCGCTCACCCCTACATAGGAGTGCAGTTAATTGGATGGGAATGGCAAGCATCAGAACATTACTCACTGCATCCGTCAACGAGATTGGTAGAAGATCCACTGTGTGCTGCCAGTCAGAACAAAACAATAGTAAGGTGCATAAGACATACACATAATGGAAACACTAATCGTGGGATGGCTTATCAGCACAGCACCACCTCGTTAATCTTACGAACGTACATGATAAATGATATCCCAGCATAGCGCGTCTAGAATGTTTTGGCGTCAGCGCAACTTGCCACCTGTGCTTATAACACAACCCACGTACAATGAGATACAGAACCGTCATGAGGGACCAGCGTTGCATCTGCCTCGAAAATAGTATCATCCTCTTCTTCTTTTGATGGTGATGGCGATGGGACTCTGCTTACCCAGACCAGTTCAACCTATAGAACCATTCTTAGCAAGACGGCCACTTCGGTAATTGCATGAACCTACCTCTTGTCCGAATGTTAGCGCTGGAAATATCATAAGGATGCCAGTGTTTCTGCAATGCTATCATGCTCACCCCAATCGTATACCACTGCGGTAGAGGTGGCAACTGTGGAACCACAGTCCAGGTTAGATCGAGACATCACCGACATCATCCTACTAGACCTTCACTAACCTACATAATAGCTGGAAGAAAGAGCGTAATTGATTTCTGGCCACCAGCTGGGAAGATTTGAAACAAAGGTCATATCCGAGGGATGTGTGTGAGTGGCGAACTCGGTGGTCATATAGCGACGGCATTCGTGCTACATATATATACCACCACACGGCACTTGTATCGGCACGATGATGATGACGGGGACGGAATTCGGCCTTGCCTCAAGGCCCTTGACTAGTGTAAGGACTGCGGTGCGAAATTAAGTAGACACTGGAAGTCCTCAATTTGAATGAAACTGAAATCAGTGTCACGCACGGGTAATGTTTGCAGACCGGGAAAGTTCAAACAGTTGTTCGTGATGTCGGGGACTTATTTCCAACGCCATTCTCGAGATGTTCTTGCACAGGTCTAAATGTCAAGTGATCATCAACAAGTTGAAACCCTGCCTTCTTGATGGTAATTCTCGATGAGGCCATCTGCACTCTCTCATCCATGCTGGCCGAGCGCGATGGGCGTAACAGCTCTCTGAACAAGGTCCCATTCTGTCGGTATGATAATGATACCGTGGAGCAAATGTAACATACCTGTCCCACATTCCTCTAGACCCCTCAATGCCCACTGCTGCTGTTGCTGATCATCATCACTATGACATCTGTCGCCTCGACCGCATCTCCTCCCTCATCATATGATAAGGATGCCAAGATGGTGGGCGTGAAAACGCGCTACCCTTAATGCATCGTGTAGCAGATGCGATTGTGATACATCACACAGCCAGGATCCTGATTCATATCAGTTGAACGTACGACACCATTTCAAGGTCAAAACAAATGAGAGGACGCAGAGAGGATAAGAATACTCGGACGCACCTGTGCATCAGTGAACCAGTGAACAAATTGAAATATCATATTTGACTATATATAGCTAACAATCGCAACAACCTCAGTAAATCTGGTGGGGGGGTTTACTTGACCTTGTGAGGGAAATCTGAATCTTGGAATATACACTTTGGAACACCGAATAACATACATAGATACCGCCACGAAACTATCCTCCTGCTCTTTCAGAGAACCCAATAAGTATCTCTCATGCTACGCACTATTGCTAGTCGACACGTGTGTGCGCTCCTCGAAGACGATTGACGTCATGCCAGTTGCTGCGTCGGAGTCGGCCACGAGCTTAGCGTGAAATTCCCGAACGCTAAGGATGAGGCGCGGTCCCAGCACAAACATCTGCACGGCCGCAAAAACTTGAAGAAAAGCACCATATATCTCGGTTCCCACGGTATATGAGTCCTATAGAAATGATGAGTAATGGTGAAAATCAGATGTCAGTGACGGATCAGCGTACTATAATTATGGGAGAGAAGGCGCCAAGGTGGAGAGCAGCAACAGCAGCAAAGCTAGCACGCGCGAACTTTAGCGGGAAAAAGATCACCGCATTCAAATTACAAAGTCACCTTGCAAAGTAAAGCACGTGAGATTTCACCAACACTGTGAAAACGTCCCCGATGGTCAATCCTGTCGATTGTCCAAGTTGTCGCAGACCGCAGAAGTGTTTGATAGCAATCCAGACCGCAAGACACAGTGCGAGGACCTCCCATATAAGGGTGAGTGTCCAAACCATTCTAGTCAGAAATATAACGTCTCCCTCATAGGTATAAGAGCACATATGGGCACCGGAGAGAACATACTCCTCTGATATTCGTCCAGTCAGCCTGATTTTTTGATACATAACTAAAGCTTACCCGATCCAATATACTTGAGCCCTATTGCAGCCATCACTATGCAGGCAATGTTGACAGCCAGGAAGCTAACGATGAGAAATATAAGCATCTTTCTAGATCCCTGATACATGGCATGTAAGCGAGCAATCATGATGACTTGCACGGTGTGTCAGTGTAGTCGATATCACTGGGGTATTGCAGCTGGGTAACTCACCATCCAGCATGACAGCTGTGATTACATTTATCCAATTTAATGCAGAGTACATAATACCGCCTGAAATAGAAAATCAGTGATCGTCCTCATATGATAAAACACTCCAACGAAACTGACACCTGTGGTAGTCAATATAGTGAACCAAAAGGCAGGTCAAAAATCTCGCTCACCCCTACATAGGAGTGCAGTTAATTGGATGGGAATGGCAAGCATCAGAACATTACTCACTGCATCCGTCAACGAGATTGGTAGAAGATCCACTGTGTGCTGCCAGTCAGAACAAAACAATAGTAAGGTGCATGAGACATACATATAATGTAAATACTAATCGTGGGATGGCTTATTAGCACAGCACCACCTCGTTAGTCTTACGAACGTACATGGTGAATGGTATCCCAGCATAGCGCGTCTAGAATGTTTTGGCGTCAGCGCAACTTGCCACCTGTGCTTATAACACAACCCACGTACAATGAGATACAGAACCGTCATGAGGGACCAGCGTTGCATCTGCCTCGAAAATAGTATCATCCTCTTCTTCTTTTGATGGTGATGGCGATGGGACTCTGCTTACCCAGACCAGTTCAACCTATAGAACCATTCTTAGCAAGACGGCCACTTCGGTAATTGCATGAACCTACCTCTTGTCCGAATGTTAGCGCTGGAAATATCATAAGGATGCCAGTATTTCTGCAATGCTGTCATACTCACCCCAATCGTACACCACCGCGGCAGAGGCGGCAACTGTGGAACCACAGTCTAGATTAGATCGAGACATCACCGACATCATCCTACTAGAACTCCACTAACCTACATAATAGCTCCAAGAAAGAGCCCAATTGATTACTGGCCACCAGCCGGGACGATTTGAAACGAAGGTCATATCCGAGGGATGTGTGTGACTGAGTGGTGAACTTGGTGGTCATATAGCGACGGCATTCGTGCTACATATGTATACCACCACACGGCACTTGTATCGCCAAATTGGCATGATGATGATGGGGACGGAATTCGGCCTTGCCTCAAGGCCCTTGACTGGTGTAAAGACTGCGGTGCGAAATCAAGTAGACACTGGAAGTCCTCAATTTGAATGAAACTGAAATCAGTGTCACGCACAGGGAATGTTTGCAGACCGGGAAAGTTCAAACAGTTGTTCGTGATGTCGGGGACTTATTTCCAACGCTATTCTTGAGATGTTCTTGCACAGGTCTAAGTGTCAAGTGATCACCAAAAAGTTGAAACCCTGCCTTCTTGATGGTAATTCTCGATGAGGCCATCTGCACTGTTTCATCCATGCTGGCCGCGATGGGCGTAACAGCTCTCTGAACAAGGTCCCATTCTGTCGGTATGATAATGACACCATGGGTCGACATGGAGCAAATGTAGCATACCTGTCCCACCTTCCTCTAGATCCCTCAATACCCACTGCTGCTGCTGATCATCATAATTATGACATCTGTCGCCTCGAACGCATCTCCTCCCTCATCATATGATAAGGATGCCAAGATGGTGGGTGTGAAAACGCGCTACCGCTTAATGCATCGTGTAGTAGATGCGATTGTGATACATCACACAGCCAGGATCCTGATTCATATCAGTTGAACGTACGACACCAGTTCTACTTCAAAACAAATGAGAGGACGCAGAGAAGATAAGAATACTCGGACGCCTCTGTGGGCCTGCATGACTGTGCAGGAAGCCCGATTTCTTATTCTTCTAATTGTACAAGCTCGTGTCGATGGCCATCATGTTCTTCTACTGTTCCGAATCGAGTCAGTGCACACGAGAATGCTGTGAGTGTAAGATTGAGATGACTCAGATGATCATCAGAAAAGAACTCATCGTCGGATCTTTATTATGCTTCTATGCGCAGCAATATCATGGGCAGGCTATGAGAGCCACACTGCACTTTGATGGTTCCACCTCGTATACGGATAGTCAAAATCTAGAATAACATCGCATCTAGTGTTGCCGCAGCTTCGGCTTACGACCGGTTTTAGCCGTGGCCAGAGCCACGAATATTTGAGCGGAGCACGTAATTCAGCTTACATAATTTACGGCCCGGCTCGGCTAAACTTTTAATTCGAGTTATGGGCTTAAAGCCAGCTCGAACCAATTAAATTAAATATATTTTTAAGTCCAAATTAGATTAAAATTTAGAGATCGAGATTTCGGGGCTCGAGAGCCCAATGGGGAAGTATTTGCGCTGCACTCGACATTGATCATACCAACTACACAAACATACACACTTCTACGATTAACGGATAGATGGGGCCCCAGAATGATGTGAATGATCCCGTTAACGTTTGATCAAAATCTAAAACAAACATTAGCTTTACGAGCCCCTTCAGTGAATTCACCCGTCTGAGACGGGCAGCCGGGCGTGACAATGTACCGATAGGGACGAGCCATCCGGTGTGGGCCGGTGGCAATAATTGTACCGTGATAGATGAGTGGGCCGAGGGTGTGGTGTATCCGAGGCAAACGGATGGGCCGGGGGTATATAGTATACATGGTAGTATAGCAATGTACTATATAGGTGATTATGAATGGTGGTGAATCCAGTGTGTGATAGCGAGTGGGCCGGTAAATAAGGCACAATGGAGACAAGGGGGCCGGTAGATGAGATGCAATGGAGACAAGGGGGCCGGGGAATGGGGTGCAATGGAGACGAGTGGGCCAGCCATATGGGGTGCAATGGAGACGAGGAGGCTGGGGAATAGGGTGCAATGGAGACGGGTGGGGCCAGCC